GGCCGGTTCCCGAAGTCGAACGCCATGCATACTTCAAGCGCCTCTCAGCGCTTCCTGCCACATCCATGATTAACAATCTCTCATCTTCCCTACGCTCCCTTGTAGAATGTGCACGGTCGCTGTTCTTCGCTGTTTCACAGGTGCATCAGGCACTTTCACACTATATCACTTACACCAACGACCGACAACTCTCCTCTGTGCTGAAGAAGGTCACCGACCCTGCGTATACTTATATGATGCAGTTGAACGGTGCTCTCGATCGCTTTGATGCAATTTGCAAGAAAGCGACGCCGCCTCCTTCACTCTGCCGAGCGCTTGTGGAGAGTAGTAGAGATACCGCGGCTATGTTTGGCAAAGCTATTGCGATGATGTCACTGCAGTTGAACATCCTCGCATCTAAAGATGATGACCGATACATGCGGTCATTAGTACTTATCTTTTACGGTGCCATGGCCGAGATATCGACTGCGTGGCAGTCAATGGTTCCACACATTGAAGCTATCAAACCTCACCTTTCGGATCGCCGGCGTCATCTGGTGAAGCCCCAACCAGTCCCGAATTCCAGTCCAGAGCTTCCATCTTCAGCACCACCGTCATACTCCCCGTTCAATGCGCCATTGCATGGTGTTCCAATCGCCAGATCACGGCCCACGCAATCCCTTGGTAGGGCAAGAACTACGCGGCGCCATGCTGGGTCGTTCAGCTCAAAAGACGTGGAGATTGGTAAATCACTGCCATCATATGACCTGACAGTCCCATTTGGCGCAGTGGTAAACTACCCGACGACGACGCTTCGAGCAGGACAGCGTCATCCGGCGCTACCGCTTTCAGCATCGACATCGAGCCTGACTCCCTCCTTGGTCAATTCTAGCATGTCTTGGACGTCATTGTCTGGCCAGCACTCCCGGCAAGCCTCCCAAACATCATTGACGCCATCAGCTGCGCCTTCATCGCCTCCTGTACCTGCCCGACGCCCGACACTTGATATACCTCCTTCACGGACGCTCGTCGACAAAGATGCCCTCGACGCAATGGAAGTAGCAGTAGAGGCAGCACCCGCAGTATGGGAGATGCTGAAAGAGATCGTGGACAGCTTATCTGAAGGAGCTGAAGAATTCCGCAACACACTGCTTAAGGCTAAATCCACTACGGAGCGCCTACGTACTAATATAAACGCAATGCGGTGCGGAGACCCAGGCGCTGACAGAAAAGGCCTCCGTGAGGATGCACACGTGTTCGTCAAGGTGATGATCCCTCTGATTGCTTTGCCTTGGTCCCATTCCTGTGGTGATCCACCTGTCTTTTCAGTCTTCTTGGGATGATCTGTGATGCTAATCTACTTGAAATTTTCCACAGATTGTGGTCAAATTGTCAAATCTGGTCAAAACGCACGGCACATCCCACGCTGTATTCTCTGAGCTTTTAGGCAAGATGTTGGCGTTGACAAATGCCACGCAGGAGTTTGTAATGCTCCTGCATGTCTCATCATTTTCACCATCGACACCACGACCATATTCTCCCATGACTGCTATCTTGGCGCCATCCGCAGTCAGATTGATCGCCGAGGATGGGCTGCTAGGTGCAAATTTATCCAGAAGCCGCAGTTCCACGCAGCCGAAGGCATTGAAGCTATTTGGTCATATTACAGCCCCTCGGAGCGCTCTGCCAACACAGTCCTTCAATATACCCCGTATGCGGGACACCAGTGACGAAGGCTGAATCCCTCATGGCTTTGATTAATTGTTATGTCTACGACTCATCCTCACGACGCATGACGCATACCTCCAGTTATTGTAGCATCATCATACCAATATCTCATATTACATATTCGACTAGTATCGTCTCTTGCTTTCAAAATTCCATGCCTATATTATGCTGGATCCTACATGAAGGTGATGTGTATGTGAAATAAGAGAGTCCCCAAAGTATAAGATCTATCAGAGCGATAAATGAGGATGCGGATGTAATGGTAGATTCATAAAATAGTATCGTGTTTGCGTGTTATGAATGAGTCGTCAACTATAATCACCCCAGGCGTTTCTCTATCTCACCGCACAGCATCACCTAGCATACGATCGATTTCAGCTCTGATTTCGGCGAGGTTCGCCTTGAGTGTCTTTGCATCTTCGAACTTGCGATGAGCCATCGCCTCGCCGACAAAGGATTCGAGGAGAGCCTCTTGTTCTAGAAGCGGTTGTAGCGTATGGGCGAGATCTGAATCGGGATCCACAAGCGGTGTCTCGAAAGGAACAGGTGACGATGTTGAATCACGCTTTTTAGGCTTGGGCAGGGACTGCGCAGTGCTAGTCAGTTAAGAGTATCAAATGAAACGTGCTTCACGTACCTGCAATGGGAACATGTGCTTCTGCAAAAATAGATTCGCCCTGCTGAGGACTGCGAGATGCACGTGGTGTTGGGAAGACCCTGTATTGCAAGGAATGGCACGTATCCGTTTGGCCAAGGCGTCGTATTGAGCGAAGGCATCGAGGAGGCGCTTCCGTGCTGCGGACGCTTCTTTAGTTGGCTGGTCGTCATTGCTAGATGCAAAGGGGTTATTATTAATCTATGCAGAATTAAAGCCTATCATAGTCAATACGTACTTCAGTGTAAGAAGTAGGTCCTGAAACTGCGGAATTGCATCTTCGATCTCTTTCTCGAGACTAACGAATGCCTATTTCCAAATCAGTATCACGCAAGCTCGATAGCTCCAGCAACCAACTTACATCATAGAACCTCACAAACGGCGGCACGCTAGCCATCTCCTGCCAATACTGCTGTCGCGTGAGTACAGGTCTGCAGCTACGGCATATCCTGACGCCGCGGAGAAATTTCTCCTCCTCGCCGGCACCTGCACGACGCACACCATAATCGACGCCCTCCCCAACCTCCTCAATTCGCCGCGTCTTGGCATCGACGACAAAAAGCACTGAACAGGGGCTCTGGCGCTGCGGGAGCTTAGGAGGAAGACTGCAAATGATGGTACCGCAGAGGCGGCAATGGTGTTTACGGTTCGTAAGTGGGTGAAAGGACGCGCTGGATGAATGTAAGTGAGATTCTTATGTTCTACCGGTGGTGGTTTTGGAGATAATATAGAAAGGAAGACGTACACGCATAAAGGACATTTAGATACGGCAGCATCATCCTGCCAAGGTGTTATCCGCTGCTCTGCGGCTAGAAAAAAAAATAGTTTTGGTCAATACTCAATTCAACGAAATGAGCGATGTGATATATACCTCGAATGTCACCATTGGAGCCCTGTATCATCTGGCTTTGCAATACCCCTTTCCACAATTCACCCGCATCCATATTCTTAATGTCGAGATTAAAAAATGACGAGGCCCTCCTCTTTTCCATCCCCCTTCCATTAACACTGACCTCATCTTTCCTCGCACCCGCGGCCTTCTCAACAGAATTCTCCACAGGAAAATGCAGAGCGATAAGCTTTTCGAGCCTACGCTCTAGCTTTGTCTGTTCTATCCGCCCTTCGTCAACGCGTTTCTTCCGGTATTCAGCAAACTCATCCGTGCGAGGCCGATACACACCCTTGGGTTGAAAGCCTGGACGGTAGGGTGCCGCAGACCGCGCAGGGGTGGATGCACGTGTTTGTGCAGAGGAAGATGCAGGTGCGGATGAAGTGGAGGGGAGAGACGGAGTTGACGCTGCAGGAGAACCCGAAGTTGAAGTTGTTGCTGATACAGGGGCTGATGAGGAAGCTGGCGGTAGATGTGCTGGTGTTGGTGTCGGCGAATAGAGTTTCGACGGTGGCAGAGGTGCAACTATCGAAGACGAGCGCGAGGGTGGACTGATGATGTTTTGAGCAAAAGGCGCGCTTGCTCTTGGAAGTAAGACTGGCGGAGGTAGTTTACCACTGTCTGATATCACTGATGTAACAGAGGTGACACGGCTGTGCATCACGGGTGAATGCAGTGCATCGAGTTGGCGGCTGGACGTCGATGGTGCAGGGGAGTGAGTGACGGGTGGGCGGAGAGGCGAAGCGAGTGGTGATTTCGCAACGAGAGGACGGAGGCGCCTGAACTTGGATGGTTTCGGAGAAGTAGGTGGCAGCTTTGTTACGGAGGATGCAGGGGGTGAAATTGGTAATTCGATCTCTTTGTCTTTCCCGTTTGTACGTAGAACTGGCTCCTCATTGGGTGCGGGCTCGAGAACAGTATCTGGCAACGCAAGATCAATGCTTGTTGGGGAAGGTAACTCGGTACTAGTTGAAGAGCCATTAGTAGTCGGTGAGGAAGGAAGGTCCCTAGAATGTATGATATCGACGCCGGGTGCTTGTGTCTTGTCCGTTACGACTGTAAAGACACTTGGATACTCTGCGGAGACTGCCAGGATCTTCTCAGACTCGTAGTATTCGTGTGGACGAGTGAATGTGGAAGCTGGGACAGAAGGTGGAATAGATGTCATACTCGATGGTCGGGACACAGGCGGTGGAGAGACATTGGGAACCAGATGAATAGATGAGACTGCTCGGGAATGTCGTTTCGACTGTTACATTCATTTGAATGAGAATAAGTGAGAATTTCAGAATATCAACGTACTTTGTAAGCCTGATACGGGACATTAGGCGGTGAATCCATAGCTCAGCTGAGCAATTGGATATACAAAATGTCTGCAAAGTAACTTGTAGTGAGGTTAACACGTTGTGTGTTCAACGTGAAAGGTGAGGATGGTACACAAGGATACCTGGGACACCCGTCGGAATGACAACGACCAAAATCAGAGTCGTGAGCCCGTCAGGGCACTGGTTGTACAGCGTGAGCGCCCTCGCACCGGCGTCCTCTGCAACAACCGCTGGCGCCTCACACAACTTCAATTTAGCCTCATTACATAATCGGAGACTCATGGATTACACTGAATAGTACAACATACATATTACACTTCATCAGCGGGGCTACATAGTGCTGTATGCAAAGAAGGAACGAACAGCCCAAACAACACCCCAAAATTGAAAGAATTGTGACAAGACACATCTCATAATGACGGCCTCACGCCAGGAACATACCAGCCACCACACTAACAAGGCCAATTGCCAAGACCCTGGTCCCACGATCATTCATCTTCGCCACACCACCCGATTTCGTTTGTGTAGCTTGTACTCCCGTACTCGTGGTCGTGGTCGAGGATGAGGTCCCGTTGAGCCGGATCGCTTGCGCCTTGAATGCAGCATAGTTGTTGGGTCCAGACTCGACCGCGTTCACAGAGAACACCATGCCTTGCCCACAGTGTCCAGATTGTTTACAATATACCCAGATTGGTGCAGTCTAAGGCACTCGATGTCAGTACAGAAAGCCATATATGTCAAGTTCCTTACATTATTGATTTTGACCGTATACGTGGGGAATGTTGTCGCATCAGATGCAACGGCCATGCTAACAGCGCTGTCAGTCTCACACATAGCTCAATCAGCAAAAACACTTACAATCCAGAATCAAACCCAACTTGTCCACTCGTAGATGTGAGAGTAAGCGCGCGGCACGGATCCGCAAACGTACTCTGCGTTGCGGTGTGATTTTTTTGCATGAATTGGAAGGTTACTGTATCTCCAATCTGTGCAGTAATATTCGATGGAGTATACGTCAGGGTCGAGCCGCCAACAACAACCTTATGATCCGTGCTTGTTACGCTCGTTGGTGCCGAGCTGCCAGGGAACGAGCCGTAAGTTGTAGTCACAGTGTAACCCCCTCCAGTGATGGTTGCAGTAGCAGTGACAATTCCGGTGGGAGTAGTCGCGGTTGCAGTCGTCGAGACAGACGAGGGTGAAGAAACAGTGGTATTGCCCATGGCGGCTGCTTGGAATGCAGCAAACTGGGTACCTGGGTTGATGGCAAAGACCATGCCCTGCTGACAGTGATTGGCTTGTTTGCAGTACACCCAGACTGGGTTCATGTCCTGCACCGTATATTGTGCTGCAGGGAACGGACCATCCGTATTACTGGATGATACTGGCATGCTACGTACGCCGATGTGTTAGTCTAAATTTATACAACGGCGTGTTTGTGCTTCACTAGCCAGAGTCAAATCCATTGGACGCCTTCACACATGGCTGGGCAAAAGTAGATTGGGAAGCCGTATGGTTGGATTGTTTAAAAGTAAAGATGATTGTATCTCCAGGGTTTGCATTCTTCACATTAATGAGCAATGAATACTGCGAAATTGATTGCAGAGACGTACAACAAACTGTGGATCATATCTTAATGGTCCTCCACCAACAGTAACGTTAAACTGGACCGCCTGCGCCAGCGCCAGCACACCAAAGACCAAGAATAAGCTCGAGAACATCGTGGTTGGTCAGGTTTGAATGTTTTGAAGTATCAGAAATTAGAAATTGAGCATCAAGCCCCAAAGTTGAAGACGCACAGCGACGAGGGTCAGAAGGGAAAGCTAAGACGGAAAATAACAACACGGACAGCTGAAAGTCTTTTATGTGTGAGGCATTTGTGCCAAGTCAAGATCCACAAAAAAAAACAAAAGAGAACAAGCAAATGTGGAAGATGATTTTGAAATTCCCGTTATATTATGGAGGTGGACAATGCCAAACCATTGCCATGCGACCGATCGCGTTGCAGTATTTTAATTGCCAAGTACGCCGCGGGTAGACATTTAGTCGAGGACCCAGGCGCGACGAACAACGCCAACGTTTGAACATCTACAATAGATGGTATTAGTACCGCAGAGTGTATGAGTGTGAGATCTCACCGCTTGCTATCCTCTTCTTCTACTGTAACTGCCTGTTTGCCTCATCGAGTCCCTCACTCCATGTTCCATCACAGTCCTGCGGGATTGCGCAATGGTTTCTTGTGGGCACTTGCTGATGTTCTTGAGGCGAGTGCAGACCAACGGTGCTAGACAACGCAAGTACTTGGGACCTAATTATGTAATAACATCGCAGGTGCTTGACATTGCCAATTGGGTATACGCTACGACAAGTCGGCATACAAAGATACAGGCCAGTATACAACATCAGATCGTGAGTCCAATAAATATCCGCGACGTATGATAAACTTGAAGTAGGAAAGAGTTGCATCATAAATAGTGTCCACAGTTCCGCCGGCTAGAGGAATCCTTGACGTCCGAGAGAGCCATTCGCAAAACTCATGCACTACCTTGAGCAAAATATGTCTTGAGGAATAATCCCCACTTCCGTATCACAGGTTTGACGATATCTTCCCATTCCCTCTCAAAGAATTCACCTTCCGTGACGCGCGTGAATGAAAATACTTCCTTGTGTTTAGTCCCATCTGTGAATTGACGAGTGTTAGCACCTGCCCTGCAACTATTCGTCGGGTCTAACTTACTACAGTCACGGCAGGGTTTAGAAACAACCTTTGACTGACGTGGGATGTCCGAATAGTGGACATCAGGAAAATTGGGATGCAGATACGGAGTATGTGTTACTAGATCCTCGAGCTCAATATGCACCAACCGTTCGAGCTGTTCAGCCATCGGACCCTTGTGGCCCTGGCGATTATCTTGAATGAGCTTCCGTATCTCCATCTCGTCATCATCTTTAGCTTCGACTATGGTCTGAGGCCACCACCCGCGAACATCTTTTATGGAGGAACGACATTTATTCTTCCATTGTGCGTGGCGTTTCTTGACATCTTTGCTGTACCCAATCTTCAACGAGAGCTTTTCCTCATTCTCCGGATCTTGTTAAGGGCTCGCTCAGCTTGCAGGCCAACATTTAATGATAGGTCAAGTAGAACCTACCGAACACGTTCAACGCATATACATAGCCTGGTATCTTCAACCTTTCCGATATATTTCCTGTGATGGCATTTCGAAGCTTCTGCTGACTATCACGTTGCAGATATTCAGGAATATAGTCTATTGAACGTTTAAAAAGGTCCAACGAAATCGGAAATAATCATCTTACCACGAAAGTGAACAGAAATCTCTTCTTGACCGGCGACTGGCTGCACTTTGAACTTCTCTTTATCAACATATGTCACAATCCCTACTGAACTTGGAATATGGTGACGACAATAGATTGGTTGGGAAGAATCATTTGTGAGTTGACCGGGGGTAATCGAGACCCGTTGTTGACATCGGCGGGACTTGGATTTGGCATTGCATTGCACTGTTATTTGGACGCTAGCTATGATGGGTGTGGTGGGGGTTTGAGTACTTTGAGATCCATGCTGATAGCAGTATCGAGCCGGAGGTTTGACTGAACGTCGGCATTGAACACCACGCAGTGTAAGCCCACAGCAATGCGGGTTCGCATTTGTCACTGGCTTCAGTGAGGGTGCGGTAGGGGTATTAGTACTTTGGGACGCATGCTGATAGCAGTATCGAGCCGGAGGTTTGACTGAACGTCGGCATTGAATGCCACGCAGTGTGAGTCCATGGCATAGCGAATTCACATTTGTCACTGGCTTCGGCTGAGGAGGGTGCGGTAGGGGTATTAGTACTTTGGGACACATGCTGATAGCAGTATCGAGCCGGAGGTTTGACTGAACGTCGGCATTGAATGCACCGCGCAGTGTGAGTCCCATGGCAATGCGGGATTCACATTTGTCACTGGCTTCAGGTGAGGAGGGTGCGGTAGGGGTATTAGTACTCTGAGACACATGCTGATAGCAGTATCGAGCCGGAGGTTTGACTGAACGTCGGCATTGAACATGCCACGCAGTGTGAGTCCATGGCATAGCGAATTTACGTCTGTCGTTGATTTCGCAGCAATATCACGGGATTGACGGAGCTGTGGACTCCTCACACTCGCGGATGCATAAGAAGAAGGAGGGCGCGTATCCTGGTCAATATGGGAGGTGCGATAAGGATCAGGGTCTTTGACCGATTTGATGACATTGCATCGTGTCGTAATTGGCCCCGAATCTCTGGTGTTCTGAATGATTTCCGCATGATGTTTAGAACTTGTCGTGAAACTTGAGATCTGGAAGTTCTGAAGGTCGAGAAATAATGCTCACATTTCCGGGATCTCCAACACCGTCGATGTGATTTCGACAGAAAGGCTCGGCTTCGATTTGTCTTTCGTCTCTTCCTTCTGATTGGTAGGTACGAATCGTGATTTACTAAGACGCGGAGGTGTGTTATCGGGCGTCAATAGCCCTGCCAGAGGCGGAAAAGATTTAGTAATTAACTGGTCGCTAGACCATTCCGATAGGTTTCTTGAGATGGCTAGCGGCTCCGTATTCTTTAGGAGGTCGGGATATCGTACAGGGGTACGAGGTGGAGAGGCGAAACAAACCCCAGAGGAGTTGGGTCGTGACCGAGAGTCTGGGGTCGCGGGAGGCGTTACCAGCCCAGAGACTCGCTTACTGCGGGGCGGCGTCAAAGGAATGTTGGCTGCCAATGGAGTTACACTAGCGGTCTTCGGCATAATGACCGCATCATCGCGATCATTACCCTCCTGAGAACTTGTCCTGCAGTGTCCCTGGTAGCCGCTTGTAGCCATGACAGGATGGTGGGGCGAGAATAAGAATGAGAAGCGTGGTGTAACCACACAGTGTCATCCATAAGAAATAAATACCTGGAAGAATACCTTCGCGCGTCTAAATAGATATTGGGACTAGAAAGGCCATCAGATATCTTGACGATGATAACATCATGCTCGTCCAATCCCATGCCAACACCGCGTCTATAGAGCAGGGCGGACAGAAAATGGCAACACTGGGCTAACAAACAAAAGGCACCTTTCGGACTAATTTCTCATGCTATCCGGACTTCTGATAGATGGACAGCACTGCCCATATCCATGATCCTGTATTTCGGCTGATCTACTGATTTCATTTCCAGGAATGTGCAGGGGAGGGGAGTGAGCAATGTCGATGTTCTGACTCACAAGTCGTGTCACTGAGCGCAAGAACATAGTTGTAAAGTATGGGGCCAACTTGAACATGGGGCAGACACTTTCTAAACGTCCAAAATGGTAGGTCATCTAAAAGTTTAACAAATTGTCATGTAAACGAGACTCAGACCTAGAGCTATATCTGTACAATGCCGACACAAGGGGAATGCCGACCTCCGCTACAATCATCACGGAATAAGTCCTCCCCGCGGCTGCGCCAGATCAAGGTCCGACAGGAGTCAGGCTGACAGCTCTGGGTGCCTCCTGGTGCCTCCAGACAGTGCCCAAACTAGCGCATCAGCGCCGCGCAAAGAACGCGTTGTGAACTTTCATGAGAATGAAGAATATTCGTAGAGGTGAGCTCCAGGCTGACTCTGATGCGGCTCGGAAAAGCCCAGTAGCTACGATGAGTCACGACTTGATTATTGTTCTTCTAAATCCATCATCCAGGTCGTAAGTGAGGCCTCAAGGCCTCGAGGACGCCGGCATCACCTGCTGTAAGTGTAGCACATGTCAAATATATATCGGAACACCCGATACTGACCAATTCTGAACTGAATTGTCACTTTGATGAGTTGTTGTTCAAGTTGCCCATTTGAGCAATACAAGTAAACAGCCCGTGATGTGCAACCGCCGGTGCTTGAAACTATAACAAATGTACAAGGTAGAACGGTACCTGCTGGCGGGTACTCCGTAGGAATGCTGATTGAGAGGTTTTCCGACAATCGGGAGGCCATTTTTGTAAATTGAATGTCAGATATATATTTTTGCGCTAAAATGACCCTAAAAAGTTTTGACATAGCCAAGTAGGGAGTGAGTCAATCGAAGTTTGCAGACTACTCAAAGCGACGGAGCCAACGTTGCAATTTGCAAGAGAATTGTAACCAAGCTTGGGTGATGTGCCGCAGCATCGATGAGTTTGAAGGTGTTCAAGTTGATTAAGCACTGGGCAGACAACTGCGTTCGCTCTATCAGATCGTGCAAGCTCTGCACGAAGCACCCCCGCATAATTTATCCTCGTGACGCCTGCTATCAGTCCTCAGCATGACGAGATTTGCACTGAGCAACGACTAAGTAAGCATATAAGATATGCGTAGAGGGATTCAGAGCGGACCTTTACTGACCTCGAGTAAATAAGTAACGACTATCCTCATTCGTCTATAGTACTCAGTATGTCTAGAATAAGTCTGTTATGACAAGTATCTGTTGCGGCAGTGTTTCGAGTAAAATACAAAAAGATGAGATATGCACTGTCAGGATTACAAAAGTCCTTCAACAGTCAAGCAATTACCGGCACCAGTTCGGATGGAAAGCGTGTCATTCTGGGGCTTGTGCGGTGGATATCAATCAAGGGGGTATAAGGTTTCCCTCCGAAGGCTATGGTGTTGCATGTGATGGCTCAAGCATAGTATTCCGATACAAATTTACCCCATTTCTCGATGACGGGTTTCACGAGAAGTTCCCACTCTCGCCCCTTGTAACGTCCCTTCTCAGGACGTGGAAATGCGAATATTTCCCTGTGTATAGCACCACCTGGACCCAGTATCAAAGATCTTACATTGCTGGCATAATAAATACGACAGTTGCTCACAATCAAGACAGGGCTTCATCGTAGCCTTCTTCGGCGACCCCGAGGTAGATGGAGAGATATCTGAATTATCGACTTTCGGAAACTTGGGGTCCAGGTATGGTGTGTGAACCACCAAGTCCGCAAGCTCTATATGTACCAACCTCTCCACACGGTGGCACAATGGCCCCGCCTCTCCCGCCTTGATGTTTCCTGTAAGCAGGCTCCCATTAGTGCCGTCATCGTCACTATCGTCTTCCACTGTGCCTGGCCACCACCCCCGGACGATTGGTACCTTCGAACCGCATTGCTTTCCCCATTGATCCAGTCGTTTTGTGAGATTTACAGCGCGCCCGACTTTGAGCTGAATCACACCAGGATGTTTCGGGTCTAACATGAACGCCAAAAACAAGATGACGGTGTAAGTATCTAGAGAAGCTTGGAATTCAAATCGACGAACCTCGGATTTCGTACGTGTAGATATAGCCAGGGACGTCCGAAGTGGAAGCAGCTTTCTCCATTTCAACTCTAAGCGCCAACTGGGTATCGCGTTGGAGGTATTTTGGTATATAATCTACCCTGTGTTGACGAGCGTGTCAGACGAGATAGATATGGTACTTACCACTAAATTCTACATATGTATCTGGCATGCCTTTGCATCTGACATAAAATCCGGTTTGCGCATGAAACATTGCATCGCGATGCTGATGACAATACACGACAGGTGTTGGGTCGATATGAGAGAGTGTCGAGGGAAGCTTGACTTGGCGGGAGCATTGCTTCCCAAGCTTTGTCATACTGCTACATTGTGTGGTGTTCTTGATCGCCGAAGGTGATGATGGGGAAAGGGGTACAGAAGCAGCACGCGGTCGAGACTTAGGCGTGATATCGAGGGCTGGACGCGAGCGCATCCCCACGGAGATAGAGGGATGGACCATGTCAGGGGGAAATATGGAATCCGAGTGAGGACGCGATGGTGAAGCGATGACTGGCACTGCCATGGTATTGAGCGCGTGTTGCATCGTCAACGAATGTTTCCCCGTCTGAGGAGATGGAACGGCGACCACAAAGGTAGGCGGGTTGGGTAGTGGAGGTAACACGCCCTTACAGTTCGGAAAGGATCGTCCGCTGTGTATGGGTTGTCGCTTCGTCGCGTCAAGTAGCGCGTTCACAGCCAACTTTTCGGGACTGAAACCCCCTATAAAACTACTTGCCTGATTCCTGTTGGCAGGGGGAGGATCAGGAAGGCGCTTGCTCTCGTTTGACTTGCCAGCGAGTGCCATGGCATCGAATGTCTGGACGAGATCATAGCGTTTTGGTGGTACGGGTGGTGGATACGAATTCATAGTAGTACAGGAAGAAGAAAAAGGCGCCTGGCGCCTGCAGAAGCAAGGCCGTGCACGCGAGGAGATCAAAACAATAATGGAAGTCAGCTGCGGGTGACTCGAGGCAGGCTGTCACTAGTGAGATATGCATTACAAATATTCGGCCTTGTCCGTTTGTTGATTGCTTCCTCATATAAAAAGGTTTATCCAACCCAAAGTTCCTTTCATGAAACTCCCATCACCTCAGGTAAGTCCCAAAACCATTTGTACGGTCTTTGTTGTCTCCACAAAAGATGAAACGCACTGGGCTCTGAAAAAAATAGATGTCATGCACTACGCTCCAACTAGAGCGGCGGCCTAGAAAACCGTTAACTGAATAAATCAACTTTCATCATCGTCTCTTTGCCAATCGATCGATATTGACTTTTCCCCACAGTCATGTGACGCGTGGCGCGCCGCGGCACCAGTTTTTGTGTACCTATACTGTAGTTTACATGTTGTGTATGGTCTGTGCCAAACTGTATTGATTATGAGCCGCAATGTACGCTACTTTTTCTCGTGAAACCCGTTATCGAGAAATGGGCCAAATTTGTGTCACAACGGCGTAGTATTGACTATCCGGTATTTGTGGATCGAGAGCAATACGTGAAATACCCGCAGTGACGGTTCGTATGATATTTCCCGGCATTTTTAAAAGTCCGTTGTATGTGTTTGTATCAGAAGTTTTTTTAGGGTCATTTTGGTCGATTTTGAGATTTTGGACGCAACTTCGAGCTTTTTTTGTTGATTTTGTCCAGTGTGCCTCGTACGGCTCTTCAGACTTCAGCTGACTCCTAGTCTAACGACCGTGTTGTATGCAGCAATAGCAATCTCCGCCTTCCTGCTCGAAATGGCGGACTCGCAAATTGTTTGCGGCATACTCAATGAGATGACTAGTAGTATGGCATCAGTGCGAGAGTCGATGCAATCCCTCAAACAAAAGTAACTTTTTTCATTCGTAACAGTCTAGCTCTTATTAACATCACTCTAGATTAGATTCTGCAGACGAAATGGATATGAAAGACGGAATATCTTTACTTTCGCTCAAAAACCACCTGCTTCTGTCGTACTTGCAATCACTTGTCCTGCTCTCTGCACGCCGAGCAACTGGAGACTCGTTGACAGACAGAACGCCGGTCAAGTCCCCCTTCAGTACAGTCGATCGAGAGGTGCGGGGCTCTGGCGCTGGCGATCTAGTCGACTCTATGATAGAGAGTCGCGTGGTGCTCGAAAAAACAAAAGTCCTGGAAAGCAGGATGCGATACCAGATTGAGAAGCTGGTCAGAGTTGCTGAAGAAATCCCTTCTGGAAAAGATGTGGCTGAAGGTATGTTTTTTTACGCTGTAATAACAACTCCTTGCTGATATGCCTTCTCAGATCCCCTCGCCTTTCGTCCAAATCCCAAAAATCTCGTCGACAACGAGCAGCACTCCGACGAGGAGCAAGATGACCGTTCAGATCTCGAAGACCCCGATGGAATATACCGCCCTCCCAAACTCGCACCCATGCCTTACACGGAAGCCGCAGCCGACAAGCGTTCTAAACGACAGCCCGTTCCCAAGACACTTTCTACCCTTCTTCATCAAGACCCCTCGCGTCCGCACATCGAGGGTACATCTGGCCTTGGCTCAATGCCCTCCCTCGCGTCCGACCGCGCCCGCGAAATTCAACGTATAAAAGACTTCGAGGAGGAAAACTTCACTCGATTAGTTATGAAGAAGAAAGACGCGCGCAGGCGACGGAAAGATGAAGAGGATTTGGCACTCGGTGGTACGGGTGCTGGAAAGGGCAGGAAGAGAGGCCGGGGTCTTGAGGATGAGTTCGCGGACGTGCTGCACTCAGTCGGGCGCACGAAGACGGGCGTGCTTGGCGATGGATATGAAGAGCTGAGAAAAAGGGGTAAGAAAGCTGATGCACTATCGAGATCGCGAACGACATGGAAGGGAGATCTTGAGGACGCAGACGCAGACGGGCCGCGACTGAAGAAAAAGTCACGGTTTGAAAAGGCAAAGACGACTTTACACAAGAAAATGAAGGCAAAAAGGAAATAGGTTTGTCCTTTCGAAGTTCGCTATCGTGTCATATTAATGCAATAAAATAGGATACAACGGCCTGCTGGGCATCCCAGGACCCATTTTTCCATTTCTCATGCAACTAGTCATCGAATGTCTGATATTGGTGAACGATGCAGCGGTCGCATTCTTCGTAGTGTCGTTTACATTTTCCGCTTTGTCTACACTGATAATATAATGTAGGAAATTGTCTCATTCTTGTTACCCTCTGCGCACTCGTGTCCTCCGAGGCACCATATCATGATTGGCATGTCTCGGCAATTTATTGTACTCTCTCCTAGCGCGTGATTTAGTCCACATTGGTACGCGAGAGCCTCGTCGTCGACAGTGCTGCGCATCGTGTGGGGGGAATAACCGGGCAAGGTCTGTTCTGGCAAGCAATCATTGCGCAATAAATGCAACGGCACATTGTACAAACTGACACTTTGAAGCTCCCTTGCGCATACATTATGAGCACAAACAGCACACGCAGAACGCTGTTGAGCTTCTTCACTCATTTCTCGTTGCCATTCTTCAAGGATAGACAATTTAACATGAGACCCCTTTTGCTGGTGACGCGCTGCACGTTGCGTTGCAGCGCGACGTGCGAAATGATCATGTTCAAAAGGACCAGGCAAAACCAGATGCATATGGCGCTGGATCGGTTCAAAAATTATACACACACGAAACTTACTCACACACAGACTCCGAACACTCACACACAGATGGCCTGAACACACACGTGTCTCGTATTGTTGAACATCCAGTAAAACACACGCATTTTCAAGTTAACCGTGTTGTTCTAACCAAGGCGTCTTGAATCATTGGGCCGCTGCAGCCCTGGCAAATATCTCACTTGTATTGCAGAAAATTGAGCACTATCGATGATCGAAAGCAAACGGTGTGCATACCCTCATTGCGAATGACGAGTTCGTTGAAGAACGCAAGACTCGGACCAGGCATGAGACTGAGCCAGGAGATGAACTTCCACTAATTAGTCCATGGTCACGTGCTATGTATGGACCAAGCACGTCTCGTCAAGTTGATGGATGCTTTCAATTTGTCTAACTCTTATGGCTTCATTGTCGCGAAAGCGCGTTGCAGCTAGCTCTGTGAACTCGAGCTTTACAAAAAGACGGAAGGTACAGGCTGTAAAGTACACCATTTTGCAAGTACTTTTGAACAAAGTTTAGTTAACTTCAGTTCTTGTAGTTCGATGGTCACTGTCGCAACAGTCGTAGAAGAATCATGTCAGAGCAGTATACCTGAAATACAGGCTGTCATAGAGAACTTAGAACACGAAACTATGGAAAGTTCCTGGAGGAACGCGTTAAGCGAGGAATTCATGAAGCCGTATTTCCAAAAGGTGTGTCCTCACTCTCTCTCTTGGGTTTGCTCTCCTCTGAGCACTCCATTTGATTCAGCTCAAAGAATTCCTAATCGAGGAGCATCGTGCGCATACCGTATACCCAAAGCGTAAGATAATTCTGTCATTTTTCGATGCGACGTAACAAAACCCTCTAGTGAATGATATTTACTCTTGGTCGCGATTGACGCCACTTGACTCTGTGAAAGCTGTCATACTAGGTCAGGTGCGTGTTGCATAATTATGTACGCGTTCCATCACTTACCGTAGCACTCGACAAGGATCCGTATCATAATGTAGGACAAGCACACGGTACGCATGTCTAGTTCACTCAGAATATATCTAATACAATGATTTAGGGCTCTCTTTCTCCGTCCTCCCTCCAACTAAGCTCCCTGGCTCCCTGAGGAATATCTATAAACAACTCTCGAGTGACATCCCCGGTTTCAAAGTCCCTACGTCTGGGTTTGTCGCGTCTCTAGCTCCTCCAAGCTTACAATTCGCTGACTCTTTACACAGGGATCTGACGCCTACGGCAAGGGCTGGAGTTCTCTGGTTGAACACCTGTCTGACTGTACGGGCGCATAATGCCAACTCGCATTCAAAAAAGGGCTGGGAGACCTTCACCGACGCTGTTATCCGAGCAGTGCTCGACCGTCCGGACGGAAGAGGGGTTGTCTTCTTTGCCTGGGGTTTGCCTGCTCAAAAACTATACGACAGACTTGGGATTGACGAGGTTTGTGCCAGCCACCTACTATTTTGTTATGGGAAAACTGACCAAAGGCCGAGAAGGAAAAACATCTGGTGTTAAAGTACGCTCTGACTCATCTTATCAAATTGACATGCTGATAATTATGTGTCAGATCTCCACATCCTTCTCCCCTTTCAGCTCATCGGGGCTTCCTTGGAAATGCCCACTTCAAGAAAGCCAACGAATGGCTGCGAAAGACACATGGGGAAGAGATTGATTGGGTGGCTCTCAATTCTATTCCACCTTCAGATGCAGGTATCTCAACGGCATAAATGGTAGGGAAAGCGAATGCAATTGCTACATAACACAGAATTATTGCTTAAATTACATGCGTGTAACAGATCCTCTTCATCGATGCCTCTGATTGTTCCAAATCTGGCTTTGCCCGCCGATTCCGAACTGTCCCATATCAGGAGAGGCAAAGAATGCTGGATTAGATATAGGAAAGTTCACAGCATTGAATGGCGATTGCGCGAAACTCTGATTTATTATCGGGAACTGTGCCATAGACGATGCCTGCGCAGAAGGAACGGGCGAGCGGGTTGTGTTTGGTCGTGCGCCAGGCTGGGGTGGCGGTTTCCAGTTCTGATATAGGTAATTAGCATTGTGTGGAAAAGAAAAGAAAAGCAACAAGCAATTACATATTGCTTCCCTTCACGATACAACTCTTCCAGCTTTTCGTCAAAGACACCACGCTCTTCGAAATCATGGTAAGCTTTATACAACCTCAGCGCGCTTCGAGCGTCCTCGATCGAATCGTGTGTGTCAGTTTGAATATGCTCGTGGAGGACGAACCAGGACAGAAAACGGAGTGATAGTCGTCGCTGGCGAGTATGCAGAAAGTACAAGTCAACCGTGTCTATGACTTGCTCTGGTGGTACGAATATATCTGATCATGACGACAATTAGTGTGTGGCCTCCGTTTAATGCTTAAACATACTGATTATGCGGAAGTCTTTGGAGAGTCCATGCCCAATGAATATACATCCCCGGTCGACGAGCACCCTGAGCTTTTTGTACACAAGTTTCAAGGGTGTCAATGTGTACCGCGACAAATGCGGATCAAGGTCACCGACTATCACGATGTCAGCCAGGGAAAAGAATGCTGGACCGCACTTACATTTGATACCAGAAAACTCAGTCAGATAATCGACGATGACCTCACTCGTATGGATATGATCATCAATGAACGGGACACCTTCTTTTGGACCATTGCCCCTAAGGACAGACACACGAGCAAGACTGAGCCGTGCAGGGCGGATGACACGGTTCGTACCATCCGAACGATATTCTGTTTCTTCCTGACAAGTGAGAATACATGAAGACAGTCCAATGGAGGTTGTAAACAAAGTATACCTGCTGCATGGAGACAAATTCAGCATCAATTGCAACGAGTGTTCCAGGTTTAGGGAGTTCTTCAAAGCGAAGGCACTCGTGCTGGATGATACTCTCGTCGCGGTTCCTGTGTGCAAAAGATGAAAAGAGTAAAGCTGCCATGAGATGGATGTAACTAACACAGAGATAGAGGTATCTAGGCTCAATATTGATGGGTCCAATTGATCTGGAAGGCCGCTATAGTCGAGCCGTCCTCGAACATCGACACGCTCAAAATATAAGATAGCTGGGACCTACTTCATCTTCAATTTCTTGGTACACGAAAGAGACATTCTAACTGACCTTCCACGTGCTTGGAAAACTCAACGCCTCTTCTTCTGATATATTACGCACAACGAAATCGTTGAAAAGAAACCAGGGGCTCTTGAGATTTGGGCGGCCCTCCGCTTCAGGAACTGTGTCGTTGTCAGTGGATAATGAGTTCGTAACAGCTAGAATAAAAGAATTCACCCTTGACAATCGCAACGAGATGTGAGTGCCTTTCTTTCGTCATAATTTGCACTACCATAGCCTATACAAACCAAAAATGAGCGTGACGGCAGCAAGTAAGAAAATAAACTCACTCTCAGTTCATACACAACTCCCATTGCCTCATCCACGCCATCAACTTCGCCTTTTACCTCCACTGATGGATTCAAAAATCTCGACTGTCGGTTGTCTAACCATAGCTTCAGATTATCTTCGTTGTAGACACTTGCATTAACTGCAAGCACAGGTGGAAGCTCCGATGAAGGTATTGAGCGACGGGAACTGAAGGCGCCAAATTGCTTGCACGTCTGACATGTTGCCTTGTATGTCATCTGGCGAATCAGGGAAGCACGGAGAATACTGGCAAAATCTGTTGCAGGAGGGGGATCTGAAGGTGTAAGCTGATTATCTCCATCAGTATTACAAACTAGTATGCGTATTGATTGTCCTCACTTTGCGCGGGTAAACCATATCGACAACATGTGTCATATTCTCCTTCTCCCTTACAGCCTTGCAGCTCATACATGTGATGACGTTCTTCGCGTCTATACCGAGGAGCTGTGTGATAGCCGCAGCCGCAGGCGAATGCGTGTCCTCCTGGAATGCTTGGCGTAAGAGGCACGGATTATGTGGGAAGGAGTTCCCTTCAAGCGAAAGATGGTCAACGAGAAAACGGTGGAAAGACTGAATCATATGGGCATAGTCAACTTCAGTGGGCTCTCGCCCGTAATCAATCAACTCAATCTGATTTTGACTTTGAGCTAGCACACCGACGGTCTTGCAGAAATTCCCTCCTTGGCAGTTTGTGCCACCCGCATCTTCGAGCATCCGTGCTACAAAGCCAAGCTCGCACAGTAAGCAGTGTTCTCTTGGACAATTGGTTGTGATATGCGACTTGGCGAGGCGCCGTACAGGAAGCGTGTAGTGCATGACCTGGAGCATTGAATTCGTGTAGGAGTTGAGGATATGTGTCTCAAGACCGCTGTACGGTGTTTTATTGTAAAAGCTGCAGAAACATCAGTGAAACTCATCAGGAGTGAGAACATAGAGCACGCACCCAAAATCGAAATCTTCCACGCCGAATTTCGAGTACTCAATTTCTACCTTTCGATAGATTCGGGGTACCTCCTCGACGCTATCGTCAATGCTTAGTGCTTCGAGCTCGAGCTATATCCTGTCAATTAGGCATAATCAAACAACGATTACACTCACATCATCTTTTCTGCCCTTTCCACTTCTGAACCGCCCTTGATCTTTGGCAGCAGTCACAGGCACACGATTCCTCCGCCCACGCAACTCCTTCGGGAGGGCTGCATATGCAATATTGTCGTTCATCTTCATAGTACTTAAGACTTGCGGCGGAATTTTGGGCGGAGGTGGACTCAATATCCCAGAGCGCGGAAGAAATTGTGGTGTCCAAGAGGAAAGCAGCAGAGTGTTGTAGTGTGGCATGCCAATAGAGTTGAGGGGTCTTTGGTATGCTGAAGTCGGCAAGGGGTATGAATGGTGGAAGATAACTCACGTTGAATCTGTCCAGTGAATATCAGGTGGTGCTTCGGGAGCATCAGCCCATTCGATGGGTTGGCCTTCAAAACCATTGAAAAGCGGCTCTGCGTCCTCTGCGATGGCTGTCATGAGGTGAATGGCACCGAGCGCATCGCCAAAAGCGAGGAACGAGCCGTTGGACGACACAGCTGTTGAGCTGATATAGGATGTGGTTTCAAGCTGCAATACATGAGCAATAAAGTTCTGGGAGTGTTACTGACATACTTGGTAAAACCCAGAGACGTTACTGTAATCAGATACATCGACAACGTTCACCAGACCCTGTGCAGAGGTGACTACGAGGCTAGAAGAATGCTTAGGTAGGATATCAATAAAGGCAGGACCATCCTGGAAGGGGATGGGAGGGAGAGGACGCATCGTACGCAGGTCATATACTTTTACTAGAGGATCAGGAAAATCGTGACCGCGTCTACGATGCATCAGTGGTATTTAGATATGCAAATCACGCGTTGCTAACCTGACACTCCATCCAATTGTGTAGAAATAGTTTCCACTCGTCTGTAGATCTTGCACACCACTACTATGTGCTAGTACCGAGTTCTCCCCGTTCTCGCGCAGAAGCGCAGTGCGAGGATCATATGCACGCACGCACCCATCCGCTAGCGCTGCAAGGAGCGTTGAATGTGAAAACTGGAGGTGTGTCGCGACAGATGAGGAGGCAGCAACACGGATAGGGTTGCCTGTCATCGAATTTAAGAGAACAAGCTCAGGTGCAGTTGTTGAAAGTGCAAGGACATTGGAGGTATATGTGGTGTTCGAGAACGCTGCCAAAGTAGAGGACGATCTGCACCTTTCATGAAATAATATACAAGCGTAGCACTGCGAAATCACACACCGAAAGAACCACTTGTTCATCCCACCTTTGGACCACGAGCCAACGCCTTCACCTGCAGCACCAAGTGCCCTAACATAGTTGTCTCCTGCCACAATTTGCTTGACCGGAAGACCACCGCCAACGGGGAAAGACACGGCACGGAGGCCATGTATTGTGTGCAGTGCAATGACCGTGCCTACACTAGTCCCGGACCAGAGCGTGTCAGAGACGGGGTCAAAGCTAAGGGCAGTGACTGGCTGAGCATAATCATGTAGCGTCGCAATTGGGTCTATCATGTGGTATGATGTCGACATCGTGCTGCAGTCATGGAAAAGATTGATGTCTGTCTAGATCAACGAGCTCGCGCCGGTAACGGAAGCAATTAACCAACTTAGTTCCCTCACAGTCTGCTCACAGTACTATCTTGACCAGTGATCCCTATTACAATAACTTTCGCAACTTCAAACACTTCTTACAGTAATACTTTCCATGGAGAACCTACAGGGCTTGTCACCACAAAACCAAAATGTATCAGCAGAAGAGGAGTCAAAGCGGAAGGCAGCTGAAGATGAAATGCGCAGGGATATGATGGCGACTATCCTCGATGGTGCTGCCCGAGAGCGATGTGCGTACTCGTTCTTGTTTCTGGCTTATTTCCGCCACTCATTATCGTCGTTTTGTATTTACCACTCAGTGTCCCGCATCGCCCTTGTGAGCCCGGATAGATCACGTCAGATCGAGACTATCATTATGCGGATGGCTCAGACAGGACAGCTGCGAGGACGTGTGAGCGAGCAGCAGTTAATCGACCTTCTTGATCAGGTGTGTGATCTTTGTCGTGAAAGTGCGTACAGTGTGCTGGATCTGATGTATTCAGATGGAGGACGCACGGTCCAAGACAACTACGAAGACAACGATAGTGGTGAGTATTCGACTACATCAGTGGCATGACCTTTAAGACGGAAGATTGCTGATCATGATTGCCAACTAGTACCAGCGCAGGCGAGACTTTGATGATGATGATTTTTAGATGCTTTATTGATGTACTCTCTCTCGTTGCTTTGATATCGCGATATCATATCATTCATTATCACCTCAGTAATCCTACCCCCGTTAGTGCCCTGTCCTCGCCACTTCCAATACTGCAATACCTGTCGCCGGTCTCTCCTGTCAAGAATTTGTCTCTACTGTCCGTAGTGCCAACAGGAGTACAAGCTGGACCTTTCTGTTGCCACTGATCACCATGTATACTGATTCGTGCCGAAACATCGTGACATGGTTGCCTAAGAAGCCTGAGGCCGATATTTTGAGTCCTTCAGTGCCACAGTTTGAATTAAGACAATCTATAAGCGAATGCATCGAGGTATAGGCACGATATCGAAATCTAACAACTCTAACTACCAACTTTTCCCCAGGAAATATAACCACTTCAGAAGCTTATTGTCTTGCCTCCGCCTTGCCCTTTCTGATCCCTTGTGTACGCGCAGTCCTATTATCGCTCCCTCCTTCTGTGTGCGGTTTGGCTGCTTTTGGCAGGAACTTCCCGCCTCCGCCCCCCCTTCCACGTCCGCCTCCTCCTGCATTCCGAGCTGGACCATTGTCCACATCGTCCAGGCGGTCCACCACATTCAACCCCGGCGTTCCACGTAGACCCATCAATCCCACCGTGCGTTTCGCGATAGGTGGCGGGATCCATGTTGCCACTGCATGTCCACCCCTTGCGCCAATTCGCGCTGGAGCACCACCAGAAGTACTAGGTCCACCACCAACTTCCGTCACGCTCGGCCACCCCAAGCACTGCGCCCATACTGCGCCCTGTTTCACCAACTCCGTAGGCGACCACCGCAGTTGCTTTAGCCAGGACTTGTAAAACCCAAGCCAAGCGGAGTATGCTTGCCCAATGGAGCGGTCATCCAACTTAAACTTCAAGTTACCGGTATGTTCAATTTGTGTATGGGGCGTTAACGGAAGCGAGGCGATCTCCGGCAGCCGCAAAAAGAACTGCTCGTCGGGCATGAGCATCAATATGCCTTCGCCTGCAGCACCTGCACGCGCGGTTCGGCCAAGGCGGTGGATGTATTGGGCGGGCGAGCTGGGAAGGGAAAGCTGGATGATATGTGTTACGCTGTAGGATAATGTGAGTACAGCTTGCGATGAAGAGAAAGTAGGCTGCACAGTGCAGACCCACCTTGGAAAATCCATCCCTCTCGCAGTCACATCGCTAGTAACCAAAATTGCACCCTCTGGGGCGTCGCGGAACTCCTGTGCGGCGCGCGTGCGCGCAGCCTGTGACATACGGCTTTGGATCTGGTAGATTGGGGGAAGCATAGATTGTGGTGCAGCAGACACTTGTTGCAACACACTCGCGACAACGGCTGTTCCACGTGCCGTTGTACAAAATAACATCGTCTTTGCTTGCGGACCCGCTTGCTTGAGGAGGGAAACAAGTGTCGGAAGGGTATCTTCAAGGGGCGTGATAAGGTAACTCTGGGGAACTATGATACGTACGTGGTACTTCATTATTTTATTGACAGGTTATGGAAAAGATGTACGCACCATGTTCATGCGTGTTGATCTCGTCCGCATGGAGCGTAGATATGAATTTATAATTTGGATCTAGGTAAATCTTGGCGATCTACTCCCAAAATGATCAGCGACTGTTATTCTTACCCTAAAACCTACCCACCTTCCGGATCGCCTCGTCAAAAGTCGCAGAAAACAGCATACATTGACGTTTTGTTCCCCGTCTATCAGGCAGGAATCCCACGATGCGCTCCAAATCCTTGCGAAATCCTTGATCGAGTAGCCTATCTGCCTCATCTAGAATGAGCACACTCGGGCGGAGGATAAGCCCCGAAGTCAGATGGTCGAGGAGCCGACCGGGGGTGGCAATTAGGATGTCGGTCCGAGCGGTGGGAGAGTTCAGACGGTTTTTTTCTGTATTTATGCTGCAAGCATTGATATGTATCAGGATAAGCGTCAAAGTGTGGGAAAGAATGCGCACTTTGTACCGCCGATAACAGACTGCACGCCGTATGGATGGTGCGCAAGAAGGGATATTGCCTCTTCCTCGATTTGAAGCACCAGCTCCCGCGTAGGCGCTATAACAAGAATTTGGCCCATATCAGAGGAAGTAGATCTGGATGAGGCGAGCCGCTCGATGGCAGGGAGGAGAAACGCTGTGGTTTTGCCTATGCGTAGGGTTAATTTGTGACAGAACGATTTAATCATACTGCACACCAGTTCCAGTTTTGGCCTGCACGAGGAGATCGATGCCCGATAAAGCATGCTACAGAGTGTATGATCATTAGCTTGGTAGACTGATTATGGATGACACTCACTTCGAGTGTGGCGTCTATGGCATATGATACAGCATCAGCTCAGCCGTATTATATAGTGGGTACGAGACTGACCTTGTACATCTGTAAGAAACCTACGCGACAGCCCGTCAACATGAGGAGAATTTCAAACTATGGAACGTACTCGTGTCTGATCCCAGCCTTGGAGAGCTGTGAGATGGGCGCATCTACAAATCGTTTCGACGTGAAGTGCTTTTTGTCTGTATTCATGACTGTGGATTGTTGGCTTGGGAGAGGAACGTTATCAAGAACAGGTATTGGTAAAGGTTGAATGTGAGCTTGAGTGGCGATTGACGCGTGCCGGGAAAATCGTGGCGTCCTTTCAAGTTGGGCTTTCAAGTTGTTCATCGGTCGAATAAAACCATGAACTTGAAGTCTAGCAAACATATAACAAGATTTTCTTGTTCTTAGTTTCTATAGATCTCCGTACAGTAAAAGCCCTTGAAGCGAACGTCTCAGTTGCTTCTGACCTCGCAAAGTTGCTTCCGGAATCTGCGTCGAAAATAACGCGTGTCCAAAACGCGTGTCTAATAAGGACGCGTTTCTGCTGACTAAGCCACTCGGGTGCTATATCCAGGTAGAACCGGTGATTGAAGAACAACATGACCCATCATATTCGCAACCCGTCTGATGTTCCAAGCATCTATTTCATCACTTCTTCCATGCATATCGTTACCTCCAGCAAATTCGTTGGAATTGGATGTCACATGTGTGCAGCAGATACATTAACATCGATTATACAAGCCTAGACGTGAGTTTCAATATACAACCACAGAGAATCGCAGACGACCAGAGGCATAGATGCTCATGAAAATGTTTGACTGAAGACTCCTGAATGCCGAAATAATTGATGTAGATATCAAGTTTGAAACTATTGACGGCACCCATGGTATCTTAGCGTACTAGATCCACCATAATCCAGAAAATCCAGCAGAAGCAAAAGGGGCCGACTTGCTCAAGAGCTAGTGATGCAGAGGTTCGGTTCTGGACCGCGGTTCAAACCAGACCTTTCATGGACTGGACCACAGTCCAGTTCAACGTTCAGAGTATAGGCTGAACTGGACCAATGGTCCAGTCCAGCGTTCAGCATTCCTTGAACACGTTGAATGTGTCCGAACCTTTTTGAACTGCTTCCATTTTAGGCTACTCACACATACGAGATGACATCACCCACACATGCAATACACTGAACATGACATGATTACTCGCGACTTTTTCGCTTGGAATCCGATTCACAAGGACCATGCCACACTGGCAAGGTCCGTGAAGGTTTGTTTGCCTACCACTAACCCAAACATCACAAAGGAAGAACCTGATAAGGTATGGAGACTTTGGTTAATTTGGTTTAGTGCTAATGTATTTGTTAACGGGTCGTTTTTTTTCTAGGGTAGCTACATGAATTGTTCGGCACTCATGAACTTGATGGAAGTTAAAATGGATCAAATTCAAGGTAAGCTCAACTCTCTTCAAGCTTTCCCCCTCACAACATGGCTGACCAGTGTGGTCTGGGTGCAGATGGAACTCTCCTCGATGCCAGTCAAATCCGATGGTACAACGATCCCGACGACGATACTCCACTGCCTGTGCTTCCCGCTCAGGCACATCACCCAACTTGTATCCCACGCCCTGCACCCAAGCTTGTTGACCCCAACAACGCTGTCTTGCGCAAACGCAAGGCTAGCAGGTCAGTGGTCACGAGTGAGGGCTCTGAGGAGGAAAGTGACTGTGAAGGAGACCAGGATAACGGGGTAACTATGGATGCAGCTACTGACATGGATCATGAGACAGATATCGATGGCATCACCCCCTCCGAGTCTGCTTCACAGTAGTGTACCAGTACTCCTTACTACTAGCTATAGTACAATCGAGTATATTTACAATGCGTGTGTTCGCAAAATTTGTTGCTGAACCGGACCAAACCGGACTTCCGCAACACTATCAAGAGCGGCTTTGCCCAATTTAGACAGTGTTTGAAGCACGGGCCTGGCAGTTTGGACCAAATCAAGTTCCTAGAGCTTCTCAGTAGTATGGGAGGCAATGTGTAGGTTGGATCCTGTTAGATTGTATTAGCTATGAGTAGTGAAAACAACTTGATTCCAAACCAGGTATTCCTTGCATGGATATTATAAATGTGCAAGCTTGATATAACCTTCTCTTCTTGAGACAGTTGCAGTCTGCTTGTATGGTGTTATGATGCGAGTGAGAATGGTGGATCAGCAGGTTCCAGCATCGGTTGCATCGCAGAATCACACCAAATCGCTCCGTCCAACACCAAATATTTGCGGTACCAAGCGCTGTTTCAAGCTGGGTAACTTGATGTTGTCTTTGTGTCCAGGAAAGAAGGGTACATTCTTACTCATGGCGCGAGTATATTCACTGACTAGCCTCAAAACGGCCACTAGTGCGCCTCACAGGTCCAGTCAGGGGACGTAGCACCGTTTGTCGAGATCTCAACACTGATATACGGTGTATAAGTCAAGCTGGAGCATGCTGTATTGTCTGGTTAGTTGATGTATTGACATGTCCTGTGCATAGTAGTTTGACTGTTTGCAGTTGTCTCAATGACAAAGAGCTTGAGTTTCTTGGGATGTGAGCTCTGTGCACCAGGCGGGAATGGACATCCTTTGGTAAGTACTCCATCTGTTCAGTCATTCAGTTGCTCACTTTCATTATGCTGCAGGATACCACTAAATGAAGGCATTGCTCCACTATCACCCGTCATTAGACGAGTCCCTGACAAAACTCATTGACCATCACACTATGTGCGGTGCAAGTATTCTTGTGCAATGTCATGGGGGTTTGGGTAGGGCAGGCCTTGTAGCGTGCTGTTGGGTGCTAAAAATCGGCTTGTGTGGATGAACCAATGTGGACCTATCACCAAACCCAGCGGAAGGCGCTGATGGCCTGGAAAATTATGTGAGGAGGGACACTTTACAAGTTGTCAAGTGCGCGATTGCTGTTGTGCGGAGACGGCGAAGCGTCAAGGCCATTGAGATGCTGGATCAAGTGCAGTTCTTGACCGAGTATATGGACTTTTTGCAGGATGGACAGACCATACATACGCGAGTCACAACGTCAGGCTGGAGAGATATGCTCAAAGAAGCGGCACGTTCATATACCACTTGAGGGATAAACCGGAGGGCAATGTATTCATGCTTGAGGATAGACGGTAGCCAGTAGCGGCTGCCATGACAGTTTTAGTGATGTGTTTATGACTTGACAGTCCCAAAACCTTGAGCGATTTATCGAGGTAAACAGTAACTTTATGCACTGGAATAACGATTAAATCCATATCATCGAGACTGCTGTGTATTAGATTGAACATATCCGCTGGTTGTGGCTTGGATGATGGTGAACAGGGAAATGCTTGTAAATTTGTTCTGTGAAGCACAATACTCATCAGTGTAGGTGTCTGTGCAAAATATTAATGTAGGTGTTCATGTCGGTGCGAGCATCTATTTGCATTCAGGAAAGTGCGGAAATCCACATGCCACATGCACACAGCAGGATCCAGGTGTTGGCAAGAACATTACTCATGCTCACTACTGGCATAGTGACTGGAATGCAATGAAGTTGAATGGATGTTCATGTCCTCTGGTGAGGAACCTAACGAGAGTTCACAACAGTGAACTTTTTACACAAGTAAGCTTGAGAGACTTTTGCTGGGTGCTCTCTACTCACACTGGTATTGCACTTGGTCGCTGATGTAAGTCAAATCAACATCATGGTCACTCTATTTGTTTATGTCCACTCTTGTGTAGTTTTACCTTATAATCTTCTCATTGCTGTTTTGTTCATACTTCAGCAGTTCTCTCAGGCCTGAACTTTGAGGTACATTATACATTTATCTTGTATGCTGGTTCTGTCTCACTTGTTTCTGTCTTTAGTTTTTTCTTCTAGGTATTGTCAATGTCACAGCAGTTCTCTCCTTGACTCTGAGCTTCTTCTTCTAGTATATATTCCACAGATTGCACACCAGTAGCATCTTGTGTGATGCATTGATGGTCCAACGATGCTGAAGTCAGGTCTGTGGGAAATTTCTGGTTTACTGATGAGTCAGTGCACCGATGCTGATTGAAGTAGAAACATGACCAGGGGACTCACCGTAGTTCACTGTCGCGACATGGCACTCAGGGTTCATTCGTCCACACACATGAATTCAGGCTATCACACTGGTGAGTTGTGTGGTTTAATCCAAGACACAAAATAGTTATACACTCACAGCAAAGCCATCCCACAATTCACACCTTTGCCCAGCGCAGCAATCCTTCCATTCACACAACACAGGATAATCTTCGGTGCCATCAGCGATGGGACTGGCAGATACTAGTACTATCAAAGCAGAAGTGACAGCAAGGATAGAGCAGAGATGCATTGTTTGTGAGAATGCGATATGGGTTCAAATTGATCTGAATGAAGCAGTAGGAAGACAGGTTTTTATACCACAGTGCTGAATATCATTCTTCAGGCTCTGGGTTATGTGAAGACAAACTTATCTGTCATGATATGAAGTTGCTTTTTGAATATGCAACTACTGACACATTCCACATCCCTTTCATTCTGCAGTGGCCCAGTGTTTCGCAATGCATTTCATGCAGTCCTTCTTACATTCCATATCTTGCATGGTACACGTGAGGTCCACATCCCCATATACCCCAAATTAATGAGCCGCCAGTTCTTGATACATCCGATGATTTCTGCAATAAACCGATGCCAGCTGGTATTCAGAGTGGCGATGGATTTCTCAATAACAAGGAGCCGATGTTGGCATGGCCCCTAGACTGTTGTGATGCTGTATTATATATTGCTCTAAATAACCTTCTCATTTGTTCATAGGTTCTCTGATGATATGCATTTGCAGCATTGTTAGACTACTATACAAGATGCTATCGGTGCTTAGAATGTCCAATTGAGAATTACATGCTTGATTGATGATAGAGGATCTACACCAGTGCCGGTTACAGAAACTGATGGCCTAGCTGATATAAAGTGAGGTGTCAGGGATGGTTCAACTTCAGGCTACAAGTACTTGAAAAAACCAAGACCTGAGTCAAACTTGACGGAGACATTTTTTTCCATAATATTCAGATGCAACTGAAATGTTGAATTCTTGTGTTACGTGTCATGTCGGGCTTCTGACACCTCAGTCTATTGTGCAGTCAAGATGCAAAGAATTAGTGCAATATGACATGTTGTTCGATCAGGGATTCCTCATCTCCAGAAGGCCTCTGGTATAGCCACAGAGGTGCATAATTTGTTCCCATCATTCAAACCATTTTCCTAACATCCGCTGCAGGCTGTTGCATTCCATATGCACCACTATTACTGCATGCCCCGGACACCTTTCATGACATGCACATACAGCAGGTAGTAAATACGAGTGGTGTACTGTGGTGGCCATGTCCAGAGGTGTCCTGCCCCACGGTGCAAGTCGTACCCTGCTTCTGAACAGTGCGATGCACTCATTACCAGAAGTCCTTGTCCTTGCCTCTACCCGCCTCTCCAGAAAGAGTTCAACACAGCGCTCCAGGAAACTCTTTCCTCACAAATCCCACCCCCAGCTATTCCCGAAGACTTCTCACATCACAGTGTGCCCGTCAAGATGTCTACAACCCATCCATTAAAGTTTGTCTTAATTCACTTGTGAAGAACTCTAACTCTGAGTCATACTTTTCTTTTAAATGTAGCATATCCACTATCTTGCCTCCAGAACTATTACCTGCAATGTCATCACATCTTATAATCAATCCCGAGCCCTCACCTGTCATATTTCACATACCTGACTTCTATACCCTGCATCGCATCACAGACTATGCCCAGCCCCATCCCATCAACAATGAGCCCTACCTCTCTAACACTCATGTAACATTTATGAACCAGCCACCACAGTCCAAAATTGAGGCTCTTCAGGCTGCCATTGACACACACTTAACGACACTCTTGCTATCAAGACTCGTCCTTTGCTTCCATCATTGGCAAAACTTCCTTCTCCTACTCTTCAACACAGTACCAAAGTTCGTGTGGTATCCGATGATTTCACGAGCAACTGGTCTTCTTACACACAAAGAGGGACCTCGGCTCTTCCGAAAGTTGGCTTTCCTTCTATGCTCGATTTCCTTGATTCAGCAAATGTGAACAGTGAGTCCATGCTGTCACTGTTCTTTGTGCATAAGCCTGATGATGTATATTAGCATTTTCAGTTGCATCACAGAATCACACCAAATTGCTCCATCCAACACCAAATATTCACTGATACCAAGCACTGTTTCAAGCTGGGTAACTTGATGTTGTCTTTGTGTCCAGGAAAGAAGGGTACGTCTTACTCACGGCACGAGTATATTCACTGACTAGCCTCAAAACAGCCGCTAGTGCGCCTCGCAGGTCCAGTCAGGGGACGTAGCGCCGTTTGTTGAGATCTCAACACTGATATACGGTGTATAAGTCAAGCTGGAGCATGCTGTATTGTCTGGTTAGTTGATGTATTGACACATCCTGTGCATAGTTTGACTGTCTGTAGTTGTCTCAATGACGAAGAACTTGAGTTTCTTGGGATATGTGCACCAGGTGGGAATGGACATCCTTTGGTAAGTACTCCATCTGTTCAGTCATTCAGTTGCTCACTTTCATTATGGTTGCAGCTGTGCAACAGGTCCTGTACTCCCACTAGGTATATAGGCGTCGTCACGGTAGTATTATCATCCTAAGCAGAACAAAGAGGTCGGCATGGTTGGGGTAGCAGTAGCCCCCTGATGAGGTTCAAAACTGCTGCTACCCCCGCCATTGTAGTGTTCCTCCAGCCCCACCTAACAGACCCTTATCCCAAGAGATGGGTGAAAGCAGCGGACACTAAGAACATAGTCTACCTCATGACGCTCTGCTAGAGGCTTTGACTTCACTTATCCAAGCCAGTCACTGATCAGCTCTGGTAGGCTGCAGTAATTTTCCACATTTGACTGGATGTGTTGAAGGACATGAGAAACCTGGGCAAGGCTTTATGAGTACACATAAATCGATGTATTCGCCCTCCACGACGAGAGCCTCAGGCTGGATATGACGAAATGAGCTCTTGTTAGATCTCAGAGCCATAGCAACCTAATCAGATCATATAGTAGGAACTTCGAGGGACATGCGCATCAGTGTCAAGGCCACACTGTATGCTCGGGACTGGATTGTACCTATAAATGTGTCAGTCTGTAAACTCCACATGTACAAGCGCTAAGTAACTGAATGCGCAATTTAGTTGATATGCCATGATAGATAATATGCGGTACCAGTGAAACTTAAGATGCATATCGGGGGGTGCCACAACACAAACAATTAACAATAGATAGAGCGTGGGAAATGTCTTCAGCCTCATTGCATTGGTCGCGTTTGCTCAACGCCCCAAACGCAACTCATTCATCCATTTCAACCCTTTGTCATCATCTTCATCGTCGTCTAACACAACGAGCACGTTAAATTGCAGATATTCAAGATGTCTACTACTAGGTTGCACCATCACCCATCTCTTCCCGCCCCCGTCGTTCACGCTGGCTTCTCCGCCCACCAGTCCAAGTCTCATGTCCTCGCTGGTGTGCAAGACGCGTATTGGAGCGACGATGACGCCGTAAATCTATTTTTTTTTGTTGATAATTAGATATAAGGTTATTTACCAGCCGATCCCAGGATGATGCAGATTGTCCACTTTGTCTCGAAGAGATGGATATTTCAGACCTTAATTTTAAGCCGTGCGTCTGTGGGTACCAGGTATATCATCTCGTTCATCACGTAATGGGTAGATGCACTGAGCCCCACTAGATTTGTAGATTCTGTTGGCATCATATTAAGCAGAACCTCAACGGCCGCTGTCCCGCTTGTCGCCGTGAGTACACCGACGAAACTGTTCAATTCAAACCTATTGCGAAAGAAGAGTGCGTCCCGCCCTCACAATTCACTTCGAAAATTCAATATAGGCCTTCCTGGCGTGTTATAGCCATAAACGCCTGACCCAGCAGAAGAAGCAACGTGAACGCGAGCGCAAAGAACTAGACGCCCTCGGTAGGCGCCATCTCGCCAATGTCCGCGTCGTCCAGCGAAATGTTGTATATGTCGTCGGTATTGGTCCTCGATTTGCAAAGGAGGAGGTATGTGACACTTTCATCTAAACAAATTTTGTCTCGTCCAATAATACTCTTTGACCTAGCTCATCCCCACCCTTCGCTCGAATGACTACTTTGGGCAATATGGCAAAATCTCCAAGATTCTACTTGTCAAGCGTACATCCTCAGGGGGTGGTGCACCTATCGTAGGACTCTACATTACGTATCATCGGCGCGAGGATGCCGCACGCTGCATCTCAACCGTTGACGGCGCCCCAAGCCCAGGAGGAGGCCGAGAAGTTATGCGTGCCAGCTATGGGACGACCAAATATTGCATGGCATTTCTCCGCGGCGTATCATGTACTGATCATACCTGTATGAATCTGCACGAATGGGGAGATGAGAAAGACTGCTTTACGAAGGAAGATCTGACGACGTTGTGCGTGTGGATTCTCAAAACCTTTTTATGGTGTGGCTCACCCATTTTCAGGAAGCATACCATCAAGGATACAGAAAGCAGGGGAACCAAGACTGGGGATGGTGCGTCGTGATCACGCAATTATTCCTGTCTCACTCATACATTACCTCTTTCAGGCCTCCCGCGTACTGCAGCGTGGGCTAAACCTGCCACACCTACGCCTAGCAGTATAATGTCCACTGCTACCATCACTCAACGTCCCCGGCGTGGTGGTCAGCGGCAGGCGCGTACACCACGCCCACAGCATGATCGCAAGGTTGGCTCAGGCGGCGGAGGAAGTACGAAAACACCCTCCGTAGCGTCTTCGTCTCGGCCCCCGACGCCCGCTGTCTCTCCGCGTCCCCCGACGCCACCCGAGGTCAAGACTCTCCGGGTCAAGGAATCTGCACCGCTTCCGCCCACGTCACCGTCACCGTCAATGGCAGTCGATTCAGATGATGTAGGCTCTGGCAGTCAGGATATGCCACCAAGTCCGGCACGCCCACGCTCCGCGGAGAGTGTGGACAGTACACCAGCTGTACCTGCATCCCTGCCATCAGCTTTACCAGATGCCCCGCCTGGTCTCCCGCCTCCGACTCGTACACCCAAGACGGAGCCTGCTCCTGCGCCAGGTCTCCAAGCACTACAAATGTCCGGGGGAAACTACCAAATGTCCACCGCTGCACAGGCGTTACTTGATGATGTCAAAGCGCGTCGCGAGGCGGTGCTTTCGAGTACACAAGTGAGCGTCTTTCCCGATTTTGATCGTACGCTGCGTATGCTCTCGGGGAGCGAGGGTGGGTTCAGCTTCAATCTGGACCCAAAGCTTGCAGATGTAGATGTGGGTGCAGAAGGAGAGGCAGTATTGAACGCGCTTGAAGCGGAGGCCCGTGTACCTTTCGCTGGCGGCTTTATGGATGCATTCCCTGCGCTCAAGCCACAAGCACACCCTCACAATCAAGTGCCAACTATGTATCCTCATAATCCTGCCCGCTCCATTTATGACCCCCTCGCAATGCGTGAGAGCTATCTTGGATCGTTTAATCCCTTCGGGGAAACTGAAGGATCCTCAACTGGTGGTGGTGCCCGCAGCTCACCATCGTATCCCGATGAAGAACGGAAAGTTTCAAGATTTGGATTCGCACGGGGGAGGCAAGGCTCAACAGCTGCGAGCTCGCCCGTTCACGTGGCATCGCCGCTGAGTGCGAGCGATAGTCATCACTCATTTTTCACGGCTTCGGAAACTCCTGCGATGACATCGTCGCATTGGAACCATGGAGGACATGGAGAGTACGCAGGATATGCCACTAGTTCTCCACTTGTGCAGCAAGCGCAGACAGTGCAGTCGCCCCCGCAGCAGCACGCGCAGCCACAGACACAACCGACACGCTTTCAGCCATTCGACACGAGTGTGAGCGTGAGTGAAGCTCAGCTCCGTGAGTTGATCCAGTCGAGCAGGGAGCGTGCCGGCTCGATGCAAATGCATAACGCCACAACTGGTAGGAGACTTCTGTTTGTGTAAGCCGCTAGATTGCGCATTGACGATTTTGTCTTTCTTCATTTCATTTCACTTCACTTCATGTTGCTCTTCGATTTGATTCATTGTCGTTCACGTGTATGCTTCTTGTATGATGATGCTGTCTATTTTTTGCATTTTTGTTTTCACTTTCAGATCAACCTCAGTACCAGTTTGCGCCTTTCAGTGACCCCGCAATCATGTCAGCACGTTTCGCTTCGCCCGTATTATCCTCCGCAAGTCTGTCCTATGCCGGTACACCACCAATTACAACTGCGGCACCAGCTGCTACGGCCACGTACGGCCCCCCGCCAGGCCTAGCATACCCAAATAGTGAGTCCCTTTCATTTGTTCAGGGGAGGGAGTCCCAGGTCAGAGTACCGAGAGCCGTGCTTGCAGTGCGCAAATTCTACCACCGGCCATGAGAGCCTCCGGGACCTTCGCATCTGGCCAACATTATTTCGATTTTACCCCTCTGTCCCCTACTTTTCTCCTCCCCCGATGGTTTTAGCCTTGGTTAGACGCATGCTGACTGACGGTTGTTTCCCTCCTCTTTTTCTTTTCTCCATCTGTTCGTTCGCCAACTTCGTTTTTAGTCACTCCTTCAGTTTCGTCCTCACCTTCGCCAGTACCGGTACTGTCGTCTGCTGATTTTCCCGCTTTGAACGCCGATGTGCTGCTTCCGCCTGATGCACAGCCTGCAGAGGCGCCATCCCCCGCCGAAGGCAGTAAGGAACAGGCCAAAGCAGAGCGCAAGGCGGCGAAAAAGGCGGCGGCGGCGGAACGTGCGCTCGAGCGCCAGAAGGCAGCTCAAGAGAAAGCAGCTGCAAAGGCCACTGAGAAGGCTCGAATTGCTCAAGAGAAGGCTGTGGAGAAGGAGAAATTGGCGAAGGAGAAAGAAGAGCGAGAAAAGTTAGTACGGGAGAAGGCGGAAGTAGAGAGGGTGGAGAAGGAGAGGCAGGCACGAGAGAAGGCGGCTGAGGAAGAGACGGAGAGAGCTGTCATGAAGGAGAAAGAGAGGCAAGCCCTGGCTGAGAAGACTCAAGCCGACAAGGCGAGGGCAGCCCAGGCCAAGGCTCAAAAAGCTGCTAAGTCTGCATTGGCAGTCAAAGCCACGAAGTCCGCAGGCTCCCCTAGCCAGGGGCCTGCTATTCCCATTGCCAAGCAGTCCCCCGCTCCATCTAAGACATCTGAACCTGCGGAACAAGCACCCATACTGTCCAAGATGCCGAAGAAGAACAAACCTGTCACTCGTCCAATCAAGGTCCCAAAGGAGGATGAGATTGCTTTTGGAAATGCTTCGGTTGTACCATCGATCTCGGTTTCAGAGTCTTCGAATTTTCCACCTCCCAAGACCACGAATACAGTCGTCTCCAGCTCGAACAACTCGAGGGCGCAGTCTGTGGACGCATCCTCTCCTTTGGAACCTACCTCACTTGCTGATCTGCTCGCAGACATTGACGATAGGAATCCAAGCATGGATCTTCCAAACCACCCGTTCTTTGACATAGCAAAGATCAATCCCGCTGCTAAGATGCCTCTTGAGTATGGTCCTTTGGTACACGCGTTGTCTGCCCTTTCTGTGGGCGGTGGGTCATTCGCTACCAACATGCCTTCAGGCTCCATCGATAATGCCGTGTCTTCATTCCAACAGCTGTTGGAGACACTGACACAAACCATATCCGACCTCCTGCGCCTGCTTCCTCGGACGACGTGGGACGACAGTTCTTCATTCGATGGCGTGCTTCGTGACATGCTCAAGGGTGATGATTTCTTAGACGATGGCGGTGATGATGCAACTGGCAAAGAAGACGAAGTTGCCGCATTGACGCTCGCTCTTGAGCGTCGAGCCCGCTGGATGGAAGTGCAGCTGTCCAAGCTCGAGGAACTTCACCGTGACATCAACACGGCTGCGGTGCGCGCCGTCCTTGCATTCAACGATAGTGGCTGGGATCGTCACATCTTCATGCCTCGGGTTGGCAATACCCTCCGCCGCTTCGACAATATTGGCGTGATAGAGCAAGGTGGCAAGATGAGGTCGATGACAGTGGACGAGTTGGAGAAGAAGTTGCAGGTAGCCAAAGAAGCTGCCATATTCGCGGAGGCCGAGTTCCGGGAGGCGATGGAAAAAATGCAAGCTGTGAAGCCCGTGGAGGTCGACTACTAAGTAGGCCAGCAGGAAAGTATGCGTTAGTTTGACTGGTCATACATAATACAAGATGAGCATTTGGCTTGCATGTAAAAGGAGTGATATCTGTCACGTGCGTCGAATGCGCCCAGACACGACTAGAATATGATATTGTGCGGCTGACTATGCATCTCGAGGTTTTCATGTCGAGGTAATTCATCCCCGTACAACTCAGCTTATTGGCAACCCGCCAACTGACATGGCTGGCCACAGCACACAACGCCAAAAGCAACTCTCTCGGCTCGCTATCATCATCATTGTTATCCTGTTCGCTGCTGTGCTGGCACGCCAACTATTCAGATCAAAAGCAACCCTTCGCGATGAACATCCTCGTGCCCGTAGCCCTCACACTTTCATCGAGGGGCGCTGGAAAGACGTGCGGACGTCACTGGGCTTACCTCCTCTTCCTGACACCATCAACCAATCGGCTGCCATTCTGCCACCGTCGACACTGCACCGCACAGGAAAGCTCCCCTCGCGCTTCGATCTCCGTCGGAAACGTGCCGAAGCAGACCTTCAAAGTCAGAACAGGCTTCACCTCGCTGCCGATGTAAGAGATGCACCTCGCGTATCAGTACAAGCACTAGCTGCGTCATTCCGCCGCATTGCAGCAGCCGAGAAAGAGATAGCAGAGATGCGAAGCAAACATGAGAAGTCGGGACAAAAGGCACGGATCCAGAGACGTATTGAGGGTTGGCAGGACCCAATAAATGCAAAAGATGTATTGACTAATGACTAGAACTCAGTTGACAATCGTACCAGCAATCGAGTAGACATTATACGATCGACAATGTATGACAGCGATGATTACTATCACTCCTCCTTGGCTGGAACAGGCTCCGCGCCACCATCTGTCTTAATCTTCATCCATGCAACAAAGTCATCGAGTAACGATGGCCAAGCCTAGGGAGTTTAGTATACGCATGGTTACCACGCAGTATGAATCTGATGTGACATACCCCATCAGCCTCATAATTAGACAAGGAAGGGTCCACAACGCGGCAGAACTCGTGGACCTATCCCGTATTCAGTACGTCATAAGCCTGACGATGATAAGACTTACCATATTCCAGATATCTTTGTTTGCACCTTTGTATGTGCCCTTCATCTGCATATCAAGATGAGCGGCATCCAAGGCAAAGATGACAGCGACGTACAGGCAAGAAGGTGATCAAATCGTTGATAATTGGATATCGTGGAGCAAGGAGTACAGACCACAGCGCCATTGCTGTCTATATTGGGAATAATAAGATACATGCTTTGCCGCGGACGTAGGGCTCCTGACCTCTAAGTCGATGTTTCGTGCTTGTCTAATATGGGTTATCGAAAGGATTGCCTTTCGGAGATAGCTAATAACTCACGGTGGCTTCGCAAGCGTGAAGCAAAACTGATAGAGATCTGCGAAAGCAGTCTTGCGGTCAGAAGCATACTCCCTGTAACGAGTCCGGTTGTAGGGCTCTTTTGTACTCGCACCGCCACGCTTCTTGCCTTGACTTGAGGTAGAAGTCGAGCGAGCGAGCGCTTCCTTATCACGAATGAGAAGATCTTCAAGCTCTCTCAAAGATTGTGCTAGAACCGGTAATGAGGAGATCCTGATGTACTCAATTATGAGATCGGAAAGGCACAAATAAACCAGAGACTCACTCAAGTAATCCCATTCCATGCAACCATTCGTCCCTTGTGAACTTGGCCATTTCGCTACCCTTCAGCTGCCACGCAAGGATAAGGGGCTGTGCACCATCAAGCGGTATGTCAGCCTCCGTACATAATTTTTCCAATCCCCCTGGTCCAATCACATCGCGGTCGTCTTCATCAGCAAATAGGTCGAATAGGACTTGCGCCCGCTGAGGGGTGTACGGATCGGTGGGGGCTTCTTGGGATTCGTTGGGCTGAGAGGACAGGAGCAACGATGACGTCAGAGGCGTGCAGAGTATAAGCTATGGTTACCAGTTGCACGTACCGCCACCTTGTTTGTCCCATCTACTTCGTCGCTGCGAGCGGGTGTGTTAGAGACACAGCACAACAAAGACGACAGGCGCATGAAGGAATGTCGTGAACGACGTGAAGGTTGAGTCGTGAGATACGATTGATCCGTCGTGGCCTCAAGATTGAAGTGTACTAAAGGCAGACTTACTCGTTCAATGGAAACCTAATCGAGGTGAGTTTCTGCAAATGATAGAATGGTGTTATATAAAGTTGGGAAAAGGATGTCTGTTGCAGGCTTACATCATCATTACTTCTTTCGTGAACGTGGCGGACAATTTGGGGATAAGGAGGTCTTCTATGAGTTCACCACAGCATACAAGGGGCGGAAGACTCACGCAATTGTCGTATTTGCGAAACCCTTGTTAGTTGTTTTTGTGACTCTTAATGTTGCTTTCGTTCCGGTGCTTCTTGTTTTCTTTTGAGGTGGAGCCACCTGCGGAATAATGAGTGATAAAGGAGAGTCCTGGCAGCCTGCGCAAACTTGCGCACATCTACACCATCCGCATAACTGCCTTTCGCAATCCTGCTCATAGCCTTTATTATCATCAGGACGGAACATAGTGGGAAGACAGGACGCACGGGGTTCCGGTACTGGTTATGCTTGTCGTGGCGTCTTTACCTCCACCATGCATTTCAATTCATCGGACTAAAATTACTGAGATTATGGGAGCCTACCGGTCCGTGTCGAACTTCGCATCGAACGACTTGAAGTTGCAGGGGCCCCTTGAGCGTCCGCATCCGTACGTTTTCGCTGATTAATAACTGTGTTAAGGACAAATAAGTTCGAAAGTGAACAAGACTTGCTTTAGGTGGCATGTCCGAGTAAGAGAGCCAGACTGGAAACAACAGAAGAGAGCAAATTATAAATGGTCGTTCAAAGGTAAAGGTAAAGGGAATTATTGGCGCGTTCAGGGCGCGTTACAGTATGTCACGACACGTGACAATGTGACACTCAATGAATGCTCCAGATTCAGATATTCAAGATCTCTCATACTAAATCCTCTTGCCATGAACGGAGAAATCTTCAACGCCAACCCAACTGTCTATGCTTCCAAGCGCTCTACCCGTAAATCGAAATTTGAGGCAGGGCAGTCACTATGGATTGACGAACAGTACCAGCCTGAGCTCAACAGCGAGTCCGAAGTGGAGCCTATTGACGAGGATGAGATATTTGGTGCGTTTCAGGCCTTCTTAACTCCTAAACCCACCTATTTCACACACATTGCTACAGACTTGATCCGCTTTATTGCAGATCCTGAGCATCCTAATTCTCTTGAAGAACTCAGGGTAGTATCTGCAGAGCAGATTAAAATCGGCGACAATCACATCATGGTTGAGTTTACTCCCACCGTACCTCATTGTGGAATGTCGACATTGATTGGTGGGTGCTTTTACAACGTTTTGAGAATCTTTCTTAACGACCTGCTCAGGGTTGTCCATTCGTGTGCGACTGATGCGAAGTTTGCCTCAGCGTTTCAAAGTGGATATCCGAGTGAAACCAGGATCGCATCAGAGTGAACTTGCAGGTTAGTAGCGAATCTTCTGCCCCTTCTACACCCTTCTAACAACACCCTTTAGTAAATAAACAGTTGAATGATAAGGAACGTGTTGCCGCTGCTTTGGAAAACCCTGCCCTATTGGAGACACTAGAAAAGTGTCTAGAGCCTACTGGAGGATCTAACAGCCGGTAGCAAGTATGAATTCCCTTGAGTGATTATATGACAAGTTGTATCCCTAGCTTTATCCTACAGGATTGTAGCACCTTTACTTTACCTCAGTGCTCGCGCTGTTCGAATATCGATTCTCTTCCTCCTTGTAAGTGATTTATGATCGTGTCAATACATTTTTTCTGTAGGAGACTAATAGAGATTCACCATGACCATTCTTGCTATCAATATGGCCCACGTCGCACTTTCTCCCATCAGGTTTCCTTTGGGTCCTCTCATCATGTTCAGGAATAGGGGTCAAATGTCATAAAGCTTTGTGTCGACACTCATGTCCGCTACAAATTTTTTCTACAAAAATACCCACGACAACTATATTGCACACTACGAAAGACACGGAGAGCTTTGGAGACCGACACGCTCAGCTATAGTTATAACATACCTCCGGATCTGAAGCGATGCATATAAGGCTCAACAATGCTGCGGACATGGACTGGACAAATGGCCCCAAAATTGGACGAGCATGAAACAGCTATATTAACGGAAGGGTTATATTTTATTGATCACTGCCTTGGCGTAAATCTAACAGGCGAAAGCGAGAGCAGTGCAAAAGAATCAGTATCAGGTTCGTCACAGTGGGCAATAAATTTATCTGCCACTGACAAGGCTCGTACAGGATATATTGGCTTGCCCATGATGCGACTTATCCACATATATGACACGGAGAGTATATCTCGCCGACGCCGAACTGGATCTAGTTTGTGGATGAACCTTCACACGGCCAAAGCGACAACCACGGGCGACTGGGCGGCAAGGACATTTGTCCAGAGGTGTAATGTGCCTTGTCAAAAAAACATACCTGGTAAACCCTTTACGATGTAAGTCGGTCAGGGTTAGCATAGCCGAGTTCACCGTGTCACAGTGGGCAGACGCCCTTGTTCGAGCAGGCATTTAACTGTCGCAGAACCCACCAGACATCTTCCCACCAGAATCTCCGTCACTGCAACGAATGATGGCGAGCAGAATTAGGTAATGCTTGAGGACTCCTGCCGTCTAGACCTATGGAATCACATGAATCCCGAGAGTGCCGCCAGGGGTTTCCAGCTCGATTTTGCCACGGATGTGATAAATAGAGGTCGCCGAGCGCTCCAACATGTCACATTAACGCTTCAAAATTCAGCCAGTGGCAGGCTGCCTTCAGGCTGATATGCCTCCGCAAGCGAAGATGCGTTGGACAGTCCTTCCCTGAAGGGAAAGGATAACAGGTAGATTGATGTATCTACAAAAGTAGGGTTACATCTGACTGCGTCCAACGGGCTGGTTAATTTAAATCACACTGCAAGAAGGCAGGTGCCGCATCGATATTGTTATGCGTAAGGAATAGCCATGTGACTTACTTAAGAGGCAAGTCTTCTAGTACGGGCGGCAAACCATTGTGCATTATGGATGGCCATCTCGTCATGAATATGATTGCCAAAATACTTTGTACATTACGTGAATCGAATTGATTATAATTGTCGTGAGCATGCCAGTCCGAAGAGCATCATATATTGATACAGTGGTATTTGCAGTAGGTATAAAAATTTGGCTACATTTGTCCAGGGTGAATGAAATGCTACATTGCGGATATAAAGAGTGATAACCTAAGGACCGATCCATTAACAGTCAGCGTGTAAGAAATTCGAATGAAGTCAGAAACTAAAAAGAGCGATAGAACAATAAGCAGAACGCGGTTCTCAATCCTCAAGAAGAAAGTCCCAATTAATATTCCTCTCCGGTAGCTTCTTAGAAGTCGAACCAAAAATGCGTTTCAAGGTTTCTTTGGGCTGGCTTTCTGGAGCGTTAGTGTGAACATCCCACATCCTGAACGTCACCAGGCCGCGGGTATCGACCCATACTTCATCGCTATCCCAATTATCATCCATTGACATTGCTTCATTCACGCGAACGTTTGCAATCATGCGGTTGACAAAACCAGCTGAGAAAGATGGTGTGCCCGAGCAACGAATGTGACCTCGAAAATCCGAGGGTAACCAAACAGTCACGTTGGAAGAGGTAGTTCGGATATCAAGGAAAAACTTGCAGCGAGGCATAGAACGACACTGTTATTACGAAGAGTTGTTCAGAGATGATGCAGCAAGTCAATAGATGAGACTTACAACTTTAAGCTTGATCGGTGACGTCTCTGTACTGATGAACATGGCCAAACGGTGGTCTACCGGCTGATTTCGCGCACGATAGTGTGGTAGCGCCAGAGAGATATCGATGGGCTTGGATGTCTTGAGCATGAAATCATAGTCGCTCAGAGCGTTATAGTGAATCTTATGAGTGCCACTTGGCTGAACCCTCTGTGGATTGAGTTAGCTACTTGAACGTCAATGAAGCGAGGAGGATGGTGTTGTACCAATAAATGAGTCTTTTCGAGTTCAAATGAATTCTAAGGCAGACTTTAGGTCGATGTTATATCATGTTGGAAGAACGAACTGACCTCTGAGTCGGACGACATTGAACAATTGGAATAAATCGACATAGCGTGCAAATTAGTTCGATAATGAAAACAAGGATACGAAGTACTTGGGGAACTCTCCCAAGGCTCTGCATATTTAAAGGGTTTGGGAAGACGGTCACCTATACGTCACCGACGGGATCCTTTCCCTTATACCTTATTTGGGTAGTCTTGTATTCGTAAACAAAAAGCGCGCTTGAAATCTTGATTCTTAGCCAAGGCGAGAACAATTCTGCCTACTTCGGTTCGACAATGTATTCCGTGTGCCTCGCTCTTCAGGCCAACACGTGGCCGCAACACCCATCCACCCACACTTGATCAGTTTTACATAGCTGTATCCAGACAGCGTCCATACTAGTAGTACAATCACACAAACTACTTCCAGCGCCCAAAGCTCGGTCCAGAGCCTAGACGCCGTTGCAAAATTTTCCGCATGCCACGATCCATCCGAGACCAAACCCTATCGTTGACATCACTCTCCGTTCTCAGCATCAACTCGATCTTTCCCTCGGCATGGATGAAAACTTCGTCGTCATTTTCAAGCGCACAGGATCCAAGCCTGATGAAACCCGTGCGCATTCGCTCGTTGAAGGCACGACCACAACGGATCTGCCTCCTACGACGTAGATCTTCGTAGTCGTTGATAGACACGATACCCCGGAATGAGGGGGGTAATATAATTTTCACACCGGCTGAGCATGCGAAAATATGGAGGCGAAAGAAGTGGTCCTCCGCGCCGGGTGTACGAAACTAAAGAAGCCAAGATTACTAAATGCAGTTATTTCATCATTGGTCGGTCACACAAGTGACCACGCGCTTACAACTTCGGCCTTGATGGATCCAAAACGACTAGAAAGATATGCTACCGATTTGGCCAACGGAGCAGCATCAGATGGGAATGGTGAGAGCAAAACGAGCCTCGCGCGGATATGTTGGTTGGTTGCTGACGTCTGGAACACAAACGGATCACCAAAGACGGCATCTTGCCTGCGCGGAAGAAACTGCTCAGTGACAAATGCAGTGTTCTCTTCCTAAATGACAGTCAAGTCATGCAACACTTGGCATGTTCCATTTAAACTTACCTCTGTTGTGGTTGATGCCGACAGAGCGCTTAAATTACTAAGAAGCTGTATTGATAATTGCGTTAGTTCCAGATTCCCTGCGGGATGTGAAATCGCTAACCGACAGTGGTGGGGTGAGCCTGCTCATGTTCCGAATAATGTTCAGTGTACGGGTCCGAATCAAGTTTATATAGTGCTTTGCCACTCAGACTCGCCTGACTGTCAGACAAAGCACTTAAATTGTGGACTACCGTGGACTGATCGCCACTGGGACAAAGGTCAGTGTGGCACTGGCACTTAGCGGGGGTTCTGCAACGGTACAAACGAGAAACTTCGGATTTTCTTGGCACGTGTTGGGAAAAGGCTCCACGGAGGTACCTTGTTTTGAACCACACGACCACCAACCAAACTGAGTGGACCACTTGAACGTATCCAAATTTGAGGGTCAAAAAAGGAAATTGATTACCCACACAGCTCCTGGGAAAGGGATGTATCCACATCACGCGCTCGCTACCTGCCGAAAAGCAGGACAAAACACAACGTATAATACATGTCTGTAGGATAGGGACAGTTGGCTTACGAGAGTGGTTGATCCTCTTCTTCAGAACCTGCAACTACGTCATCATCTTGACAAGGATGCCGCCCGATTGTCGGACTAGAGTCTTTTCTAGCCTTGCTATTCCGCGCTTCGGAAATTAGCCGTGCAAACTCTCCTTGGTTATTCAACTACAACTCGCGATGAGCATTCTCAACAATAGAAGGAACGGAAAACCTACCATATGAGTTCTTGTATTATCCACAAGATGTCTTCGCTTTCTGCTATCTTCCCAATTCTTCAATTCGTTGCGTAATTCTTTCGTATTCTTCCTGTTAGATACAGACTTATCCAAATTGGCATTGAAAATCATGACCCAGCTAAGATCGCTTGAGAACTATGGAATTAATCCGGAACCAAAAAGCGACACACCGCTTATGTCGAGCGATCCACATTTTCCTGTCACCGAGGACAGATAAATTGTGCGCGTGCAACAAGTCTTTGACTTGTTTGTCCTTCAATAGATCATACGAGGCCTTGGGTATGCGCTCCGTTGCAATGTCCACGCCAATTCTGCCTCCACGTTCCTGTCAGTTCGTAATGGTCAGAAATAAACTGACGCTTACCCGTTGTCCCTGCTCTTTCCTTTTTTAAAAAATAATTCTGACCATTGATGTTTGGCGCCGGATGTCGCAGCACCGGATGCATTAAATAAATTTTTCTGGCATCCCGAGTCTAAATGCGTGTTGATATCTCCGATGACAATAGACATGTTGCAGACGGGACAGTTTACCATCTGACCCCCTAAGTACGAATTGACCATTGCTGTGCCATAATATAAAGGACGCTCAAACCTTGCACCATTTCTTCCTCTTGTGGATCCGACGAAGGCTCCATGTCTTGCCTTCTCGAACGCCTGGATTTACTTGGCACCGGGGATGAGGCAAGCTGACTTGAATTAGAAGGACCGGGTACGATAACCACATCCGAATCGGAAGAAACTGAACTGATGCGGCGCTTGCGCTTCTTACCGTTGGTCAATGAGGTTTGAGACTGACAGGGTGTTTGTTCTTTTCGCTTCCTCTTGGTACGGTCTTGTTCTTCACGGGAGAGCCGGAGAATAGTCGACCTTTACTTGTTCAAACTGCGTCTGCACAAGGGAGGATGTAGGACTCACCGTGCGGTTTTCCATGCATTCACTGCTTCCTCAAGAACTGGATTTATCCTAAATTGTCCTTCACTTGTCGATTTCCTGCAGCTCGGGCACTCCGATTCTTTGACAATATGTTCTCGAATACACTACCGGAAACATTCAGATAACGGTTTGCTTGAGAAAGGGGTCAAGCACCCACAAGTGAGCAAAAGCAGTGCCCGCAGGAAAGTGTTATGGGTGCGTCGTATAATTCGCCGCAAATTGTGCACCGCAGACTCGCATCCAGTTGTCGCAAGTCTGACATAGGGAAATCGCTCGGATCTGGGACATTTGTGGAAAGAAGAGCCTGAACGTTATTCGTGGGCATGAAGCTCGGTTGCAAGAGTGTTTCGACTTTGTCGTAGAAAAAAATTCTCAAGAATAGAATGATGCTAAAAGAACTCGTCCAAATGTTCCAAGGAGAAAGAGGCAAAAGGTTCTGACACTAGAAACGCGTTGTGGTCGCGTAATCTCACATGTGACCTGTGTGACTTTTCGCGTTTTGACGTCACGTACTTCAATAACAACAAAATACGAATGTCCATCAAGAGATGAATGATACACTGTTCTACATGCAAATGGAGTGGGTATATAGAAGTACAGTTCATATCCGCGAATGATTCCAGTGAGTCAGAAAATGCCTTCAAAATCATACATCTCTTTTCCATCGTCGGGCGAAGCAACATTCCGAAGGAGTGGGTCAAGAGACGTCAACTCATCCTTGATTCCATTTCGAGCGACCTGGTCTAATTCCTTCAACAATGCTGACGTGATTTTCTGTGGGTTTTTTTTTTCAACATCTATGTTTCTATGTCATCCTGAATTTATTACCTTGAATTTCGTGTCCACTTTTAGGAGCATATCTCCCATCCCGGGTGTCCAGCTAGGTGGTGGGCTTCCAAGGGCACCACCATAACCACCGTGTACGTTTGCAATACCCCACAGGCTGGAGTCACCGTCATCAATTTGCTTTACATTGGAGTCGGCGCCAGAGAACAGATACGAAACACCAGGATGTGGTGCGAGAAGCCCAAGGGGTCCCATCATGTGTTGCCCGGAGTTTGGAAATGGTGAGGGGCCTAGTATTCGTGATATTTTATTGTATACTTCCGAGATCACATCTAAGAGGGAGAGAAGGGTCTGATGGTAGTCTAAAGGAAATGGCTGTGAACGTTTCAGTTGATTGAAACCCTACCAAAACCCGCAGGGAACGCACTATATGAGGTGAAACAAGATATGATGTTTCCGATCCGTCCGTATACGGTACAGTATATTCAGCGAAACCGCCAGCAGCTTGCCGTTTCGCTACCTTGGAGCGGAATAACCGCTGGACACACAGTGAGCGGTGAACGACCCACGGTTGTCGGATGAAGGCTTACAATCTTTGGCTGACGGTCGGGCTCCTCCTTTGCTTGGTCATATTCGTTCATGGTGTTCATTAGTCCGCGAAGAAAGTCTTGAACTTGAGGTATATCTAACAAATTTGAGAGCGACATTGCGAGGATAGCAAATCGATATGTCCTGTTTCATAACACTTCAGCAAAGTCGCTATAGGTAATGAATCTCAAAGCTTGCCGCACCGTTTGCGCATAGCTAAGTTATTGAATGCCTTGTCGAGTTCAGCCCTGGACATCATAATTGTATGGAACCAATGACTTCTCCTATGGGTATCCATGAGCTCTAGGAAGAAATGTAAGGACAGACTGAACGCACCCTTCATGAACATTTCGCATGTAAGTTAACGTGATGATCCGTTTCTGCACTAAATCTCGGAGATATTCGACAGAGGTTCCCTGCGCAATGACCGGTGTGCCATTGCCAACCAGCGTAGCACTAGATGAAAGCGTGTCAGAGTGAACAGACTGGCCATCCCATTCCCTGCCGGACGCAGGAATCGTAGTTGGCGTCGTGACTGAGGCATAAGCGACGCTGGTAGCCGACGATATGCTGCCCACCGTTGCTGCGTTTCCAGCGCCATTCGCAGGCTTAAAAGACGAGAGCAAGTTCTGCGCCGAGCTCTTCCTGCGCATGGTTGGACGAGATATTTCTGTCATTGACGGACTGCTTGGCGGAAGCGCAGCCTGGAAAACAGCCGTCATCTCGAGTGTTGCAGCCGAAACGTTGATAACCCAATTTGGGTTATCGATTGCAACTTATACTTGGCAAGCTGCTTACTTTGCCCTACTACCACCATCTCTGCAATAGTTTGTGTCCTAGCTCTTGAACACCATGGATATTACTACTATAGCAAAGAATTTCACTGAGTTCTACTACTCCCAATTCGCACTAGGCCGGCAGAACCTGGCCCCTTTGTATGTAAGCACTTCGTGTATTTGCAACTTCTTGTTATTCAAACACTTTTTAACTCTTCTAGCGGCCGCACTCCATGCTGACATGGGAGGGCAAACAATTCCAGGGTGGAGCCAACATCGTGGAGCATCTGACTGTAAGTCTGATCGTATTTCAACACATATCGCTCACCGTTTTTTTTCGTATGGTTCAGGAACTACCTTTCTCAAAGGTTGCTCATAAGATCAGTACATTCGACTCGCAGCCATCATCCCTTGACATGAGTACTCTCTTGATCAGCGTGACAGGGCTACTAAGGGTTCGTCCTCTTGTTGATCAATCGCGTGATCTGGCCGCTGAAAATAATGTAGGTGGACGACGACCAAGAGTTGCAATTCTCCCAGGTATTTGTGCTGGCAAAGGAGGGCGAATCATTCTACGTGTATGTTCATCAGCTTGGTGCTGAATCCCCGCTTAGAAACCGTTTGCAGGCTCAATGACATGTTCCGACTCAACCTCGGCTGAAGTGCTGAAGCACAGCATATTATAAATTTGGTAGATGTGACAAAGATCCCCAGAAGTGTAATGGAGGACGGAAGCTTTCAACGTTTGTACCTCGTAGCTTATTCCATCGAAAGTAGATCAGACTGTTAGTTTGGGAAAGATCGCCGTGTCGAACAACTCCAAGGGGGATCAGCAGAACAAACGCGCTAAACCGATCAACATTACATAACATCAACTAGCACTCACTCTGGCGATGTGGAAAACCGTAACAATAAGAAGTATGAAGTCTGGTACCTGGTAGAACATATTGTGTAGAGGGTATTAATACTAATAGTCGGTCCATAAGCACAACGGCTACGAGGTCATGCAAAGGACCTGCGTGAAACTTCCCCATAGTAGTTCACGTGTCTAAACACCAGCAACGATCCTATATGACAATTGGTCAGTACAGAGTAAAGTCTGATGGAGGAAGATTCCACGTACTCTTCGGCCTTGTTCAGCGCCGTAACCATACTAACAACCTCTTTCCGGCGATTGACGACAAAGTCACTCTCTTTCATCAAGTCATCGAGCACTTCAGGTTTATACAACTCTTGAAGAAGCTCGCGTTGCAAGTTCTCTTTCGAGTGGTTGACGAGCGTTAGTACAATGGCCTTTGGAACCATGTCGATCATTTCGCGTTTGACGATGTTGAAATATGAATGGATCAGCAGCTCTGAATAAGGAGGTCAAATTAATCGCACGAGTGAAGAAATGCGTAAAGACGACACACTGATAACTTCAGTCTCCATTGTTTCCCTCTCACTGAGAGCGGACAGGGGTCTAATCACAGCTGGAGGCTAAGAAACGCGAATATAAGTTGCGGTGCATTTACATATATGAGAAGGACGTACGGCCTCCATGACGGGACCGGCCTTCTTAGGTTGCCCCTTCTTGGCAGACGAGAAGAATGAGCCAAAGAAACTCGGCTCTTCCTTCTTGATATCAACATCCAAGTCACGATTATTGTTGATTTGACCCGCAGCAAGCTTCCCTGACTTGGCGTCTGGAACTGGCGTTGGAGGTTTGTTAGCGTTCAGTCTGTCTTGAACTATTGACATAGCCTGTGCATGATGCATGAGCTCATAAAAGATGATCGAAGTCATATATACTTGCCCTGTGTCCATTAAGGAAGTCGGGGTGAGTCGTGTTGACATAACATGCTTGCATCCTAGTCAACCAAGTGCGTAAGAATGTAAAAGAAAGATTAAATCTGCCATTATGAACGCACGAAACCATGTCAATTACAAGCTTCGTAGTGGGATTCATCGCACTCTTGAAGAAATTAATTACAACGGAGTTAAAGCGCTCCCGGAGCGCAGGGAAACGTCTGAAGGCTTGCTGTATGATACTGTTAGCACTTCATTGCGTTTGTCAGTCGCCTGGATACATACAATTTTTTGTAAGAGTTGTCCGAGGATGCGAATAAGTTCGTCATATACAAGCTGACAACATTTAACACTAGGCTCTTCCAGTCGCTTAATCTGTTGCTTGACAATGATTTCAAAGGCTTGCGTGCCAACAAAAAGGGATGGTGTTTGACCCTGTATTGTGGAGGAGTTTAATGAACAATCTCCAAATACGCGAGTAACAAACCCACCGAAGAATTGTATAAAATAGTTCGAATATCCCCATCCTTGACCTGGTCGAAGGGGTCGATACTCTTGACACCATTATTGAATAACTCATGGAAGACGAAGCTGATTCGTGCACCACCACTCAGCTCATTCAGCGAGAGGTCGTTGGTGTTACCGTCAATGACCGTTCGGAATTCATTTGTGAACTCCGTAATGACCGAAAGGACTATGTTGCCAGAGGATGCATCACCCAAAGGACCACCCAGGGTAGCCAACTCGGCAGTGAATTTCTGAAGCTGCTGGCTTATACGGGCTTTGATGTCGGGCAGAGTGGCACGAATGTGTTGCATGAGGATCTAAGACGTGAGTAAAACGTTAGTGACAAATCCGCACAGTAATAGGAAGTAGCCAAGACACGCACCATGTTTAGCTTACGGGCAAGGAAAGGAGTTCCGCAATACTGGGCTTTCCCTTTGTACGAAGGGTGTAACTCGAAGAAACTGCGCTCCGCGTCCAATGCAGCGCCAATTGTCTTGGATGTGTCAATGTCGCGCTGTCCTCGGTTTACCACTGGCACATATCCTAAACGTAACGGGATGACGCGTCCTGCAAGGATATCCACGACGTCCGTTCCTTGGTCCCTTTTGGCGCATTAGCTTCAAGAGCTACACCATTATCAAATCATGGACCTACATAAGGTCGACCTTAGTCAATACACCAATCGTTCTCGTTCCTTCTGGGTCAACCTCCCGAGCTAGCTTCAAACCATCAGAGTTCGCCAAGTCTGTATTGGCGGCGGTGACAGCCAAGATGATACATGCTGGCCGCGAGATATACTTGACCAGCATGTCCTTGATTTGCTTTTCAATGTCTTTGGGCTGGTCTCCGACAGGGACTTTGGTTAGACCAGGCAAGTCGACGAGAGTGAGGGTAAGGACGTTGGGAGAGAATATGCGTAGGTTGATCGGTTGTGGTGAGATGCCTGCATTGCGACCAGTCTTAGCTTCTGTATCTCGAACGATTTCGGCACGAATTTTGTTGAAGTCATAGAACTTTTCACCAGGAAGGTGCAGGAATTCACCCCACTCCGATTCGTTCGCCTGCTTATCACTGCCGTTGAGTTGTGCTGTCACAAGTCAGCTAGGTAAATAGAGCCAAGAAAGGAAGCATACGATTTGATGTCCCATTTGCTTGAGGCGCAGTTGCGGGACGGTTAATGAGTTGAAGGACTAGTGGTCGCCGTGTCACGATACCAGTGCCACGAGGAAGAAAATCTCTTCCGACGATGTTCTAATACATTGATGTAAGTAGTGCACTTTGTATACATCGAATGTCGCGGTACGGACCTCGAGCACACTACTCTTACCACTACTTTGACTTCCAAGCACGCAAATCTGTGGCAGGTCTATTTGGGATGCTGAGGAACCAACGGCGGTAAACACGTCTTGCAGTTTGTTAATAACAGAAACAATTTCGGAACCGAGACCTGTTGACATGACGGGCAGACTAGCAGATGATGGTCAAGGGCAAAGAATTACAGAAATGAACGAAGCTAGACCGCGACTTCAAAGCTGCGAAACACGCAGTAGGCACGCCTTGAGCTTGGACACAGCCACAACTCCAAACCAGAACAAATTTCCTTCATGACCACTTCAAAATATTTTCTTTGTTTCACAGGTCCTTACCTGCACTTCCATGCTTTTGTCGTTTCTTGCTGTTTTTATTATTTTCTTATCATGATGATACCTGCGTCGCACTCTGTTCCATACGGCTGCCCGTAACTGCGACTGGCTATTATAGCTGAGCCAAAAATTGTCTTAGTGTGTCACAACCTTGCCTGATACGCGTGCCCCCCTATGTTCCCTATGTCAGATGTCTAACAAAATCATCATGACAACTCATGTTGCCTTGAACTCATCTGCCAAATATCTGTGCTCTCTTCAAGCTTCTTTGTTACAGCATCATAGCCACCTTACGTTCATGCTTGCCAATTCGAATAAATACTCCGAGGTCTTGTGGCGACCTTCCGAGTGTCTTGACTTCCACTACCATGGCACAGTGTAACCAATGCGACCGTTCATTTCGTTCCACTCAGGCATTGTTTGCCCACTGTCGCGACAAAGCTGACCACCCCTTCTGCGAGGACTGTGATAGATTATTCTCGACTTTTACTGGACTGGATCAGGTGCGTGAGACGCATGTTGCCATTTTCTCCTAACTCACTCACCTTTTATGTCAGCACATGCAAAACGCTGTGGTACATCGCAGCGACGGTGAATCGGACGACTATGGGTTCGAGAGTGACAGTGACGAAGACGAAGACGAAGAACCGCTCTGTATAGGATGCAATAGGTGGTTTGTTGACCTGGCAAGCCTTTATCAGCACCTTGCTGCCAGCTCAAAGCACAATTGGTGCTTTGCTTGCTCGCGCGATTTTGCCACCCCGACTTCATTGGATCAAGTAAGTCCTGCTCTCGCTTTCACGTTTCATATATTGATACGAGACCCTGCCGCACAGCACTCATCCTCTCCTGTGCACAGGGGTCTGGATTTCGAGTGCCCTTTGTGCCCAAAGAGGTTCAAGACCCCTTCCTCGATTGCCCTTCATATCGAGTCAGGGACTTGTCACAATATCTCACGAGCCCAAGTAACCGCGGCAGTCCATGCACTCGAGGTAGTGCCTACGATTTCGGTCTCTCGCCGCATAGAAGGAGGAACGATTCGCGTTGTGACTTACTATGTGACAGAGCGCGCCTTCAACGGCACTGCCTACGAGTGTTATCTTTGCCACCGTACTTTCCGTACCTTGGGGGCTCTGAACTCCCACATCAACTCTCCAACACATGACGCGGATGAGTTCAAGTGCCCAAAGTGCAAGAGGAAGTACAAGTTGGTTTCAGGCTTGATGCAGCACATTGAATGCGAAGCATGTGGGATCGCGAGGTTCCAGGTGGTGGAAGACTTTACGACAAATTTGATCGACCAGTTTTTGAAGCGCCTGAAGTTCTAACTTCGATTGAGAAGGATTACGGTCGGATTTCAAAGGGAATATGTACTGTAAGTGTAATATATGTGTATTTCTACGAGAAAGTGAATCAGAATTGGTTTGTCTTTTTGTTGTCGTTACTGAAGAAGTTCTAGCCTAGAACTCACCTCGGTCGACAACAGCTTCGCAAAAACATTACACTGACAGGTCCTAGTGAATTTTCGAATGGTGCGCCATTCTTTCCTGTTCACACCGTAGTGTCTCTTTTGTGAGGGGCATACATTTCTGTATAATGAAATGCCCAAGCCCGATTGTCGGCATCACAATCTCGCAAAAATGCGAAGTTTCCTCGAAATTATTCCTCGCGTCAATTGATAGCCCCGCAGTCATTTAGGAGGTGGTGTAACTGGTGGAGTTTACGATGTGAGGAGGCTAAGCAAACAAGGTTTGGCGCGGCGGACGCTTCATGTCGGCTAATGCTGTCTCGATCAGTGGCAAGTTTGCAGCTCTTTTCTTAGCTCTGGGACTGAATATAGTTGATTGGCAAGTGGAACTTGATCTAGGGCTGTACAGGAAGTCGTGAACCTTTTATTTCTGGATCCTTGCTTATTGTCCTGTGTAACGGGGCCCTATGGTGGACACTACGCACACCATAGTACTTCGTTGTATAAATATCTCTATCGTATAAGTGGTCAATGGTCCCAACGCATGCAAGGACAGTAGCGCCGTCTTAGGGCGTTCACAAATCAACCTGTACAGCTACATACTAGTATATTTATTCACATGATACGAGTGGTATACATGTTTAGCAGTAAAAATAGTAAATACTGCCCATGTACAGCTGGTATATTTTGGGGAGGCTGCTAATGCGGTCCGATACAGGTGGGCTGCCTCAGCGCCTCTTCTCTCCTATTATCATCTCGAGCGCTAGAGTCGGCGCTCCCTCCAAGGCACCCCGGGGACCGCATGAAACATTGAACACGTACTACTTGTCGATGCGAGTTTACAACTGGGTATTACTGCACCGCCACTGTAGGTTCTCAATCTTCTCACCGCACGTTGGCGGCGTGACGTCGCTGCGTCCGAGACTCGGCACTTTCAGCGTTCGCTCGATAAGATATTCCAGTGTATGTGAAATTGTGCAGATGGGACGCTTCGCCACCTTGATTCGTGGCCGCAATCTCTCCACTCATTTACACGACATCCACGGAGTTCATGGCACAGACATGACACGAGTGAGATGCAAATAAAAAGATTGTTATCGAGAACTAAACAAAGAATCACTTGCCAGACATGTGGAAAATATACATGTAGGGATTGTATATCCCTGCAAGAGTAGGGACGTGTTCTCCCGCGGAGAACTCTAAATAGACTCAAGAGAACCTGTGGCAGTAGTATACAGATGGGGGCCAGTTTGATGTACGTCTTTAGAGAGTGAATGTTGACATAGTACAAGCCAGGCTAGTCTCGAGCCTAGATGAGATCTCTCAACACAGATAGACCTAGTAGTGCGGCCCCGCCCCGGCACATAAAGCTTTAGCACATCACGTCACAAGGATGGAAAGATATAACAACGGCATACCTAGGCCTACTGATGAATTTGAAACCGATACGAATTCAGCCCAGCCTAAATTCTTCATGCATCACGCAATTGTTGCTCAATGTTTTGGATAAGCACGGTGGCGGGGATTCCTGCTGCGCGTACTTGCCTTCGTATGTTCATAAATTACACTTCGGAGGATGTATCTTCATCTATGTCGTTCCTAGCTTTTGCAAGCATCGATGTGTAACGGGCGGGTCCAATTATCAGACACGATGCCAAGAATTCAACGGAGATGAAGAAAATGCGCATATGATTAGAAAATGAGACTCGGGCGCCTGACTACACAGCCTGAAGCGGCGAACACGATGATACAGCATGAATGACACACCGCGCTCATTAGGTAAAGTCCGTGAACAAGAATGATGCCTTCCCTTGTCGTGAGAAAATCAACATCAACAAGAGTGCTTCACTAAAAGATAGAAAAACACGCTGGTACCGTTTATGGCTGAGTTTGACGCCTACCTGAACTTAGATAACGACGTGCAGGTCGGGAAGGCCTGACAAGATGAAGGTAGTGAGGAGTGCATACCATCAGAGAGCGAGAAAGCAGCAAGGGGGAGTGAAGATGGCACAGTTAAATTCTCGGATGTCGACACGGGCAAAGTCATCAAAAAGTGGACAAGGCACGCAACGGAATTGCGGTCTCTCTGCTGCAGTCCAGGTGGGGAGCGAGTGGATCGTTCAACGGAGGAATGTCAAGAACGGCAAGACCATCATGCATCATCGACATCCTTGGACCAACCGAGGGTACGATGGGCGGGCGCTCGCTGAAAGTGGTTAATGTTAACTTAAAATAGGCGAAATGTTCAAGACGGGTGTCAAGGTCGAGCATTGGGCACAGCCACCTATTAATAGACAGAAATCAGCACTCGTTCAAGTTGAAACATCTCCCAAAAACAAAAATCGCACACTCGAAGGCGTACCATTCGACCTGACAGTGCGGTTATGGAACATCAACAGCAATATCAACAACCTATTGAATTATCATGAAACATAGGTGGATTCTGCGGCATTTTCTACGGATGGCCCGGGAAAATTGCTTGTCGCTACTAGTACTACGGTGGTTGCAACTACATACTACTGGTATGCACAACGGTGGCCTGCCAATTCAAGGTGCTCATCGAATACGCTGAGGATGTGGATTAGTACGTCTCCCATAAATTAAACAGTCCCTCTCGAGTAGTATAGTGTTAATTATCTTCCTCCATAGGTGACGCGACCATCACAGCGCTGCACCACGTTCCTTAGTCCCTAGCGCTCCAATACGAACGGAACAACTGAAAAAGACACCCACTCTCCATCTCACACCTCTGCTGGGCTCGAGCGGCACTTCGTCGCTGGCATACTACGCAGAGGAGATGCATCAGATATCGAATAACGAGAGCCACACATAGTCGGCATTCCTTACACTACCGTGACGACCAAGCCTGTACGTTTGTTTGTTTTTCAGTTCTTCTTTATTACTCACTAGTTCTAATACAGAGGAAATATCACTAAAGACAGAGGACAGTTCTGAGCTGCCGGCTGCTCTCGACCACCCAATATTCATGTTGACAGAGTATCAGTACAGCAAGCCGAGAAATCTGTGGTATTTCCAGGTGCCACAGTGGTGGCGACTAGAACACGTCGCATCTTGACCATAAGACAACCCGGATTCTGAACTCGTTTCTTACTCTAGATTGATTGCGTGTCTATCCAATACACTGGCGACATTGACATATCTAATTCTCCACGACCCCTATGTTCCGCCATTGGATTACATTTCCTGCTTGCTCCGTATTTTCCCTGACTCCCATCAGGCAGAAGATTTCTTGGTTAGAGGCGTGCGCGTCTCTGTCAAAGAGCTTGGTTTTCTGGCCGTTCTCAGTGTGCATTCTTGTCAAGTCATCAATGGCAAAGGTCACAAGACGAGTCGTACAGCGTGGCGTTCCATCATATTCTTCCAGAGGAGCCTGTGTATCTCCTACCTTCGACTGATACCTCTTATAATTCTAGTGTTATGTCTCATAGCCCAGTGCCAGTGGTTACCACAACAAATTATAGTTTCGAAACCCTGAGAGTAATTTTTTTTTGGTGAGCGCTCCGCACCCAGATCTACAGTCACTCATAGGTAGTCCCTTAAAGATCTATCTTCCATAACCATGTAGGCGCAATAACGTATTCTCCCAGTTGAATGTTGCAGGTTTGAAACCTACCTAAAATGGTTTATCTATGATCACCCTTTGCAGCAAATTCACTCACCAACAATTACGTGGATGATCATCTGAACTCACCTTTGCCAAGGGGTTGGTGCACTAGATTCGAAATCTGTTGAAATCTGTTCTTGCATTCATGCAGTGCTGTGCAAGTTTGAAACTTGCTATTCTGAAACCTCGACGACAGCCTTCTTTTCTTTTATCACACCTTTACACATTCAAATACTCATGATAGTTCCGTCGAAGGTCCTTCCCAACGAGTCATAGCCAAGCGCAGACCACTGCAGATTTAGAATCTGTTATTAGACCCCCCCAAGTTTGACGATATTATTCATTCAATGATTCTCTTGCCGAGCGCAGCGGGGCGCTGTTGAAACGTGCTGACATCTTGTGATCCACCCAGTGTTTGAATTACCTTCCGACAGCTAAATGGAGAATTCTATCAGACTCACAGTATTGATATTAGTATTTGGTCGGCTGGAGTCCGAAATGCCGCTCTGCATTGCTAAGCGCTAAGCGCGCGCCTGCTTAAATAGAGAAGATGATTCGGAAATATCGATTTGTTTTAACTGGGACCCGACGTGGTATGTCACAGTCGCATCGAGATATAAATTACATCATAAAGCTCGCAGGCGCTTCCTTAAGTTAGTGCGTGTGAAACTTGGCAGTCTGGGAAAAGTTGGCCCCCTAGTGACGGGTTGGCCTGATTTTAATTCGATTGCTCCCCATGAAGGTTAAATGTAATCGCCGATTTATTGGCAAACGTTCAATTCCATGCTGTATACGTCGTCTATTAGGTAGCTGGGGGGAGGGGGAACAAGAGTATAAGATCGTTGATGCCCTTCACATCTCGCTAGGTTATAGTTCCTTCGATCATACCATGTCAAACCATGTTTATAGCTGTTCTAGCAACGGATTATCTGATTCCTCTACTGCACCAGGACTCTCTGTAGGTCTAAATTATCCATATTCTGACCGTCGATCGCTGCATCTAATCAGGATTTTCAGGTTGCCCATTCTCCTGAAGAGATGTTCCAGTGCATGTGGGGTTATCCGCACGGATTGCATTGCAACGACTTGATTCGTGGTTTCAAGCTGTCTGCTCACCTACGTGAAATTCATGGAATTCGCTGGCAAGAGAACGCGCGCGCCGAGTGCAGATGGAACCATTGTGGCCAAGAGTTCAATATTAAGAGCCTCTGCGAGCATGTGGAAGAAATGCACCTGGGGATCGTACACTTCTGCGACTGCGGCAGCAAGTTCTCGCGCAGGGACACTCTTAGTAATCACAAGAAGAATTGCTCGGGTAGCAGTGCGTAGATGGAGGTCTTTCAGCGTAGACACCCGCCCAGATGATGTTACTTTAACTTGTCTTCAAGTGCTTGTTCATTGTCATATTTGCAGTCAGCGTTTCTTCGGACTTATGATTTGATGGACGTACCAGTACAAATGTTTTATATACAGTCTGTTTACTCCTGTGGTAGTAAAATTTCAAGTACGAGATCAGAGTTCGCAACTCAACCTCACATCTAAACACAAGCGCAGTAGGGGCAGGGTGCCTACTAAGGGACTTCGCCTCGTGTTTGTGCAATGAGGGCGCGACTCTACCTGACAGGGTATCACCGCCGGTGAATTCAAGTAACAGAAGTCTTGTCTTTCGGCTGCTAAACAAGCGATTTGTTGGTTCAAGCGAGATGCATGAGGTCCACGAAAGAGATCTCAATTGCTCTGGTCCGAAACAGGCCCGGTCGGAATCTGTACGTACTAATGCAATGAGTCCGAATGTATGTTCATGTGGTGATACAAACCAAATTGTTAAGGCCTTTAATCAAGCCAAACTTCAACACTGTCTACCGCACACAACTTGCCCGCAACTGCCGGCGGCCCCCCCCCCCCCCCCCCAAATTTCCTCGCTGCATGAGTTTCGGAAGCACAAAGGCCCGATGGAGGATGTCCCCATAGGACGTTGCTACTATTGCTCCCTCCGTGAAGCAATGTAAAAAAAAAACGTATTTAAGGGTCACGTTCCAATCAGGCGGGGAAGGCATTTGGCACTGTACGTGTACCTCCTATGGTGCAGGGGCGTATGGTGTCAATGGAACTGTCATGGAACACGTGTGTGATGACCTGGTTGCACGGGTAATGAACCTCATATTTCGGGTGTCTCGGATGAGAGAGGTTTAATGTTGCGATGCATATAGACTATGTGGTAGCGACTGCAGTCGCTATCTCGTACCAAGGTTAGGGCTAGCGCGATAACTTGTGTAGTTTACTGGGCACCTTTAACATGAACTTGGAAGTTCAGGTAAGTTAGAGCTTAGGTCCGGGACTTCGGGTGCTTGACACATGTACTGCCGCATGAATGATGGCACAAAGAATTTTACAGGACAATGACGCCGAATCATAGAGCATAATTTGAACACGGGTACCCATGCAGGTAGGTGTGATAAGTGCGAACCGCAGTCAATTCATGAGACATGTGATGTGCAAATCACGTGAGAAGAATATGGTGTTTGCCTCATCGTTTGACACTGTCATACCGTAGTACTCTCAATTACTTCCTCCAGAAGAGCGCGGGTCAAGTTTCTGTGACTGAAACACCCTTATCCAAGAAGAATAATAAGCTTACCACACGCAACAGCTTGTTAGCGTGACTCTGGATTCATCATGGCTAGCTCGTTCTTCAAGTCTTGGAGCGCACAAAGACACCAGCCATTATTATCTATTCCAGCATACCTGACATTGACCATATTGCTGCTCTCGTCACCCGTCGCATCAATATGGCCGTTCTCGCCGAAACGGTTCACGAAGAACTCCCTCCTGGACGCAGGCTTAGTAGGCATTAATGACGGGGATCGGGTAGTCGCATTTGGAGACTTCAATGGGGACCAATTGTGAGCTACATATGCATATGTATCTATCTGTGAATGATGTGTTGAATTTTTTGCCCCAATAGCTTGGACGTCTTGTCAATAGACTCGGACCAGCAGACCTTGTCTGTGTACCTCTGGCAGCACGGTTAGATAATAGTGCACCCCATAAATAATCCCTCTGATCACTTCACTCCCGGTAGACGCGTTTTCATTTAAGAAGGTCTCATCATTGCGACACCCGAAGCCTATTCATAATGTCATTCCAGGCGATTTTACGCACGACGGCAAGCTCGATGCGCTTGTCATGAGTTCAGATCGCGCTTCTTCAGATAGGCTAGACATGACTCTCTACACGGGCAATCATGACGGTACATTTGGTGAGTCCTATCTACCTCATGCTGAACATTCCACCATAATCGTAATTGTAGCCTCAGACTTCATTTCAGTCGCATCTTCGACGCTCTCAGAACCCATACCAGTTGATATCGATGGAGACATGAAAATTGACCTCTTGGGCACTGCATATTCACAGGGAACTTATACAGCCCCTTTCACAGTCTGGCGGAATACGTGGAATGCATCGCAGAGTCTTCCAACGCTGTTCGAACTGTAAGTGTTTCAGGCTGCGCGCGGCATCTTCCAACTGACCATGGAATAGTATTGACCCTCCGTTTACTGGAAACCAGTGCACGCTCGCCAATCCTCACAGCAATGCTGTGATTGATCTCAATGGTGATTGTTTAGCAGGTATGTAGGACGACTTTATACCTGTCAACTTAACAATTGTGTTTGGAGATATTTTTCTGGTATGCCAGGATAGTTCGGGGAAGAAGTCATACCAGATCTGGGTTAATAATAAGGACTCTGGATTCTCGTTAGACCAGAGCGGTGACCTGCCTTCTGGAACGCAGGGGATATCTTTTGCTGACGTCGGTTTGTGCCTCCTTTTTTCACATCTCCGACCCATACCAATCAATAGACAGACAGGGATGGCACTATCGACATGGTATTTCCCTCATGCTCGTCCGTTTCCTCAGCTGGTGTGGGCTCCGGCTGTTTTATCAACATAGTGTACAACAAACAATTGCCGCTGTGTACTTCCCCAACATCTTCCGCCACAGACAAGCGAGGAAACCGAACGTGTCGACGACCAGAGGAGCTGTGCACCGCGGACCCAAATTTCAAGTTCGATTTGAGTACAGGAAGCGAAAATGACGTTCGTTGCTGCCCACTTTTCGCACTCCGTAGCCTTACTTAGTATACTCCAGGCATACGTGCAGATTCCACTCTCAGACCTTCTTCCTTCCTCTCCCACGAGCTCTCTCCTAGTCCTCGATACCACGTATTCTCCATCTATTCCCCTGCCTATCAAACTCGGAGATGCTAACCTTGATGGTTTTCCGGATCTGCTTCTAATTGTCTCGAACCCCTCTGATCAATCGCGTACACCCAAACTATTGTTCTCCGAGCCTTGTGCCAAAGGCCTGGGAGGATGCGACGAAAAGGGGAATGGCAGGAGGGGCTTCGAACTTGTCACAAAGGGTGCTGAGTCTTTGGAAGCTGTGAAGGACGCTCGCGGAGTCTCATTTTTGGATATGGACGAGGATGTGAGTATTTACCTTCTGTATTCTGCATATGGGGTTGATTTCACCTGTATACAAGGGTACGTTGGATATCGTCGTGCAGCGAAATGGGCAGCAGAACCAAGGCACTGTATTGTTTGTTCAGAACAACTTTTATTATGATGCGTTCTTTTTGAATGCTATAGGTGAGGGGAGATATCTCTTCATGGCTTCTGTGCTCATACCCAGCTCAGTGCTAAACGGTGCCTGTAATAATGGATGGTGTACGGAGTCAAACGGCTCGACGTATTCCGTGAGTCTTGCTCTAGTCTCGTGAGAAAACTGCGTTGATGCAGTTGATGCAGCCCTTCGGCGTGAGCTATTCTGGTGCATCGTATAAATACACAGTTCTCGACACTTCTGGCCGTCGTGCTGCTGCTCAAGTCGGGCAGCTTCCTCAAACTTCTTATCATTCCCTTCTGACGCCATATTCATTCTTCGGACTCGGGCGCACGAACAATTACATCGAGAATCTGTTTGTCGGCTCAACCAAGCACACGCAAGAACATTTCATCAATATGGAAGGCGTCATTCCGAACTCACGCGTTGTCATCCACCCTGCTCTTGGTGATGGTGCATGGCGAAGGGAGCTGTTCCTCCGTCCAGGGGCTTGGGTCCCATGGGTAACGCTTACAGTTGTAGCCGCAACCTTCATTTTAGCAGGCATTGTCTTCGTTCTGCACCTGAATGAGAAGAGAGAGGATGAGTTGGAGCGGAGGAGGGCATCGCATCATATCAATTTTGATGCGCTATAATGGCGGCAGATGTACGTGTGCTCGCGAGATCTTCACGTTATATGACACTTGTATATTACATTGAATGCAGGATCTACTTCACGCTAAATTTTTCCTGTTGCTTTGATAGTATGTGAACTGAAATCGGGCCCTTTGCCGCCTTTCATAGCTTCGCCAGCAGCTCCCACTTGATGTCCTTGCCCTCGCCCTCAACCTTCTTCACCTTGCCCTCAGCTTGAAGTTTCTCAAGATGCTGATTCACGCTTCGTGCAGCGGGTTCCCATAGATTCTGCGGGTACGCAGAATATATCGTGGACACAATTCCCCACGTAGACCAAGGCTGCCCGTCAGGGCTAGGTTTCTCGATGACGCCGACAATCTGCGCCTCTCTTTCCATACGATGCGCGATGTATGTGCTAATGAGCTTAGGGCCCTCGGCGACGACGGGGCCATGCCCAGGGTACAACACAGTATAATCAGATTGAAATGTAAGAAGCCCGCGCACGGAAGAGATGTATGTTCCTAGGTCCTCGAATACCGCTGTTCCCTGGCCTAGGACGGTATCAGCTGTATAGAGGGCGCGGTCGTCGGGTACGTAGAGGCAGATGGAGTCGGTGGTGTGTCCTGGAGCGTGTATGACTCGCATGGGCATGGTCGAGCCAGTTATATGGAGAAGCTGGCCATGTACAAGATCGTGCAGGAAAGCACCGTTGGCGGTGGGGGTATATGTGCCCGGCGGTGGCGGCGCGATAATTGCGTTAGAGTTAGACGGTGCATTCACAAAAGGGAATTTATGAATACGGGGCGGCTTGAACTGCGCCGGTGTGTTCCGCTCGTCCCACATTCTCCGCAAGAGCGAAAGGACGGAGTTGAGCCCGCCTGTGTGGTCCTGGTGCCAGTGAGAGATGATGATATCGGATATGTGGGGTTCATTTGGGTTTGTGAGCTTGCAGGTATCGGAGAGAGCGGATTCGAGCTGAGGGATGTAGGCGTCCTTGCCTTCACCGGTGTCGATGAGCGTGTAAGGGTTACGCTCGCCGATAAGATAAGTGTTTGTCCCTGCAAAGCCGTTTGGTGTGATCTTGAATTTAGATAGAAGCAATTAGTAGTTACCTTGAAGTGTGAATTTTCCTGGGTTCTGTTGGAGAGTGTGACACTGGGAGCGCACGCTTCCAGGATGGCACTCACCTGGCCCAACACTCTCACTACGCGATCGCTCAGCTATCCAGGCATTCGCAGGTCAGGACGATCATAGTCATGGAATCTCATACATTTGAACCTACCCTAGTAATGGATGCCAAGACCTCGAGTGTTTCCATGATGGCCCGTCCACGGGCTAACTCACCGGGATGCTCCTGAAACAAGCACTTTCGCACACGTTGGAGTCTGACGGTAATGTTGATTAAACCTATGTTGCTGACTAAGTGCATAGCAAGCAAAGGAACTCCCACGGATTCAGTTCATCACGGACGACGATGGCAACATCAGTGCTCCCCCCTCAAATTGCTTCAGATGGTCCTTCTACGCGTAGAAAGAGGTACTTAAAATTTGTCTTCTGGAAATATTTGACCGTTTATGATATTTTCAGGTCTCGTTCTCGCTCACCCGATGAACCAGATGGCATTCCACCGGCAACTCGCCGTCGTTCGCAGTCGCCGTCTCGTGTTCACATAGACCTTCCTCGTGTAAGCGATGTGGACCCCATTCGACGGGTCGAAAGAGAAAGGCAGCTTGCTGCAAATATAGCAGCTAGGAACCTTGAACAAGCGTCAAATCCTAGAGTGCAAGACAGCGCACAGGATGAAGCAGAAAGGAAGGCTGAATTTTCTAAGCTCATAGGCTCACGCTCGGGTGGTGTGTACATGCCCCCTGCACGTCTACGTGCCTTGCAAGCCGCTGCTGCAAACGACAAAACCAGTCCAGAATACCAACGATTATCTTGGGATGCCCTCCGCAAATCTCTGACTGGTATTGTCAACCGAGTCAACATTGCGAACATAAAGCAAATCGTCCCTGAACTCTTTTCCGAAAATCTCATCCGCGGCCGAGGCCTTTTTTCCCGGAGCATCATGAAGGCGCAGTCATCAAGTTTGCCATTTACGCCTGTCTTTGCTGCTGTGGTGGCCGTTATCAACACAAAACTCCCCCAAGTGGGAGAACTTGTTCTTACCCGTTTGATTAGTCAATTCAGACGATCGTTCAAGCGAAATGACAAGGTAAGCGAATCCGAAAAATAATGAGAATGCTCACCTCATCTTCCAAGATTGTATGCCACTCAACAACGACTTTTATCGCTCATCTCGTTAATCAAGCCGTTGCTCATGAAATCATAGCTCTCCAAATACTGGTTCTTCTTCTCGAGCGGCCCACCGATGATTCGATTGAAATTGCTGTCGGCTTCATGCGCGAAGTAGGCGCCTTCCTCGCTGAAAACTCACCAAAGGCCAATGCGACGGTCTTCGAGCGATTCCGTGCTGTCTTGAACGAAGGGTCTATCAGCCACAGGGTTCAATATATGATCGAGGTCCTAATGCAAACTCGGAAGGACAAGTACAAGGACAACCCAATCCTTCCTGAAGGTCTTGACTTGGTTGAAGAAGAAGAGCAAATTACCCATCAAATCCAGCTTGAAGAAGAGCTCCAGGTTCAGGAAGGACTAAGTGCGTACCAATGTCCTGACAAATAGTTTTGGCATGAATTTTGCATATAGATATTTTCAAGTTTGATCCTAATTACCAGGAGAACGAGGAAAAGTACAAGTCTATCAAGGCTGAGATTCTAGGTGAAGGTTCAGAGGACGAAGAATCTGGCTCTGAAGAGTCGTCTAGCGAGGATGAAGATGAAGGTCTGTCCTGTTCTGCATATATTTTGAGTTGCGAGCTCATGTCGTGTAGTGGTCGCGGACAAAGAAGGCATCGAAGATCGTACGGAGACCAATCTTGTGAACCTGCGTCGGACGATCTACTTGACGATCATGAACGCCCTCAATTACGAGGAAGCCGTACATAAGCTCCTTAAAGTACAGATCAAAGAAGGCGATGAGGTACGTGGTCGTATATTCAACGTTTCGCAGATGCTTGACTGTCCTTTTAGATTGAGCTCATCAACATGGTGATCGAATGTTGCTCCCAAGAACGTTCTTACTCCACTTTTTATGGTCTTGTTGGCGAGCGCTTCAGCAAACTCAACCGTGTCTGGACAGATGCTCTCGAGCAGGCCTTCGTCAATTACTATACAACAATCCATCGGTATGAGACTAATCGCCTGCGCAACATTTCTCGTTTCTTCGGTCACATGCTCGCGACGGATGCCATCTCCTGGATTGTGCTCGAGTGTGTCAAGATCAACGAGGAGGACACGACGAGCTCAAGCCGTATTTTTATCAAGATTATGATGCAGGAGATGATGGAAAGTATGGGATTGAAAACGCTTGCGGAGAGGTTCAAGGACGAACAGGTCAAACACGCGACCAAGGACATGTTCCCAATGGACAATCCGAAGAACACACGGTTCTCCATCAACTACTTCACGAGCATTGGACTCGGTGTTCTCACCGAAGAAATGAGAGAGTACCTGAAGGTATGTCAAGTCTACATGCTCGAGCCATTGAAGTGACTAATTTTTTTTTCTGACAGAATGCCCCACGCCTCATTATGGAACAACGGCGCGCCATGCTGGAACAAGAATCAAGTTCCTCCAGTAGTGACTCTGATTCATCTGATTCTGACTCTGATTCTGAGTCCGACTCTGGCTCGGACACTTCCCCATCAGATTCTGAATCATCTGTGGACTCCAGGCGACGTCGACGAACTCCTCCCCTTCGCAGGGGGCGGGATGACTCGCGTTCTCCACCACGCCGTAGTGTGCGAGATGACTCTCGTCGACCTCCTGCACGCCGTGATGGGCGGGACAACTCGCGTACCCCAACCCCACCCCCTCGCCGTGGCGCCCAAGATGACTCACACACTCCACCCCCATATCGTGGTGCTCGAGACGACTCTCGCTCGCCTCCTCCACGCCGAGGTGGACGCTATTCCTCTCGCACACCGTCTCCGTCGCCTCCCCCGCGACAAAGTGATGGACGAGGATATACCCGTCGCGACTCTCCTCGCCACCGGAGAGATGACCGGTCCCCTCCGCCTCGTAAACGGGACATGGATGGACGGGATCGAGGTGGGCGGGATGGTGGATTTGAACGGCGGCGTAAGGATGATTATCATGAGAGAGAGCGGAATGAACGACCTCCTGTAGGTGATATGCGCAGGAGGGCGTCTAACGAGAGGGAGAGAGGCCATGGTGGCAGGAGATAATTCGCTGGTGGAGGTGAATTGTGTTGTCCCTATGTGTACTCATGTTGTTTGGTACAGTGAACGCAAAGTTAATTTCTCTGTATATGCAGATATCATTTATCCATGAGCACCCCTATACAACGTCGCATCACATACACCATAGCCCGGCCAAGTACCTGATATATTCAAGTTCCTGAATCCCATCATCGCTGTCTCCTATGATGCATTATCATTGTAGGACGACCATCCACAGTTGATGGCTAACTTGATATGAATCACGAAACCTGGTAGTGAATTGACCGATCATGACCTCCAAGCCTACCACGTCGCTGTATCATCCCAGGCCGAACATAATTGATTGATGTGCCTTGCCCTCCCCTGCCTACCTACCCTACACTTTCTACACTTTTTGATATCAAGGCTTACAAATTGCATCGAGTTACATGAAGAAGTTGTTGTACCACCCTCGCAGGGGCTTTAGCTGTCTATGTGGCTTCCCACACTCCGATGTACGGGTGAGTGCCAGTGTTCACGAGAACACGGCAGAAACAATTCTGTGAGGGCAGGCAGGGTCATGACATTGCAAACTCGTACAACGCCGTGATGATGTGAAGAGCAGAGGTTCGTGCATTTGGGAAATTTTATCATGACACAGGTCTAGCCTATGCTGGATATTTGGTCTCTTGTCATAGTATCTATTGCCTCAGCTAGAGTTTAATATGTACGAGCTAGCAGTACAAGTAATATGTAGTTCTCGCTGAAATTGGATCGCGGGTGTTGCGATCTGAAGATATTACCAGTGATTGGGTTAATTAGACAGATTATCGAAAATTTGAGGAATAAGGGATAAATCATCGAGGCGTATGCTGGTAAGTATGTGGCGTGAAATTTATCTTCGCATGCTCGATATATGAGGGTGAACAGATGATCTAATTAGCTCGGGAAACATTAGGCAGCAGAATACTCCAAGACGCAGGCTTCGACAAGGTCCCAAACTTTCTCTAGTTTCAGACCGGCCGCAGTGCTATTCCAAACCAATCAGGTGAAAACAAGGCAGCAATCAAACATTACTCACGCGAGTGTGAGGGAGTCTAGCAGTGTGCGCTCCATTGAGTTGTGTATAAACAACATAGTCATATCTTGCTGGTATGAACGCATATTTCCAACACCAAAGTTCGCAAGAAGAGGTTCAGGAGCCTGGGTGCGGAAATGAACGAATATGGATGTAGATCAGCGGACACGACATACCGGAACAACTCCTAACTCTGAAGCTTCTATTGCTGCCTGCTTGCGGCTGAGCTGGCGGAGCACATAGTCATCTAAAATTTGTCAGACTATGGGACAATGGTTACGTTATAATTAACATACGGATGAGGACGCGGCTGTTTGGACCAAGCGCCTTGCGAAGGTTTGAAAGAATGAGCACAGATTCGTGGTCAGGCCAGTCGTGGATTATATTTCTGAGCTGCGGCCATTGTTAAGGTTGCCGCTTACAGAGTTCAGCACTTACATAGTAGATGTCCTTACCCTTCACTGGCACTTGTTTGAAGAAGTCCAACTCCTCAAACTCGACTCTATTTTCTGCCAGGGCTTCAGGATATTCTCTCGCCCATATCTAGATTCTATCAATTGGATGACAAGCACATTGTCTTACTGACTTACGTGTCTCGCCTGGATCAATGCTTCCGGAAGATCGTGAATTGTGATTTTAACATTTTTGTGCATTTTAGCCAAAGGCAGAGAAAATGCTCCGATACCTCCTCCAACGTCGACGACTGTTGAGAACTTTCCGAAAGGGAAATCTATTATCAGGTTAACACGAAAAAATTATTTCGTCTTTGCATGTCCATATACTCACGATTCAGGATGGCGAGCGAGCCCATAATGCCGTTCAGACCTCTCATCGATGTATGATAGGACTGCTAAAGATGTCAGAATGATGGCTCGAAGGAATCAAAATCCCTACCTCGCGCTGACCGTCCTACGAGTGAATTATATCAGGAAGACTTCGTGACGAGCAATATTTGAAAACATACATGCCGCGCTATCCGGTCGAAAAACGTTCCTTCAGTTCCATTTTTGTTGATGGCGTACATTACAGGGGCAACCGTTGGCTCATATGAGTAGGCAATCTTCGGATCTTTGAGTGTTTCATAAAAAACTGATGCTCCCTTGGCAGCTGCGTCCACATGCAACAAGATCATGTATTTGACAGGATTCTCGTCGAGTAGGATTAGAGAAAGTCGGTTGTTGGCAAAAACGTTCACGTCAACTGGCGGAGTCTGAGAAGCAGAACCAAGCAAAAAATGGCTCCTTACTTTCATTGTAGCAACCTCTAGTGGCTAAGAGGCGCATTATCCTGGCCAATTTCTTTGGCTCGATGTTGATTTTCTTGGAGAGCTCATTGACGTGAAGGCCCTTAGGGTACTTTGACAAGATATCCGAAACATGTTCCCGAGCAACTACTCGCATACAAGCAGGATCATACACTTGGACAAGCTGCGTGCAATCTGATGAGCAAAGGTAAAGTGCATTATATCGTTCAAATTCTCACGCTGACTGCAGTGTGGGCAGGTGGAGCAAGCGTTGCGCATATCTGAGCACAAGCACCTTCAAGAATACGAATAGCACTCTTCAAAGCTATCTGGTCGATCGCATTGTCCAACGGGTGGGGCTCCGTCTGGTCGATGGCAGGTACATCACCGTACTGCTCATACAACGCGATGGCATCTCGTGCAGACGTGTTGATCAGAGTCAGGAGTGCCTCAAGTTTTGCCTTGTTGGCCATTATATCGTAGTACTTGTGGAGAGTTGAGGGAAGAGTAAAAAAGGTGATGGAAAAAAGACAGCCAAGGACCCGAAAGCTTATAACGCCACCACGGGGTGGGCCATCTAGTCAAATAAGTTCCGCACGCAATAATTAGTATTGCCCAGGAAACTTTGCTAAAGCTCAGGTAAGCTCGGGTAAGACTAATTTACGGTTAGAAAAGCCACCATGGCTGACATTCAAAAACATGCCTTGTCGTTTGGCCACCACGTCGCACGACCATGACCTCGTCGCCCTGGCCCCTCAAGGGTCTACCGTCTGCAGAGGCACTTGAAGGTTAGAGCGAGTAAGAGTGAAACAAAAGCCATATTCAGTGCTAAGCTCTGTAAGTACAAGTGCATACAAGACAATAACTTGTGACGTACCTCAGGCCTCAGTGAGTGAATTGAACAAACTCAATGAGTGAGGACACAGGCTAAGGTCATTACATAATCGTACCATAACCCAATAAGTATGTAACGCGGGCCCTGGATCGAACACAGCCACATATTAACTCGGTCTCCTAATGACACCCACATTGATTAAAGCACTTAGCCTGAAAGTGCTCTGCAAGAACCATGCATCGTCTCTCTTTCGTTCAATCTTTCTGAGTCCTGTCAGCGTGACGCAGACAGAACCGTACATCCATCGGCTGCCGGTAGAACTTCTACAACAAATTTTCCTCTTCATCGTTAACGACGCGCCAGACTATCCGAGTATCTTTTCATGCGGACCTTACGCCTTTTCGGTCAACGTTACCAGCCCTCCCCTAGTCTTGACCAGGGTGTGTCACCGTTGGCGAGTCGTTGCACATTCAACTGCAGAAATCTGGTCGCGCATCCAAGTCGTCCTCCCCGTGCAAGTTAAATCATTCACCCCATTTTTTCCACGTCTTCTTCAGTCTTGGCTTGCTCGTTCTGGTAATTTACCACTCGCTCTTCGCATTGTATACGGTCCCCCACCCCGCCGCCGCAGCCGCGGAAGTACCTGCCTTCCAGTAGCAAGCTCTCGATTTCTCGATATCCTCCTTGCTGAGAGCAAGCGCTGGGAAACGGTCATTATGCCACACCCATGTAACTGGGATATTTACTTCGACACACCTCATTTGAGAGCCTTGGAATGTAGCGTTCATCTTCTCCGACACAGCAAATTCTATGCACCAAATATCTCTCGCCTGTACATCAAGACTAGTTGTCATCTGTCCTCTCCACTCAGACCGCACATTCCCTTTTACAAAGATTTGCGTCATCTCCACCTCCCGAACACTTCAGTGCGGACTCTATGCTCCACTATCATCAGTTTTCCTCGCCTGGAGACCATTGCTGTCGATAAAATCGAACACTCGGGCAATGTTCTTGACGGTAGAATGTATTCGGCGACACTTGAGTCGATGACACTCCCCCTGCCCTCCTCGTATGAGTCATATTACTTCCAGCAAGAGTTTATCAACATGTTCGGTCTGCTTCATCTTCCAAATTTCCGGAAATTGACTCTGGTTGGAACACCAAAAAAACAACGAGTTCGTGATCTTTTGCCGGTCCTGGCGGCGGCATCTTTTCAGGTGCCTGTAGTAGATTTTCCGACGGACGCACCGTTGAGGAAAGTTCACATGAGCAGCATTGAGTCGCTGCTCTCAGTTGTGGGAGAGGTTACTTTTTGTGGGTAGGTGCCCCGCTATATTGACCCATGCACTTGGTCATTGAACGCTTGTCTAGAAACGTGCTTCAGATCGACAAGCGCCGGAATTCACGACGAAGAGGGAAATTGAAGCTACGTTACTCAAGATAAGTATGTGCCGATGAATTCTATCATGTCTTGAAGTTAAGTTTCACATGGAGTTTGAGTAATGTAACCAGTCACACCTTTGCCTTGGACGAATTTATTTTATTCTGCTCCAATATTTACACCACTAAACCCCTACCGGAACCGTGCTTTTTTTTTCTTATAGTACGTTTTACACGCTGACGGTATATTTGTTTATCCAATAATTGATTCACGCAATGAGGTGGTCAATCTTATTAGCGACGGCTGTCAACAAATCATGCTGAAGGGCCTCCCTCGAAACGGAAGACTTCCTCGACATCCTGTTCACCAAGTTGTTCAAGGAAGCGAAAATCCCCAGTCCACAAAAAACACTCACCGTCCACCAAGGTATCTCCTTTCCACTCCCCGATGCACCGTCATTAAAGCTCTCCTGCATACTATCTGTGAGCTTCCACCACCGCTGCGTCTCCTCGTCATCCCCGATAGCTTTCATATCGTTCTCAAAGTCACTACCCGTGTACTTGAAGTTCGCGATGAGCAAATTCAGCTGCGGGTAATGGTTGATCGAGTAGTCCACAATGTGGTGCCGTCTAAGGGCGTTGAGGACGCCAGGCCAGACGTTACTGTGAACCTCCTTGTACTCGTCCACGCATTCTGGTTTGAGCTGCGACGACGGTCAGTGGATTGAGCATTTATTACAAAGGAGAGAACCCGTGCGCACCTTGATTATCTGGCAAATGCGCTTGGTATGTGGGGCATCACTAGTAAGTCCCTTGATTATCTGGCAAATGCGCTTGGTATGTGGGGCATCACTAGTAGGTCCCTTGATGTAGTCAGCAGACTGCTCAGGCAACTTGCTCGAGACAATTCGATAGATATCTGAGAACACGTCAGTGAAGCGCCATTTGGAACAAATACCAACAAGTACCAGAAAGAGTGGTTTGGAAAGCTGACTCGACATTCGATGCGTCTAGTGCCGAAGTCTCGATGAACAGAAGCTCATTCTCCGCTGTCGGATAGTCAGTACGTGAGCCATTCAGTCACGTAAGACATACCTGCAAAGGACTTTGCCTCCTCGGTGGGAACTGCCCTCAGGTGTTCCAAGTCACTCTTGTTCCCAACGAGCATCATAACAATGTTCGAGTCGGCGTGATCCCGGAGCTCCTTCAACCACCGCATCACGTTGACGTACGTTGCATGTTTAGAAATGTCATACACCAACAGAGCACCAACAGCACCACGGTAATAACTGTAGGAACATTAGCCCAGACTGCAACTGGGGAGAGCGATAACGTACGCAGAGGCGATTGCGCGGTAACGCACTTGGCCTGCAGTATCCCATATCTGTGCCTTCACCGTCTTGCCATCAACAGTGATCGAACGAGTCGCGAACTCGACACCAATTGTTGATTTCGACTCCAGGTTGAACTCATTACGAGTGAGTCTCGAGAGAACTGATTAATGAGTATGAGCTGGCGTGCGTCCCTTGGCAGTACACTATTCCTTACGATTGCTGTAGATTGCTGTGAGCTAGGAAACGATAAACGGACATTGAAACATGCTTACGATTTGCCGACTCCAGGATCACCGACTAGAACAACCTATGGAACGGAAACTGGTAAGCGACGTATAAACTGTTGTCAAATCTACCACGTACCTTGAAGAGATAATCATAATAATCGGTCATGTTGTGGTTACAGCCTGCTCTATAATTAGACCGCTGTCCGCTTTCGCTGTTGCCCGAAACATTATAAAATAATTCCAAATCGTAGCGGTGCTGGAAAGCGTCCCAACTCCAAGAAATGACAATGAATTGGCAGTAAATAGTATCAATTACGATGAGTGTTGCGACTGCGAGTCCTAAATCTGCAGCTCCCTCCTCCAACTCAGTCTTGATTGACTAAATTATCATATGGAACCGTCATAAAGCGCAGCGACGCGATATGCCTCTCAAAACCTTTGAGCACCGTACTCGTCGTTTTATAGTTTTCGTTGTCGTAGAGAGACGTTCGACTGGAGAAAAAAGTGTTGTTGTAGACTGGCTCTGAGGGCAGGTGACCATCAACTTCACCGAATCGCTTAGTTTTTTTCGCTGGTCGTCTGCGTTCGATTTTTCTGATCATTTTTGTCGCTTGGACCATGTCAATAGCTTGCTTCGTTGTTGAAATAAAAATCAATCTTTGTAGCTTGGACAGGCCACCATCGAGTCCGATCAGAGTTATCCGTACACTAGATGGGACGTGATTCTTATGACAATAATCTTGCTCGAAGAACCTGATCTGTAGGTAGTACGATTTCACATATCCATAACGTCGTGCTTTAGAAAATCGGCGACAATACTCAGGAATTTGATCCAGGCGTCGATTGATGCTACGGACTGCAGCAGGTGTAGCACAAGCCTAGTTTGGCTCTTTGCATTCCTAATGGGCAGACGGTAGGCCATTCAGCGCATATATCGAGGCAGGAGGTCTGCTGGTCAAGTTCATCGGCGAGGACGGTATTCACCCCAACCAGAGCGACAAGGATGGAGAGGTAGATGAACTGGATAGGCTTCATGTTACCTGTCATGACTGTGCTTTAGTGATGGCTGTGAGCACTAGGAGACTACTCACAAACAAAACTTTGGCTATGCGATGTGCGTGAAGTTGCTATAACAAGTGTTAGGAGCGCTATATGTCGATTGAGCGATAGTCGCATCATGATGTAGCACAAGAGGGCCACTCACTGCAAAGGAGGCGCTTGTATCTGAGGCTTTTGGAATTCAGCGGCCTTGAATTTATATTCTTCTGGCAGTTAGCGCTGAAAGGGGAGGTTCAACCCCATAAAAAATTTACACTGGCGGCTAAATCAAACCAAAGGTTCAGTGCTGGAGCATGGATGAGATAAATTTGAAAGAGTCATTTAATTCCCCGCAGAGTGTGCGCCTTGAAGAACATTATTCCGTTCAGCGCTGAGGGTCCGGTGGTCGTGAGAATGATAGTCATAAAGTCAAGAGTGGACGTAGAACTCCAGGCGATACAGTAGTTGAAGAAGCTGTAATGTGCCTCGATATGAACACTATAAGCACACCGAATATAGTGAACTCGCTGGAACTATCGAGCTGGCACACTGATACTCCCACGTACCAGACCTTCGATACAGTGTAGAACCACTGGTTGAGACATACTCGGCCATAAAAGTGCAAAAAACAGCGGATGCAAGGCGCACGTGGCTGGCACTGGCTACATTTAATGCTGGCGTTGAGATCTGTGATGTTCATGCGGAATTTCACTGCTTCCGCGTTTTTCAAGGACCTGTATGGTGGTGAGAAGACAGAAGACGAATAGGACAACGAAACAAACATCTCAACCGGACTCCTGCTTCAACGTCACGCCTCCACTCCTCCTCGACAATGTCAACGACCCAATCATGCTCTTGAATTAGATCGACATGACCCAAAGCTCTAACTCGTCTCCTTCTTGGTGGCAGCAAGCTCGTCCCGGACGGCGTCACCTTGTGTCCCTCTCCTTCTTCGACTGCAGTGCGGCATCTCAGTTCTTCTACTTTAAGTCCAACGATATAAGAACTCCAAATCCCCGTAGATTTCATCATTTCCGTCTTAAAGGTGGAAGCCATGAAATAGTAAAACTACTACTACAAAGTCCCCCCTGCAAGCAGAGATCTTGATCTTTGACATTGCGTGGCGAGAAGAACTGCTTCGAAAAGTGTTTGGTTAGCTGAGGGTCGTGTCAAATCAGGTCATACCTGACACTCTCGAAAGCGATTCACAGCTGTCTCAGTTTCTTGGAGTGGTTAGCTTTGACAGAGAGAAAAAATATGCCAAAAGGTAAACAAAGCACGATGGCCAAAGCATCAAGTGGACAACATGCGAGAAGGATCAGTGACTTTTACTCATGCTCACAGTCGTGACAATAGTCATGGTGACTAAAATATAAGGAGCGACCCAGAATTCCAATGCAGCTGGTGTGTCCGGCGCTGACAGGTCCAACGTGGATGGCTTTCGGAAGTTTGGATCATCCACGTTCAAGATATGGGACCTTGCGGCGTTCAACGGCGCATACTAGTAAACATGTCTGTCAAATAAGACAAAGTGGTGTTTTTGAGTGTAAAAGTCGTATGCTAGGATGTTTGGCAATACAATTTGGTATACCGGGGGAGGGTCTAAGGTGGCCTCATATACATTTTTTCCCGAGCGGGCGCCGGGTACCTAGCATTACTTTTCGAAAATAAATTCACACTTTTTTTGGAAATTACCGCCGGCCGCCTCTACGTATACCATTATGCAAATTGCTGTAACTCTCTTCTTGGAAGTTCCCGCCGTGTTGTTAGTATGTCTCTCCAGCCATTGACCTCTCTGTACCGATATGCTGTTGAACCAATAGCACCATTTACCTGGTTCGGTACCAAGGTCTCCACCCTTGATCTGGTAGCCGTGTTCCGGCTTTGCATCGCTTTGAGGCAGATGAGGGAGAATTTGCATGATAAACATCAACGAACAACCGGAGAGAATAGACTCACACTCGTAGAGGAGAGGTCCTTCGTGAGAGACGCATGTGCCATGCTGACGATTGTATTTGGAGGAGAGGCTATCATAGGTATAGTACTAACTTCTTTGTGTAGGGAGATGTCAGCTGTGCATACTGACCGCTCCCCATGCGCAGGCCCTCTACTTGGTATTGTGCCATCTTTCGTGTTCTCAGGTGTTTCTCCCGGGTTGTACATTGCCGCACAAGCAATCATAGAGTACATCCCTGTCTTGCCGTCCGTGTCACTCAGCACGGAACTTCCTTTATCTATTGTCGACGGATTTACCCGAGCAGTGCTCCTCTGTAGCCTCATACCACCACCCGTCATCACCCATGCATCCCCCGTCATCGCATCTTCCCCGTGGGCTCTCCTTCTATCATCTCTTGTATGTGCTCGCTTCCCGTCATGATATGCGTCTCGATACCTCTGACCACTACCCTTTCTTACCACAGGTTACCGCCAATGGCGGCTTCTTCATAACGAACATGTTCTCATTCATGGATCCCACCCCGCTTAAAGTGACGACTCCCGATGAGCTTAAGCCCTATGGCTGGACAACCACTGACATCTGGTCCGCCCCATTTATCACGGGGCTCTATGCCCTGCTCACGCACGCTCAGCCGTTCTGGGCCGAGCTCCACAGTGTAATCTCAACTGCCCTCGGAGGCACCGGAAGTAAAGTTGGTCCTATGGACCCAGAGTCTGCCCGTGCGCTGTGCGCGCTAATTCTCGTAGTATTGTTCTCCACCCGGACCGCAAAGAACTTTGGGCTCATCTGGAAGAAGAGTGAGTTGCATCAGTTGTTTCTATGCTGGGGTGGTACTGATGGTTCTTAAGGTGTTGTAGAGAAGATCAAGATTCAATGAATACCCAGCGCGATATCTATGTATACCGCTTGCTATAGATCTACTAACACTTACGAATGATATATCCTTGCCACGAATGGTGTACGAGTGGTCCAGCGGTGCGTTGACAGGTTGAAAACTCAAAGGATGTCAAGCTCTACAGATACTGAGGCCGAGGACTGTCCAGAACATACACGTCAGTTCCCCTGGTGCATACGTAGTCGACACGTCGGACATCCCTAAGTAGGAAATGCTCCTATACACGCCCAACAAGTGGCTGAACGCAGTTGTATTTCACGGGAACGCGGTGGAAAATGTTGCCCGATTGGACTCTGCATTTCGATAGGAGGTCTGGTAGGTAAATGATCCTTACGCGCCCTTCACGAATTCCATCAGTCCTTGAAGTCCTGTCCAGCCCATAAACTCGCTGAATCTGTCTCAAGGAATCTTCGCCTTCTCGGGCTTTTTTGTGACTCGTGTACCAAAACATGGGATCAAGGCGAACATCAGATCTGTAACGAGGCTGAGCCACTCAATAGCATTGATTTCTGCACAGTCAATGACATTTATGGAGCTCAGAGAAGTCGTTGATGGTCTCCTTGTATTCCTGTCTGATATTCCGTGTCGATATCTGTTGCACTTCCTTTTCGCAATGCCCTGAGGGGATAGCAGAGTTGACAAAGATAAGGATCCGGGTGTTTGAGGTATTGATCCTGAGGAAGACTCGGACGATGTCGTTGGTAATATATGAAAATACCTGCAGTATGAGACTCCAAGATCGTCGCTTAAAACAAGATTGGAGAACTAATGTCATAGTAACAATGGTATGCATAAATCCTGCGCCTTGCACCTGTCATCGCCACAAAGGCCCAAGTCGGGAGCTTGGCGTACATATTGAGCTCACTTGCGGTAGGTCACATACGCATGCAGTGGTGGTGGCAGAACAGACATATCTCATTCATAAATTTCGTACACATTTAGATCTTCATCGTTCATAAAACCAATATCACTCCAGTTATTCACTGTGTTTTGATTTTCTCAGCAACACCTGCACATGTGTTAAAAAGCCATCAGCCCCGATCACCGATCCAGAATGATGGAACTCACCCCTCTTCCAAACAAGCCCATAGTTCTTCGCAGTCCGAGTAGAGAACATTCCCGCAAGGATTAGCGCGCATAGCGCACGGGCAGCTTCTGGGTCCATAGGACCGACTTTATCGCCGGTGTTTCCGAGGACGGTTGAGATCACGCCGTGGAGCTCAGCCCAGAACGGCTGGGCGTGCGTGAGGAGGGCATAAAGCCCTGTGATGAACGGCGCACACCAAATATCTGTGGCTGTCCAGCCGTAGGGTTTGATCGCAGCGGGAGTCGTGAGCGTGAGCGGGGTAGGCTCGAGGAAGGAGAACATGCTGGTTATGAAGAAGCCTCCATTTGCGATGACCTGTTATGGGTAAAAGATAGTCAGAGAGATCAAGACAGAATTGACAAGAGATGACGTACGAGAGAGGATAGCAAAAGAGTCCAGGGAGAGGATGCGATCACAGGGGATGCGTGAGTGATAACAGGTTTAGGTATGAGGCTGCATAGAAGCAATGCGCGTGTGAATCCGTCGACGATAGACAACGGAAGCTCAGTGCTGAGTGACATGGACGGTATAACAGGGATATACTCTACGATCGCCTGCGCGGCGATGTACACACCGGGGGAAACACCTGAGAGCACGAAAGATGGGGGGACACCGAGCAGAGAGCCTGAAGGTGGAAAGCGGTTAGTATGCATAACACAGGTTTGAGTTATGTAGTAAAGTACCTATAATGGCCTCTCCTCCAAATTTGATCGTGAGCGAGGTACATGCGTCTCTTAGGAAGGACCTCTCCTCCACGGGTGCAGGTTTATCGCCAGCACGGCGCTGATGCTTGGCATATAAATCTTCCTTGGTCTGTCTCAAGACGGTGCAAAGCCGCAAGGCGGCTACCAATTCGATGGAGCAGACCTTGATACCAAACCAGCTAAAAGGTGCTATGGGTTCGAGAGCATACTGATACAGAGATATGAATGGCTGGAGAGACATGACAGGGTCGAGGAATGGTTAAAGTCGAGGTGCAAAGTTGCAGGAGACAAGCAGAAGAAGCCCTGAGACATCCTCCTTCGGCTCAGCACTTGAGCGCCTCCGAGTCTGACACGACAATATTAGCTGGCAGTCGGATTTCGGAACAATCGTGTGCACGAGCCACGTTGGAGATTCTACTAAGCTTAGAAATTTCAATGCTTACGCAAACCCTCTCTAGTACAGCAAAAAACGTTCAAAGAATGATCTTGATTGTATTCATACCAAACAAAGCCCCGTACAACAAGATTTAGAAGTTAGAACAGCAAATAAATATGCGCAATAACGATAGTCAAACCACGATCACAAGTAACGTTAACAGAGTCGGTCAGATATCTGACGACCGTAAAATGTCGTTAACAGGTATTACAGAGAATCACTCAGCCAGTCGAACAGGACGATCCTAGTTCCTTTTCCTCGCACTGGCCACATCAATACTGTCGTCGATCGTGCCAAACTTGAGATCGTCCAGAACGCCCAGCAGATTCATATCTCAATTCTGGAAGTGTAGATTGACAGCCGGAAAGTTCGGGCACTTCAAGAAAGTGGGAAGGCCGTCAAACAGCTTAGGTGCGTGCCAGTATAAGTCGATCTTGCGGTCCTCGGAAAGTTCAGTCCAGCATGCCGGGTCCATAGGGTGATCAATAACGTGAAGTATAAATGCACCTCTATACGCTGCTGCAGGTTCCTGTAGCAGCCCAGGCCCTGGGAATGTTGGAACTTCCATGAATACGTTGACAGCGAAGTTGAAAAACGTCAGTTCTTCGGCAGAATAAATCATATTACCGAACTGAATTGGAGAAGTGACCACACTCGGTTGACTTGAAAGTGGTTTGTACGAGGCGGGAACGCCGCGCTTAAGAGACATGGACCATAGAGTGTCTTCAGGATTTTCTGAATTCTCGAACTTCGATGGATGTTCCGTAGGGAGAACATGGATGATCACGCCATACTTGTTACACCAACGTGGTGGATTCATACATATGACTTCGCTGTTTCGAATTATGACCATAGGAAGTGGCTCCGGAAACGCGTCCTTGTATCTTTCAAGGTAATTAGGAACCTGGTTCAAAAACTTGATGGGATAGATCGGGCGTTGCGCGTCATTGGGGCAGCATGGGTTTCGAGGAATCTTAGAGTAGTATCGACGAGTGACAGAATCCTTGTGCTGACAGAAGTCGGTGATTAATTGAGCGTATTGTCGGGTATCAGGCATGTCGAATTGAGCATATTGTTGAGCACCAGGCATGTCGAAGAAAGGCGGCGGACGCATTGACATCCCGTGGAGATCGACTAGCTTTTCGTAAATCATCCTCGGTATGATATTTTCCGCCTCGAGAAATTCTCTCGGTATGCAGTAGGCAAATGGCGCAGGGAGAGTGGCTCGTAGGACTGGCCCGTTCGGTCTGGTTGAAGTCGGAGTGTGAGCGAAAGTCAGTTGGACTTGAGGGGTCCGAGTGGCATCATCGCGTGCAAGTATGGTATCGACGTCAGCGGGGATGGGCCATGGTGCGTATAGCAGATCGTGGGGCACATAGTGCATGTTGGCATCAATGTCATTGATATCCTTTTCCAAATCATATTGGGCGAAGTCAGGCGCAGCGAACTGGAAGCCAGGAATCTACATTGTGTGTTCGGCTTACACGCAAGTAAAAAGAACGATTCTCGTACCCATTTGTGAAAGTCGAAACTGTCGGCGTACAGATTGTCATCACTTGGTAAACCTGGTAGATAATGGGCAAAGCTCTGAGAGGGTGCGGTCGTGGTGAAGTCAAGCATGACGAGATGAGCAGATTCTTTCGAACTTGAAGAAGAGTTCTTGATCTGCATAATGATATGACAATAAGCAAAGACGAAAGATGATGAGGATGCAGAGGAAATGTCTACTGTTTATATAGTTCAGGTCAAGGTGGTGGATGATATTGTCGTATCATTGCCTTTATTGAAAGGTAACTAAGCATGGTACAATGGCAAAGCGGCTGTAATGGCCCTAAACCGGGAATGCGAGATAGTTCTTTACAGCGATTCAGTCCATGAGTGCGCTGGTTCAAGACTGTCCCCTCCAGAAAACTTGGTGTCCACATGTTCCTTGCGCCGAAAGGCGTAATCGGACTTGGAATAATCGGTCCTTGATTGGCCAGGGAAGCAATTCCGCAACCTGCAGGATCCGCCGAGTTAGTCGTAGGAGATCAGGGCATGTCATCAGACGCGCTGTGGGTCGTGCTGCCCGCAAACCTTTTTGCCCGCCTCGAATACCAGTTGTCACCACCACAGTAGATTCCAAAGAAATAATGATTGCTATAGCTACGAAACGCATCTCTATCTAACAACAATTGCTACTTGTTGCAGGTGTGGATGAGTCAATCGCTACAGGAATAGTGTCACTAGTAGGTCCCTTGATGTAGTCAGCAGACTGCTCAGGCAACTTGCTCGAGACAATTCGATAGATATCTGAGAACACGTCAGTGGAGCGCCATTTGGAACAAATACTAACAAGTACCAGAAAAAGTGGTTTGGAAAGCTGACTCGACATTTGATGCGTCTAGTGCCGAAGTCTCGATGAACGAAAGCTCATTTTCCGCTATCGGACAATCAGTACGTGAGTCATTCAGTCACGGTAAGTTCATGTCAGACATACCTGCAAAGGACTTTGCCTCTTCGGTGGGAACTGCCCTCAGATGTTTCAAGTCACTCTTGTTCCCAACGAGCATCATAACAATGTTCGAGTCGGCGTGATCCCGGAGCTCCTTCAACCACCGCATCACGCTGACGTACGTTGCATGTTTAGAAATGTCATACACCAACAGAGCACCAACAGCACCACGGTAATAACTGTAGGAACATTAGCCCAGACTGCAACTGGGGGGAGCGACAACGTACGCAGAGGTGATTGCGCGGTAACGCTCTTGGCCTGCAGTATCCCATATCTGTGCCTTCACCGTCTTGCCATCAACAGTGATCGAACGAGTCGCGAACTCGACACCAATTGTTGATTTCGACTCCAGGTTGAATTCATTACGAGTGAATCGCGAGAGAACTGATTAATGAGTGTCAGTTGGCGTGCGTCCCTTGACCAGTGCACTATTCCTTACGATTGCTGTAGATTGCTGTGAGCTAGGAAACGAACACTGGATATTGAGACATGCTTACGACTTGCCGACTCCAGAGTCACCAATTAGAACAACCTATGGAACGGAAACTAGTAAGCGACGTATAAACTGTTGCCAAATCTACCACGTACCTTGAAGAGATAATCATAATCGGCCATGTTGTGGTTACAGCCTGAGAGCTATGGAGTCCTAGTCGCTGTGAACACAATTGCCTAATTGGAACTTAACGCAGCGCTCTGTTTGACACCCACTTAGACGGCGCTTTCGATTCTTCGAAGATGGCAAACTGCTTCAACCTGGAGTATGCATCCATAGATCACAGTAAATGGAGGAACCTTCCTCCTCCTCCAGGATTTTCAAGCTTTGCTCCAAGCGTCAGTCCTATGCCCATTTCTAACCGTCTAAGCTAATGCTTTCATAAATTCAACAGTCCAGAACACCAGCCAAGGCTCCAACAGCATCAACGTCATCGTCGTATGCATCGTTAAAAGACAAACGCGCTTGGGATCTCGCCATCTCGCCCGCAAAGTCTCTTCCTATGCAGGCATTTATGTTGTACATGTCTGGGGGAGGTGTACAAATCTTCAGCATGGGTATCGTGTTCATGCTTCTTCTCTCGCCTTTTAAAAATATCGCTGGTATGAATGCAGGTATGTCATGTCTGTTCAATGAACGTATTTGTCACATATCTGATTGTCGAGGCAGCATTCGCACCATTTGCGCCTACACCTGCAAGCGTCAAGTCACTCAAGGTCCTTCCTCTCCAGAAGATAGCATACATCGCGTGCAACTTGTTAACACTTGCAGTTGGCCTCTGGAAGTGTCGTTCTATGGGTCTTCTACCAACTGGAACAGGAGATTGGCTTGCATTCGAGAGTCGAGCGATGGTGAGTTATCATACAGCGCCTCTGGACGCTCTCACATATCCTTACAAGGCACCTGAGCTGTCGCTACCATAATCAAGAAGTGACCTATGTACGTGATTGGGATAGTGTCTGAAGCCCTAGTCAGATCTGTGTTTCGAGAGGCTCGCCAACACACAGTTCTGCCCTACTTCAAAGCTACCTCTAATCTGTAATGAATAGACATGACAAGTCCCCGTCATGGGTATTAAATTCCTATCAAACCCAACAGTTCCAACAATACGAACTAGTCATCAATTGTGGTGTGAGAAAGACGGATGAGATCAGCTTCTCTAAGAGCACGAGCATAGCCTCAAGTCCACTCAGCTCGTGCGGAAGAGAACAGATGCAACAGGACTAGGGAAAATCATGATGTCTTGGCGCAACGAGAGAAACGACATAAAAAAAGATGAGAAGGATATATGAGGCAGAACAAGGCGTAAAGGAGTCATAAGAAGATAAAACAAGCTGTACCGTCGTGATGGATCATTCATTAAACGACGACGCATTTATGTGTCTTCTTAACCACGGGTGGCTCTAGCGCAGCGACAATAGCCTTGTGGGTTATCAGCCAATCATTCGGATGCCATTTATTAAAGATTTCACTGACCTCGTCGAAGACGTTCTTCAACCCTTTCTGCGTCAGGGCTGAGCACTCCACATACTTGACAGCACCAAGCTCTCTGGAAAGCCTCTCGCCGTGCTCGGTCGGCACCGGTCGTTGCTTCTGCCTGGAGAGCTTCTCAATCACCTGAGCGTCGTCCCGCAAATCGATTTGCGTCCCAACGATAAGACATGGGACACCCGGACAATGATGGTGTACCTCCGGAATCCATTTCTCCCTCACGTTCTCGAAGGATGGAGGGGACGTTACACTAAAGCAAACAAGGAAGACGTCGGTTTGGGGGTATGACAGTGGCCGGAGACGGTCATAATCCTCTTGCCCTTTTATGTGGAAGTGATGTGTGAGCGATTGCATGAAGTGTAACTACAACAGAGACTACAAAAAGACACGAACCGGCGGTGTCGAAAAGACCTAGTGTGTAAGGATCTTCACCAATCATTACAGTGACAGCGTAGTTATCGAAGACCTGCGTTTATTTAGCATGTAGGGTTTAGTGGTCTTACGGAATGAACTCACAGTCGGAACATAGTCGCTTGGAAATTTGTTCGTGGTGTATGAGATCAACAAACAAGTCTGGTGATATTGGGGCACACAGTTCAAAGTCCGGGGCATACAAACACAACACGTCACGCACCTTGCCTACAGCACCGTCCCCCACCACTACAACCTTGATAGTCTGCATGTCGTTGAGATGGTTCTACGTGATAAACTTGGCTATTAATGTGAAAAAAGCAGTCAGCACACGCGTCAACCACGCATTCAAGGGCCGCTTTTAAAACGCCTGCAACATGAGGGGGCTGCATGACAACCACACAACCATGAAGGGTGGAAGTCTCGGCTGTTGGGTAATAGGGCAAATGAACAGACGTCTTACCGATTCTTCCGGAAAATTCAAGGAGGAGAGTTGAAGCGAGGAAATGCTATTAACCCAATCACGACAGAGAAGGTTGACTCTAATTTACGAACAGGACCTAAGTCAGTTGGATTGGTTAAGCAGCGAAGAATGGCGGTGAAAGCGAAAAAGGCGGTTAAACGTACGTCGGTAGAAGAAATGAGAAAGTACGGTGTCGATGTTGGCGACGACGACGAGCAACGAAGGAGTTCAACTACGACTTCTGATCATGCAGGCTTGACCCGACGAACCGGCCCTAATCAGCCAAATAATGCCAAACACTACTACTATTATCATTTCTTATCGAGGTTCTGGTCTTCGCCGTCCACAATGAAAAAGGTTCCGAATCATTTATCCTAAAATCACCACAACGGATAGTAGCTGCATAATGTCCATACAAAAATTATAGAACACTCATATCATAATTTACGCAGGTTGCACATGCAAAGTACTGGTACATCGCATTCTTCCAGAGGGAATTTAGGAATGTTTCACCCAATTAATCAAGAAGGTTGCTTGACACGGAGACAATGTCCCTGATGAGCAAGTGCGCTAAAAGTAGTACTGTAAATTCTTACCGAAAGTCACTGATCGGGAGGGGAGTTCCACCACGACAATAGGCCTTGTGCAGTTCCCGTGACGATGTATGAATGAGATGCACGGTCAAAGCCCTATAACGCAATTTAATATCGCAAATCGCAGACGAAACCAAGTATACTGACTGCGACGGCCTGGGTTTGCTCATCTACAACCAGAAGCCATCAGATCAGCGAGAAGCCGAGCAACAATTACAGTTGACTCACTATCTCCATGATCCAGACCACACAAGACCTCGCCTTTCATTTTGTTCCAGACCAAACAAGAAGACTCTCTGCTATGGAATACTACAGAACGACCACCATTGACGAACACCGCAGGAGTGGATTGTTTCGCGTCACTGGTGGAATCTCCGTTTATAGCATATACCTGCTCAATTTTACCTTTGCGATCCATCCCTTGAATGCCTACAAGATGAGCACGAGCGCCCACTTGAGACACAAGGGCCTGCGTTCCGTTCGGACTAACGTCCAGGTGTCGTCTGTCGCACAGATTATGTCAGTCGTGAGATTAGGCAATCAGAAATCAATCCATGCATTTTAGCTTTGAGAAATGCGTATGCTCGGAGGGTTCCGTTGGGCACTTGACAATACCATCTGTTGCGATCTGTTATCAGAGGTCACTGGTCCAACATTTGTAAGATGCCCTTACAATACGCCGTCACTGGTGCCTCCAAGTAATGCCTCACCATCCTCGACGAACTTGATACACGTCACATTTTGTCGAAGAATGGACCGCTGTGGTTGCCATGTGCCTGCGACAGATCAAATTATGCTTGCTCAAACTCGAGAGAGAAATACAGACCTTTGATCCATAGCCACACCCTCACACCGAAGCGAGGAAATGCAACAGCAAGGCGATCCCTGTTGTAGGTGAAGCTGATGGATTCCTCCTTCCCCGCATCGAGAAGCTTTGCCCATTGCCAATGATTCTGGTTCTGGCTCAGATGGTCAGCTAAAGTCAAATTCATGACCAAGAACATCAACACTTGCGTTTCGCGTCCATTTACTGATCATACCATCTTGTCCCAGCGTGATGATACCATTGTCATCCGCCATCCAAGCAACAGATGATATTGGTGAGTTTTGCGCAAGACGAGCAGTTTCGACTCGACTTGATACACTCCATATTCGGATTGTTCGGTCATGACCTATATTCAAGAGATTGGCCCAAGTAGGAGAATGAAAAAGAACGACAGAGACGAACATACGACAGCCATACGTTCACCGTCTGAGCTGAAAACGATCTCTCTGACGCCAGCATCGCTATCACTCTTGATCCGTGTGGAGTACATACTTTCTTGTGTGGGCCAGGGATGCGTGCGCTTCCGCGGACGCATGCTTTCTGCATCAGACGCTACGGACATTGCTCGTTTTTTGCCTTTGCTGTCGGACGGCGGCGTCGCACTGTTGGACTCGAGGGAAAATCGGAGAATATTGGGAGATGTGGCTGAAGCAGGCAACACAGGTCGTGGCGACTGTATTGAAATTTTCTGCTTCACAGTTGTCGTAGGCGTGGGTGGTAATGGAACGTCCATGTATTCTGAAAAGACATGAGTAAAAAGCGAAGATTATGACAGAGACGCATTCTTACCGTGTTTGACGCTGGGCTCGCCGGAACTGGATGGAGAGTCTGTTGGTGGCATATCCCTTAGTGACTTGTGCAAAAAACCAGGAGGAGATGGGGAGGTATATGCGACAAAATTTGATAAACCTGGGGGTGTTGTTGACGAGCGAGTGCTCTCAGGCGTGAGGGGTCGATGAGCACCTGTAAGTGACGGTAAAGCCTTGGATGTCACAGGGGATATAGACGTAGAGCCATGTCCGTTAGCCTGTCGCGTGTGTGGCCAGCCATTACCAATTGTCAATGGTTTCTTCGGTGCTTGCTGAGACTGGATTGGAGTGGCTTTAATAGGGGCAAATCGTGAAGGACGAATGTTCAAAGGATTAGATATTGTTCCAGTAGCATTATAGGATGTTCTCGCATCGCTGGCTGACGTTAAAGGTGAATAAACGGGCTTGTAAGGCGCCTTATTGGAGTAAGCGATCACAGTTTCTGACGGACGAGGGGGTAAAGAACTGGGGTATGGTTGAGTTCGTGGAGGCTGAGGCACAAATGGAGGGGTTGGAGGTAAGGGGGCTGCAAGAAGACGTTGCTCTTGAGCAGATAGTCTTGCAGGCACTGGTGGAGGTGGGGGGGAAGGCTGTGTTGAACACTGAGGTGAAGGTGCGCAAGGGGACAGAGAAGTGGATACAGTGGAAGAAGCAGGAACGAACATAGGTGCTTGAAGTGGAGGATTCGAACGTGGAGGTGCAGGCATTGAGATAGGTGTAGGAGTTGACTGAGTGATTGGCATATGTAAGTAAAATGGACTACCATCAGAATTGTGATACTTGCCTGTGCCTCAGACATGTTCGGTGAGCCAGTGCGAGACTTCGGTGGTAGCGATTTTTGAGCAGTGAGCGATGCAGGCGATCCAACAAACTCTGTCATAAATCCACCGGAAACGAATGGATTGACGATCGTCGGTCTCTTTGGAACACATATAGTGAGTTTTGGAGGCAGAGTTGCAAGTTTATTGACGGCAGGAGGCACCGCAGAAGGTGGAGACTCTTTCGGAGGAGGGGTTCGCTCAGAGATAGAGGGCTGTGTAGAGGATTGTACAGACGGAATAGAAGGAATAATTGTTTTCGGGGGTGAATCTGACTGTTCCAGCCCAGGTTCCATGGGTCGCTGAGGTGGCGCGGGTGCGCGCCATGATAAACCAGTTACCAGACCAGGTATATCAGATGATGAGGAAGATGTAGAACTAGGAGAGGACTGAAGATCCATGTCAGCAGTCTCAGAAGTGGGAGTGCTAGGTTCTGCAGGTAAACTGCTAGTATCCCCTGGGTGACGAAGATCATCTTCAATCTGCTTCTCATCTTGTGAGTCGCTTGAGAGGTCCATACCGCTGTCTTGAGAGCTTTTTGGAGGTTCTGTTACAGGACTTTGAACTCTAAAAACATTCGGTATGCGCTCGATAATTGGAGTTTGGGGAGGAGTGCTAGACAGAGAGCCCAAACTCATTGGTGACAAGCTACGTTCACGATCTTCGTCCATTATCTACTGCATCTCAGGATTACGCTTGTAAGTAAGTGAAAGTGCACTCACAGTAGCATTGAGAGTCGGAGATACAGATAATTTTTGAGGAGCAGAATATAGTCCCACTACCTCCGGCTGGCATGTATCGAGGCTCAAATCTTCTTTGTCCTCCGGAAGTGATAAGTGTTGTCCAATTTGAATAGGAGATGTTGTTGGAACTGCCTGGACCGAACTCACTGCCCATGATGGCTGAGCCTGGATACCGACTGATACACGCTCAGGTGGAGGTGGAGGGCGGTTGGCGCTATCTACATGGTAAATAGCATATTGAAAAGAACCCCCGTGGTCAAGCATGTATCACTCACCTGGCACTACGCTCACCTGTTCATATGCCTTGTTCCATGTTCTCCTCATTTTTGGAGGGACGAATGGAGCCTCAACAACATGTTCGGCATTATCTTGCGTTTCTTGTTCTGTACCAGGTTGCGTATCTGAAGCAAAAAGATCTCCTTCGAAAATAACAGCTTGGTCTGTGAAAGATCCGTCCTCGGAAGCTACGGCTAGTAAAATCTCCTTGCCTGGCTTGACCTCGATTCTTTTCTGCGCAAAAAGGCTAAAGTATACAACGGGCCTTTTACCAGTGTCATTTACAGATTCTTCTGAAAGTTCTACGCGTCGTAGGACGACGTGTGCCTTCTGACTTGCACCATGCCGGCGAAAACGAAGGGACCCCTTTATGCCGAGGACTGAGGAGACGGTAGAAGAAGAAACGGAGCCTAGAGAATCGCTGGCTGAGTCAACCATATAGTGCCAGCAAGTCGTGGAGCACTGCAAAATGGGTGTGCACAGACCACGATATAGAGACGCTTTGGCGGGAAGTGTGTAACGACTTGGCACGAAATATAACTTTGTCAACGTGACGTGAAAATTCACACGCATGGTCTACACAAGCGCTCCTGGCACCAACACTTTTTTCTTCATTCACGGTTTGAACAATGGCTTAGGCCATAGCATCCCGTTTACCACTCCAAGTAGCCTTTTAAATGACTCGTGTTTCACTATGAAGATCCATGTCTTCCTTGAAAGGTCGCCGCAAAGTTGCGAAATGATTATATTGGGATGATGTTGCCCAACGAGTTCTGCAGGAGTACCGAGATGCTGTCAAAGACTCGACACGGTCTACACACCCCTCATTCTTCGAATTGTGCTGTCTTTCTGACCAGTGATGAGATTTATTGAACTTCATATCAGTTTGCCAGGTCCGAACACGTCCGAAGTTCAAGTCTTGAGCTTAATTCGTGGAAATGACCTCCCTTCTGGCGTCTGCTTGCGCACCGGACAACTAGGAATGCACTTAGCGACGCTTCTACTTCTATCTCTGCAGCAGCTCCATCGACCATCGGTACCAAAGTTAACCATCGCTGTAAATGTTCGTTACTCTCGGTGACTCGCAGCTAATTTCCTGTAATAGTGATGACTTGCATTTCTGACAATGCTACACACCATCTTAATGCCAACTTCACTATCTTTCGGAGTCTATTTTATACGCTTTCAGCTATCTTCGGCAAGTGGTCTGCTTGCAGAGGAAGGATATAACCACCCAAAATCAGAGCTTAGTTGCTGTTGATGAGACAATCGTGTCCACTACAGTATAACGAGTATCCAGGTGACCACTTATTCCTCTTCGCTAACTTTTCATTCATCTGTCCAAAATATTCTGGAGAAAACATAAACTCATGTATACTGGCGCTTCGCCAGATCAACGAGCCATTCGGCCAGCATCATTTGGAACGCCTGTGCTTGATGCCCTTAGAAGTATACTATGAAGTCACTTCCTTCAAACGGTTGGCCATTAAGTATAGGAAGCTGCCGAAACAGCAAAGTACGATGAGCTGTTATCTCATAGCTCAATCCACGGTCCTGAATTGAGCAGAACTTCAGGGTACTGTACCTCGGAAGGATCAACGACCAAACATAGAGCAATCAAGGACAAGGAGGCAGGTATGTTGCCCTAAGTAATCAAGAACTTTGTTAAGCACAATATAACCAAGTATGTCCACCTTCTGGAACAGGACACGACTGAGGGGGTTTAGAGGCCAATGTTGTGGATTAGTGGAAGAATATGACTACTTTTATGAGGTGGTTCGCATCTCGAAACGGGCAAGGACTGTGGTTGACTCATGCTCTCTTATCAAATTCAGATTTTGTCTGGCAGATCGCACTCAAAATACTAACTCGTAGAACTTCCTCGGCTTCTTGCTGCTATCACAAGACCTAGCTTACGCGTGCGAGGTGAGCTGTATCATGATGGCGAGACGTGACTAAAGATAGAACTGATCGTCGCCGCTCAAAGGGGGGATGCTCGGGTCCGATAAGGCCTTGTCATTGACGATAGAGCAGTGAAGAAATTCCTGATTACCATATTCTTGGCGTCGAACACCACGGACCACGCTCACTGTTGCAGTCGTATAGACTGATGCATCTAGCAGACTCGGATAACACCGCTGGGGAGAAGGAGCGGTGTCTTGGCACGGCGCCTGATAACTGAGTAATTGTCAGGAAAGGGAAAGGTGCGCAGTATTATGATCCCTTGCTATCCGCATTGGTGCTTATCTTCTGATTTGGTTTTCCTAAGGCGGTTATCCACGATAAACAAAATCCAGCTCATACTTAAGTGCCAATGCAATCGTCTTAATCGCTGGTAACAATCAACAGTCACACAATGTAAGTGACCTTTTTCACGATCCAAACGTACACTTGACATTGAACTGGATAGATGGAGATCTACTTGTACAACATCTCTCTGGCAGTCACTACAGATGACTTGACAATTGCGTTCGCCGAAATACTTCACAAGCCCCCTTTTCATACCAGTCCTCTCCTGAATTTTGAAATACACCTCTCAGACGAGTCATACCCCAACGGACAGCAAGGCACCCTCGCTCTGCCAACGGAGGATGCTGGAGTCACTTTATTGCGTGCTCATGGTGGCGGAGGAATTGTCGTCAAAGGCCGACCAATCCTCATCAGCAGGAGCACGCAGGCGATCCACAAGTCCCGTATCGAGAGGTTGAATAACGTTCCATGGCGCGATCCAATACAGTTGCGAGAATAGCAGGAAAGGCTTCTCAGGAGAAATCAGTCTTTCCAGCTTCTCCGCTACTCGTTCGGCCGCTTCCTCCGGGATGAATCTTTTTCTTCGCAAGTCTCCCCTCCTGGCACAGCTCGTGTGATTTGTGATCTGGAGCATCGGCAGGTACGCTTCACTTTTCAACCTCAACAAAACACAAACGTGCATAACGACCCCCTCGGCATCAATCTCGATGTTTTGAGCATTAACATTTTTGGAAACTCAAGTTAAGTCATCACCGCATCATATGCGCCTCGTAACATCGCAACACTGGTGGGGTAACCGGAATGAAGACACCACTGTTGTAATCGTTCGTGCCGATGAGCCCCCTGTGTACACAGTTAATAACATAGTGGAGAACGCTAGTCGTATGGCGGGCTTGGGGCGTAATGATCACATGCCTCCGGGATGCCATAATCTGATGCTGGCCTTTCGCAACCAGTCGGACGCAGATAGGTTCGCTTATACATGCCGCGATCGTCTCCATCTGCGTTACTCCACACGCCACCATATCCGGATTCGTGATCACATCTCGAACGGTACATCTATTGAGAAGCTTCATGACTTTCTCTCTCAGATCCCATACAATCTTGGGTTCGAAGTAGAAAAGACTGTTGCAGACTCTCTTTTGAGTGTGGCGGACATTTTTTCGCTGAAGGAGGTCATCCTATCGTTGCAAGCTGAACATGGCGACGATGCGCCGGAAATATTTCAGTCCTTTGCCACGGAGCTTGCAGGACGCATTGCGAGTCGTACAAAAAGTCGCAAACGCAGAGCACCACGACAGTCTAGCCAAGAGAGTTTGCCTTCTCTTCTCCACCGAGTCACCCAAGGATTTATCAAAGAGCATCAAAAACCCCGTCCTCTTCTAGCTCCGCCACCACAAAGTGGGGTCTACCTATCCTACCATCTCATCCTAACACCCACACGGTATGTCCTAGAGGGACCTTTCCCAGATCAGTCCAATAGTGTATTACGCCGCTATGGACATCCCGAGTGCTTCCTGCGTGTCTGTTTTCAGGACGAGAATGGATCGAAGCTTCATCGGGAACCCGATTATTCCATTATAGAACTGTCGAGGGTGCGATATCGCTGCATCCTTTTCAATGGTTGTCGCGTCGCTGGACGCCAATTTCAGTTCTTGGGATATTCTATGAGCGGCCTAAAAGAACATTCGGTGTGGTTTGTGACGCCATTCGAGAATGAGAATGGGAAATTGCTAAATGCACAAGCTATACGGAACAACTTGGTGAGTTGTCGCCATCGGCCCTCGTTGATCTCTTTGGACTGAATGAGACCATTAGGGCGATTTCTCAAAACTTCACAGACAACCAGCTCGTTTGGCTGCAAGGTGGTCACAAGCCTTCTCTGGAACTGATCCATCGATCACACTTCTTCCCGAAGAAGTAGATTTTTGTTGTCCCGACAGATACTCGCCTTCTGGTGGGCTGATGACAGATGGGTGCAGCTCCATATCAGTTGAGCTTGCTAGGGAGATATGGCGGTCTATGCAGAAGGGGAAAAAACGATCTGCGAAGCTACGACATGTTCCATCGGCCTTCCAATTTCGACTTGGCGGGGCCAAAGGCATGGTCGTCCAAGACCCCACCATTCCAGGAAAACTCGTCCGTCTTCGTCCGTCACAAATCAAATTTGATGCACCAGAGAATCTCACTTTTGACGTCCAATCGACGTCAGCGGAACCAATACCGGTGTTCCTCAATCGTCCGCTTATATCTCTTATGGAGTTCTTGGGTGTGGACGCTCAGAGAATCATTGAACTACAGGACGATGTCATACGCAAAGCTCAATCCGTCCGATTGTCGTGTGCCGATGCCTCAACCATTATTCAGCAACATGGACTTGGGGCATCTTTCCATCTACCATCTCTCTTCACAAACCTATCGTCCATTTTGGAACTCGAAATTGGAGACGGGGGAAACAACCCGTGGAAGTGGAACAACAACCTCATCGAAAGCTCTCTGAAGTGCGTTGAGACGTATATCCTGCGGGAAGTAAAGTACCGTGCGCACATAGCAGTTCCAGGTTCGTATACCTTGCTTGGCGTCTCCGATGAATGGTGCTGCCTGAGAGAAGGAGAAATATATGCAACTGTGTTTAATGAAAGGACGGGAGAGGTCAAGAGCATCACAGGCAAGGTTGCCATAACGCGCAGCCCGCAGATTCACCCAGGCGACCTACAGGTTGTGACCGCCGTACATCGGCCAGAGTTGGAACATCTGAAAAATGTCGTCGTTTTTTCCTGCGAGTAAGTCCTCTTGATAAGTTGGAACAAAGGCACACTGAATTATATTGTCAACAGGGGTGAGCGAGCGCTTGCACCATGTCTGGGTGGAGGTGATCTTGATGGCGATCTTTTCAACCTAATTCTTGATGTAAGCTCAAAGTTTCGATGCATTCATTCATACCTGAGCGTTCTGCAGCCGAGACTGCTACCAACGAAACAATTCAAGCCCGGAGAATATCCGGCAGTGACCATCAGATCGACATTGAAGGCGTGTGGCATCTCCGATGTCGCAGACTTTGTTATTGACTATGTGAGTCACATCCTGACTTCAATTATAAATGACTGCAAGATGAACCGTGAAATGTAGATTCAGTCCGACCTCATTGGCCCCATCGCCATAAGTCATCTCAGGTTTTCTGACTTGAAGACACCAGATTGCGCAGAATGCATTCAGCTCGCGAGTTTTGCCTCCCAAGCACTTGATTTTCCGAAGAGCGGCACTCCTGTCAACTTCAAATCCTTACCTTGGCTGCGGAAGACTCAAGCTAGGCCAGATTTTCTTGCCAGAGAAGGCGCTAACTTGAATGTCACCGGCGGGCAGTACTATGTCAGCCCGAAGCTTCTCGGTCAACTTTTCCGCCGAGTGCCAATGAAGAGCGGAATACCTCTTGCATGGAACGAAGATTCCTCTCCATCCGATGGAGTCGCTGTGCTAAGTGCGCTCCTTTGCGCAGATCTCGGACATCTTGTCCTTCCAGGATGGACCGTTCCGAGTAATGAGTTAGCGGAGGAGATGACATATTTACTCAATGCATATTGTGAGCAGCTGCTGATCGTAGGACAAGCGCACACAATGTCGAAAAACAAGCATGTTCACGTATCCGAGGCCGAACTGGTGAGCGGGACCATCATGGCAACTTGGTCCGATCATCAACGTCGGCGGAATGCAGTCTCCGCAATGAACTTGCAGGTTAGCGTAACATCCAGTCTATGATATGGGTTATTTAACAGTATGTTCAGACGCAAGAGCTCGTTCGTAGGGTCAGGGAAGAACTTCAGGGGGACAACCCGGAGACACTAAATACAGAAACGTCACACGAGGAGGACCAGAGGATACCAGAGACGGAAACAGATGAAGATGAAGATGAAGCCCCGGGTACACTAGATACGGAAACTTTCAAGCGCTGCTGGGCGGCGTGGTGCGCAGCAGAAGATAGCCTGAAGGAAGACCCGAGCATGTTTGGAGCTCAGAGTTATGGTTTAATTGCTCTGGGCATGATACTGGAGATTGTGAAGGCGTCTCGTTTGATGTTGTAAAGGATCGAAGACCGTGATTTGTGATTAGTTCAATGTATTTTAGCAGTGATCATTGCTTTTTGTACAATGTAGTAGTGCTACAGCAACGGTCAGTAGGATCAATCTGCATCGGTCCATCGAGAACGTAACAGTACGGGTGGGTGATATGAATTCTATTACCAAGATAAGGCGGCCTACTACAACGAGCTGACCAAGGAAGCGAGATTCAAACTGTAGATTCAGAGAAAGGTGTTTCCTCTATTGCCTCGAACGTTTTTGTACCTGTTTTGTTACGCTCCGACGGGTTGGCACGTAAACGTTTGACCTCCTTCAGTATAAAATAATAGAGCAGCCTGTACAGTGAGAAAAGCTCTGTTAAGATTCAGAATAGCAGTGACTGGACACGAACGCGCTGGCTAAAGCAGTTAACAGAATCCCACCGACAATGATAATTACATTGAGAACCATTACTCCTGCGCGCCATGAATCAACAAGCATAAATTGGGATGTCATGGGTTCTTACGGGCATACATGCGAGTTCGCTGTTTCATGTCTGAGAATCTGGCAAGACGAGACCCGATTGCTACGTTTATCGTGACCTTTGGGAAGACAAACAAAGTCGCTATGAAGAACTGGGTAAATGATACCGATGATATGCTCTGACGTGAAGGCATTACTTAGTTTCAGACCACTCAACAATAATTTGAGAAGCTCACTGCGAATAGCGAATTTGACCAACTCCACGACACAAGTGAAGACATGCGGACGAGGATGATCAAGGGCATGCCTTTTGATCGCTGTGGGATCTTCTACTGAGTAGATATGTCGATGTTAGTAAAACACACTGACTATGACAGCTTCCAGAGCCTGCCATTTCTCGTTGGTGGGGGCCCACCAACGCAGTCTCCTGGTGAACATCATCCGAAGGGTAACAAAAACTATGACGGAGCCTGCCAGTGTTCCGATTGCTGCATAGATGACGCCCCGTAGACCGTATGTGAAACCGAACAAGTGAAGGAGCATGCTATGTCCAATGAAAGGAGGGAAGGATGCGACAACTGAGGGGACAGATGTTTGACCATAAGATGAGAGCGTACAAGACATACTCACTCATGGCAACGATAAGAAGCATGTAGCCATATGGAAGATGTCGGAGGTCTTGAGAGACGTCATACACGAATTGAGCAATGCGAGCTGGAGTGACTGCGATGATGAATGCGGCTAAGCAAGCATAAAACAATACAGTGAACCATATCAAAGGCTAGAACAGCATCGTCAGTTGATACGAGAACACTAGAGTTTTGATACTGATGTCACCCTTTTTACTGGATATCTAAAGCTAGCCGATCGTATGAGACGCTTGAGAAAACGAGACGTGGTCAACATGTCTCAGCGAAAGACGGCTTCGGTGATTGCAAGGGTTGGTGTCAACGTTCAGGTTGGAACCCAAGTAGATTCACCATATGATCAACGACAATCTCCGGTTCCCGGATGACCCCCAGCAAGCAGAGTCAAATACGGCAAAGCCAGCGAGCTGTAGATATTAATTTCAATTTTCAACCCTCGTCACCAACGTCGGCCACGTACAATTTGCAATTGTGAATAGTAGTAGGTAAATGAAAAAAAAACCCGTCATCGATCCGACTGTTCAGCCTGCTTTATGTTCACGTTGTGTCGCATGTGATCCTGGAATGGGCATTCAGGATGGTGCTTGAATGTATTAAAAGTGACTCACTTGTATGTGACTCGACCTTTCAACCTTGCTCGCATGAACGTGGTCACCGTTCTCGTGCCCATCAGAGCGAATCGGTGCTACGGTGATACGAATTACCGTGCTTATTTCAATCCATGCTTTATGTGATTCTGTGGCTGCAAAGGTAACACTGTTGGCCATTACAAGATGGAATTTTCTGGCTAGGCTGAGGCTAAGATATTAAGCGACGGCAAAACAACGCAACAGTAACGAGTTCTGTGTGATTAATACACACTGCTTAACGACGTGACGGGTACAATGAGGAGTTCTCTATGCTGTATAACAACACCATGGAGAACCCGTCGCTGCACTTTGATGATGTCGATTCTAGGCCACGGTACTATGGCGAGTAGTAGGCCACTGCGATGTTTACTGAGAGTCCGATAGAAAAGTTACATATCCGAATGATAAACGTAGGCATCGTGGATGTCAGTTACTCAGTGCACGGGAATCGTTAAGTTACTGCTTACATAATATCGGTTTAGCGTTAATGTGTCACGGTGTCTGGACTCTGCATTCGATTGATGTCCGTTCGACTCTTTGTTTAGAGCAATGTGGCTTCTAGTTGAAAAATGAGCGATCCTTGTTTTTTTTGGGATAACGTTTCGATCTTGCTCGCGCATTGGCCATTTGTGATCTGAACGGGTTCTCAGATCTGACCATGTCACAGCTAGAGTACGTACGGAACGGAGACCAAGGGCAATGTACGTGCGTACTGAACTGGCACTGCATGTTCAATCTCTTATAAGTAGTGACCTGAATCGTTCAAGTTGGTACAACTTAGTATGAATACTTTTCAAGAGCCTCAAGTTGATGTGTTATTAAGATTGAATGTGAGTGCAATTCCTGCTATATGGTGTGTCCTGTATCACTGATGAAGTCGTCCCAGTATCCTTATGGTGCAGTTGTGGTCTATCAGCACGTTTTATTGATTTGCTTATTTATTTCCTCATTGTAGTTGCACTGACAGCTTTGTGGGTGAGTGTACAAAAATCCAACGTCCTTTGGTGGCTGAAACTGACGCTTTCACTCGAACATCAGTTATATGATTACATACTGTGCATACCCGACGCAGCAAGTAGAAATTTCCTTAGCATTTCAGTGTATACTGATCTGCAGTCGATGCAGCTCGAGTTTATCGCCGGGTCTCAATGGGGGCTCGGCACGTTTTTCTATCTAGCTTGCAGTCACTTGCCCTTTGCCTTCGTGTCACTGAATATGCTCGGTAAATATCTGGTCAACATCCCCATTTTTCTTTCCTCATAATGTGATTTCCAGCGGTTTTTCAACATGATACCCCATTCCATGTATGTGCAAATTGGAGTGTTGCAGTTGTTTGAATTAACCCATCCCGAGCAAAGCTTTGCCGCTCTTATGCAATGGCCAATTACTGTGAGTTTGGTGAAGCTCCCCCCAGACACGTGCATACTAACTTCGCGCCATAATTCATGAGATGTAGGGACAGTATTGATGTTATCCGCTGAGTGTGGGTACATCAATTAGTTTTACCTTGCAACGATTCTGTGCTCTAACATTGCTGCACTGGTCCAGGTATTTTCATACTCAGAGGTTTCGCGGCATGGGAACGGGTTACGTGGCTCGCTGTATTTGCAATCGTCAGCATCATTGTGAGACCAATATATAGAGGCTACGACTAACTGTCTAATTCATCATGCGCAGGGCTATCTAGTACCAATTTTCTTTTACATTGGGAAATTATGGTCAGACTTTGGTGTGTATGAGTTCAAGTTGGACTCTGTGTCTGCTTAGCTCCTGATCTCTGAAATACAGGAGAATGCTGGATTCCTGGCACTATTGGATATCTGAATGCGAATGAAAGGGCAAAGCTATATATTGTTTATGGCTTGTTGGTTGCTGCTGAGCTAGGCTCGTATTGGGAGGTGTTGCTTACACGAGCTTGAACTTACTGCATGCACACAATTCCAGAAATCTTTTTTTTCCTACTCTATCGCGCCGTCAAGAGTCATGGTGGTTGGAAAACCGAAAACCGTCTCATGCGTGGTCTCTTGCAACAAAATCTACTCTATTTCGGCTGCAGCTTTGGTTGGTTCTTGCATATCACCAAACACATCTTGCATATTTACTTGCTGGACGCTACAGCTTTGACTCTCGGCATCTTCCTCACAATTCTTTTTGTAAGTTAATGTTGACGTGCGAAGCCACTGCATTGACGCAAGACATAGTTTCCATTTGCACACCTGCTGGCAGAGTTTGTCTATTCCCAATTTTGAGGCGGTGGTTACTTATTCAGTAGCAGATACCAAGTCATTCTGCAAGCCTTCCTAGTTACACGAATGCACAGGGATTTCCGAAGGTTGAACCTTGCTCCTGGTGGCATCCACACAGACATGTCTTCCATAACGTATGCGACAAGAGTCCCAGATATCACATAATGGTGCGCTTCCTTTGTTAAATTACCATGATTATGCAGCTGATACTAGTTGATCAAGAGACAATGCTACTTGGAATATGCCAACCCTTAAATTATGAATCATGTGACCATTGCGCAGTCTTCCGTATACTTAGACGAGGCTAAGAAATGGAAGATGGAACTTTGCTGGGAATCAACCGGGCACTCACAGCATACTTATACTTTTCTTCTGTTCTCCCCTTGACTATTTATCCCTGACTTCCGAAGCGGACAACGTCTTGTCAGTTAGAAACGTACCCGTCTCTCTCAGTTTATGGTTTTTGATTTCCTTAATGAGTGGTTGTTTGTTGCCTCGTCGATTGTCCTCTTGCATGTATTTTTCACGAAATTGTTTGTCTCATTTATTCTTCCCTGACTCCCATTCAACTCTTTTTCGTAGTGCGGTCGCTTATGATTACAATATGCCAGAGTTTCTCAGTCAACTTCACCAGGCGTACATCAGCTTCGCCCAAGGTAGCTTTGACCCGTTATGAAAGACCCCCTGTTCGCAATGATGACGAGTATACACACATGAAGTTGATTCTGATACATTAGTTCCCTCAGATAAACGAAGATCAATCTGTCAATTATTCTCCACGGTCGAGAAACCAACATCTATGCTCGCCCTCATGCGATCGCCATAACGAATCGTCAAGATAATGATCCTACGAAAGAAATTTTGAAGCGGTCAGTATCACCAGATCACCAGTCTTGTAGTCAAAAAGACCCTTACCCTTGTCCAATGACTGCAAGGACAGCCGCAATGATGTCCGTCCACGCAACACCTATACGCTCGATCGACGGAATGATAAGAGCAGTGGTAGCAGACATAATAAGCGACCAGCTCGCCCTGACACGTAAACGAACGGGTTCAGGTTTGATAGTCACGCAATATGATAGAGACTGACATGCAAACAGCTGCGGCCTCTGCGCTTCGAGAATGCAGTATGTCCACATTATAAGAATTAATAGGATTCAACACTGATTCGACCTGTAAAATCAATGAATTGCTGTATGCATGGGGGGAGGGAATCAAGCTGGCAGGACTTACCCCCACTCCATTCACATAGAGGCATAATACATTCAGCGCAAGGCCAATCGGCCCCCCGATATACGTCGTTATCAGCCCTGAGGCCCCAATAGACAACGGGACAACAAACAACCCTCCGATCCACGTTGCTCTCAAGCGGTCTTCAGGACAATACGCTCCTCTTCGCTTCTCCCGCCATCTTCTGACTACAATGTCCGACAGGCGGCCAGCAACAAGAGTCCCGGCTATTGAAGGTCGTGTTAGTGTACTGCGAGTACAATGCTCTGCACCTACTGAAGCTTCCCAGTCCATTTGGGAGGAAAAACGCCCCGATGATGGCGTCGTTCGTGATTCCATACCGAATGCCCTATACCGCGATCAGGATGCGAGATGGAAGACGATTTCAAGCTTACAACAGTATACGCTATCGGTACGAGGAGAACTACATTGTTTTATATGAGAATGCACTGCGTAAACAATAAGAAATAACAACACACCATACATAGTGTTGAGCATCAGAGCTGACGCAAGCATCTACGTCTCACAAAAATTAAGAGTTTGTACTACATAGCTCATGGTAAATGCACTTACAACGGCAAATAGGTTAGGACTGCGAAGCAACCAAAGACTGCTCAGAGGATTAATCCATTTGATATGGAACCATCTCCTGGACGGCAGTTTATCAATGCCCAATGTGCCGGGATGGCTCGTCTCAGGAAACGAAAGGTATATGAAAAGCATCTCGAGTAAGCCCCATGCACCAACGGAATAGTGCAAATTGCGCCAGGACCAATACTGTGTTGCAGCACCTGTTGAAATGCGTCACCAGAGTCAACTGCCACAAACATCCAGCATATACTTACCTCCAAGAAACGGGGCAAAAGTGAACCCGAGAAGCGTGACCTGAGATAGCGGTGTCAGTACCAAACCAAAACACCATTCAACCATCATGATCGCTCACACTAAAGAATATCCCGATGGCAGTCCCCCTCTCCTCCAATTTATAAATGTCGCCAATTGTACCAGTCCCCAAAGACAAGGCCCCAGCACATCCAAACATCTGCACGAATCGCCAGAATAACAGGCTCTGCAACGAAGTCGACAGCGCGACACCGCAGCTCCCAACGCACAGAAAAGGTATTCCACACAGATATATCGATCGACGTCCGTCTGCAAGACTCGGATTAGCACTCAAAATACCACAAGTGCAAGATACGCCGTGGATGCACGCACAGAAAGTCGAATAAGCAGCCCAAACCAACGCTCCGATAGCAGTAGCCAAGGTTGATACGCTCAAAGCCAAGCTAGGAAATAGCTCAGTCACTGAATATCAGATGAACATACAACACATACTTGACGACAGCATGCGTTAAGTTGAGATCTTTAGCTATCTGAGGGATAGAAGGCACGAACGTCACTTGGACGAACACTGACCAATGTTACATCAGTATCACACCTCTGCGTCGACAGTACACTTGAACACCCAGTACACACTCACTAGCCAACAGACCCACTAAAGACACGTGAAACACGATCCATTTCTTTTGACCTGACGCGAATCTGTCATATATAGCTTCATGCGCGGTGGGCACCAGCAGAGGGCTTTCTTCCGAGTCTGGAGCCATCGTGAATGGTGAACTGAGTCTCGCGGAAGATATTTACATCAACAATAAAAAGCGCAACGCCACAGCCTAAGAAGGACTGGTTGCCTACCTGCCGGCAAGATACGAATTTCAGACGGTCGTAGAATCAATTGAATTTAGTGCTCGTGTCGTGGAGAAATGGCAGTCTTTGACTTTCGAGTGCCTGCTGCAGGGCTTTTCGAAATGGCCTTGAAGGAAACCCACTGAGAGTCAAATCTCCTGCTACAATATTATAGTAACTTAGTGTCAAGCAAGCTGCAAACCTTGCTATGGACCAAACATGGCTACACAGCCACGCTCAAACACGTCCAAAAATAGAGCATCCAAGACGTGGAAGGCTGCTACTTAGGAAGTTGACACCAACGCTAGTCTCATCAACGATACCGCAGAGATGCAGCTTCTCAGCTCTGCCCTCGTAACTCTCCTCGCACTTGCAAAATTAAGCTTTGCAATTTCGAGCTCTGTTCTTGTGGTGCTCGACCCGTCATTAAACAGGGAGAACTATTCGATTTTCTTTAGTGGACTTGAAGGTATGTGTTCGGTTTTAATGGCTGTTCTGTGTCGTCTGACTTTTTGAAAGAACGAGGGTATAATTTGACGTTCCGTGCTCCCAAAGATGCCAGCCCTGCCATCACAGACTTTGGCGTGCCAAACTATGACCACGTCATTCTTTTCGCGCCAGACACAAAATGTGCGTGCTCAAGTGCAAAGTACAAAGTACAAGCCTGCTAACCTCAATACAATTACAGCATATGCACAAGACATCACTCCACAGTCACTCGTAGGCCTCCTCTCAGAGAACACCAACCTCCTCGTCGCGCTCTCTCCGAAACAAACGCCTCTCACAAGTCTCGCGGCAGAGTTCTCGCTCATCCCACCACCTCCAGAAACACCACTCATCTCGCACCACCCCGCTCGTTCAGAGCCTCCAACCACAATCCCTGTCCCTGTCCCATCATCAAGTCCAATCCTGACCCCAGGAATACCCCCAGTCTGGTTTACAGGCGCACCTCACGCACTAGGCTCTACCCCTATGCTCGTTCCCATTCTCCGCGCCCCCGCAGAAAGCTTCGCTGCCGACACCACAAGCGACTCTGACAGCGACACCCTCGTATCCGCTTCCGAAAAAGGCGGCGAAGGCCTCTGGGCCGGAAGCCAAATGGGCTTAGTCACTGGATTCCAAACCAACGTGAACTCGCGCGTGGTGTTCGCAGGCGGCGTGAAGATGTTCAGTGACGAATATGCGACGAAGGAGCTTCCTTCTGGGGGGTCTCCCGGGAACGCTTTGTTCGTGATGGATGTGGCTGCGTGGGTTTTCCAGGAGAAGATGAAATTGAGGATCGATGCGGTTGAGCATCATCGGGTTGGTGAGAGCGAGGCGCCGGGGATGTATACTACTAATGATCAAATTGTAAGTTTTGCTTGCTGGTTTCGAGTGGGAAAATGCTTGACATGAAGTCTTGTGAAAGGTGTATACAGCACATATATCTGCGTACGACGGCGAGACCTCTACATGGAAACCTTACAGCGGCATCGACGACTTGCAGTTAGAATTCACCATGCTCGACCCTCACATCCGCACCTCTCTTCCGCCTGTTCCTGGCTCCCCTGGTACATACCAAGTCCAGTTCCGCGCTCCTGACAGACATGGCGTTTTCAAGTTTGTCCTGAACTGGAAGAGGAAGGGGTTAGTGCATTACTCCATCTTTGCGTTGACATCGTTGACTAATTGATTCATAATCAGTTACTCATACCTCGAATCAAGCACGACCGTTCCTGTTGTGCCGCCGAGACATGACCAATATCCCCGTTTCTTGAGTGCTGCGTGGCCGTATTATACAGGAGCTATTAGCACCAGCGTTGGGTTTTTCCTTTTTGCAGCGTTGTGGCTTGCAGGAGATGTCAAAGGCGAGCGGAAGAAGGCTTCTAAAGTAGAGTAATCGCTCGGCCGTGCTTAGTTACCAAAGTAAAATATCTCACTACCATGCGTCGATGGTCGTTTCACATATATCTCGCAGATTTGGTGCTCTATGTATGCATGCTGTTTGACGATGCGCAAGTATGTAAATGGAAAGCACTGTGTACAACAGTCTATGCACGAAAGCGACGGGTCTATGTAGGGTCACCGGTTAAGCCCAGAAGCGTGCGATATATTACGACTTTGCCGGTGGAGCCCGGAACACTTGACGAAGATTATCCCAAACGACGCTAGGACTTTGAGCGGCGTCGATACCATGCCACAAGCCCTTTGTTTTGTAGTACGCTGCGACAGGACCAGTCTGCTTGTGAAACGTGACAAGACGCTTGCGCAGCGTTTCTACATTGTCATCGGAGCGCTGGATGAGCGGCTCGCCTGTGACATCGTCCGTCATAGGTTTTTTAGGCGGACTATGTAGTACCGGAATGTATTAGCGTTATCGAGTGTACAGCGTTAGTGTGGGACGCACTGGAATTCTTTGTGATACGTCCGTCCTGAGGCCGGGTGGATGAGACGGCCGGTAATTCGGGAGATGAGGAGTTGATCGGGAATGAGAAGCTCGACAACGCTGTCGAGCTTTTCACCACGGGAATCAAGCATGGAATCGAGTTTCTCAGCTTGAGGCACAGTCCTCGGGAAGCCGTCCAACACGAATCTGAGCCCCAAATCAGAACCGACTGAACTAAATAAAAATAGACGGATAAAACGCACCCGTTCTTGCACTCCGTATTATTCTCAAGCTGGTCCTTGATCATGTTAACCATGATATCGTCCGTGACGAGTTCACCAGCATCCATGACTTTCTTAGCCATCCTCCCCAACTCGGTTTTCTTGGCTATTTGCTCGCGGAGCATGTCACCGGTTGCGAGGTGACAGACGCAGAACTCGTCGCGTATCCGTGGGGCTTGCGTTCCCTTGCCTGTGAATGTCAATATACCTCACCGGAGAGGAATTATTCAAGTAAAATGGACGAACCAGCACCAGGAGGACCCATGAGAATAGTCCTAAGCTGTTGAGCAGGAGTCGGAGGAACGGAAGCTTTCGCCTTTGCCTCTAGCGCGTGAATTTTGTCATTGAGCTGCGCTACGAGGTGCTTGAGATACTCGAGTTCGTCTGAGGGTGCCATATCGAACTTCAACGACCGAAGAATGCTTGAGTCTTGTTGACCGGAGAAGTTTGGAAGGAAGACAAATGGGCGCTCCCTGTCTTCACCGTATAACTATTCTGGATAGAAGCGTGGTAAATTTTAAACGGAGTTTGAGCGCGTATTCAATAAGGTTTCCCATCGACGTGTCTCGCAGAATCCAAAGGGTCTTAGTACAGATCATCGTGGTACAGAGAGTTTAGGCTTCTGCATCTAAACTCTCTGTACTTTCTAATATGATCGATCGTGCAACTCATGTTTTCAACATTGCCCAACATGAATTTTGTCATTTTCATCTTCACAATGGTGCTTCGTAGATGAGTCTCACATCTTCGAGTGTTGTATGAAGACTTCGGCTTGTGCGGATTTTTCACGCTTTCGAAGAGTAATTAGTTTTCTCATTCTCCGCGTTGTCGATTCAGATGCAGGCACGTCAGACTGGAGGCACCGGCTAGTATATCATTTGAATTTCAAAATTACGACTGACTTACATAACATGTACTAGAATTTCTGTTGGTGAACCCACATCACGAAAACTCATATGCACACACACTACGCCTATTCCTCATGTTTTACAGCGCCTAGACCAGGCACCACATGCAAAATCTGCTGATAGCAGATCTGTTCTCTATGGTCATACTGACACAGAACAAATCTTTCCGTTCTGAACTCTGACATTTTGGCTCGAAGTGCCTACCTTGCTTAAATATTCGATACAGGTGGCATCCGGCAGAGACTCTCCTGCCAAATGGGAGTCTATTCCTGTGGCATGCATCTTCCGTATTCCATGCACAAATTGTGCTGGTCGAGTGCGATATCAGGCTTACCGCTTCAGTGATTGGGCCGTAGTACGACAGACAATTCCTGATTTATCTTCTACTTCCAGTGCACAGCCCAAAAGGTCTACTCGATCAAGCCGTCCTCCGTGTCAGAAGAACGTACATCTCCGTTCTGAACACACCTGCAAGAAATTGTCAAGTCCGCACCCTCGTTGACATGGCACAAATTCGGCACATGTATGATCCTGAGGTTAGTCTTGTGTTGAGCTAACCCAAGCTCCAACCCTGGCATCTACTAGCGACATGACTTCAACCGCACTCGATTCGAATGATCTCGACCTCCACCCAATGCGCATTACCAGCCTCGATATCTCATCTCACGCATTTGCATCTGCAATCGAGGATACTTCTCCCACTACCGCAAACTCATCATACACGCGATATGAACCACTCGAAGTAAACATCTGGTAAGGCGGGCTCGAGATCTTCAACCCAGTTTTGCTCAATGCAGGATGTATTGTTGCAACGGAGGTGTATGTCTGTCATCGATTTTACCGGAGCGATGTGTGATGGGTGAAGAAGAAGAGGACATCAGGGTGGGCTCCGGAAGAACCTGCAGGTGATTTGTCTGAAGAAGTCCTACAGTCAGAAGGATATCGTTCTGATGACGACCCGGGATTCGACTGAAGAAGTGGTCTGTATTCTTCAGACTCTGGCGTTGATTTTTGTGGGACATCAGCAAGGACGGCAATGCATGGGGGAAGAAGTCTGCTTAGACAGGCGAGTCCTGTCAGGACGACTTAGTTGACTCGAGCGGGTGGAGCACTTGGTCTGCAGCTCGGGACTTTGATAGACCAGAATGAACGAGACTTAGCGTAATTCATTGATATTGCTAATGGATGTAAATCGGTCTGTCTGACGGCGGCATCTCTTGTTCCTTGACCTTTCCGTTCAGTACATTGTTTCCGAGTCATTCACTAGTACAGTAGTAATATCCAGGATAGTGATTGAAACATTGTCAACTTGAACGTCAGGTCTCAGGACCCATAACAATCAATTCGAATAAGTACTACGACGAAAATATTTCCCAGACCCAAGGAATGGAGACAGAAAAAACAAAGTTTCCTGCTTCCTGCAGGGCACCGCTGTTATTATGAAGACCACTGCGTTGAAAATGTTGTCAGCAAAGAAGATGACAATAAGAAATATAATAAAAGAAGATCAAACCCCCCACCAACACTGGCAATGTACCAAACAAGAGTAGGTTGCACCACCCTTGTGCGACGCGCCCACAAAATGATAGATCATGCAAGATGATCCGTCATCTATTATTATATGGGCCAGTTCACTCTACAGCGAACGAAGTGTCTAGTAATTAGGCAGAACCAGTTCGAGTCAAGATTGCATTTAAAATATTCAGCCCACCAAAGGTAATCAACGTCGAATCGGCAGAATTTATCTGTGCAACTGCTTATAAAATTCGCCTGATGCTAATGCATTTTTCAGCTGACAAAGGTTTTAGCTGTGTGAATTGAAGGTCCCTCGCCGACATGTAAAACAGTCTTGAATTAGTTAAATATACACGCAGAGCCAGACTCACAGGCCCGTCGATATGCTGTCAAAAATTCTTCGCAGTACTCAACTTTGCGGATCAAAAGGCAACTGCGTATTCGGGGACGATGGTGAGACGTAGTGAGCGCGAGTGAGCGCCAGAAATACTGGGGACGTAAGAGAGCTGTACGAAAGACGCACACAAGGAACATTACTACTAGGATGTGGGCAAAGCAGTCATCGGGATTCGGCACTAGCCCTTCTTCCTTGACGATCTTCAACTTTGATGTCGGCTGAGTACACCAGTTTTCTCAATTGTGCATTAGGGGGAAATCGTACGCAAGTTGAGTAATTCAAATGTGTTTTATCAATTTGCGAGGAAGTTTTCTAATGCTATGTTATTCTAGAGTCTGCTCGAGGCAGCCCGGAAATTCGTGCAACAATAAGCATATCAATCATCTGCATTTCATGATGTGATCAATTGTCCACCGGGAAAATATGAAAGCAGAAAGATGACCCACTGTCGTGAACATGCTTAGACTTCCGAGCCAATCAAGAGAGGGTTACTGGCAGTAAGTTTTCTTGTCTTTACCGCTGAAAATCTATCGATACAAGGCGCAAGGGGTAAGTCGTGGAGCTGAATCCAAAGCTTGTGGACCATACTCACACCGACTTTGCAAGAAAGGCCTCTGCAGCACACATCGTGTTCCGCGCTACTCGCGCCGCAAAGTCCGTTTGCATCTGCGCATGCACTGACAGACATAGATGTTGTCAAAGCAGCAGCGACAGCGATGAGAAATGAAAAATGCATGTTCTGTGGTAAGTGATTTAGGAAGCGTCGAGAGGATTCCGAATGATAGGTCTGATACTGACCGAGTTGACAGCTCGCTCTTATATCCCATAAATCGTGTGTTTGAGAAGCACAGATTTGTAAATTTTATCAGGATGGTCGCAGCTGACGGACTTCAGGATTAATATTGTTACAGGCAGAATCACATCTCCGTGGATAAATAATCCAGAACATGTGGACTGAAATATGTTTACCAGAACCACGTAGTGGTAGCCTATAAGAACGACCTACGGGATTGTAGCCTGAGCGAAGCGGTATTAATGCCAATGGCAGCCTACCTCCACCAAGCAGGTTTCATATGACGGAAGTCGTGATTCAAGTTTCTTCTTTTCAACTTTTGCAAGCCCATCTGAATCAAATTTTAAACTGTAAATTCAGCTAACTGCCTGCATGATAAACCCGCAATTACTGTCATTTCTGAGGCGATATAGCACGACTGCGAGGGGAGTTTGCTCGTTCTCTATGTTCTATCGCGTGGTTAATTACGACGCTCGAACTATGAATTAATGTCCGCGTTATGTAATTATTGCATATGGGTCTGGCCGGTTGAACCTGCTATCGTCGATACTGATTGGGTATTCATGGCGTGTTGGTCCAAAGATAGTGCTGCCGAAGTCCGGTTCGGTCCAGTTCATGGCCCTATATTTGCGAACCCCGAACCTGACCATTGGTCAGGTTCGGGGAAGGAGGCTGAATCATGGACCGGACCCCTGTGAACGCGTTCGAACCCTCGAACCCTTTATATCAATTTGCAAAAAATCAAAAAATGACAAATTTCTACACTACATGAGACTGCTCCTTGTTCACAATGACACGGTTATCATAAGGAGCAGCAAACTCAGCCTGGGCTGTTGCAGAGATATGGCCTTGTCGATATGCACTCTTCAGTAATTGAAGAGCCTCAAACGTTGTTGGCAGCAAACAGCTGCGACATGTTGTTCTGGTAATTCCACCACTTGAAAATGCCCGCTCAGATGCAACAGCGGATCCCTGGATGGCAAGATAATCCTTGGCAATATGTGAGATGGTCGGGTATTGGATAAAATGGTGCTTGATTTTTTTACAATGTATAAGTTTATGAGTAACAAACAAAATAATGAGACATACCCCCCACCAAGCCACTACATTGTTAATGTCCTCAAGCAGTGCAGCTAGATAGTCCTCAAGCTCTTGACGAGGCCTTCATGTGGCTGTGTCATTTGCAATACATGATTTGACGGAGCTTCGCATCCAATTATGGCCATAAGAGCCTTGATGAGCAAGTGATGGAGGCACCTGAGCAACAGATGGCTCTGCAACAGCCTGCGTGGACGTGCTACAATGATACGTATCAAACTACACAAAATCAGTATCCATAAAATCAACAGAGACCAGTAGTGACTTACAACTCTCTCGAAGCATCGCATGCCCTTGTCAAAATAAAGAGGGTCCCATTTGTCTTTGGCGTAGGCGACCTTGTAGTTGGGGTCAAGTGCTACACAGCATCAGTACAGGTTAACATTGTTCGGAGGCATTAAAAAAAATAACATACCAAGGCAGATAAAATATATGTCGGTGTCGTCAGTCTTGCCATACCACTTGCGGAGATTCTCAACACCAGCTTTGATGGCTGTTGAGAAGCTGCTGAATTTTGATGAGCCAGCCATGTTTTGCAGTGTCTCTTGAAGATATTCGAGTACTGGGATTGTTCGCCACACAGTAGGTTCACGAGTCGCTGAGAAACTTTGCTGAGCCTCTGCAGGTTCCTTGTTGCGTGGCACATAGTAAGCATAATCGGATGTGACAGACAGAGAGAACATACCTGGAGAACAGCATGCATCAACTCCAGCTCTGTCCATTCTTGTGCTGAAAGTTTGAAATCCGCATATGATTTGCTGCCCTGCAAATTAGGAACGTTGTCGCTGTTGTCAGCGAGTTGAATAAACCTGTTCATGCCCTAAAACGTCAAGTCAATGACACTGTTTGTAGTTGCTACTAGTAGATGAACTTACTTTGCGTAATTGCAAAACACATTCCAACATGTTGAAAAGTGATGCCCAGCATGTGCATACCTATTTCAAAAGTTCCAAGGGATGCTTGTTCACCTCAGCGGAGCACTTTTGAAGGAAGATGCAGGCTTGAGGAGACTTTCACCTAAATAAAGAGATTAGTATATCACAGCAGATAGATCACTAACAAGCTTACTTGTGAGACAAAAGCGAGTGCTTTTCCGATGGTGTCCCCAATATCAAACTCGACACTTTCCTCATCTTCATCGTCGTTGTCAGCATGAGCCTGCGCTGCCTTCTTGTGCAAGGCACTCGTTGGCATAGGAGCAACCACCTCCACAAAATGCTTGGCTGCTAAGTGGAGTGCGTGCTCCATACAACTAGTAGTAAACACTCATCAGTCATTAAGTTGAGTATCCAATGAATAAACATACCGTATTCAATGCTCAATTGGTTTCCACTTCTCGCTGTAAGGGTCAATGTTGCGCACCTGTGAAACACCAGAATGAGAACCCATGGCAGATAATCAGTATGGTGAATCACAACTGTAGGTATGTTCTGAAATAAATCACATCATAAGTTAATTAGGACAGACAGTAGACTTGTTGTGAACTTACTAGCACCTGAGTGTGTTGCATTACCAAAGTCGCCAAGAGATCGCCTTGCAATCTTGTTGCTACTGGAATGCAGGAGAAGTAGGAGAAGACAGTGAACAGAAGGGCAAGGACAATACTTAAATTGAAAGCCTCACCCAAAACATGAGGCTTCGACTTTGTGAAAATTGTAAGTCGAAGTCAGCGACAATGATGGGTTCAAACTGGTCTGGATGCGTCCAGAACTGGTCCGGATATATCGACAACACGCCGAACCTCAAACCTACCAAGGGGTTTGGTCCAAGAGAAATTCTGGACCTGTGACCGAACCATGGGTCCGGTCTGCAAAGGTTCAGGTTCGAACCTAGGTCCTGGACCAGACTGCAGCAGCACTACAAAGGAAAGTACCTTCGGCCAAGTGCCAATGAAAGTCAATTTATTTGTATCCTGATGACGTCACATCCCTTACGCATGTCTGGTGTGTCTGGATCTTCATCAGGAAAAAACAAGCTGACTATATTCAAGGTAGCACGTGTAGCTCTGTGCTCTGTAGTCAAGTCCCCTCTATGCAGTCATCATTGTACTATGTAGCGGCTACCAAGTATGTTACGTTCTCAAATTCTGCTATGCTCTGAGCCACGAACGTAACCGTTTGAGGTTCATAACCAGATGTCGACAGCGGCAACATTAGTACGAAGAAAAGGTACAAATGAGCTTCTCAATTGCATGGCTCTAATCACCTTGCTTGCAAGGTCGTACACTGCCAAAAATGACATTACCGTATGCAACCTACGTGGTCTGGGTCTACCATAAGTTCTCGGATTGTCCACTGTCGGAAATTCCTAATTTAGCTTTCAATACATTACAAAGCATTGAAATGTTTAAATACAAACCTCGACTTGAAATGGCTTCTAATAATAGAGTGCGTGTTGTAATGGTCGTTACAATCGTGGTTGCAATCAATCTGAATCATTGTAATAGACTATTTCCATTCCTCAGCCGCGGTGAGCATTGCAACCAGTTGCAATGATGCCAATGATTGTGATGAATGTAGTCTCTTGGAATACCATTACAAGTGCCCTTTGATCATGTTGTTCACAATTGTAATATCATCTTTTTGTATTTGTATCTGCTACAGTTACAGTACTATTATAATGTAGACATTCTGCATTACTCGACACTTGATTCAGATCTGGACCAGACACACAACTACTGTCACTCAGTCTGAATCAACAAGCCGCCCACGAGACCCCCACAAGACAAGCACTCGAATCCTGAAAACAATTCATGCAAAGTTAGAATGATCAGAACCTTGGCAGTGCTGTGTCAATGCGCTCACCATACAACAATCAGGAACACCATGAACATTGAGGACAATATTGAGGATGTTCCTCAGCAGTGGCCTGATTAAATTTTTAGCATGCGAAGAGGACACAGTACCATGCACTCGTGAATACATACTGGTTCGGGTCTCTCACCAATGCACCACAGCGATTTCCTTGGTCATAGTCACCTGAGCAACCCTGCTTGGGCACTGTGCAGAAAAAAATTAAATCAGAATCAACCAACTAAAAGAACCACTAAACAAACCACAATTGTCTGGTCCAGGCAATGTTATGGTCCACTCATTGCACAACAGAAGTGTTACAGTGGCGAGCAGGTGTAAGGTCCAGGTGTCGTCATGTCAATCTAAATGAAGTGTCAGTGTGAACTGAAAATCAGTAGAAAAGGGACAAATATCATCTGAATTGTTGAGCAAAGTCTCCACAAGCATTCAATTCAGATTCAACACACCCTCTGAATCTGAATCACATTGAGAACGTCGAGTGGGCGCATATGAGTTCAAAAAAGACATGTTGAGTAGCTTAGACTTAGACTGTAACTGAAGTAGAGACAAAGGGATGTGGGAAATTAAAGGACACTGTTGAATCCTTATTAGAATCTTATTAATATGAATTTAAACACTTGATATATTATTATAATAATAGATTCAGAATTTTGACTTAGACTTAAATTGTCAATGATTCAGAGCGTGCGCAAGTGTGAATTACAATCAAATCAAATTTAAAAGCAGCAGGCAGTAATACAACATGAGGCTTGAAGTGTAACTAATATATATCCCTAGCAAGTGCGTCGAGCACCACGACAAACACCTTCAGCGGCTGCAGGCAGCTTCTTCTTTCCTCTCCCTTGAGTTGGCTGCTGTCCTACTCCATCTGAATCCTGCACCACAACTGGAGTATTAGTATTAGTGGCTTCTGGGCCCGTCATTACAGGCACTTCAGCATGCTTTCTGGAAGCACTGCTGAGGGCGGAGGCAGTACTGAGAGTAGAAATAGCACTGAAAGGTGGGGCAAAATCTTCTGGAGGCTGTGCCACCTCGAAAACATCAGACTGACGAGAGGCAGTGGTGGCTTGTGCTGTAGAGGATGGTCCAGGGGCAGGTCCAGGTAAATCTAAATCTGATTCACTGTCACTGTCCATATCAAGTGCGTTCATGGCACGAATGATTTCACTGGAGTGATCTTCCTGACCAGCTGGGCCAGAGGCAGAAGACTTTGCGGAGCCAAAAACTTCTCGGTTGATGTTTTGAACGATAGTCTGGATGCAACGGCTATCCCACTTTGTGAGTAAGAGCTTCTTATAGTGGTAGAATAGATCCTTGTAGTTATATTGGATGACTTTCTTAAGCCAGACTTCTGGAATTTGGTGTCAGGTGACAGCAGAAAGATTACCTGTGATATCAACTGAGCAACACTGTCGCTCAACATAGGGTGGATGACTCACAATGATGGCAGCCCATGCAATGGACCCTGGTGTGACCTGTTTGAAGTTCCATTTGCGTGCATTCATCTTGGGTCCGCTGGTTGTCTCTTGATGAAGTGAAGTGACACCGTGTAGTGTAGCCTTCAGAACCTATTCAGAGGTGCATCATCACACGGTCTGCAAGAGGACACAGCTGAAAGGCCTACCTTAGCCAAAAGCTCCCAGTTTCTGAATATGGTCTTCAAGGATGAGTCTTCCTGCATTCCAAGAAATAAGACCAGTGGAAAAGTCTTGTACTTTGGATTCGCCGCTGACACTCCAAGCATGTCCCGAATTTCTGCGACATCAGCTCTGCGGTAGTTGGTATTGGCGAAGTACATCCCTGGAAGGCCAAAGATATCGCCGGCGACACCATGCAGCTTATTGATTTCTGAGGAGCGAGCCTCAGAAATGGACTTCATTACCTGTTGAATGTTAGTTACATTTTAAATTAGTATCAAAACATATAATACTTACGAGATCACTGAAATACAAACTTTGCATGGCACTGTGTATGCAATTGGGAAAGTGCTGAAAAAGTTCATCCAAGAATGCTGATTCCTGCATCATCGCTGTCAGGTACCAGTCACAGCTGTTGAATGGAGTTGGATTCTTGGGGCGTGGCTTGCTGAGAAGGTCGGAATTAGGGAACATTTCAACAGTCAGGCTGTATTTACGAGTGAAGAGTGTTATTGTTTGCTCATGGGCCAAAAGTTCATCAGGTGCTTCCGCACGACATTTTCGTTTTGGTTTCTCAGCGACCAGAGTTTTGTTCTCCTCACAAAGAGTACAATTGTCCTTGACAAGCTTCTGAAGCTGAACCTGCAGTGCCTTAAGTGCCTAAAGTGAGAGAGAGGAGTTAGATGGGTAATGTAGTTGAACACTTAAAACATACCTCCATGAGGTCTCCCTTTGACGTGTTTGGCCCTGGAATTGCAACTGATTCGATATAAGGTTCTTCATCTGAATCATTGTCAAATGTGTTTCCAGAGAGATGTGACATGACACAAAATGAACTGGAGGGATTCAGAAGGGAGACAAGAAAACGGTCAGCACAACACCCCAGTATTATATAAGGCAAAATTTTGGTGTACCTCGTGTATGCTGCAGCCGAAGATTCCTCAGGCTGCAGTGATGTGCTGGCACCAAGAAGAAAAACACCATGATGCACCTTGAAATGTGCTTGTGCTCCAGCCATGTAATGAAGGCATAGCCTGGCCTTAAAACATAATATGAAATCAGCATGAGTATCAATCAGTGTAATATTGCGGGCTGGTCTCTTACATTTCATGGGCCTCCAGTTCGGCTCTGCTGTGATGCTCAAAACAGGCTGGGAAAGACCATCATTTGGCTGGGGAGGTGATATGTGCTAGCCCGAAAGATATCATGGGGAACGGCAGCAAAAAATCGGGCAAGATTGTGTAAAGGATGGTGGCCAAGAAGGTGAGCATGACTGAGAGATAAGGATTGAGAGTCAAACGAGCAAAAGGTGAGGCCTTCCATGTCGGATTGTGGAGAACGAATGAGAGCATCTAGAAGGAAAGTTCCAATGCAAGTCTGAAAGAAAGAGTCAGTGAGAAGCCGTCAAGTTGGATGTTAGTGAACAACATGCCATGTTAGTGAACAAAGAGGTCTGGTGTGTGGGTGTCATGTTGTGATCGCCATGATTGCACAGTTGATGACCAGATGGGAAGAATGAACTCCCAAGAAGTGGAATAAGTGCGAGAGTTGTCGACCCATGCAGCACAACAATCAGAAGATGATTTGATGCTCATCTGTGACTTGCTCTTGATGGGGATCTCCATATGGAAGCCTTGCATGTAGATGACAGTGGCAAACACGATGGAGGTTCATGATGTTTGAGAGCCTATCACACCAAATCTGAAGAAGCTCGTTGAGGGAGGATAATGACACATATCATGCAATCTGGTGACAGGATTTCTAGCAGGAGTGGAAGGAATGGTCGGACAAGATTTGAGTGGAAGGAATGGTCAGATGAGATTCGAGTGAAAAAGCCAATGAGAGTTGAATACTGGTGACAAGGGTGGGTTAGTTTAAATCATGGAAGATAAAGATACTTATGGCTCCAAATTTTTTGCATGCATTGATCAGAGTGTTGATGAACCAGTTGGTTGTTTGGTTGCTGACCTTGTTGTAATTGAGAATTACCCAGGCAGATAAACTCTTCGTCAGTTCATGGAAAGTTTGGTCGATCATCATATTCCATGAACCGTTTTGCGGTTGCTGTAGGTAGGGGGCCCCGTCTACCAAGATAAACACTTCGTCCGGTCATGGAAAGTTTGATTAATTATATTCCATGAACCATTTCGTGGTTGCTGTAGGTAGTCTAAGGGAGTACATTAAGATAAACTCTTCGTCCGGTCATGGAAAGTTTGATTGATCATGTTCCATAAACCATTTTGTGGTTGCTGTAGGTCATGGAAAGTCTCATTGATCATATTCCATGAGCCGTTTCATGGTTGCTGTATGTCATGGAAAGTTTGATTGATCATGTTCCATGAGCCGTTTCGTGGTTGCTGTAGGTTGAGAATCAGATAATGGTACAACCTTCTGGCATCCTGGACTTACTGATGGCTGGCAGATGTTCAACATCAAATGTGCACAATGTGCACTGCCTCCAGATGCATCATCTTTATGTGAAGAAACATGTCTGTATCTACAGTATCAACTGCAAGGTAATCAGAAGGCCCATCCAGTACTAGAAGCATGCCATGTATGATGGATCTGACTGAAAAAAACTGTGCCTCTGCCTGTCGTCTTGCTCGAACTCTGAAAAGGTTTAGATCCCTGTCCTTTCGAGAGTGCTGACCAGTGGGAACATCAAAGGGGTGAATAAGAGCGAGGGGATATATGCAGTCCCCAATCAGACATTCAAAAATGAAGAGCACTGGCCAAGAATGACTTTATCTTCTGTCAGCCAAATGAAGACACAGTCGAAGTGCGGGAACCAAAGAAAAGGGGATTGCATTGTAGATAGTCTGTATGTTGCCACCAGTCAACCATCGATTCATAGTTGACACGAAGAAATTGGTGCACTGTAATCTACTTGTATGTTAGGACATAATAGTCAATGAACAAACTGAGAAAGGATATCGTACATGATTATTTCCTTGGAGATGAATATGTCTACCATCAGGTAGTGGTATATCCGACAAGGGTAACAGTACATTAAGGAAATCATTGAGTTTGATGCAGAAATTACCAAACACTTGGTTGTCCTGGTGAGCTTTCTCAATTGCATCAAAGGTCTCCAGAGGTTGTTTCAATCCAAGCTTCACATGAAAGGAACCGCCGGTTGAGATAGGGCGGTCGACAACATTCACGATGTAGTCTTCTTTTTTTAGCAAGTCTTCTTCATGCAATTGACATTGGTGCTCATCAAATTCATATAAATGACGGCAGATACGATCTGCAACTACTTGCCACTGATTGATTTGGAGGATCTGTCAAATGATACATCAAATTTAAGTTAGTAAACAATCATTGTAACAATGCACCTGTTCTGCTACATCATGAAAGTTTGTCTGCAGCAAATACGAATCCTTTAACAAGCTGTGCATCTTCTTGTTCGGTTTCATATTATAATTCCGTGTAGCTCCTTTTGCTTCAACATCATCAAAAATATGCAGGTCCATATGCAACTTTGGATAGTTCCAAATTTTTCCATTCTCGTCAGCCGTTTTGTTGATGTATTGCTAATAACGAGTTGATTAGTTGACTATTGGTAGCAGTAGACACATGCAACATACATGCAAAATGGCCGAAAACATGTGGTGTGTGTGATGGCCGCTGCTGATAGTTTCAGTCATGTGAACTTCGAGCAAGGCGTACATATCAAGTTCGAGGTAAAGACAGACACAACGAAGGAGTAGATAACCAAGAGGACAGTCCTGCTCAGTTAAAATGTCATGGGTAGCATATACTATCATCTAGAAATATGTCAGACTCAAGCTAGTAACACAAAAGCTTGACATGAACCTTTGAAATGTCTTCGTGCACAGAGTTGTCTGTAAACACAATGTTCATTACATGATTTGGGTGTTTCTGATCTCACCAATGGGGAAATGCGTGATAACTGTATTAAAACACCTCAATTCAACTCGAAATTTTTCTGAAGAAAGTGTTACTTCTTATCTACTTGAGATGTTTTGTCTTGTCCAAGACAGTTGATATACTTTTGAAGCTCGACCCACAAGTGAAAGTGCAGTTTGTCCCACGACAGCGCATGATGCACATCGGTAGACTTCATTGTCCAAAATTCATTCTATGACGAAGTTAAAAAATGTGTCAGAAGAGTACAGATAACCTCACCAGGATATCACGGAGTCCGTATTCTTTTAGTGCCTCCTCCCTCTCTTCTGCAGTGTCCTTTGCTCGTGCAGTTGCTAGGATAGCCTGCGAGTCACAGGATGTGCAATGTGGATAGCAGTGTGTCGTATCACTAAGTTTGTCGTGTGGAACCAGACAAATGGGGCATGGCCAAAGGGCCCTGACACCTCGAGTGAGGGACATTAAGGACCTTGAAACACAATGAGTTAGCAAGAGGGCAGCATTGAAGTTAAAATCGGACAATAAGATTAGTATTAGTGGAAAAAACCAGTGCTGAACTCTGTCTAAACAGTCAAGCCACTGTCCCGTATTGGATTTTGTTGCTAGCGAAGTGAGGATCCTTTCGAAGGACTTGTGCCATACTGTAGCCTTAAAGTTGGCCCATGCCAGCTTGCTAGAGTGTTGCTTATCTTCCTTCACCTATATTTATAGAATTAGCTTGAATCAACAGACATAACAAATGTACCAAACCACAGGAAGCCACCCAACAATGTAACCACCACCCATCCCCTGACCGTTGTGAATGTCAGTGGGTAAGTTGGCTAATCAGTGCCATGACAGGGTACCCTTTTGCGGTACCAAAACTGGATAATTTTGTCTTGTCAGCATACAAAATGAAGGCAAGGGGCTTTGCATTGGGCAGCAGCTGCGACTACACAATACATTGAAATTTAAATGCAATTAAAATCACTACATGTGGTACATTGACATGAATAGTACATACTTGAGCATCCCAGAAGTTTTGAGCCATAAAGGGCTCATCTACAAATTGTTTGAATGACTGGCCATTGAACTTCAACAAGTGTTGAGCATCAAAATGAAAGTGAGAAAATAGATAAGGATCATGGAGGAGGTTGGTGGCCCATCCCCAAAGATCACGATAGTAGACATCAAAATCCCAAGATTTATCAGTGAAGGGTATCTAAATGACATCTTTCGTAAACTGAGCTCAAATGTTAGTCCAAAGAAAATTATACAGTAAGCAGTGAGACAACCCCTGTGACACATTGAGAGGCAGTGTCCTACTTAGCGTGGATATCCTTATGGTTCTGGAAAGTGAACTTCTCTGACTTCTGCGCACAACGGTGACAGATGTCAAGGAGATGGTCTGTCTGAGCATTATTGAGAGCCGCTTCGAGGGCAATTTCAGTGATATCAAACTCTAAACGAGACTTGAAGGGACGCCAAGGTTGTGCGTCAGGTTCAGGAGCGGACCACAAGGAGTGATGGGCTGGGTGATGCTTGAAATCACCGAACACATGAACTTGCATTGGGATCCCGCTCTTTGGGTGGTGTACAACCTTGATATCATCAACCTCGAATTCGCAATATTCGAGGTCTCCATCATCATTGGGGACAAATTGTTGATCCTCTAACATCCACATCAATTAAATGATGCACAATTATGAAAAATTGATGAAATCACAGAACTCACCGAAAATAGGGTACAGATGTTCGACGCCATGAGAACTTGTCAAAGATGGGCCATTCTGGCCTGTCATGACTGATTGATAGATGTTACAGACTTGGATAGTATCTGTTGACGACACTCAAGCAGAGAGTGTGTCGTCAACGGTCGAGGACATCCTTGGGCTGGCCCAAGGTTAGGGGTCTTACTTGGCGAGGCTTCGGCAAGTAAGATTTAACGCCTATGTCCAAATCAGGTAGCTTATGTCAAGCGGGGCTCGATGATAAGTGTATCTGCCAAGGCTTACAACACCCGAAGGTTAATCGTAAGATCTGCATTAATAGAAGGACGGAAGTCCGACTAATAACAGGGGCTTTGCTCAACAATGAAGTCGATGAGTAAAGATTGAGACTAAAGACTTATCCGCGATGAGCAGATAAGAAAGTAGAATATAGACAGCTGGCTAGGCTGAAGGAATCACTCTTGTTAGGAGTAGGAGGGCAAGAACCAAGTAGATTCAAGTTAAGGAACTAGATACATGGTAGCGAGTTTATATAGAGGAAAGGAAGCATATTAGTGGATGATAACTCATACTACCAGAAAGGGAACTGGTCAAAGGGTGATACTAGAAAAGGAAGGCACGTTTGAGGTGAGTCATGGGCGAACTGGAATGTGCAAATGGAACATGAGTCGGAGAACAGAAACAGGAAGTGAAACAAGCAGGGGCACGATCGTGCAGCTGCAGAGCTAAGTATAAGTACAATGTGCGACTGCGCACCAAGTCATAGATCAAAGAAGGAAACAGGGCAAAGGGGATGCAGTGTGCATCGCATCATAGGTTACTGTCCGGACGGTAAGGGTAAGGGGGACTGTCCACAGGATCAGTCAACGGGTGGAACGGAGCATGGGTATGCTTCATCAGAGAAAGGGTCTGGCCAAATATACTGGCTCTGCTGGAGTGACAGGTAGAGGGCGAAGGGGAATGCGAGGATGACGAGGATAACAAGAGCAAGGTCGGGGTAAGGGTGTGATGCAAGGGCAGAGACGAGGAGGATGAGGAGAAAAATGGTAGGGGCCCAAGCATCTAGGTGTTCTTGTAACAATAGATGAATGAGTGAAATAGATGTCATAGTATATGACACAAAGGGCAAAACTTACCTTGTGTCTGATTTGGAAGCAGGATGTTTGGATCTGCAGCTGTGACATTGATAGTCCTGCATCTAGAACCATCAGGATTATTTACTGCAGCTATATTCTGAATCAGATGGGAAGGTGATAAGAGCAACTCAAATTAAAAATGCACCTTTTCGCTGCCTGATCGATTCCGCGACACATTCATCATGCACCCGCATTTGCATGTTCCTCTTGCAGGCCTTTCGGTGCGTGGCCCAACCACGTGGTTTAATATTCTGTTCGCACAGATTGCAGAACTTCACCCGGTCAGAGCCCATGATGTTGACAGATATATATATAAGGTATTTACAGAGTTGATGTAAGCAAAGAGATCGAGGAATACAGATGGTGAGAGTGCAAATATGAGGAACAACCACCTTACAATAGCTTACAATTGCCTGACAATGCATTGAAACTCAGCGAATGATCTTACATCATCATGCCAATGGCAATTTCAACGACATCTCAACAACCGAGCATTGAAATAGGTTTCGCAAATTTCCGACAACAATTATGTAAAAACAACGGCAATTTCCGCAAAAGATGTACTCATCATCCCCAAATAGACCAATCATGACTCGGACATTACTGTTCACGCGCCCTACCGTTTTCACTATTTTTCCCCTTGCTTCTCTTCCCGAGCTGGCCTTCTGTAGGTGAGCCTGCTCGGTAGCCTTTTGTACCCATACTCCGACTTGGTTATACACCTCCGAACCATCCGAGTCTTCAGCCGTCATCTCCCTCTCCCACTTGCTCACATGCCCTCTATCGCTTATTGAAAGACACTTTGGGTCAGAACCGCTGCAAGCCCATCTTCAACAGGATTCTCTCTCCACACTGAGTGGCACATTGCAAGGCTCTGCTTTAGACGTAGTAAGTTTTTTGTTTGTCGTTCATGTACATATACTAACATGCGGTGTCCCTGCCATCATTGTACATGCTATTGGTAAAATGTGGAGCTTCATTGTGCCCTCTCTAGTCATGTTGCCTTTCCTATCCCTTTGCTTTCCCAACCTAATTCTCTGTTCATAGTCCTCGCTCATACATTTTATACGATTGTGAAGAAAAGGTACGAATGAGTTTCTCAATCGCATGGTTTTAATTACGAAGTTCGAACTATTAATTGCTATCTCCTGTTTAAGTCCGCGTTATATTATTATTGCATCTCATATGCGTTTCGCCACGTTTATATTTATCTTCCGATTTGCGGGGCTGAGTCGGACAAGCTATGATATTGCTTGACTAGCATCACTGCTCTCCACTCAGAAACAGCTATGTCGAGGCTCCAAGAACGCTCAGTCAACATTTCAACTTATGTAACTACTGATTCGCTCATCATCCATCCTGCTAGATCACTACGACTCGCTGGCTCTGTTTAACTTGGACTTGAATATCAACAACTTGGCAGGTTTCAGGCGTTCATACGGATTTACGATGAAACGGGATTAATCAACAGAGCCGCGTCCCTTGTTGATATAAAACTTTCTCCCAGTATAAGTTCTCGGCTAATAAGAACAAGTATAAAACCAGAGCGGTCGAGTAGAGACGAACACATCTTGTTGCAGTGAGTAGCCCTCTTGCGCTATATCATGCGCATTTCATTGAACCGACACATAATAACTCTTTCAAGATTTTTCATAGAAATTTCGCGCACATTTGCACTAGCAGACTTTTGTCGGTGCGTCATTTCCTCACACGTTTTCATTACACTCTGATGCGTAGTCATACTAGATACCATGAAGCTCGTTGAAATCGTTTATTTCGCAATCCTTGCCGCTTCCAGTGCCGCTGCCAGTGGCACTAGGGTGAGGGCAGTAGCAGCTCCAGCTATAAATACGCACTGCCCAAGCCCGTTCCAGTGTGTTTCTCAAACGCAACCGAACTGCCCACCGAACTCATTCGCTTGGCAATGGAGCAATGAGTGCTGGGTGTGCTGTACCACTGGAAGAAGTTAGTTGAACCTCTCGGTCATTTTTGCTCTCATTACAAATAAAATGTGTGTCGTATATCGTTTTTCAAAAGATCGAGTACTTAACACATGCAAGATCCCTAGGTGGACCACAAACAGAGAACTAAGGATGCGAACCTGGAGAGAGAAATTTTGAAGGGCAAACCTCGGAGGACAGCGGTGCCGACTAGAATGATCTTGGAGATTGGTTTGTGGTCTCCATGGACAGTGGCAGAGCTTGACTGGTTAACCTAGCCTGTCCGCTGGTATCGTTGGAGACTTTAAACCTATCATTGCAAAGTAACTATGACAGTAGCAGTGAAGCTGCATCTATGTTTGGACCCGTCTTGAGACGTACACCACGCACACCATACTCATGTTCAGAAGCGGACGTCGAATTAGTAAGAAAAGGTACAAACGGATGTGAGAGCGGTAGTTCTCTCTCGCGGATCTGTGGCAATGACGTTCCTGACGGAAACGGCGTATGTGGACTTCACAAGTTGACACCGTGCGAGGCTGACGTGCTAGTTTTTTTCTTTTTTTTTGCTTCAGAGTTGGTCCATTGGGGTCATAGACCCGGCCTATGTTGGACATTGTCTCGTCGTAAGCTTCCTCTTCTTGTCCATTATGGCTTCGGATCAATGCATGACCATTGGCCATCTCTAAGTGCAGCGCAAGGATAGTGGTCAAGCAAGACCTTCAACTTGAAGCTGCCAAAATCTCAATTTATGCTTCATCGAAGAATCTTATCTGCGTTATATATTCAATCTTTGTGGAAAACAGTACAGAACACACATTCTACTCGTATTCGAGAAAAATATGACCGATTTGACTTAGGTCCAACTAATTTCATGCAGCATAGTGACAGCACGTCCAGCAAGTCTCGTCGGTATTCTGCTGGTAAGGCCACGTCCCTTTCGGGCAGTCCCAAGGTTGTGAGGTGCTTGGGACGCAATTGCGATCGCACACCAGGCCTGCTTCAAGAGAATCTGCTACCGCGACTTCAGTACCACTAGCAGCAGCGAGGATTGTAAGGTAAACGATTTCAACGAGCTTCATGGTATCTGGTAAGTATGACTATGACTATGCTTCAGTCTATGATACTACCATGCTAGGAAATCACACACTCACGAAAGTTCAATTGTATAGCGTGCTGTACAGTGTGTAAAGTTGCTATGACAAGGTCTTCGAAGAAACTATTATGTCTTGGTTCAATGGAATGCGTGGTGTGGCACAAGAGGGCTACTCACCGCAACAGAAGGCGGTCGTTTCCGAGGTCTTTTTGACATAATAGCGTAGACTTTATACACATGTTGTTCTCTTCAGGGTTGAAACTATACTCGGAGAAAATTTTACACCAAGCACAAACACATAGCCTATCACCTTGACAATGCGCACCCGAGGCGCACCAAGCATTTGCTCCGCAAGATCAAGAATAAAGTCTGGCGACGCTACTTCCCCGAGTTCGCTTTTTGGTCAATTGCCTGATCGCAATTACTTGGCTCGCACTCTGGCCGGAAGCACCATACCATCTGTATAAATGGTTGTTGTGTCAGTATACTCACATTGGACAATAGCAGCATGATAGCACAGCGATGAGAAAAGCCAAGGAGTGTGCTGTGTTCAAGGCTGCAACTTGAACCATCGACATGGCTCCCAAAATACTCCAACGCAAACGATGTGCTCACTCGTCGGAAGATGGATCTTGCTCAGCAAGTTGGCTGCGACCTGGTAAGTATGATATGGAATACAGGTCTAGTAGCCTAACTTGGCATCATGACGAGCGGGGTACGCGTCTGCCCAGGTACACCAGGAGCATTTTAAACGTGGGCGGGGACGTTGTTACCGAAAATAGCATTGGCGGGGAGAGAAGTGGCTCTTGAGCGTGCAGAATGGAACCACTGAATAAGGTCGGACATAAGCGAACGAGATATTCATAGCATGGTCTCAACGTAGAGAAAATACCTGAGGTAACGATATCTTGCCTATTTGATCATGGTCGTTAAAGCTCAAAAGATGAGAAGGGAATATTGATACCATAACGCAAACTAGGTGCTCAGAAAAACGGGAGTCGCGTGTCCTGTGAATAAATAAATATGCTACTGGTCTGCGTCTGTTGGAATCTGTGTATGAGGGACGTTATTTTGAAATCATACAGCACATGTGTTTTAGCCTTTGAGGAGAAAATGTGATTTCGACTTCGAACTGACCAGTAGAAATATTCAAAAGATCTCCGTTGAGGAAAAATACATCGTTAGATGGTTCAAGTGAAACGTCATAATGTCCGTGGGGACGGCTCGACATGGACGCGTCGGACTCCGGGAAAGGTTATTATCTCCGATTCATTTGGGACATTCGACACTGCCACTTGAGACCGCCGCATACCATGATGTTTATTGGGTCTCCGCCATCTCCTCGTCTCAGATAGCCACCTTTAAGCTTGCAGATGAGTATCATTGGATAAACAGAGTGTCTATGAACTCTCGACACCAACCTCCGAGTCGGACCATCCCTCACGAATTTCTTGTCCTTTGGGCGGGCCATATGATGGACACTGCGTACAGCATTCTACTTTGTCGTCCGCGGTTGATCTATGTGCTGTCTATGCTTACAGTTGTCAGTGCGGGTGCAGGGACCTTCGTGCCGCCTTAAGGGCCAAGTGATTTGATGGAGGTGGTAAGATGCGCTTCCCTTTCCTCTACTTTCGGCAATTCAGCTATCCCTGAAGACTCCCCTGTTCGCCTCGAGCTCATATGCGGCCCCGTTCCCCGGGATTCCCTAGGGTCCATGCGATAATATGCCAGGACTGAGTATCAATCTCCGAAAGATACCTCATCATCTCTACGCGATAGTTGCAGGGTCGCTGGCCTACTAACGCCGTAGGCGAACTACACGGATTACATTATAAGGGGGCAACGGGTGAGTGAGAAAATCGACGTAATATATCGACTGATTACACATCGGGATCATCGACGAAAATCTTTCCAACTTTGTCGCTGTGCGGGCAAGGTCATTGCGGATTTGAATGATGAGAGACTAGAGATTCGAGCTAGTGTTCTGTGGTGATAAAGAAGAGAACCGTCAATGCTTACCCAAAGGTCATGATACGATGGTCGCAACTGCCATGTGACAGCAACAACAGTTCTTCCAAATCGATCAGAATCGTGTAATCCTCGGAGATATCATTCGAGACCTCCTACTCCGAAGATTCCAAATCACCTCACAACAGAAAACGGGTTTCCTCGCTGTCGTCATTGCTTTGAAAGCCTGATCTGTGTTTGTCAGTGCGCGCGTGGTCACGCGTCAAGCTTGCGACTGGAATATCGAATGCTGCGGTAACTCGGTTTGTGACGATCCAAACGTGAGTATGAGTATGAGCAGGCTGCTTCGCAACCAGGATTGAACTACATGACTCACACCTGCCCGCATCAGGGTGGAAGTTTGACCTGCCAGAATGAATCCAGTTGAAGATTGAGCCTGCAGCCCGAAGGGCACGCCGCGACAGTGAGTCCTGTTTTTTTTCCTCTTTCGCTTTGGTATCATGGTTGATGATGCAATGCCTTGATCGGAACTAATTAGCACAGTTGCATTTGCCAAAATAAAATCGTGCTACTCGAGCAATTGAATGTGAATTGCTTGCATTAATCTAAAAATGACCGGCTGTAGGTAACTGTTGAAGAGATGAGCTACTAGTTTTCACACCGCGCGCCAAAGTTGTAGTGAAAGTATAGTTAGCAGAGAAAGGAGCGGCTGAGCTCAGGTGAATGTGGTTGGTTTGGTTGATTAGTTAGGTAGGTTGGTATAACAAACCAACCAACCAACCAATCAACCAACCAATCAACCAAACCAAAAGGCTCGGACGCGATGTAACGGGCGCGAGACGAGACGAGAAAGACGAGCAACGAGAGAATGACTGAGAGGCTAGATACTGGGGTTGATTCGACGAAGAAAATGATACAAAGCCGAGCACATATAAGTACTTGCTATGACAATGTAAGGTGAAACCGTAAACAGTAAGAGTGTCAATGTGAGACAACGAGTCCGAGCGAGCTGGTCCACGCATGACGGATTACACCGGCGCAATGTAGTGCCCGTGGACTACGTACAATGACCGTGACACGGTTGCTTTCGCGGGATAAATGATTTTAGATTGGCTGGATTATCAAATCCGGTCCGGAATTATCACAGATTATGCATCTACAACGTTAGGATCATAGTTTGAACTCTTGTGAATAGGGAACAAGGTTACCTCTTAATGGTCCCATAAGCATGACGACCTAGCGATTAATTTCATCTATTTTTGTCGCAGCCAGTAATCACAGAAGTGGTCCTTGAACTTGAGTGAATGACCTGACATTCAAGAAATGTGCAAATGAATGTGGTCCGAGTTCTGCTTCACTGGTTTTTCCCTGGGAAAAGAACGCAGACTCGGTCATCGTTCGAGTCACTTATCATAGATAGTCTTCAAAAGTTGAACGAAAAGCCATAAAATTGCGGTAAAGTCGACCGCCGAGTTTGAAGACCTCGCAGACGCATTGATGAAGCCTTATTGATCAGACCCTAGATCATAACGCCTTCCAAGATCACGAACTTGCGTCATTATGAGACAGGGTCGGTAAAATCGCCGACCGTCGATTTCGAGACTGGAAATTCTGGGCGAATCATTTGGTTGGAAACCATCCCGACAAGCAAAAGGATACTCCGAAGATGATCCATGGCGGGTCCCTTGATCTGCACCACGAGTACGAATGACCCTTGACGTCGGTATGATTTCATCGACCTTGATGGTGCACCTGATTCGATAACCTTCGGGACTTCTGCACCCATAGGTATAATGAGAATCTTTGAATGGGAAAGAAGCTTGACCGGGCACCGACAAAATACTTACCTTCGACAGCATGGTCGTTGCTTTGCGAACGTGGTTGAGAAGATCATGGAGAAAAAGGAAAGTGCACGCCTATCTCTGAATGACTCCACGAAAGGCAGAGCATCGAGGGTATTGACGTGTTAGTCCAAGATGTGGTATACATATAACAGAAGGCTTCCAGGTGACACGCTAAGTGGAGCAGCCCTAAATTTAGATTCGGTAGTGCCACGATTGCAAGATCAGAAAAGTTGGTACGTACTCGGAAGCTTATTTGGTGGAAAACTTTGTGTGGCAGGAAGCGTTTGAAAGGGGTTCGAATGGATCAGAGGATTGACACGGCAAACGAGCCACCCAGACCCCGCAAATCTGTAGGATAGGCGAGGCTTGAGAATCAACCACAGCGCTGGGTTAGTTACCGAATGAATGTCCGCGATACTTTAGCATTGGCTGACTTGCCGTTTGAGGTAGTTCCCAAACCCCCACTGATCAGTTGTGTGGGGCCGCGAAGTTCTGAAACGTCGCGTTTAATGCTGTATACGACGCGTGGATCTGCGAAAATACGACTCTAGGAAATCGACCAGCATGATATGGAAATTTTGCTGTCTGCTGGTGGAAGATGTACTGACCAACATGAAGACCAGCTAGATTGAGACGCATAGAGGCTTTTGAAATGGGGGGAAATGGCATAACATTCGTGTCTGCTTATCTCGGCAGATAAGTATGCTGAGAATTACATAGTAATGTTCCTTGTTCCGTTTACTAGGGCCGCGCGTACTTATTATTGGGTGAAGTTGGAGCGGAAATCGTGGCGGAAAGAGACCGCACGCATCATGATTGGGTATTGAGAGACGCCATCTTGACAGAGAATATCACGGTGTCAGTGGACAGCGAAAAGTTTGATAGGTCATTCCGCGGAAGGAACTGTCGACTAAAGTTGCTATCTTACTACACCTCTGGCAACGTTCGCTGTTACTCGCCTTTGGGTCCCAGAGTCGAGGATAGTCAAGTCGTGGTCCCAGAGTCAATTCGTATTCATTGACCTAGGCGGTGATTCACAGAAGATAGAAGGATCTGAGTTCAACGGCGACCAAAAGATAACAGTGGAGAGAGGAGGACCTTATCTTTCACACGTGTGTTCTCAATTCCGTAAGGTTGCCAGTTCTCTCAAATTTTCATCATATATAATCCTATCGCCATGACACAAAACATGAACAATTCGCCCTCTCAGTTCTCTCTTCCGTCTACACCAGGACTTGACATAGTCAGTATTGAACATTTGACTCAAATATATGATCGGACTCACCTGCCCAGTCTCGCCTTAGACTATAGAATTCAGTCACCGACAGACAACATTCTGTTGTGTTCAAACCCAGTTTCACCTATATTTACACCCTAATCACTGCTGCCAGTGACGTCAGTTTCCGTGGGGGCAAACTCATTTTATTCCTGACCTCATGTCTCAGTCCATCTAAATCCCTGCGCAGACACCAGACAGCGTATCTTGTTCAAACAAAGCAAGTTTCCATGTTCATATCACCGCAATATAGCCTAACTTTTCGAGACAGGCCTTTGATTGAATATTTTTTGTCTCGCTCACCATGGCTTGCGAAATGTCTCAGCCAAGGATTAGCACCGATCCACAGAATGGCAGTCATGCAGGCCATATTTCGCCTCAGACTCTGCAACGAATGTCGCTTTTAGGTCACGGTCCATGGTCCGAGTCCGCCATGTCGGATTTTTTCGATGCAGGTGGTCTTCACAACGACAAGAACCTCATCAATCCAACCATACATCAATCATCCATACGCTTCCCTTCCACTGATACTGATCATTCCGACTCGTCCACCTCTTCCGCACCTTCTGACGAGTCGCATATCGTTATATCGCGCTCTCGACGAGTCCGTGGGCAGAATTCCAATCCGTCATCTCCCACACCATTGTCTATCAAGGCTAGGCACCACCCAAGTCCTCGCACGCACCAAGCGGACAAAAGGGGTGTTCAGCCCCCGGAGCTTAGTGATGCATCTGATGTTGACACGGTGCGCTTGACGCAGGCACCATTCGACAATGCTAGTAGCGTAAAGCCCAACCCGTTTAGGGCGCAGGCTCGTCAATTTTCTTCGGAAATGCGCTCCAGCTCTCTTCCCCAATTCAACTCATCTCACCCCGATAGTTCGAATCTATCCCCCCAGACCCGATCTATTCGAAATAAGTCTGGCCAGCCTATCAAGCCATCGCTCAAGCACGCCAAACTTCCCAACCTGTCAATTCCAACGGGCGGCGCGATCGTGCAGAGCGAACCCACGACGCCTACCCTTTCGAAGGCGGTACACTTCGACGCCAAACTTGAACATGTCAAACTGTTTCTCTCAAAGCAAAAACCTCTCGCAGTATCGCGAGATCGTGACCTAACCACCGATACCAGCGGTACGGAGAGTGATCTACCCTCAATCATCCGTGGTCCACCGGATGGCTTCGCCGAGAAACAGATTGAGCTTCAGATTCGCAACATGCCGTCCATCCCGCCAAAAGATGCAGACGTGATATTACAAGGACTCACTTTATCCCAATGCGATAAGACCATCACCGGACAAATCCGAGTGCGAAATATTGCATTCGAGAAATGGGTGGCTGCTCGGTTCACTTTGGATCTGTGGCAGACGACGAGCGAAGTTACCGCTCATTATGTGGAGTCCGTGAACGATGGCACGTTTGACATTTTTATGTTCACGATAAGGTTGCATGACATGTGGGCGCGTATCGAGGAAAAGACGATGTTTATTGCCTTGCGCTATACTACCGCAGGCATGCAGCTCTGGGACAACAACCACGGTGCCAACTACATGCTCAAGTTCATCGGGAAGCTTGTGCCGCGCAAGACACCCGTTATCGCCCGGTCTCCCATGGGGGCTTCGGCTTTCAAAGTTGAGTCGGCAAGAGTGGATATGGATCCTTCTCAGGCGTCCCCTTCGCCGCGCTCTTCCGCGGCGTTGACACCAGAAACGCCTCTGTCAGCGAGGTATCATTCAGGCTCTGCGCTTAACGTTGCTCAAGATGGAGACCTTCCTCCCCTATCTTTCCCACCTATACGGACCTCTACGTATCCCACAGAGCTCTCCAGTGCTTGGTCGAAGCATGCTGCTTATCGCACCGATAAGACACTGCCACGTCATACTCGATCCGTTACTATAGCATCATCTAGGGATCTAGAAAAGCACGAGCAAGCGCACATTGCACAGTCGGAATCTTTAAACCTCGATCCCCCCTTGTCACGTGCAGCACGCGAACGCAACCATCATCGTGGCTATCTAGACAGATCAATGGGTGGCACAGCGCGTAAAACCCTTCCAGGTCCTGCTCTTTTGAGTCCCTTTGAGGAGCAGACTCCTACTCGCAGTAGTGATCCGCAAGGACAACCATCGCTCTTTAGCAGGTTTACTGCTCACAATATGGCTCGGATGAATAGCGCAAGCTCCACTGCTTCTACGAGCTCCCTAACTACTCCGCTTACGTCTCCGGGGCCCAGTACGCCCTCTTCCGACGACGACAAGCCCTCTCTCAATGATAGCTATAGCCAATTCCTCAACCGGTAGGTCCAAGTACTTAGTACCCCAAACTCAAGACTAAAGCCCTGTCACAGGTTCTGCTTCTTCACTGGTTCTGGCTCGCTGACAGACTATTCTTCTGATTCGATCACCCGTTCGCACTCCGCATCCAGTGTAGAAGCGTTATTGTGCTCTTCGCCTCCTCATGATTTCTCTTCTTCCTTGCGCGATCATGCTTTCAATGGCCTCCGCACTTGTAGCTTGGATAGCGTCTCTACTTGTCAGAGTGGCTCGACTACCCCGCACGCGAATCCAATGCTCGATTGCCCCACGCCAGTGGTCCACTGTGAGTATCCACTCCGAGACACTGGCTAGCATCACTGACTCCTCCACAGAACTTATAATCAACCTAGACTAACGGCACTGGCTTTCATGACATCCACGACCCGACATGATGAAACGATAAGTTATCTTGTGGCAGTCATCACAACTTGTACACTATTCAAACGTTTCCTTGCACATGGCTTCCTCGCATCGTACAGGCATTTTCCTTGTTTATCTTTTCACCTATCTCATATGCTATCGTTATTGACCTTCCAGGTTTCATTTTTTGGGCGTTGTAGTGCCTCTGATATATATTGATCGACGAAGTAATCACCGTACAATAGCTATAGAACGCGTCGGGTCTGCTCTTATATTTCAATACATCTATCTTCGAGCTCTCAATTCGTGGTGAAGGAGAAACCGCAAATCATAACACGACAGATATAAACAACTTCATTTCTATGAAATCAGTATCGCCCTCTACGAGGACCATTGGGATTATACCCCCTTCCACGACCTACCCACCCACCTCTGCGGTTCCCCCAATCCTCACCTCTCGAATCAGCTGTCCACATCTCTTCCTGACCGGGAAGCGGACCACTCTGTTTCGGAGCGACGGCCGAAGGACCCCCAAAATTGTCCGATGTACTAAACCCGGGAATAAAGTCATCCGAACCCACCGGATCATCGCCCGAAAATGGCGCGCGTTGGGTATAACCATTATCTCCCAAGCCAACCGCCGTATCCTCGTCCTTGCCCCACCACTTATTCGTGCCACCATAGCTGAACCCAGGGACCATCGCGTCGTCCTCGTCGTCCTGTCCGCTCATGTCTATAATTTCTGGGGGCTTCTCGCCACCGCCGGAGAACACTGATGTTGCGTCTCCAGGGCGCTCGCGCGACCAGAAACGCGTGGTGTGGTCATTTGATGCGGTCACGAAGAGATGGCCCATGGGGTGGAAGGCCATCGACCAGATGTTGGAATCATGCGCCTGTGATAGCGTAGCGCGGGGCTGTGTTATGGATTGCAAGTTCGTGGGTTCTGGGCCGCCGAGGTCCCAGTGCAGCACAGCGCCCTCGGAGCCGCCAGACACGAGTATCGGATGCACGGGGTGCCATGTCACGGCTGTGAATTGTCAATGTGCGGTCCAGTGAAAGTAGGCAAAACTTACAGCAAACTTCTTTTTTGTGACCTTTGAGAACGCGGAATTCCTTCATGGCGCGGATATCGAAGACACGGACCGTTTGATCACGAGAGGCGCTTGCTACAAGGTTGCCGTTTGGAGACCATGCCAGGCCTTGTATTGTATTTTTGTGCTGATGCCTATGTCACTCGTTAATGATGGCAACAAAAGGCTTCAGTGCACTTACAATGTTGAAAGAACCGTCCCAGTTCTTGGGTCCCAGAATTTTATTTGGTTATCCTTGCTTCCAGATACTAGAAGACCTTTGCTAGGATGCCACTCGACACACTTCACATCCCATCCATGTCCTAGCAATAAAGTCAACGGACCAAATTACGAAATGATGGACGAGACTCCATACCTGTAAGAACACTTTCTTCTCGACTCTCTTCGAACGACCATATTCGGATAGTTGAATCATCGCTCGCCGTTGCAAAGCGGCGATCATCCGGGCTAAAACTCAAGCCTCGAATGGCCTCACGATGGCCGGCCCACGCGGTCAAATTATTCATATTCGGTTGGAAATACTTGATAATTCCATTCTGGTCTGCAGAAGCTAGGAATGAGCCAGAGTGTGTGAATTGGAAGGCGCGGACGGCGGAGTCGTGGGCTTGGAGAATCGTCTCGAAATTAAATGTGAGACCATTCCAAAGGGTAAATTCTCCGCTTGTTGACCCTGTCAGTACTCGTCTTCCTTCTGGAGTCCACTAAATTGATGCTTGAGATATTTGAAAGAAATGTTAAAATTGGTACGGACTGTGACGACATTGACTGGACAGCGAATCTTGTTAGTCGAGGTGTGAATAAATTTGGTACACAGGGATGTCGAAGTGTTTCCAGGATATGCAATTGGTGGGAGCAACTGTACACAAGGAAGATTTCTTCAGCAGCTACGCGGCAAGAAAAGGAAAGCTCGCACGTCAATAATGAAAGGAGGAGCAGGTCTCATAGAGCGAACATATGTCGAATTAGGTCGGTGTTTGCGTAGCTACACTGGATTAGACTTAAAATGGCGTAGTGATCAAGTTGCTACATACAAGATTCCACCTGCCCATACCCGCGTTAAAATCAACAGTCCGCCGAGGTCTTGTCTTCTTCACGGCTTTCCCATCTTGCAACTGTCTTGCTGCAGCCATTTCTTGCTCAAGAATTCTAGCATCATCCATAGGAGGTGGTTGAGGATCAGAGAGATACCGTTTGGGTGTCCATTCTAGATGAGGATGTGAAGGTGGACGCGAAATTGAGCTCGAAGGTAACAGCAATGGTATTGATGTATCCATGCTCAGCACCAAATTGAATCCTGGCGCAATGTTCGCGTGAATGGGAGACCTAGGCTATGTAGTAACGCGAAGCTATGTCAAAGACTCAAAGTGACTCTGATTGACTTGCACTTTGCATGCGCGCTTGTTTACATCTGTTTGCTACGTATGACGACAGGTTCCTTTATTGATTCCGCCCCTGCCATGAGACTATCGCAGCGAAGTGCGCACTGACCACAGGCACTGCAAAGCAGAGTCAGAAATGCCAGCAAAAAAATCTTCCAGATGGCTTAAGGAGAGGGGATGTGTTGGTATATTTTCTCCCACTCTCTTTCCTCCCAACCACCATCATCTCGGTGATCTTCGAGTTCAAATCACAAATTTTAAGCTACAAACACCGCAAACTATCAGATGGCTCGTACTAAGGTGTGTAGATGCTATTTCACTCTATCGTATATAATTCCGTGAGGGTTGGGGGACATGCTTGTCGTCCTGCGTGAGGGGAACATGAGAAGGAGGTGTTTCCAAGTGCCGGGTGCTGTGGCGCAAGACCTGTGTTTGGTGATTTTCTTTCGCAAAGAAGGCACCACGGAGGTTTGAAACCACGCATTCTGTTCTTTCCGCATCTTCCAACCTCCGGAACACCCTCTCATCCCCCCGATGGAACTTCTAATGTCGAAACATATGTTTCTAACGACTTTCCTTTTTTGGTAATTTCAGCAAACTGCCCGCAAGTCGACAGGAGGCAAGGCTCCTCGCAAACAACTCGCTACCAAGCAGACTAGAAAGAGTATTGCGGTTAGTATTTACTATTATATATACTGTGAACTTTCATTAACGTCACCTTGCTCCTCGTCGTCGTAGGCCGCCGCCACTGGAGGTGTGAAAAAGCCTCATCGTTTCAGGCCTGGCACAGTCGCCCTCCGTGAAATCAGGCGGTACCAGAAGTCCACCGAGCTGCTCATCCGCAAGCTCCCCTTCCAAAGGCTCGTGCGCGAGATTGCCCAGGATTTCAAGGTATATTTATATTTCCCTTGCATACAATACAAGTGCTGACATCGCTAACCACCTTCAGACGGACCTTCGCTTCCAGTCGTCCGCTGTTCTTGCCCTGCAAGAAGCTAGCGAGGGTAAGTCGATCCATCTTTGGACTGTCACTCACGCTCATTCATATTTATTTGTGCAGCTTATCTGGTCTCTCTCTTTGAGGACACCAATCTGGCTGCCATTCACGCCAAGAGGGTCACCATGTAAGCTTCCTTTTCCAGGTTACTAGTAGTTTGATTGCTAACACCTTTTCGTAGTCAACCCAAGGATCTCGCTCTCGCTCGCCGTCTCCGGGGCGAACGTTCCTAATCTACCAATCACTCCACTGAGTGATAATTTTATTTCATATCACGCATTTCGTACATGTGCTTGTATCCATCACTCGTGCTTCGGTTAAACGCATGTGCTCGTACTAAGTATAGGATCTCTATATCTAGTACTATATGTCTCATTACTTATGAATGTATTCCAAGACTTGAAATCAGTTCTCGGTACTCTTACTAGCAATCGTTACTATAAATCTGTTGCCTTTATGTCATATTATTTCTTGCTATATCCTCGCACTTTACCATGATGGGTGAGTCTAAAAGAACAACTCAAGCCACGCTGTGCGGTATCTTTACGTCTGGGCACTATCTACTATTGTAGCGGCGCGTGCGCCAATACCCGACTCGGCCGACCGACACCATTACTAATGAATATTGGTTTCCCTTTCTTTGTTGACACCGTAATACTCGGCTTCGTTTAACAATACCATTCGAATACTGGCCACGATTTGTTTATAAAGCCGTGGACGCGCCCGAAAGTCTAGATGGAATGCGAATGAGATGATCAGTTCTCGCGCTTGCAGATTTTCTTGTAGGTGCCTGGACGTTTTCATCTGACATAACACTCTCTCCGTAGAGTCGGGGAATATGGTTTGTGTAGTACCACGTTACGAGCACGACTCCGAAGCCAGTGCCGACGGTAACGGTACCTAGAGACGTGACTCGTGGGCTCTACTTTCTCCAGAGACCACAAAGAGGATCTTCGCTTCTTCTTTTCTATGTTCTCTAATTCGGATCACGTTGCCGTATTACTGCAAGACGAATGGTGAGTACTCGAACACTTTGTATAATATATCAAAGTATAATATTATATTAAGGGAATCTCGTCGTCACCATCGCCTTCCTGATATCCGACCACCTCCTGCACAGGACTCTTTCAATATTAATCCACTTTCAGAATCAAGATCTCAGGAAACAGCTTTAACTCCAAATTTAACACTCAAAGACCCCAGCTTAGATCAGTGGTGAGCGCTGTGTTAGTTCTTTATATACTTCTATGGCCGTGCCAAGTTAGATGTTGATTTGATGCCAGGTTTCCTTCGCCACTGCATAAATCAGAGCCAGGCCCTTCCCAACACCTTTCATCATCGCCCACTTATCTAGTTCTTCCTCCTCTCCAAATGCCCCACCACGTTGACTCAATCTCAATGCCGTCCTCGTACGTCCTCGTCACTTCCTTTCACTTCCATTTATCTCACCTTTTATCACTAGCCATCGTCGCGACCATGATTATGACTATGATGATTCATATAGGAGACCATCTCCTCCGTCAAATGCAAATGTATACCATTCGCCTTCACTATCCGTTTCATCATTAGACCGTTCATCCGTATCTTCCCCGGCGCCACACCGATCACCCGCTGACCGTTCGGTTGATTCACACTCAACGTACTCTGATGCCTATTATTCTCAAGATCAGATGGCTCAGCAGTCTAGACCCTACCCCCACGACCCAGTCCAAGACTCGGGAAAGGTCTCCCACAGTCATTCTTATACCCCTCGCCCTCATCCTGAGCACAGATACTCGCATGACTCAGGCTCTCACCCATATCATGTGTCCTCCTATACAAGCCCCGCATTGGCTCACAGTGCTGCGAGCAGTGGACGTGATAATCCACAGCTTTCGGATCCACTTCCGGGTCAAAGTCACCATGCCACAATTGAATACACGGACAATGTTGCTACGAAATTAAGTGACCGTGTCCGCAGAAGGTGTTTCAATTGCTGTACCACAGGCTCACTGTCGTGGCGCCGTTGTAAGTTAAATCCTGGAAAAGTTGTAAGTTTGCCTGTGCGCGTTGATCGGTACGAGAGCTAAATTCCGTTCTGTCACAGCTGTGCAATAAGTGTGGCTTGCTTCAGCGCACTCTCTTGCCACCGCAACGCTACCGAACCTCAAAGAAATACTCGGGTAATTTTAATTAATATCGTTGCCGGCACCGCTGACCTGTGGGATCCTCGGGACCTGGTCCCAAACAGAACGTCATTTTTAAAATTCAGCCTGGGAATTTCCGGCTGGTTACCTCTGCGTGTCGGGCAAATGTATGGTTGCCGAACGGACCCAAACGTTGATAGGTCGGGTCGTACTTCTAACCTGAAATACACTTCAAGGACTACGTTTTCGCATGTTGGACTCCCAGGCCTGCTGACTAAATACGTGTCTGGTTCAAACACTCCATCAATATTATACACAATGCCAGTGCGAGACGTGACTCAGGCTGCCGCAACGCTGCCAAACATACAAGTCTAACAGGAGATACTCAATTAATTCCGTTGTCGGCACCGCTAACCTGTCGGATCCTAATAAACGGGAGCCTAAACCTTCAATCCCAGGATAGGTTGAATTCAGCGAGGACGTTTGTTCCAGGTCCCAAACAAACGTCATTTTTAGAATTTAGCCTGGTAATTCCAGGCTCGTTGCGGCGTGTCGGGCAGATGTATGGTTGCCGAACGTACCACAACTGCAACCACCTCGCCGCATAATTCAAAATCAGAACACGGTGAGTATGGTAATTTTCTCGGAGTACCTTTTCCAGATACGACATCTCCTCTTTGAGATTCTCAAAAGAGATGATGCAGTGTAAATGGGAAAGGGAAATAATTGATGTTGAGACGTCTTGAAAGTCGAAGTTGGGAAACTATGTAGTAAAGGTATAAGGAATAAATAATGGATTCAAGATGCTCACGATGCGATTGGAAACCATGGCTTGAAGCAATTTTTCCGTTTCAGATACTGCATGCATACCTGGATCTTGTCGAGTGTTGTCGAAAGTTGGAGTAGGAAGCTGTACGCACGACATAGGTGAGTTTGTATTGGGTCCATCGTGCGCGTACATACTTATATTTTTATCTTCGAGCCCAACTATATCACACTAACAGTGAGACTGCGCTTTGAACTTGTTCTCGTATCATCGCACATCTACAATTGCACTAGAGGGGAAATGCATTGTTTGTGATATGGGATCAGGTAATTTTGAAGGCCATGGTAGGAAGACGCTGATTTTTATGGTGTTCTGTGATATTCCTATTGCGTGGATGTGCCTTTCAACAGATCATGGCACATGTAGAAGGCCAGCATATTGCCAGCAAGGTCTATTGGGAATTATGACCATTTGCATTTCCAAACAGCTGTTGACTCAGTCAGACTCGTAACTATTCTGTCTTATTTTGAGAGGGTCGATCTCGGAGAGATTTGGCTGGGGAATCACGGACATAAAATAATACCATTTCCCCCCAGGTGTTGCACTATCATCAGCAAGACGTGTGCGTTCGCTCCGATGCCGGTAACGGTACCTAGAGACGTGACTCATGGGCTCTACTTTCTCCAGAGACGACAAAGAGGATCTCCACTTCCTCTTTTCCATGTTCTCTAATTCGGATCACGTTGCCGTATTACTGCAAGACGAATGGCAAGTAATCGAACACTTTGTATAATATATTAAAGTATAATATTATATTGATTGTATCTAATATATCTAAGCACGCATAACCGCCGGCATGTTGTCCACCACGTCATGCTGTGTCGTTTCACCTCTCTTTTTTTTCGCGGCTCTAACCGTTTTGTGCGTCATGCTAATAATGCAGGAACATTTAATTACAATAGACCAAAACGATTCATGATGATTAGAGCTCAAAAACACGAACACTAGGCGAGCACGAACTACATCTAGGAGTAATAACCGTTCTTTTTCCTCATACCCATACCGTATCTCGAAGAACTTGATTTAGCTTTGGGGAACCCTGGGCTTTCACCAACAGATTGGGGAGAGGGCGGTTCCTTAGAGGTTGGTTCCTCCGATGTCGGCGCATTTGCAAGCGCAAGCGCTTTAGGATGGTTTCGTAGCAGAAATTTTTGGTACAAATCAATGAGAATGTCTGCTCCATGAGGTAATTGCGAGTCAACGATCCTCTTGACCAGCGAAGGGAGGTTCTGGATTACAGGGACAGAAGTGATGTGCTGGAGTAGGACTTCTACATGCATTTGCAGGACTGCAGGATACCTGATCTTGTGTAAGCTAAGAAGGGGCCTGCTCAAGTAAACGACGAACTTGGATGTGATTGAAGAGGAAAGCTCTTGGAGAATGTTTTCTGCATTTAAACCACTGCGTATTGCATTGAAAGCTTGGTCGCGGACACTGTCAAGTCGAACCTGACCGTTGTCGAATATATCAGGGTATTTGAGGAGTACGAGGCAAGTTCACTCGAACCTTACACCCTAAACGATACATAGATTTTGGTGAGCAAGGCCACAATGTGCTAGGGTTAGGGTCCTCCACATCAGCTCTGGGCAGTCCCTGAGACTTGAGTGGGGAGAAGACAATCTTGTCCGTATACAGATATAGCAAGAGCGCTTTCCATCTGATACACATTAAAGGCCTGGCACTAACTAGTATGGTGGCTTGTGACTTACGTCCTGAATGCCGTGTCTCGCACCAGTAAGTTCCGGCAGTTGATAACGGGTAGTTCGGGTTGAATTGGGGCAGATGTGATAGACATCGCTGCTTGCAGTGGGCTGGCCGGAATGGGATTACCGGTTGTTGAGTGAATTTTGGACCCCCCATCCGCCACCACAAATAACTCATCGTCATCGCAATCTGATTCACTCATGTTTCCTTGCAAGATGTCAAGATTTACATCGCTGATCTTCTTCTGAATCACTCACCCTCGAGGACGGTGGTTTGATTAGCTTTTTCAACTTTTCCAAATTTTTCATCTTCGAGATCGCTGTCAGAAGCGTATCCATAATCATCAAGTGCCATGCCATGTTCGAACACTGAGCCACCGTCGAATTCGACAAGCGCGGCATCGGGTCCCTCTGTTCTGGACAATACTGCCAACTCTGATTATAAGCGAGTTCACCGCCCTCATGTGCGAAAAAGAGCCTACGCTGGGCAAAAAATTCGGAGCGTGCTGTCAGAAGAACGTTGTTGGCGGACAAGGCTTGGAGTCGGGAGACTTTACGTAAATGTGCTGAGCGGCCTGAAAATAGGTGGAACTTAGTATCAACGAGCTCTTGGCCAAGTATTGATTTCATCAAGAGCGCTTCAACAAGCGCTTGTTGGTTCGACATCGTGAGGTACTGGATAATTGTGGGCTTGAGTCTACAAAAAAGAGACGTTTTTATACCTATTCTGGGCGTTAATGAATGTGGGCGCACGGCACAGCTACTTGCCTTCTGTCGTACCTTCGAAGCCATGTGACGATATGATAAGGGGCCTCGAACCTATCCCTACTCAATTGGGGTAGACCCAAACAGCCAAGAATACGATTCCCTGTCAGTGTTGTTCTGAGAGAAGCAATATGTGATATACACATTTAAAATTCGCTTGTAAAGCGCATCTAGGTCCAGATATTAATCCATGTACTCACAGTGGATAGTAAAATCGATTGATTCTGAAAAGTCCATGCAGTGTAAGCATATTTGTCAGTAACTAGACTCGAGCATTGGTTACGATTCGCGAGTGCTTACCCTAATTGTTCAACGGGTTCCTTCGCACGATTGCATATAACACTACGCCGTTGTGACACAAATTTGGCCCATTTCTCGATAACGGGTTTCACGAGAAAAAGTAGCGTCAAAAAGCATACATTGCTAGCAGTCGCTCACAATCAATACAGTTTGGCACAGACCATACATTCATGTAAACTACGTACAGGCACACAAAACAAATTCCTGTTAGTGCCGCGGCACGCCGCGCGTCACATGACTGTGGGGAAAAGTCAATATCGATCGATTGGCAAAGAGACGATGATGAAAGTTGATTTATTCAGTTAACGGTTTTCTAGGCCGCCGCTCTAGTTGGAGCGTAGTGCATGACATCTATTTTTTTCAGAGCCCAGTGCGTTTCATCTTTTGTGGAGACAACAAAGACCGTACAAATGGTTTTGGGACTTACCTGAGCAGCAAAGGTGATGGAAGTTTGACAGGAACATTGGGTTGGATAAACCTTTTTATATGAGGAAGCAATCAACAAACGGACAAGGCCGAATATTTGTAATACAGACAACCCTGCCTCGAGTCACCCGCAGCTGACTTCCATTATTGTTTTGATCTCCTCGCGTGCACGACCTTGCTTCTGCAGGCGTGTCGAGTGTTGGAGTAGGGAAACTGTACGGTATGCACGACATAGGTGAGTTTGTATTAGGTTCACATCTTTATATTCGATATTCAAGCCTATCTATGTTATGCCGAAAGTGAGACTGTGCTGTGGATTGATCTGCACGCCCCTTGATGGTATTCTTCTCGTCACTGGTAACTCGTAGACTCGTGACCAGCCCGCGTCTAATGGTGTTTTGTGTAATTCCTGTTGCGTGGATGTAGATGCTGATGCCAGCAAGGTCTATTAGGAATTATGACCATTCGCATTTACAACCAGTTGTCGACTCGCCCAGAATCGTCATTATTCTGTCTTATTTTGAGAGGGTCGATCTCAGAGATTTGGCAGGGCAAGCACGAAGACTTGCCAGTGAGTGCTGAATTTTAATAGACACGTCCACAGTAGCGTTTTCGAGTCGTTTTCGTCGTTGTTGCAGGCACGCCTGAGATGGTTCCGTAAATTCAAACTCAGACATGAGAGGAAAACTGTTTTCAGCATTGAAAACAGAAATGAAAACAACAACGAAAACGATTCGAAAACGCTACTGTGAACGTCCCTAGTACTAAGTAACTACGTTTGTCTTCTGACTAGACTCTAGGGAGTTCTCTGATTCGGATCACGTTGCGGTATCACTGCAAGACGAATGGCAAGTACTCGAACACTTTGTATAATTATCATCATCACCATCGCCTTCCTGATTAGTAGATCAGCGCTCTATGACACAATGTGTGGGAAGATGATACATCAATCATAGCGCCATGATATATCTGATATGATATATATTTACTTACCTGGAGGATATATCAAGCGCAGCTACAATTCTTATGATCCTAGGTTAAATTTAGTGAGGACACAAATGTATGGCGAGAGTGTACGGTATGCACGCCATAGGTGAGTTTGTATTAGGTCCACATCTGATCTTCAAGCCTATCTGTGTTACACCAACAATGAGACTACGCTATGGATTGATCTGCATGCCCCTTGATCGTATTCTTCTCGTGTTATCGGACACCTTATCCTATTCTAACATCCTATATTCATGAAAGTTTTACACCAACTTCAATATGAAAAGAGCCATGTGGACATTTTTATTGATGCGTGTTGAACGTTGAACGTTGATCAACTCTACAACTCACTAGTAACTCGCGCATCACCGTCAATGGCCATACTGCACCGACGTGAAAGCAAAAACACAACTCACCACGCAGAGAAATAAAAAGCCCTGTCATAGATAAGTCATGTTATTGATTTCCATGAAATTCTGATACGCACACATTCATTATAAAGGCAGCCTCGATGTTTGCATTGCGAGTCATAAAAGCAAAACTTGGGAACGCATTGGGCGGCAATCGTGTAATTACTAGCGGGCATGGCAGAAATCGATGATGCCAAGGCAGTAATGACGGCGAGGACAATTGCAGAGGGGAAATGCATTGTTTGTGACTTGTGCGATATGAGACCAGGTAATTTTGAAAGGGGATAATAGGAAGACGGCCGATTTTTATGGTGTTCTGTGTAATTCCTGTTGCGTGGATGTAGATGCTAATGCCAGCATATTGCCAGCAAGGTCTATTAGCAATTATGACCATTCGCATTTCCAACCAGTTGCTGACTCGGTCAGAATCGTAACGTTAACCATTCTGTTGCCATTCTGTTGACATTTTGAGATGTTGTGATTTCTGCCGTAGGCAAACTGGTCGATCTCGGAGAGATTTGGCAGGGAGACTTGCCAGTGAGTGCTGAAATTTAACAGACATGTTCACAGTAGCGTTCTCGAGTCATTTTCATCGTTGTTTTCTGTGTTCCTGTGGAAAACGAGTTGTTTTGTTTTTGTTCGTCGCTTCTGTCCGGCATGACATTTGACACAGATCCATGGCTTCGAAGGAGTTGTTGCAGGCACACCTCGCCAGTGCGGAAGAATCTGCAATGGCTAAAGCCAGCAAGAGTCGCCGTCCTTCGAAATCCCGCACCCATTTGCTACTAGCTGCCTCACCACTGAAAACCTCATATCGTGATTTGTCATTATTCACATTCCAATGCTGAATAATCATGTTTGCTGCCAATATAGTATTAGATGGTTTGACAAGGGTGGATCACCAAACCAACCAATGAGAAAATCTGCTCTTTGCGTCGACGAATTATACTTTAAGAAATATACTTGTAACGCAAGCTCCAGATTCCGTCATACTTACCGAGTGATGCCACCTCTATCTTCGGGTAAATAACTTCGTAAGGTATGGGCAAACGTAATCTCAGAGACACCTTGATCACAAACCCATTCAAAGCACATTTCACAAGGGATCAGATCTACAATACATGGAATAATCGCACGAGCAGAGTATGTGATGTAGAAGTGATATCGTATCATGTCTGATGGTACGTTTCAAGTTCAATGACACTTGGAGTCAATGTGACAAACACTCACTGGATCACTACCCACATTTACTCTACACTCGCAAAATCACAGCACCCTGAACGCCCACTGAGTTTGTGGGATTGAACACTTTGCTTGCATGATCCCTACTGTGGGCTAAAATTTATATAGGTTCTCCGAGTCATCCAAGTCATAATCCTCCCAATCGTCCTCTTCTGCGTCGTCCTCCGGCTCAGAAACTGATTCTGAGTCATCGTCAGCTATTTCATTGGTACTGCTGCTGCCACCATCGCTTTCATCATCGACTTCCTCAGCCTCGTCTTCATCTGAGTCGCCCCTTAGCTCACGTATGTCGCCTATCACCTCGCTATCATCATCCATACTGTCCAAGTCATTTTCGCAACTGAATGGTTCATCCTGATGTTCACTGCAATCTTGTCTGATTGCTGAAGATGTGTATTGGACCTCGTGTCCAACACCAATTCCAACAAAACGCGCAAACATATCTCGATCTGCGAAGCTACAAAGAAAAGAGTGAGTGCCGAGGCTGTGGCATATGACGACTATCCCTCCTTACATGTTTACATAAAAGAACGCCCAGTCATCATTTTCACCTTGAAATCTTGCAAGAGAAGGTCTGTGTCTGAGGAGGGCATTTGAACGGCCGTCTGCAAAGGCTGGAATAAGGTGGCAACCGCGGATAACAAGTGATGGGTCAAGAAAACCGAAAGCACTGTCGTCAGTCTCGGGGATAAATCCAACCTTGGGTAGGCGAGCCTCTTTAAGTCCCCAGTGGTGAGTAGGATCTACTCCAAGCCAGCGAACCCAAAGAACTTCCAAACTTTGAGATGAACGATTTCGAGCTTGTGATCCTGTATGCAACACCTGGATGCGAAAGGCGTGTAATACTTGGGCATACCAGAAAGGGTGTGCGCTCTTGCCTTCTTCCCTTGGTAAGGTCATGACACTGCAATTGTGTCCCGGTCGCATGGTATCTTGATCACGTCGGATGTCGTAAGTTGTATAGTTGACCTGAAAACGACGCGGTTGCTGGACCCAGGAAAGGTTATTAATGAAATGTAGCTCGTTTCTCTCTGAATCAGAAAATTGATGCTCATCGCCGTCATACTCAAAGCCTAGTATCCGAGAAAGGATATGATTTTTGAGTTTAGGAACAAAGTCCTAGTGTAAAATAGTTCAGCCAGAGAGCCTACACACAAGATCAACTCTTACTCTGACTGCAGGATCACCTGAGTGCTCGCCAAGGAAGGTAGCGAGATTGATGACATTGACCCATGAATCTGAGAGGTGATGATGAAGTTCTGGAGATGTCTCGACAGGCTCCTCCATTTCAAGATACTGCTGTTGCTGCCGCTTCAAGCGGGTGTGCCGCCTTTCATGTTTTGCAAGCTGCTTCGATACGTCCTGTTTGTTAGTCATGCGGTAAAACTTCTTAATGAGGCGATGTGCCACCTCTCCCTGCGTCCGAAGTGAGCCATGAATGTACACATATTCTTGAATAATGCACCAACTATTTGGGTGGTATATGAATCGGTTGTCCCAAACACTTTTATCGATCACACGTAATCACCAAGAGCATGCAGCTTATACGTAAGAAGGTTGAATGTCTTCAAACGAGGACCAGTTCTATCAGCTGTGTTTGTCCTGGACTGAGAATCACGCTCATAATGCTGTGACTTATGACGTGCAGCCATCTCACTCGGGAGTTCCGTAGTCTGAAAAGCTGAACAAGTGAATTTTCTGAATTTTCGAAGCTGTGCTCCCAACCTTTGAAGGGACTGGTCGAGCAAATGGAGAGTGTCGTCTGAATGGAGGCGCATCTTCGCCAGGGCGTGCCACTCAGCCATGCAGAATAGGAGGACCCTGATAACATTATCGTGTTCCTCTGGGAAAAGCCCCTCGAAAGCCGGTATTGCACACTGGAATGATAAGTTGATCGCTGGATACACATTGTATGCAAGACCAAGACCTACCTGAAGCATGTCTTCAAAATGTCGAGCTACTCGTTGTTTCATTGATGAAATGTCCTTGGGAAACCGTTGAATGGAACCTTTGCTGAATGGAGGCATTGTCTGAAACCTGGTGCGTGAAGTCAAACATATGAATTGATCACCGTCAACAACTACCATACCGTTCATTGATGATGTGAATTTTCCGTGGGTCAATTGCATAGAGCAATCGCATCAGATGAGTCATGACCGGTTTCAATACTCTGAGCTCGAACTCATGTAGTAAATCAACAACAATTGTGGGGAAAAGGTCAAAACCTGATGACGAGAGTCAATCCATGAAACTGTTCTGAGAAAATGCACTTTCAGTTGAGCGCGTTGCACAAGTGAACCTCGAACTTACAACTGTAGGCACCAATGAAAGATTTTTCAGGAGGCTTTCGACCAAGGTTCCCTTGATGGGAACACCACGTGTATATATAGCGCTACGGGCTTTGGACACCTGTTCTGCAAAGTATGTGCATAGTCGGCGTGTTCTTTGTGACAGGTCACGCAAAAATCCAATGCGGTCAAACATTGACTTCGGCATCAAACATTGAGGGCAGGGACAATTCCCTTTATCACGGATAGTTGCCAGGAGGACTCTACAATTGTCAATCATCAATGTAACAATATAATGAGACAAAGGTAGACTTACTTCTCTGGATAGTCCGCCGAATACATGAATATTCGAGGGAAAACACGCTGAGAAACCCCATCAAAGCACTTAACTACAATGCCATTTTTGTACGCATGTACAAACTCGTCATCTAGCATGATGCGCCAGACTGCGTGAAACAGTTCCCGTTTACAATGCGTAAGGATGTTCATCATAGTTCTTCCTCCGCAGAAAGGTAGACATGAAGCCTGTAATTGAGTCTGGCAGCTATGCGAAATCAAAATCAATGAGACATTCAGCCGACAGATTTCTGAAAGCGTACAGTGGGAATAAACGCTACTGGATGACAAGCACCAGAGTTAGGATTTGAGCGAGCATATTTCGACAAGTTTCCAAAAAAGAGATATATCGGCCATGTCGATGTGGTCCCGAACTGGGTTAGATGAGTAGTGTCAGACCAAAACATCAGACCTGCGATAACCCTCTCTAGGTTACAACCATCTTCTCTTCGTTGTTTGTGTAGCTCATCGTGAGCCTGAATCCATGCATCTGAGGTATACAGTTCATTGTAGAGTCGTTGCTCCCGCCCAGTGACTGGTGATTTCCAAATCCTGCTTGAAGGGTGTTAAGTGGAACCATTTTGACGACAGTTCTGAAAATGCGGCTCGGATGACTGCAATAAGTGGCCAATAAAAGAGCCCAGAAACAGTGAACGGGTGCCCAGTTACCTCCAGGATTTTTTTCCTTCGATGGCACCATGATCTCTACATCAGTTTGTTTCCATCCATCTCGCTGCAGAACTCCCATGTCAGCACTGTCTTCGGAATTATCGAAATGTTTCATCTGAACGTCAAGATCGAAATGCTCAAAATCATCGAGATCAAAGTCCTCCTGCTTTGAGCACGTCATTTACTAGACGTTTGACCTCTCCCTTCGACTTCCGATCACTGCCTGTCACCATCCACGACATTAACCTCCAGACTGACATGTTTTTCCACGGCCAGGGTGGTGAACAAGAAGACAGATCACCTAAGTGTGCCTCAACATCCAACATGCCTTTGTCACCGAAATTGGATCCAGGACTCCGACGTATATTTGAGAGTTCATCTGCCGATACTATTGCATCCAGGTCATACAAAGGGCGATGACGATATTCACGAGCGATACCGATTCTATTGAAACACGTGCAGATGGAGTCAAAGACATGGAGAATTACCCGTGTAGGAAGCGGGGTTGGTCGGTCCTGAGCGACAGGCACTGGCGGTTCAGGAAGTTCATCCCTAAACCGCAATGGAAGCCTCCGTGTACATTTTGGGAGTGAATCACAGCCCGGAATATGGTCTGGGGAAGGTAAATGTGAAATAATCGAATCAGAGTTGATTGCATCATTGGCTGGCGAGTGAGCGGTGGGATTGGGTTGGTTGAGCATCTGGGAAGTAGTATGGTTGATAGTTGGTTCTGATCTGTTGTTTGAGGACGAAGGCATGACCTTGGGTGCATCAGACTATCACCCTTGAACGATAATGTTAGTGGCACTCACTGGGGTAGTGTTGTCAGCTAGGGACATCAGGAAAAAACAAATATTGGTGTAGTCCCAGTGACAGCTACATATTGCTACATAGTCACTGTAGTGATATGTAGTTAAATACAGGGCTATGTAGAGCTACGGGAGGCGCTGGGAGTAGTTGTATTCACTGTAGTAGCCAATAGTCATATTCTAAATCAATCTAAGTACTCGTAGTGGACATACAAAAAGTCTCAAGGTCAATGAATGGATTTAAGTAAAATTCACTCGCCAACTCATACACATTTGCGCTCGTCCACGTAGGATTGACCAATTGACCCATCTTGGGTATGAGGTGACATGGACGAATAATCTCATCAACATGAATCACGGCCGAATTCCATTGCAAGTGACGAGTTGAACGAGATATTAGACGCAGACCAGATGACTCGTCTGGCTCTCTGAACAGGGTAAACCATTCAACGTATGCAAGGGGTCACGGGTACATGCCAAATTGACGAGGCAGCCTGAACAACACACGGACCTGCGCAACTCGGACAGCGGCTATAATTTAGATATTGTCATTGTAATACTTCGTAAAATGGAAGCCATTGACATACCATTCAGCATGAGTAGTGCCTTCGATGCTTGGACGCCATCACTGCTAACCAGTGCCATGTCGAATCGATTGGGGGAACCTGGCTTCCGTCCAGAAGACAAAGGAAGCACTTCAGGCATTGCCCTGACCTGTAGGCACTTGGGCAACTCGGACACACGAGGGTCGGGGGGAAGGATGACGACTACTTGACAGAAAGTGTCAAAACAATCTTGGGGACCAGGCACAATGCTATGATTGTGCGGCAAATGCTTCTGTAAAAATAATGTGAGAGCGGGCAGGAAATCAACGGTGCCATGCATGGTTTCGAGATGTTGAACAGATCGATGAGGATGTGGGGCAGTCTTCGCCAGAACATGAATGATATCCTGCGAAACAACAGGCACCACATCAAAGCCCTCGTTTTCAGCATCAGAGTCGGAATCATACTCAGATTCCCTGTTCTAGTCCGGCGAGCGGCACTGCTCAGCCACCCATTCGAGGTAAGTGGTTCGGCAGAAGACTGCCTCCTGGCGTTGAAGCCATAACACCATCTGTTCCTCGTAGTCGCGCTTGTTACTTGCACGGTAAGCCTCTTTAGTGAAGTCGATGTGGAGGCGCTCAGGAAGTTTGGTGTTGAATCCATCTGCAGCTCCGAATAGTTTGATTGATTGTACATAGTGAGACAATTGATGTAGCTTTGGGATGTTGAAGTGTTCATGCACTGCGAGCTCCTGTAACACATCCTTGTGAGTGTGAAAAATGGCGAGGGCATTCTCCAGACTGTCCAGAGATTCGCTCGTATGTGTATGAAGTCGTGCGTAATAGCAAAAATCTAGTAAGGCCCGTGTGACAATGACAACTTGACTGTGAATCAAAGCAGCTCAATTCGTCAAAACCGAGCAAAAAGGCAGAATATCATAGTAAGTACCTTGGGACTGCACCAGTAATTAGCGCCATGAAAACACGCTGCATCTCCTTGTGCTCAGTTCCGGTCCATTGCTTGATGCTCGATATACCTTTTTTAAAATGACGGAGACCAGGATAGTCTGGAATGGCCTTGAAGCGAGCATCAATTTCGGTTTCTCCCACAATGTCAAGGCACCATTTGACAAGATGGTCTTTGAAGACCCCTTTGTGGAGTTGGTGGAGGAGATCTGGCATGAATGCCAAAAAAATGTTGGTGTGTGGTAAGTTGGCCCAGAAAGGTTTATACACCGGCCTCAGTCCATACTCATCAAATTCTACCGGGTGCTGACCACTCCTCCGTCTCTCTAGTATCTCCTTTGTCAGCTCCGGGTCTCAGATCAGTGAATTTAGCGGATCACCACGCTCATCGGCTGCCACCAAGCACTTAGGGCATCGGTTTTCTTTGCAGCAAGCAACGAGACACTGCTCGGTGTCCTGCATGATGTGGGAATCATGCATGGACATGAATACTAGGTGACCCTCAAAAGATAAAGTCTGCTAGCTTAGTCCTCAGACTAGTCAACCCATACCTTGGTTTCAAACCATGGTCCATATTTCTAGTTTTCCCCAAGTTTCATGATCTGAATACGTTTTGACGGAAAAAGTCTAATGTGAGATGGGAATCACATTTAGACCTAGTTGATGTGAGAAGGGAAATGAAGGTTAAGGTATAGCCTTGCCTTTGGCTTATTCACTTTGGCTAGAGAAAACCATAGAGAAAAGTACAAAGCCAATAAAAAACCTATCCAAAAAGACCGTGTTTCAATTCCTGCCAACTGTCTTATTTTTGCTACCTACTTTTCTCTAGTGTTTCTTTACTTTACTTTTTCATTAGGATGCTTTGACTCACCTGACACTTCATAAAATTGTACCCATAGGGTATGATGTCATTATGATGTCATAAGACTCCACAGATACTCCTGCAGGTATTCTGTTGAAAGATATTATGTCATCAAGCTCTAGATTATTCTACTCTACAATGACATCATTCATGATGTCATTTCCTTCTAGAATATTCTGCTCCACAATGACTCACTCTGACTCACTCATGGAAGGTTCTGGAATCTTTTGCTCCACAATGATGTCACTCTTGATGTCATTATGATGTCATTACTCCACATTCCAGAATGTTCTGCTCCACAATGATGTCATAGCTCCATCTTTCACTTGTATTTTATTCTTTTATTGGGTTTGACCCAATATTTTGATTGGTCCTCCTTATTTTTTATTGTTTGTGAACCTAGGTTACTTTCCCACACAAAATGTATATAAGGAGAGCCCATTCTCCCCCAAAAATATATGATCTCCCATTTGTAGCAATCTGCCTATCAGATATTTCACTTGCAAAGTTAGTCCCTTTGAAGTGAGACAAGTGCAGGGAAAAGAATTCCCTTGAGATTATAAGTTTCTTACCTTAGAAACTTATTAGTGCCATAGACCAAGCGTTCTTGGTCATATATATTGTCTTTGAGACCCCTTTGTCTCATTGCTCTGTGCCCTTTGACTAAGCGATCTTAGTCATCTATCATATTGTTGAGACCACGTCTCACTAGTTGTCCCATAGACCAAGCGATCTTGGTCAAGTTATAGTCCCCTTTGTTCAAGCGATCTTGAATATATATCGTATATTTGAGACCATTGTCTCACAGTCAGGTGTCCATAGACCAAGCGATCTTGGTCATATTTCATATATTTGAGACCACGTCTCACTAGTTCCAGTATCCAAGTCCAGAGCCTAGAAGGAGATTTCCTAGGCAAATACATTTCAGAAACCGAATTACGTGTCTAGAAGCTTATTCCTAGACAAGAGATTTGAGTTTCAATTAAGAAAAGTAAAGCTCCGGCTAGGTTGATCTTAATAAAAGATTAGTTTAGCGAGCCTCCCAAGAACTCACACGTTATCTACCACGAAATAGGAAAAGTCGTAGACCGTGTTAATCGAGGACTGGCAAGCAGTCTTATCCAAAGTGTAATTGTGGTGTCATTACATTTACACAACTTTATATAAGACCCTCGGTTATAAAGACATCGGGAAAATCCGCAACGTAGGCTGCAAGTATGGGATACACTCGTCGAATGAACGAGTCAGCGCAAACCATGTCTACACCATCCTGACCGGCTGCAATGAGCGGCTCCAGCAGCAGCGACAGACAGTGGTGGAACAATTGGTATCCAGCAAGGGATCGCGCATCAGACATGAAACAATTGAGTTTCGTTGCAGGTAAGTACCCGATGAGGATGGTTGCGCGTGCGGATGTTTGACGTCGTTTCTCTTTGGCAATGTTGCCAATTGACAGATAAACAGGCCAAGTGGACTTATCACCTTGAAACTGCGATAGCATTGTCTTGTTGGAGGCAAGGATTATTGGAGCTATGGTCGCGCCCTCAGGCAGTTCTTTCTGATGTGAAGGTAAGCACCTTTGTCTCGTATCAAATTGATGTGCTACTCACCTGCTTGTCACACCACCAATCAGCTGTCCACATATCATCAATGATCCGTTTGGTGCCTGCTTCGTCCTCGTATGCTCGTGATGGTGCGTACACCATATATTCCTTGAATAAAGGATTTCCGATAAGTTCCTTGATGCATTCCACAGGGTCACGGGTCCAAAGTTCAAGGTCCTCATGCAGCGACTGTCCGTTCTCATCCGTCCGATTTCCTTTGACACTAACCTTCTTGCAATTCCAGCCCGGTCCATGTGGCAGCGCATCGACTCTCTGTAGGAATGACTGATTGTTGTGGAACAAAGGTTTGGTGCAGTTTAGCATCTATCACTATGGTGAGTACACTGTGTCTTCATTCATTGATACGAAGCTCACTATTGGTAACTTCAGAAATTCATCTGTTTTAGTCTGCCCAAGGCTTTTGACCAACCATTCAGCAAGTCCCCATTCTTCCCTGCCAGAACTAACATTAATTTTCTTTGCAGATACGAGAAACGCGACTCATACTCATTACCAAAGGGTGCCCACTTATCTTCACCTTCACTCTCCTTATATTGCTGATGCCTTTCAAAACTAGTTTGGCCCTCTCGCAACGTCCAACCAGCTTCAGGATATGGTTCGAAATACCACCTGCCGTCTTCTTCGTCCGTCACATCTTCAACAGTGACTTGTCGACTTTTAGATGCTATAGGGTTGTCTTCCTCAAAATCGATGGAGCATGAGCGGCGAAGTGGGGAAAATGAGTCGTTGTAAGCTGGTGCACCGTCTTCGTCATCTGTATCTCTAACCATAGACTCCCATTTTCTTTGACATGCGGGGTGGGTAGCTATATGCTTCTTCACACTCCCACTTGAACGGAAAGGCTTGTTACAGTAACTGCAGTTGTGCGGCATGGTTGGTAATGGTTGGTAAGTTGATTGATTTTTTTTCAGGTTCATTTTGACGCATAACATAATTTGACAGGTGCACGGCCCCAGATCGCAGTCCGTTATAGAGACTAGTTTGAGGGCGCCACCAGGTATGTCCATTTCTTCAGTCCGAGATCGCAGTCTGTTATGGAGACTAGCTTATGGTTTCAACTGAAATTTTTTAGGTTTCGGTCTCAGTGATTATGGCACGGCACGGCTCTACACCAGTCTAGTAATACCATGAGCGGCAAGAAGTAACTCTAAAAGTTGTGCCCGCTTCGCCTCCTCACAATGTTTTGCTTCAGCATCCCAGTGCTCTGCAACAAGTCTTTGCAAGCTTGCTTGTATGATGGTGAGCCTCCCTTGGCCTAGTCCCATTTCGAATTGATGCAATTTCTTTGCTTTCTCGCAGTAACGAAATTTGGCATCCCAATGCTCTATGATCAGTCTTTGTATGTATGACTGAGACACTGAGATGGGACCAGGTGTTTGACGGAAGGGGGGGAGCGGATACATGGCCTCTTCAATAGGCACTTCGTGCTCGCCTGCATGAGGCTCCTCGTTATTCTCAACCTTCGGCCTGAAAAATAGTGAGTGTTTGGTATCAGTGAGGAGGTGTAGATTACCTTTTGATGCCGCTAGGGCATTGATAGCAAGCCTCCGAGTCTGTGTCAGTGGACGCTGCTGACATTAATCTGTAATATCTGTCAGAGTGGGTGAGTGTTCGAAAGTATGCTCTGCACCATTTCTTGGCTGAAGTGGAGGTATCCATGGCAGTGAAAATTATTGCGACAGTATGTCCCTACCTTTTATCCATTCTATTTAACACAGCTTTCAGCATGGTGTTATGCTCAATCAACAAACCCTGGAATCAACAAAGACAAGGTTCTAATTGTAAGTGTTTATGTCTCACGCAACATTATAAAAGCTACTGAACCTACAGGTTGTTGACTCGTTCGCACCTTGTGTTTTGAGGACAAATAATCATGCCGCCCCCTCGCAAAGCCACCTCCAAGCCCCAAAAGACAAGTGTTCTGTCGTCACCGCAGGGTAATCAACTGCTTGTGCACACCTCAAGAGGCCGAACACACCGACCAACATAAAAAGAAAACTATCGAGGTGAGTTTCCACAACTATGATATGATGCTTTCACTCACTTTCTCTACAGTATCTGAAACACAGAGCACAGTCCATCGTCAGGCCACAAAGGAGAAAAAGGCAGAAAAACAGAAAAAATGGGCACTCAAGGCGACCTATCAAGAGAACCCTGACGACTTCGAGAATGAACCCTTGGAGCTACACAGTGACACTGACCGTGATGAAGATACTATGGTTTGCTCATCTGTCTTGTTTCGCACCACTTGAATAGTAGCTGATTTTTTTTGTTTTAAGTTCTCGGACCATGCTCTGCAGACAAAGCTGTCGTCCAACACAAAGGTCTTGGCATTCAGTATGGGGAAAATGCCCCCGGTATCACACATCACTAGCGGCAATGCACGTCAGTTGAAGGGTAAGTAATTTTGCTCATCAATTTATGGTACGCTAATACACTTCTGTTTGACCTGTAGTACCAACACTTGATTCCAACAACACTAACGACGTTGAGGAGTCTTCTGGTGATGACTCAGACAAGAACAACTATCCTCAATCCGATGCTGGCACTAGCCAGACTGATGAAGAGGATGGTAACACTATTGAGGAGCAAATGCCTGCTACTCGGGCAAGCAAACGACTGCTCGACACTGAAGAGGCTGCCACGGTAGCGATGAAGATGAAGAAACTTTCAGATGGCTCCCGTTATCCGAGTCTGTAAAAGTTGCCGATTTCGATGATGTCTCCAAAGACATCCTTGTAACCGCAATTTCTCTCTTCCGCTGTCTAATTGTCACAAAGGCGCCATTTCCAGATTCCATTGCTGACGAGACGATGCTGGGAAAAGATGCCTGGCGTGAGGCTTGCCAATTGAAAGGTGTCAACATTAAATTGACGCCTTTAGCAATTAAGATGGTAAGCCATCTGTTATCTATGCATTCTTGGACTGACTTATATTATATCTTACCTTTGGAAAGCTCTTGAAACGCACATCACATGTGCGCGGTGAACTCAAAATGAAGATGCGGTCACTTACTCAAACTTTTTTTGGCTTTTGGTCGAGTGAATCGAGGGACGTTATAAGGCAAAACCGTGATCTAGCGGAAGCCTTGAAAGATGGTTCATCGTTCGTTTTCAAGGTATGTAGTGCAATGGTCTACTTTCATGTACTGACAGTGGTATTAGGACTGGACAGTGAAGACGGGGATATACAAGACCGAGCTACTCCAAGACGGTATCAATGTCATGTGGTTTGCAAACCGAAGCGACGAGGGCATCGTCTACAACCAGTTTTTCAACCCCATGCCTATCAAGCTTATTGTGCTCATGCTTACAACTGTAAGTCATCTCTCGCGTTCATATTATCATTGACATGCCTACTAATTGTTGTTAGATCGAATGCTGTATTGATGAGTGGATGCAGGGCGTGAAGGAAGACATCAGGTTCACAGCCATCGCATATGGATCTGTCTACCACAATCATTTGAACTCGCTGCAGTGTTTTGACGAGCGCACGGCAGCCTTACAAGCTCTTTGAAAGGATTTGTGACAATTTGCATGACTGTGGCTCGGTGAGTTTCACTCGAATTTTGCAAGTGCCAGTCTAATTTGCGAAGTTTCCATGCAGGTGTAGTAGATACACCCACTACATTCTCAGACGCATCCCTGAATCAGTGACGAGGCAATCGAAGATGCCATTCGAGAACACCAGCTTCAGGAGGAGAGTGGGCAGCGAGGCTAGTGAGAGCGGGAGCCGAGGGTCGTAGCAGTACCGCCGTTAGTATCGACTGATCTGAATTTATTGATTTGTTGCTATTTCATGTGCTATAATCTGAGTCACTACTATGGTGCGCTATGGTGCACTATATAGTTGCTTGGAGTCCCACTCCTATGAACTACAATCTACTACTGATTTACTACAGTTGCACCATGTGGTGCTACATAGCACTATGTAGCGCTATGTAGCAACCGAGCTACATTGACTATACGGACTACATAGTACTATGTAGTCAGGTGGTTTTTTCCTGATGGGGTCAGGAGATCCAAAAATAGCTTGGAGTCAAGCATGCGATACCGCCGAGGGTCATGAAGAGCTCCTATGAGTCGTGGAAGATGACAAAAGAGAGAGCTTCCAGAAGCCCAGACCAGCCCTTCTGAATCATGGAACGGACAGAAAGAAAGAGGAAAATTGCAGGACCACCTTAAAGAAGTGATCAAGAACAAAAGCCTTGGGTAAGGATGGCTGGCTCGCGCGGAGTCGTTGAGCTATGGTCAAGTGGTGTAGAGAGACCTGTACAGAATATCATATCATGAAATAGATGATCAAACTCTGAAGAATAATTACAACAAATTTTGGCTCATCTCTGACTGTAAAAACAATTCGTATGCATGTGCGCTGCACGCAAGTAGTGCAGATTTATGAAAAGCGGACAAGAATCCGAGTCTGAACATTTCCATGTCTAAGCTTTGTATTACAGCAGCCCCATCGCGCAGCAGCCTATGACTTGTCGTGAGTCCAAGAAGGCTAGCAGAAGGGCTGCTATTGGTCACAAGCTCAGGCTGTCCCGCTGGTTGAACCACCATTAGAGTCAGTCACGGTAAATACCGCTCAGAAGTTTGCAGCGTACTACAAGGTCGTTCATCCTCGTTCATCCTCATTGTAGAAGTCCATGTACAACAAGCACCTCACTGAGGATGGGATTCCAGTGTTTCGAGCACTGCGCACATTGTTTTTGCATTGTTTACCGAAAAGTGTAATACTTTCTACTACACAAACCAAGATGAGCGGCACAACGGAAAGAATTTCATCTCTACTACGGAAATCTAGCATTAGATCAGTGCAAGGTAAGATGCTGGTCCCTATGCACTGGCTTATTGATGGACCTATTCATGCCAGATATATGAAACCAAGGCTACTCTATTGGTGTGTGACTTTTTTTGTTTGTTGACATTGTTCTAACTGTTTGCTCGTGGCAGGTTGCGGGGTCCACTCTGGGGGCTTGTCAGCCGCTCGGCATGATTCAGTCAGAGTTTGGTGTCTTTGTTTCCTGTCCTCACTGTCACAAGGCTCTACATGTACACACAACTGGTGAGGTGGAGCCTGCTTTTCTCAAGGCTTTCTCCATGTTTTTTTTGGCGAGTGCCCCCCAACCCCTTGGCCTGCTCAGACCCCCCCCCCCCCCCCCCACTCCCTCACCCCCAGCCTGGTTTGGCCGTCCGCCCCAGGCTGGGCCTTGAGGCACCACTTCCCTCTCCACCCCACCCCTCTTTTTTTTTCTCCTTCCCCCTCTGCCACTTCACCCCCAGCCTGGTTTGGCCATCCGCCCCAGGCTGGGCCTTGAGGCACCACCTCCCCACCACTCTTTTTTTTTCTCCTTCCCCCTCTGCCACCCGGCCCCCCTCCTGCATGCCTCTATTCTTTTTGCTGGCCGTGGGTGACTTCACAGCGCCTGCGGGCACAGAGACAACGCAGGCATGCTGCTGCAGGCAGGCCTCCTGTGCATGGGCGTTAGCAATCAAGCATGGCAGCTGTTGATTTTTTTTGCTGGCACCTTGTTTTTTTTTGGTGAGCCCCCCCGCCTTCAGCCCACTCAAAGCCCCCTCCTCACCCAGCCTGGTTTGGCCATCCACCCCAGGCTGGGCCTTGGTGCACCACTTCCCTCTCCGCCACACCCCCCACCCCTCTTTTTTTTTTCTTTCTTGCTGACCAACCATGGTTTTTTTAGTGCCCCCCCGGTTCTCAGGGTAGGGGTCGCCCGTCCGAGTAGCCTCCTCCAGCCACTCCCTCGGCTGACTCGTCCACAGCCTTACTTCGCATGGTGTCTGTGGCCCAGCTTTGAGCCTTCTACTGCCCCACCTGTGATGAGTTTGTGCACGTCATCACAGATCACACCACGGTGGCCTGGGTGCAAGTGGAGCCTGTCATTGAGCAGGTTGTGACTTCATCATTGAAGCACCGCACGGTGATCTATGTACTTCCCGTATGTTTCTGGACAAAATCATGTGACTACAACCTGTATACAACACTCTCAGTTGGCATAGACGCTGGGCTTGTAGCGCATCTTCTGATTCTTTTTTAAGATGAACAACTTCAGTGCTTTGACTTGTTGACTGATAGTATGCTACAGTAGAATCCAGAAGACATGCAAATTTAGAACATTGTCAGACCAAAGGTAGAAATTACAAATGCGCAGATGGTGACAGGGAGGACTGATGCAAAGGTGGGGGTAAAAATGGAATGAATGTCTCTGAGTGTGAATGGTTGTGGGGCAAAATAAACAGTCTATCAACTTCCAAGTCAATGATGAGCTTAGTGCCACCTGGGTTTTCCAGATCTGAGTTGCCTCCCAGGATTTTGGTCGCGAGGATGTGAGTCAACTCCATGTTCATCTTTCATCCTCTTGTACAGCTTTCTATGGAAGGTCTGGAGGCACTCCAAAGCTTCCTTTGCCAGGCCAAGATCCTTCAGCTCTGAAACAAAGTAATAGAGTTGAGTGGTCTTGGTCAGTCAATCATGAGCTTTGCTCCTGCGGTCTTCCTTCAGTGTACCCCAGTGGGTCCATGTAGCCACTAGATCTTGTCTGCTGACCGTGCAAAATGGGCTGAGGGCCTGCCAGATTATATCTGGTAGGGCCTCAGGCCCAAGTGTTACAGGCCTGGGTGGCCAAGCCTTTCCTAACCCACCAAATGTGACATCCACAAGTGTGCCAGCACCTAATCAACAACCACTCACCAGTATATATATTTTTCCATGCCATGCAGACACTGGACTCAAGTTCAGACTGCTGTACACCCAGGTGATGGAGGTCTGAGTTGACACCAGGTGGAGTTTGTACAGCCGGACTAGGGTGTGCAAACTCTGCTGTGCTCACATGAGGGAGATCTGAGTCAATGGCATGGAGTATCTGTAAAGTGGGACCAGGGTTTTGGTCCTGCAGAAGCACCACTATTCAGCAACCAACCAATAAGAGGTCAGGTGGGGTATCACCTCTGGTAAAACACTGTCTACACACATCCTGTAGTAGGAAGCTCTCATCAAACCAGGCTGGTTTGGAATCCATCTGGAGACATTTTGATGTGCAATCCAATCAATTGTGTTCACCATGGCAACACCACATGAACTAACATCCAGTTGTTGTGGACAATCTGAGTATTGAAAAATCCACCCTGAGCCCTTCTTCACCGGTTTGCCCAGTCTATCAAGGACCAGCTCCATGTCCTTTTCTATGCGGCCATGATCACAGGCATTGTGAAGTGAATCATATACCATGCAGCTTCTTTCCTCCATATTGGCATCCACAGCTAGCCAGTGTCTGTTCCTGTAACAGAAAGGAAGGAGGATGTGGTAGATGTGGCAATCAACTAACTCCTGCCACACTCTCTCCTGAATTGATGTAGCTCCCATCAAGGAGCAGGTTATAATCTCCACACCAGGAGTGGCAGACTGTTGGTAATTTCTCAAGGATTCTAGGATAAAGTCAACATGACAGTGTAAAGAGTTGATCTCTGCTGGGCTCAGCAGAAATTGTACCACCTAGTCAACAATGTTTAGGTAGATCTCAGCACAACCTATGCTGCTATACTTGCAGAGCAAGTGCATTCGATCCTAAAGGGATTGCTAATTGGTTTTAGTAGTAAAAATGTGTCAGTAATGCAAATAACAAAATGTCCAATGGTGCAAAACAATGTCCGAATGTAATCCAATGATGTCCGAAGGTACTTATCCAATGTCTGAAGCCGAAGTGCGATGTCCAAGATTTCGGACTTTCAGACTTCACAATAATAGGTCGGAAACTTTATAATGAGTGTCGGATTGCGAGCGGTATGCGCGAGTATAACGAGTGACAGAGTATGACGGTGAATGAATGGTAATATTTTGCAATGCAACTAAGAACTACGAGAATATTCTGGGTGATCCGCAGAGTCGGGAAACGGCTCCTAACTACTGGATGATGATTGCTACAGGTCACTACAGAGTATTTAAGTAAGTACGTAGAAATTCAGAAAACTACAGGCAAAGATAGTAGCGATATATTTCGGGTCCGATGTCCTATGTAATAAGACATGAGGTGCTGCGGACATGTAATAATGTGGTCCGAATGTCAGAAAACGTGCATGGGAATAACTACGCACCTAGTGGGGCTAGTTCGGATGGATAGGACACGGGATGGACAAGTGCGCGTGAAGTGTGATCGGCCGATGCGATGTCCAAAGGTCGGATCCGCCGGATCCGATACGGAGTGGCTCAGACATGTGCGAAAGTGCATCGGACATGTGCGCATATATTTTGGGTGTTGACGTGAGTATGAAAATACATGGTTTCAAGCCCAACACCGCGACCATCGCTACAACAGTCGTCCAGGTACTGATCGGATAACATGTGAGCTAGAATTGTGGTTCGAAGATTGGTGTGACCTTGGCCAGGGATATATCCTGAGTGGAGCGATTTGCAATATGCCGAAGGAGCTCCCCCGAAAAAAACATTGGTCCACTCCTCCCTCTTTGACCTGTCTTCAAGCCATGCAATTATCTCCTGGTCTGGAGCGTTGGCAGGGTTTAAGGCTGAGGGCTGCATGGGAGAATCCATTTCTTCTGATCTGTAGTGTAGAAGTTTGTAAGGTTACTGCTGCTATGAGAAAACTATTTTTGTTTAGCTCACTGGGGGAGCCCCTGCTCGGACAGGTCTGTCTAGGACATACTGATGTCTGGTAGTGCTTGGTTGTAACCCACTTCATTTTCCCAGAGCAGGCTGTTCATGTACAAAGGGCTGTGCCGCTCCATGTCTTCTGGGTGACAGTCCACTGTGTGGCTTGGACTCGTTAAGGGTGCAACTGCTCTGTGACCCTAAGTTAAGGAATATGGAACTATGCCTGACGGTGGGATCTGTCCAAGTCAACAGTCAACCTGAAAGGCAACTTACTAGGGCATACAATTCAGGGACTCCCTGCATGAACAATCCAGGGGGTCCATCTTAGATATCTTTCAATGCATAATGGCACAGCATGAATGGGCATGCTATACATGCCAGGGTAGAGGTGGGGCCCAAAAGGCTCTGAGTAATGACCTAGTTTGACTTCTTTGTCAATCTGAGACTTGATAATCTCTTTTTTGGCAGCAAATTGAGAGGACCAAAGGAATTGTCATGAGTCAGAGGCTGATCACCGAAATGTGTGTCAGTGAATGGCCAGAAACCTCCATGGAGACCGATGCAAACTGAATGGACAAAAGCAGGTTTAGGATGATCTGAGAGCAGAGATTCAAACTCGTCTATATTAATACAAGTAGAGACGCAAAAAAGATGAGGATTGTTTGAAATGGTACAAAGAGCTGAAGAATTCTGAAAGGGGTAGGATCTACTAATAGATATTAACTTCTCATCGATGACAATATTGCGGATGAGATGGGTGAGTTTGTGTATGCCAGCCTTGATTAGGTTCCCGTTGAAGATGGGGATGATGATGCACCATCGGAGACGATGATCTTGGGACAGGAGACAGCGAAGGACGAGGGCTGGGTTGTGACGAGGTTGAGTGTAGGATCGCACAATCCCAAATTTGGTCACCGACGAGGTGAGGAGAGGTTGAGAGATACACCGCAACCAAGTGACCAAGGCAGCCAAATGACTGGCAAGTAGTGGAATTAACTAGAAGGACGGTGAGAGACGAATAACACAAAAAGAGAGACGAGTTTTAGCAGGCTGCAGCGCAAACAAAGTTCCATTCAGGTATAACAAGTATAGAGTAGTGACAGCATTTAAACGCAGAGCAAGCGCAACTATGACCAGAAGGGTATAGTGACCTATTCACTGGCGAGAGGTGGTGATAACTAGAAGAAGATAAACACAAATGGGAAGCAGCAGTTGTATGGAAAACTCACTGGAACCCAGAGATTCCACCAAGGAGATAAACCTCTGCCACACACAATGCAGACACGGGCCTTGCACTGCTGATAGCAGAGTTGCCGGATCAGAGAGTCCAAGGCCAGGCGTGCCAAACCTGAATACGAGACCGTGGTATGACTGCTGGGGTTGATGTGTCCGTGAACGGAAGATGAGGTCACCGGCATAGTTGGAGTGATGTGCGAACCCCTTGAAATGGCTCGACGCAAACATCTTGTGGTCCGAAAATGTGGAATGTGAGTCCCTAACGCCAACATCGGAGGTGAAGTTGTTTGGAAAGGAACTAGGAAAGAGGTCAGAGCAATCGATGATGCCGTGGTTGAGGTTATGAAAGGAAAATGGAGATGACGGTGCAGGAGACAACCCATCAGCAAATGATGACCTGCTACTGGAGAAAGCAGACATATCGAGCCGGGGGTTGGCAGAAAACCAGTCCTGCGGACCCCAAGCTGACTTTCCAATAGTGTTCAAGCGACAATCAAAGACTGAGTGGCTAAGCAGATAATCAGAAGTGATATGTGATGATGTCAGAGAAGTAGCGGTCACGGACCACATTGCGCATTTGAGAGGTGTCTCTGTGCTGGACCAAGTCTGCGACTGAGAGGAGTCCATGAGCTCTGAGAGCTCAAAGATAGAGCGCCCATCTGGGAGGGTTGACTGAATTTTACTGGAGAGATGTGTCTTCGCATTGGGGCAGTGCTCCTTGTACGTGTCAGGAAAGTAAGTGCGAAATCTAGTAGAGGCCAGGTATGAAAATTAACAAACGGAAATTGGGGAGTACCAACCGGTCCTTAAGGTCCACAGGTGAGCGGGTTGTCAAAAGTCAGCTTCGGATCTTTCGATATGGCCTTCCAATTGCTGACGCCCCACAGAGGAAACAGAATTGATATTGTGAGACATTATTTGAAAGTCGTATGTACCGTGTTGCAGCCCTCAACGAGCATTTAGGTTTCTTCTTTGGACCATTTCTTGCGCGGTTTCTTCTGCTGAATTATAAAAGCGCCAACTGATTTGTGGTAGTCGCCATTACCAGCCATCTTGCACATCTTTCCCTTACGTTCTGGCATCGGTGCAGAAATTTCTGCAACGTGCAATACAAGGCCAGCGTCGTCACGAAAATTCCACGCTGGTACGAGCCTGGGGAAAGACGGAAGTGCAAGCGATGCATGTCTTTGCTTTAGTGTGGAAGAGGTCGATGATGTTGATGAAATGGAGGAGGATACTGCAGGAAAGGGAGCTGTAAAAGAAAAAGTGACAGTAGTTGGAGGTTTTGCAAGACAGGTCCGCTGATTCTGACATTGTAGATGTTCAACAGAGACAAGACCTGAATGAAAAATGATAATCTTTTGAAGTATTATAATGAAAACCGGGAGAAGTAGAATCAGATATGAATTGCAGGGGGCGGACCTCACATGAGGGTATCACCAGACATGTTGATTGACAGACGTTATCACTGTACTGTACAGCCTGCTCAGATGGTTCGAAACGTTGGGTCGTGGATTGCAATGAGGACAAAAGAAACTCAGAGAGGATGAAGCACCAGATTTGAACTAACACTGATAGACTGCCGCAGGGCATCGCAGATTGGTGTTGATGATCTTGATCCCATAGCGGCGGTGCGAAGTCGGCAAGACAAAATCATCTTTGAACCAGAAACTATGTCAGAAATTCAAGAGGTGCAACGGTTGCAAATCGCAACTAACAGGAAGCATAGTGACTTTCACTCACAAATCAGTGGAAGGAAGGAGCTCGGTCCTTGCAAGAGGCATGGTAGGCTTGTAGGCATTTTCTAGTTCCTGAGTCATCTAACATATATAAGCACGAGATACCATCAGCTCGGCGTCAATTGTGTCCACTGTGTCATGCTGTGCAGCGCTGACACACGCTCCCATCGTTCTCTCAGTGTCTTCTGCTCATTCTTTTCACTCACTATCATGGCAACCAGCTGTAACGTTCCACAGATTGGTCGGTATTCAAAATGCTTCTAAATATCAATCTCGCCACGAAACACGTTGGTAGACAAATTCAACGACATATTGGAGTCCATGCCTGGGGATTATCGTCAGTAATGAATGATAGTGCGCTAAATGAAAACTGAAAACAAACTAGATAGCTATCTAAGCTCCAATATTTTGAAACAAGCCGACCACGCACCTATCAACGCTCCAGAGCAAACACCCGACTACCTAGCGATGCTGACTGCGCCCGGAATTCCACCGCATCAACTGGACCTCAAAATCGACTGCATATGCGCCATACAACAGAACCTGTCAGTGGAAAAAGGGTTAGTAAAGAATGCACATGTACGAATAACCACCCTACATCATCGTTTCGTCCAGGTCCAACTACTCAACAATCTGGAGAACCACTGTATTCCACGGATCACGTTGACTTTCCATCCTTATTGGTCAAGCTGGACTGTAAATTGCAAGCAATTCCCATTGAGATTAACTTACGCGACCACTTTCAACGGCTGCCAAAGACTGATGCTGTCTCACACCATTCTCGATCTCAAGACAAATCCTTTTGTGCATGGTCAACTGTATACTGCTCTTTCGCACGTGAAGATACACTTTGCTTATTCGGAGCAGGAAATGAAGAAAAAGATATGGCGAATATTGTATATAAAATTCTACTTTTGTAACAGTGTTCATAAACCACAACGACTGAGGGTCACCGCTTGTATATAAATATGTAGTAATAGGAGGAGGGCTTTGTTGAATGCACAAGATTCCCGGATTTGTCTGTCGAATGGTGTGCAGAATTGCTGTGCCTATCTGATTTTGCCCTGTGATGCGAACCAGTACTAGTACTATAGAGCATGTGTGACAAGGTTCAAAATTAAATCAGAAAAAGAGTTGAATTTTTCCTGACAACCGATACTTGACCGACACGATCGAGTTTCGATTGCTAATTATAGATTGTACATGTTGCATGGTATAAAAGGAAAGGTTCATTACATAATTGTTGTGGTGAGCTCTTGACTCGGAGTCACATGCATGTGACACCCGCACTCCTCCTCCAACATTTGATTTACCTGCAGGATTGTAGACTAAAAACATATCCATATACGTGCATGGTCAGAGTTGATTGATTCAAATCGTTCGGTTTCTTTCAGTAATCACGATCAATTCTTATATCCGACGGCCGATTCATGATGGACTCTGCTCAGACTCCATATCTACGTCTCCTAGCTGCTGGCTCCAACGCTCGCGGTCAGCTAGCCAATGGCTCTGACGACGATTCACATATCTTCAAAAATTGTCGCTTCATAAACTGCACAGAGGGCACGCTTCCTCCCCATACGTTCGGGATCTTGCAGCTTGCGACTGGAGCAAACCACACTCTCGCATTATTGGATTTTGGCGGCGGACGAAGGGAGCTTTGGGGGTGTGGAGACGGACGCAAAGGGCAGCTGGGTCCTGAATACATGGGACAATTGACAGAATTCACGCCGATCAGCATGCCATTGTACAAAACCTATGCTGCTCAAGGGTATACCTGTTGTCTCGTCGCTGCTGCTTGGGAGACATCATATCTTGTTTTGAAATCGCCCTCCAGACCAGACGTAGTTATCTCGATGGGTTCAAATGACTTTGGGGCACTCGGCGTGGGCACAAAACAAGCTACGGCAACTCCGGCAGTCGTTTCGTTTGATCACCTCACTATCGAGGGACGTTCTATCTATCCCAATGAGCTGGTTGTCGAGTCCGTTGTCGCAGGACCTCGTCATGTCGTACTTCATGTGCGAACTGTTCTCAATGATGAACATATGCTCATTGGCTGGGGGTTGGCCAGACATGGCCAACTAGGGGACACGAAGATCGTAAACCATGATCGCCCTCACATCATTTCCCTTGATGTATCTCCAGATCCGGCGCAAACGTGTTCTCTCGGTCTCCAACACACTGTCGTCTGCCACCAATCGGGGCGGACAACAGTGTTTGGATCTAACAAGAAAGGACAACTCCATGGGATGAATTCCTGGGGACGCGTCCGACAAGTTGGGTGCACGTGGAATGGGACATACCTCCTTAGAGATGACGATGAAGATACCCTTATATCAATAGGAAGTAATTCCCATGGTCAACTAGGTCGAGAGTCGCAAGTCGAGGAGAACGGGGTCACTGTCGGGCCTGTCGAATTTACCTTATCTCACGATGGCAAATCACCCCCGCTGAGATCATTTGCTTGCGGCAGCGAACATGTGATAGCAGTGATATCTCCATCTGGCTCGTCAGACATGGAAGTTTGGGGTTGGGGATGGAATGAGCATGGTAACTTGGGGCTGGACCATACGGATGATGTGCCGAAGCCCATCAAGATCTGGCCAGCAAAGGGACATGTGCTAGACGGAAGAATTGCTGGAGTATGGGCCGGAAATGGGACTAGTTGGATATTGTTAGAAACGGCTATGCTGAAACGCGATGTATGCCATGACAAAGCGGGCCCAAGGCTTGGGACCCCCGTCTGGTCTCAATGAGGCCATCGAGCTGCAACGAGCTGCAACACCCCCCTGTCCCCCCACCATTCCCATCGATCATGAATCTTTCCGGCAGCCTTCGGGACAGACTCGAGCAACGGGGAGTCCCATGTGACCTTGATGGGCCATCGGGTTCCATCGTACTGTGCTAGTCCTCTGTTCCCACACCTCCGTTTCCCTCGATCCTAGGCCTCACCTTTCCAGGATCTTACCCAACCGATACTGCGCTGCGGCATAGCTTGCATGCACTGCACCAATGGTGAACTTATCCCGATCATCCGGTAACGATGACATTCCTGAGCCGTGATATACGCTTTGGGCTTTTTAAAGAAAGCCTTCGAAGGAGGTCACGGTTTAGAGTGAGCTTCGAGTCATTCATTGGGATGCCATATCATCGAGAAGTATGACTACCATGACTCCGGCGAATCGGGCCTCAGGTGATGCTAGTGCACACTGCATTCGAGTTGAGTATGCGCCGATCTGCAACTCTCACGAAAGTGCTTTTGTGATGCAATCTTGGGACACATCGTCTTACTGACTGATTTTCAGCGCCTTCGAATTTATTTATATAAATCCAAAATCCATCTTTGCTCCAATCGAGGGCTGATTAGTATCATCATGAAACTGATTGTCCTTTCAATTTTCTTCTTTTTTCTTTTGGTTCTATGTCCATTGAGGATGATATCGATGATATTCTATGTAGATAGATCATAGTGGGCTAGGATAGGCTAGGATCATCAGTACTCAGTGATGAGTCACAGCCAGTTGGGTTAGCACCAACATTGTCATTGCCATTTTGACTCGTATTATGTATGTACAGTCTTCATACCAAGCCTACAACCGACAAGCAGAAACGGCAGCCGATCGCCAACCGACCGCTGTCGCGAAACACAATTCAGGGTTGTTCGAGAGCAGGATAAAATTGGTCGGAACCGAGTTAGGTCATTGAAGGTGTCGATTGGTAACAAAGGTTCGTGAATGTCTTTCCATTCAACACGAGAAGAATCAGAATCAGCATGGATCACGTTAACAATTCACCTTACTACTTTTGCAATAGAGCCCCCGCTTTCATCTCGTTTGCCTCGCGTCGTGCGATTAACAGTCAACGTCGACGTCGTCAACATTTATTCGCTCCCTCTGAGCGTGGGTGCCGGGCGACGGGAATCGACCATACCTCCTCATACGTTCTTGTCAACGAACAAGGTTCCGCGGAGATATATTCTTTGTGTTGCTCGCCTCGTGAAATTCTCGAAAGTCATTAAAGCCGCCCCAACACTGTCACGGTGCGCTCCGCCACACACACTAGTACGTACCGTTTAACAACATACTTCCAAGGAACAGGTTTATTTCGTACGCCATCCGTGGTAGTTGATTTTTCCTGATTGTGTCTTGGGCCAGTTGGGACTAGGCTGGAGATCCGCCTTGGACAATTTGAGCCACTTCAACCTTACTTCGGCGCCGCAGTGATAGAGCTCCAGGTATGCTCTTCAGCCAACTCATCCTCAGTAATGCTTTGTTTTGACACCACTTGTTTACAGCGTTACCATCGCGAGTTATGATTGAGCTATGAAGCTGCAAATTCGTTGACAAATGGGATAGGAAAAACTGAGATTGAGCGGGGCCGAGATATAATAACATGGCAATCTGGTGCAAGAAGCCTCCGAGTCGTGAATGTCACTTTCGGGTTTTCAACCACGACCCTACTAATATGGCCAGTATAACCACCGACTTCGAGTTATCTCTGTTTCAATCATATGGACTGTTTCTACAAGTTGTTTCTGGCGGCTCTCTTGTGTATCGTCCTGGTTGATGTTGGCCGTTATTGGTACTTGCATCATCACCATACTACTGCTCTTATCGACAAAACCTACGTCATACAAGACTTTTATCAGGGCAACGATTTCTTCAAGAACGTACCACCTGTCTACTTTCAGCTTTTCTTATCGGCTAATTGTCTTCCACCATCTAGTGACTGGATTTTCGCCGTTGGCCCGGATCCCACTGGTGGGAATGTCATCTATCAAAGCCAATCGGACGCGCAGTCCAAGGGACTTGCGTATGTCAACGACAATAACTCGTTGATCCTTGCAGTTGATTCAACTAGCACCGTTGCTGCTGGCGGCCAACGTGCCTCGTGCGTAATGCCTGTTTATTGTGATTTATGAGTATTCATCACAAACACAGTGTTCGTATAACATCTCAGAACAGTTACGATGGCGGCCTCTTTATCTTTGACGCCTCCTACATGCCTGTAGGTTGTTCTACGTGGCCCAGCTTCTGGACCGTTGGCCCGCACTGGCCCATGGCTGGTGAAATCGACATTGTAGAGGGCGTGAATAATCACGACACAAATCAGATGACACTTCATACTGGCTCAAACCAAACTTGTACCAACGAAATGACAAATAGTACCCAACAGTTTACGGGCCAGATAAAAAAGAACAACTGTCACAGCTCCAGGCATGCGGACTCGGGCTGCAGCATCGAGGACACCAACACAAGGTTTGTATCGTACTTACCTCTTTCTTATGCGCTAATCGTGACCTGACACTTGTGCATGATAGCTCTTTTGGTTATGGTTTCAACAATGCAGACGGCGGTGTCTTTGCACTCTTATGGGACAATTCCGCTGGCATGTCGATATGGCACTTTGCTCGGGCTAATATCCCTGCGGATCTCATAGCCCAAACGCCCAGGCCTTCTACATGGGGCATACCAGCCGGACTCTGGTCTTTACAAACCTGTGACATCTCGACCAATTTTTACGAGCACCAGATGGTCATTGACACTACTATCTGCGGCGATTGGGCAGGAGGTAGTATCTACGCCCAATCTGGATGTCCAGGAACGTGTTCAGATATGGTCGCCAATGCTACCAACTACGTTGGTAAGTTTGACAGGATAGCGAACCCTTCCACATTCTCAGTGTTCCGTTGTAGATGCCAAGTGGGTCATCAATTACGTCGCCGTCTATCATTAACGTTGGCCTCGATTCCCCGTTATTGTATCTACATCTGTAAGCATGTTCAACTCGTGTTAACAACAAAACAGACTGATTTGTTGTACGCTGTTACTACTTATCTTAATGACCGCTCTATGATGCTAAGATGTCCAGGAAGCATACGAATTATGGTAAGTGGATCATTGTCATTCGAACAGTAGGCTTCGATGTTCACACATACCAAAGACACAGCTAAGTACCATATGGTGGCCCCGTTGCCATGGAGATCAAGCAGGCCATGGCTTGCTTTGGAAAAATACAGTGGAGTTAGATAGCCTCATATTAATACAAGTAGTGGGTTAAGCGCTAAGCGTCCATGTCCAAAGTGCGCCATCTCGGACAATTGTGCGATACAATTGGCCCAGATAAAGCCATCGAGATCCATAACAGTCACAAAGTACTGGTCATCCTTGAAAGAAATCCTCTTTGCCATGAACGGCTTGCACCCCGTCTGTATCTGATCTGAAGTCAACCTCCTCACAACTGCGGCGCACCAATGTCTCGTTTGGTACGCACCTGCTCCACGATGAAAACATAAAATAGTTTAAACAAGCGAAACCGATGCCAAATTTACGCCCAGAATGCGTCCTTTGGAGAGCCATTTCCGAGAACATCATGAGGTGTTGAATACTTCCGAATCTCTAAATGGATGCAGGGTAGTCCATTATTGAAATTCTTCAGTACATTGCTTCAGTTTTCAGCATTAAAATGGTGCGTTTCACTTTTTGACTTTTGATTTACATCATTTTCACTGCACGCTTGGAAACTGTTGAAAGCGTTGACATGAGAAATTGACTAACCAGTCTTGGAATACAACAGATGATGATTGGATCAAGGACAAAAGGACTGTTTAGCGTGATTAGCGATATTATAAGGTCGCCGAGTGTGGCCGAGATAATTCCAAGGTAATGCAGTGTGGCAGCCCACAGCAACGAGGTCCGTAAAACCGTTGCTTTTGATGCTTTAAATCACTTGAACGTTCCTTCAGCGTTTCTTTGTTCCGTTTTCCACATCCTTCTCTTTAAATTTCACTGCTCTTTCAATCCTTTCGTTTAATCCTTTGGACTCCCTTACTTTCTTTTGCTTCACGATGTACACACTCTCTAAGCTCTTGCTAGCCGCTCTCTCATTGACCACCCTGGTTGGTGCTCACCATCCGTCGCGCGCGCACTCGCGTCACCGCCATGCTGCTGTCCGTAGCCAGTCTACCAGCAAAGTCTATACCATCCAAGACTTATACCAGGGGGAGGATTTCATCAAGTACGTACCGTTTATCATATATGCAGTTTCGACGTAACTCATCATCTATTTAGTGATTGGGACTTTTTCACTGGTTCGGACCCCACCAGTGGCAATGTCAAATACCAAAGCAAATCGAACGCACAGTCTAAAGGGCTTGCATACGTCAATGACTGTGATAATTCGACAGTTCTTGCAGTGGACTCAACCAGCACTGTTTCTCCCGGTGGCCAACGTGACTCGTGCGTAATGCCCGTTGTTTATTATGATTTATGAGTATTCATCACGAATGCAGTGTTCGTATCACATCTCAAAAGAGCTACAACGGTGGTCTTTTTGTCATTGATGCCTCGAACATGCCTGTCGGCTGTTCTACATGGCCCAGTTTCTGGACCGTTGGCCCGAACTGGCCCTCGGCGGGTGAAATCGATATTGTCGAGGGTGTGAATAACCAGGCGACAAACCAAATGACCCTTCATAGTGGCACGGGTCAAAGTTGTACTATCGGAAAGTCAACTAGTAGTGCCGGTCTGTTTACTGGCCAGGTCCTTGGGACCAACTGTTACAGCACCGATAATGCGGACGCAGGCTGCGGCGTTGAGGACACAGACCCAAGGTTTGCATTAGATCTCTTTCTTACTGTGCGTCAACTGGGACCTAATGTGTCCTTGTGGCAGGTCTTTTGGATATGGCTTCAACGGTGCGGGGGGTGGTGTCTTTGCGCTTCTGTGGGACACTTCTTCTGGCATGTCAGTGTGGCATTTCGCTCGTGGTGAAATTCCTGCGGATCTTACGGCGCACGCGCCCAATCCTTCCACTTGGAGTGCTCCAGCTGGTTTCTGGTCTGCACAAAGTTGTGACATATCAGCCAACTTCCACGACCATCAGATGGTCATCGATACTACCATCTGCGGCAATTGGGCAGGCGGTGCCTACTCCAGTTCTGGATGCCCAGGAACGTGTTCGGATATGGTCGCCAATGCTACCAACTATGTCGGTAAGTTTTCTTGGGATATATGTTCATGTCGCACCACTCATCTTTAATGTTGTTATAGATGCCCAGTGGGTAATCAACTACGTTGCCGTCTACAACTGAATATTCGCCTTAAATTTTTCATTATTTGCATTGCATCACATCCACATCATACCCTGCATTCATCACATAGCACATCATCATCTATTATTTTGCTTTATTGACAGGATCAATTACTGTTCGCATATGTTGCGCTGGTCGCTTTCGTATTTGCTGCGCATTTCGAGGAATCTGACACCATGGCCTACCTACGAATAATTAGACTCAAAATACATCGATTCTATGCTTGAAGCTTGTATATGTCGTATCAATCTTACACATGTTCTGCGTGGGTCCTGGGAGAGCTACTGAGATCATTTCAAATTCCGACCCATGATTGTCACCTCAACGCTAAGAGCCTGAGTTGCAAAGGCCCTGCAGCGCCACTCTCTGCTGCGGCTATTGTGCAAGTAAACAAGTGACCAGTCCCTATCAATCATTTTCTCGGCAACTTAATCACTGCACATTCCATGTGCACTTAGTGAAACTGGCTGGTTGAATCTCCCACCGACTTAATCGTCACGTTGCAACCTATCATGACGAGAAGAAACCGGATTCCTTCATCCCTGCGAGCAGCGCTGAGGACGAACATATGTCGCAGTGGAAACTATTCAACTTCAAAGTTCACGATTTCAGACTCCTCGAACACTTAATACGATGCGCTGGTATTATCAGTTTTTCAACCTTTCGATTCCACCTGTCTTCCGTACCCTATGGTTTGGCTACTTCCAACGCTGTCGAATCCTCACCTTTTCGGTTGTTGCACTGACTCGTCCGCCACTGGAATGTACTACTAGTACACCCCCCCTCCCCGCGCGTCCCCCTTGTTCACTAGGACATCGCTGGAACATCTCGGGACCGTCATTAACTTCGTCATCAGTCATAACTTGAATTCGAAAGGAGGATCGTGATGAGTCTTGGCCATCATCTGCCGTGCGCTTTTTCAACGTTAATTTTCGGACCATTCCCCGAATACTGAGGTTCCAGAGAAGCAATTATGAACTGCCGTGCACACAATCCAATCTGCTACTGGGAGATACTTCTTTACATGTGGATGCCGCTTATGGAGTTAAGTCTTCCATAACGACCTTCTGTTCGCTCAATCTTGGCAGTTGTCGTCATTACGATCATCACGTTCGTGTATTGTTCGGTTTTCTTTAAGGCTCTACTTTTTAGTGCTGTCCGAGTCTGCAGAAGGCTGCCGCTCCTTCAAGTTCAACCGGTTTGATGGCTCTGCCAGCAGATACGGCAGAATGCTATACGGCAGAACCTGTGATATAATGTACGTCGCGACAATTCAAATGAACCGACTAAAACACAAGTTAGGACCCATCATACGTCATTAGAATGTGCCGCACAGTAGAGGTAGTGCGGTCTTTGGATGCCAATTTTGATCAATTCCACAGTATTCGCGCCTTACTCATTGTTGGTACTTCCGGGCTCGACTCAGCGGGCTATATCTAATTTGAGATCATTTGGCGCCGCGGTGATAATGCTCCATATTCCTTGAGGCTCGGGGGCTAAGTAACAAATTCTTCCAACCACCATTTTAACCGTGAATATCTTGACTCCTGTTGTTTACAGTGCTGCGATTACCATCTATGAAATTACAAATATCGACAAGGAGGAATGATTGCTCAATTCACGGGATGCAGAGGGTGGCGGTTGCATTGGGAATGAGGTGTTGAGGCCCCGAAATTAATCAGGCCCGCGAAGGTGATCGTCGGACGCGAATACGAAGGAACGGCTGATATTCTGAGGTAATGACATGCAACCAAGCGATGGGGTTGTGGGCATCCTTTTGATCTTTTGATCTTAACAGCACAATAAAGCCCCATGGCCACCGTTATTTTGAATGTTGCGTTAACTCTTCCCCTTCTGCTTCACTGCTGTTTCATTGTTTCGGACGACTGCCAAGCTTCCCTCATTTACACCGTGTCTGTGCAATGCATTCTTTCTATAGACTCTTTCTAGTGACTCTTCCATTGACCACCCTGGTCGGTGCTCACTCTCACCCACCTTATGGCCCTATCACTATTGGTACAAAGTCAACAAACGGAGTCTACACGATTCAAGACTTTTACCAGGCTGAAGATTTTTTCAAGCACGTACCACATATAAAGATTCAACTTGAATTTGGCTAATGGTCTTCCATTTACCTAGTGACTGGGACTTCTATACCGGCTCAGACCCTACCGGTGGAAACGTCATCTACCAAAACAAGTCGGCCGCAGAGTCCGAGAGACTTGCATATGTCGATTACTCCGACTACACAACGGTCCTTGCAGTTGATTCGACCAGCACTGTTGCCGCTGGCGGCGATCGTAACGCGTGCGTAAAGAACGTGTCTATTTATATTATATGCGTCTCACCATAGCTTTAGTGTTCGTATCACATCACAAAATAGCTATAGCGGTGGTCTCTTTATCATGGATGCCGTCAAAATGCCTGTCGGCTGTTCTACGTGGCCTAGTTTCTGGACTGTTGGGCCGAACTGGCCATATGGGGGTGAAATTGACATTGTCGAGGGCATCAATGACCAGGCAAAAAATCAGATGACACTTCACAGTGGCACAAATCACGCCTGCACCATCGATACGAATGATTCCGATGAGTTTACAGGCTCCATCCTCTCGAGCAACTGTTACAGCACCGAGACCTCAGACTCAGGCTGTAGTATTATGGATAGTAGCTCAACGTTTGTATCTCTGTTGTGCGTTAATCTCAATCTAACGAACCCATGGGCAGGTCTTTTGCGTATGGATTCAACAATGCAGGGGGTGGTGTCTTTGCGCTTTTGTGGGACAATTCCACTGGCATGTCAATGTGGCACTTCGCTCGGTCTAACATCCCTACTGACCTCACGGCCCGAGTACCCACGCCTTCCAGTTGGGGCACTCCGTCTGGTTTCTGGTCTGAAAAAACCTGCGATATAACAGACAACTTCTACGACCATCAGATGGTCATCGATACTACCATCTGCGGCAATTGGGCAGGCGGTGCCTACTCGCAATCTGGATGCCCAGGAACGTGCGCAGATATGATTGCCAATGCTAGTAACTACGTCGGTAAGTCCGCTAAATGCTTGATCGCTTCGCATTACTCAGTGTTTTGTTGTAGACGCTAAGTGGGTTATAAACTACGTTGCTGTCTATCAGTATCAGTAACCATTCACCTCAATCGTTTATTTTTTCTACTGCCGGTTGGGGCAGGGTCTCATGCTGGACATTGTTGCATATCCGAGTTCATACTATTATAATTTGTCTTGTTTAATGCATTAAGTGCATGAAATTCTCGGAAATAGAAGTTTGCTGAAGTGTGAATGCCTGACTTGGGCCTATACCTGACGCTTATGGACCGATGTCTTGTCCTAGTGGTCTCGGAACATAAGCTTATCATTCTGCCGACACATGATGCATGATGCTTCGATGATGTCCAAGTCTAGCGAAATGACATATTCAACAAGCGCCATATGGGTAGCTTCGATGGGCTTGTATTACGCGGCTTCGATAGTACACTTGCATGGCGTAAAAACACCCGATCGTCGAAGGAGTGATGCGTTTGGCACGTCCATTGCAAATCCGTAGACAATTTCGCAAGAAGTCAGTCTTACGATCATGAGAAGCACGCTGCAGAAGGCTTTGAGGCGTGACGGATCTGAGCCTGCTCGCAACTCAATGTTGTGCTGAATCTATGGGCAGACTTGTTCAATGCGGCTTGCTAGATGCCAGTTCAACTCAACTAAAATAGGAAAGGAACTTGGCATTGGACACCTATATGTACCAAGCCAATATCGGCAGCCCCACGGCAGATTTTATTCATTAAGCTACTTCGCAGCTTACATAGCTGGTACATTGGCGCGTGAAAGAAGAAGATAAGTGCGACGCGTTGTGCTGTCACACTGGCACGTGATGCCAGCAAGAGTAAGTTGGTCAATCGGGATTCGGCAGACTTTTAGAACTTGATCAGATGGCATGCGAACCTGCACGGTGTAAACTGGTCTGCATCACTCTAGACTCGGGCTAAAGACTTGATATTTCTTTTTCTCGTCGTGCAAGCAAGCCAGTGGTTTGCTGACGTGCACTGGCGCTGTCTATCAGGATGATCCCGTCGTCAATATAACCACAGTGAGTGCTCCGTAGTCACTTGCTTCAAGTTGCATGTATCATGCATGGGTTTGTGAGATCTATATGAGAATGAGAGAAAGAACTTCAAGTCTTTCATCTCAGCGCGTGCGCACTGACAAAATCCCATTCGGTTGTCACTCAGTACTCAGAATCGATCTCTATCACCGCGCTATTCTACATGCGACAGTTGATTCAACGGACTTCAAAGTTCCAACACCATGCATTGATATACTTGGTCTGTCGACCTTTTCTTTCCGTTTCGTTGCTCTGACCGATGCCCATCAAACTCTATAGCGCCCTTCAAGGCTCGACTACTTTCAATGCTGTCAAAACATTGCCCTCACCCTCACTTATTGCACAGATCCATGCCAGACCAGTCCGGACTTGTTTACGCTTGGACCGGCTCAAGCGAGGGGTTTTCCAGGGTGCAGAAACGAAAAGTGCTCGTGCATGGGGAGTAATAACGGAGCCACAGCTACTAGTAACCCCTTTCACCACAAATATGCGTTGCGGGGATCCTTTAAGGGTCAGCCGTACTGGCACAGCGGCAGCTCATTGTCACCTGAACATGCATCCCTAATGTCCATGTCACGCGCGTTCTTCACATCGATTTCGAAGTATTTGCCGACTCTTGGAGCTTGCGAGAAAGGACAGCATTACTAGCAAGAGCTGGCGCCTGCACACAAGATGATATGCTCGGGGAATGTTCGCACGATGCGACCATATCCCAGTCTCCCATTACGATTATCACGTACGTTTAATTCGTTGTTCGGTTCCTTCCAAACTTCTAGATTTTATTGTTGCTATCGCTCTGCCGACAGCGACAGTGAGTTATCTGAATGCCAACATTCCGAATTTCAAGGCATTGACAGGCCTTACCCATTCTTTGACTACCCGACCCTGATGAATACAGCCCAGAGTTTATGGGGGTTATGGCATAAAGTCGTCTAATTTGAGCTACTTTGGCGCTGCGGTGATAGAACTCGAGGACTACACACTTTCGGCCAGTGTCTCAGTTTCAGCTATACATGTTTTGACTCCTGTTGTCTACAGGGTCGCCGTTGCAAGCGATGAAGTTGCATCGATCAAGGTGGACGAAGACAGAAATGCCAGGCAACTCCTAGAATACAGAGTGGTTGTTTTGAGGACAAAATAAGATGAATTAGGGCCGCCATAAGATGCGGTCCCGAACTTCGGTAACCAACGCGAACACAAAGGAACGACGAATCACTCATCTGGCTAGGAGGGGCTAGCCGGGGCGAGGTAATCGAATACTTCCTGAGGCAACAAGGTAGGTGAACGTCATTTTCCATGTCGAGCACAATAAAACCCCATGAGCAACGTGACTATCAATGCTGCATTACTTTCCCCCTCCTGCCGTTTCATTTTTTTTGAGGATTCCTTGCGCTTGCACCTGGTTTGCATGATGCATTCTTTCTATAAAATTTGTTTAGCGACACTCCCATTGACCATTCTGGTTGGTGCTCGTCGATACTCGCCCTCGCGTTACAGCCGTACTACTGCTAAGGCCTACTCCGTTCAAGATTATTATCAGGGGGATGATTTCTTCAAGTGCGCTCGTTATGTTTAACTTGCAACTCGGTTAATAGTCTTCTACCAATCTAGTGACTGGGACTTCTATACTGGCTCGGACCCCAGCGGTGGGAATGTCATTTACCAAAGCAAATCGGATGCACAGTCCAAGGGACTTGCATATGTCAATGGTGGCTCTGACAATGATAATGATAATGACAACGATAACGACAACGATAACGGTGATACTGACAGCTACTCCTCTTCCTCCTCTTCCTCGTCCTCGGTGGTCCTGGCAATTGATTCAACTAGCACTGTTGCCGCTGGTGGCGATCGTGACGCGTGCGTAAAGACCGTATTTATTTATATTATATGCGTTTACCAAAGTTGCAGTGTTCGTATATCATCTCAGACGAGTTACAGTAGTGGGCTTTTTGTCTTGGATGCCTCACAAATGCCCGTCGGCTGTTCTGTATGGCCTAGTTTCTGGACAGTTGGACCGAACTGGCCATATGGGGGTGAAATTGACATTGTCGAGGGTATCAATAACCAGGCGAAAAATCAGATGACACTTCATAGTGGCACAAATTACACCTGCACCATCGATACGGATGATTCCGATGAGTATACAGGCTCTGTCCTCGCGAGCGACTGTTACAGCACTGAATCCTCGGACGCAGGCTGCAGCATCATGGATAGTAGCTCAACGTTTGTATCTCTGTTGTTCGTCAATCCCAACCTAACGGTTCCCGGAGCAGGTCTTTTGCGGATGGCTTCAACAATGCAGGGGGCGGTGTCTTTGCGCTTGAATGGGACAATTCCGTTGGAATGTCAATGTGGCACTTCGCTCGGTCTGACATCCCTGCTGACCTCACGGCCCAAGCACCCACGCCTTCCAGTTGGGGCACTCCGTCTGGTTTCTGGTCTGCAAAAACCTGCGACATAACAGACAACTTCTACGAACACCAGATGGTCATCGACACTACTATCTGCGGCAGCTGGGCAGGTGGTGCATACTCACAATCCGGATGCTCAGGAGAGTGCACGGATATGGTTGCCGATGCTAGTAACTATGTCGGTAAGTTTCGGCTGAATAGCTACTTATTCGTTTCACGATGCTCATTGCTCCATCGTAGATGCCAAGTGGGTCATCAACTACGTCGCCGTCTACCAGTAAATACATGGCTTCAATCCTTTATCTTCCTCTACTTTGCTACTTCAGAACGTCTCAAACGTCCTTTTCTTTTGAATCTTTTCTTTTCTTTTCTTTTCTTTGACAGTATCGTTCTCTTATTGTACTTATAATGACGCATGTTATTTGGCATTTGGAAGGACTGGGTGATCGGGTATCTGTACGAGTTACGCCCCAAATACAATGGACCTACATATGATGTGCTCAATCTTTACGCTTAGATGTGATTCTGATAAGCCGCTTACGTAAGGATCTATCATCGTGCGTTCGAAAAGGGGATATGTTCACACACACCTTTTGTTAACTGACCACATCCTGCAGACCGATGGATTCCCAGCAGCAGCAGCCGCCAGTCCCGATATCCGACATCATCACGACAGCGTGGCCAAGAAGAGCAGTCAAGGTTTGTGCTTAACGTTCACGCCCCCTTTTAATGTTAGCTTATCAAGAACATCACTAGGCATGTGCCAGTTGCAGGTAATCATCTCGTGATTGAGGGGCACTCCTCGTGTCCTAATATTCTTCCCCTGCAGGCGCGATAAAATACGCTGCGATGGACAAAAGTAGGTCTACTCTGATTTTACTCCCATTTAATCGATGATTTGATGTCTTTTTGATCAATTAGGCCGTGTGGAGGCTGCGTCAAGAAAGGTTACACTATTGAACAATGCGTTGCTGGGTGCGAGAACTGTCGAAAGGCTCGCGCGCGTTGTGAAGGTGGAAAGCCTTGCCTCAGGTGTCGAGAGGATCAGGTAGAGTGCACCGAAGGCCATCACCACCCGGTTTTGCGTGCAGAACCTCCTCCTGTCTTAGTTCTTCGCGGGCCACATCGCTCAAAGCCCGACCGTGCAAAACTGGCTTGCCAAAACTGTCGTCGGGATAATAAGAAGGTAAGCTTGTGCTGTGGTTGAGGATGCTATTTTGACCTACCCTGCATTTAGTGTGATGATCAACGACCTTGCTCTCGATGCATCGCACGTGGGGAAGAGTGTGTTCATGTGGGGAAAGGACCTAAACTTGTTAAGCTTCGTTGCGAGGGTTGCAGACAAGACAATAAGAAATGCGAGGATGCACGTCCGTGTAGGCAATGCGTTGAATGTGGCAAGGAGTGTATCAGCGTTCAGAGGAAGGGCAGAGGTCACGGTACCCGTGTCAAAGCGGTCAGTCTTTGTTTAGAGTACGCATACTTCTTTTAACGCTATCTTTTCAGGCGTGTGTGTATTGCAGGTAAGTCATCAACTACTATTTAGAACATCACTTCAACAACCGCATAGACGCGATAAGGTGAGGTGTGAAGGCGTGAGGTAGGTGGTTTTGATGCCGCTAGTATGCGCATTAGTTGACGACCGTTAGGCCATGTATACACTGTATGCGCAAGGGGTACCAATGTATCGATCGCATCTGTCAAATCTGTACTCAGCAAGGCGTTAGTGGCGGATGCCCACATCTCGCTGAAGGATCGGACAGTGATGGTACGCGAATCATCCAATAGAACGTTACCTCGTACCCCATAATCACCATCTTCAGCAGCGATCGCCATGGGGAGTATGCAGCCTCCCCATCCAATGCCAATTCAAATTCAACAATCCTCCATGATGATGACACCTCTGCCTTTCCCAACCCAAGTCTATGGTCCCATACCATACCATTTGCTAGCGCAATCCAACCATGAAATTGGATCCTTACACGTACCTGCGCTACCTCGTCCTGTTGGTTCTTTTTATCCCATGGTCGACCCTTCTATCAATGGCCCTCAACCCAACATATCTTCAGAACGGTACGACCCATTACTTACAGGTCCAAGTGACTTTTCGAAGTCGGGCGGGTAAATACATACGTTGTAAAGGTCAGACTTTGCTTGGAACAGGATAGTTGTAATTTTAGCCTCGCTTTGAAAAGCGATACCTAGAATATCGTACTTCTGTAAGCTTTAATGCTTCCGACTCAATTCTCGGGGCAAGCTTCAAGGGAAACCAAATGCGGGATTTCCCTTGTTGAGTTTATTTGTACATGCTTGGCACCGAATCTTCGAGTGGTACCACCAACTGGAGTTCATTGTCCTCGTCCCGTATATTTCTGTTTCTTTTGAGCTGACCGGATACATTCTTTACCATGAGCAATACCCCAATTTCATCCCCGGAGAGGTTGTTTTAAAACATGGACATTTTATACGTTTCCCGCTGACATAGCACTTAGACCAAAGGCTGTATCATCCAAGATTAAATACGCCGGCAAGGCCAAGGTCAGCGCGTTATTTTACGCGATCTCACGCGAATAGGTCTCTGACATGTCTTCCCAGAAGAAGAGAAGTGTTTCAAACATTGCAGAGTACGCCATTAAACATACTGGACGCGGCAAATGACCTTACGTTTCGGCAGAAACACGTCAGACGAAGAATTGGACACGCATCAAAGTATTGGGACTAGCGATCCCCAAGAAACCTCCGTAGGTTGGTTTCTCAAACCTGGGCTTGTCAATTAACGATGGATTAGCCGTCTGAACCAAAAGCTGCCCCCAAAATGGTCGAGGTTTTGTGAGTACAGAATGTAAACCTGTACATCTATAATTCATGATTGTCTGTCATATGCTATTTAGTCTTCCTGGACCATCGCCACCACAATCCCCCCGCAATTCCCAAGAAAGCCAGGTGCTTCCTGCAAAACCTGTCAGCAAAGCCAGGGTATCCCGTAGTCGCGCTTCATCATTGGTATCCTTGAAAGGTTCTGTCCGTCATGAGAGCCCCTCTGTCCTTCCCGTTCGTGCGAAATCGTCAGATAAGAGTTCCCCCGTCTCAAAGGCCAAGTATGTATCTCGGGTTCCTTGGTGTTTAGTGGTCACTCACCACACTGGGTGACCAGGTGTCCTGATAGCCCCGAAGACGATGCAGATGAGACTTCGTCTATTGCAGAATCATCTGCCGGAGCTCGAATACGCCGGTCTGAATCCGAGCGTATTCAGTATTTCAAAGACCAGTCACAATGTGATGGTATGGAGCCGCGCCGAGTTCATTGCTCTCGATGCGACAAATGGATCAATCTTGGCAAGAGACAGACTTATGCTGTTCGTCCTTGGGAGATCCATCGACGGAAATGTGATCCACAATCCCCTATTTCGAAGAAGTTGGTACATTTCGCACTGAAAATTAAACACTACTTATCCTGTGAACAGGAGCCACCGAGGTGAGACCGAAGTAGAAAAACCCGAAGGAGAGGTTTCGGTGTCAGAATTGAGTCAGGATATTACTAAACAGCCTTCACCTCAGTCGGCTCAGCAGGGTGACGTCGAAAGGAAAGCTTTACTGGAAGAGGATCCTCGTGCCCAAGAGGTCAAACCGCACGAAGTTCTTTGTCGATCCTGCCAGAAATGGATCAAGCTGTCGATCGATCATGCCTACGCTCTTGGAAATTGGCATGCACATCAACAACGGTGTTCAGGTGTCGTGTGAGTGATCATTTATTTTACGGGTTTTGCTACAGTTTTGCCAACTAATGGTTTAATCAGACCCAGCCGAGTGGCTACCGCAGAGAGAAAATACAGTCTGCTGACTGACCCTCAAGCGAAGGCGTCTTCCGCTCGACATGTCGAGTGTGCTTTTTGCAGGACGAATGTCGAACTGGACGATGTCGTTCAGTATGATTTAACCAAGTGGCACGAGCACAAAGCAAAGTGTTGTTCGTGAGTGAATATCACTTTACCAACGTTCTTTACAAGTAACAGTGGCTGTAGTCATGCTGTTCAATTCACTCCAAAAGCTTCTAGTTCGCGACTTTCGCGCGTTTTCCCTCCACCGTCTGGTCAGACGATCACTCAAACGCCTATAAGTGAGGTACACAAACCTCCTACATCCTCGAGTTCAGCGCCTACAGGCGCCATAGCCACCAATGACAACTCCTCATATCGCACTGGGGAGAAACGCGCCCGGGACGAAGAAGATGCTAGAGAAGACCGTCCTGTGAATCGTCCGAGAACCGTAGCCTATCAAGCGCCCGAGAATGAAGCGCCAGGGCCGTGGGGTTGGTTTATGCAGCCTTTCAAAGCTTTTGTGCGTGGGTTCCGTGAAGGTTTAGGCACTCCATCTACGTAAATATTCGCACTAGTGTGTTTTTTGAATTGTGTCGATTGTATTGTACCTCGTTCTATCTATCGTGCTTTGTTTTCTTTACAATGCTATTCAACTATTTCCTTGGATGCTTGGGGTAAATGTAAACACGCGCGAACGAGCATGCATGTAAGTCGACGGAAATTTCCGAAATATGTCCCCGCTCTCCACTTTCTTCCCGTGACTTTCGCTCTTACGCCTGACTATTGCGCATATACAAGTGAACCGTTGACATATAGAGGTCTTTGCATTAGCGCGTACAGTGTACGCAGTTCCTCCATTCTCCGGCATACGCTCCCAATTTCCCCCCTCCACGGAATTGGACTACAGGTCAGTGACCACCACGTCTAGACCGATAAAGCTCATTCCACACCCTAGAAAAATTGGACATTTATACCCGCTGAAAATACGTTTCTCCCCCCACTGCAGTGTCTCATCCCCCCGCCATCAAACTCATGTGGGTATTTATCGCTGACTGATGTCATTGCTGCTCATTCTATTCGTGCCACTTCCGCAGGGGCTCTCCGAGGAAAGATTCTAGTTTAAAGGGCATTAATGAGTGAGCGTCTCTGTCGTCTCCGATTAGCCAGATATTCATCCAGCTGCTTTGAGCAGTGGAGATGCGCCTCGCCGAACTGTAGGCGAAATTGCGAGAGAGAAAAGGCTACGTGACGACCCGATGGCAGAGGTTCTTGGCCCACTCTTCGTCACCTGCAAACGCTGTGGAAACCGTATAAAACTATCCCCGAAGAGTCTGTATGATCCTTTCCATTGGCTGAAACACCGCGAACGTTGTTTGAAGAAACCGGTCGGGGGTACCCGTGCCACCAGTCGTCCTTCGAGGGAAATAGTGAGTTGCTTGGAGAGTCCTGTTTTATTTGGTGGAATTCATGTAATCCGTCAGATAGTTGAACAAAGATCCCCTGCTTCATCGTCTAATACAGACCCCGACAATCTCACACCACCACCTTCATTGACTCCGAATGACGATCGACAGGGGATTCCTGCCGTTGTAAAAGAAAGCTCGTCTTCACCTGAGCCGGAGGAGGTGGTCATGGACACCTCAACGAAACTTGATGTACGTGAATTATTTTTTTGTTACATGGGGAAGATCTAAACGCAAGTCCTCCAGGACTTGCCTCTGGTAGATCATGGACCCTGGCAATCTTGGTCGTGGTCTGATTTGAGACTTCCAGCCTGGTTGGTAGATATCAATCATATGCATGAAGACGACGGCGACGACGACGAGCCTCCTCGAGTAACCATAATAGAGCGCGGCTCAACTCCAACTCTGCATCCGGGCACGCATCCTCAAGACAACTCCTGAAATCATATCATATACCGTTGTTGTATCACATCTATGTGTTATAAGTGCTCTTATTGCTTTGTTTTCTCCATTTGCATCACCAGTACTTTACCATACGCATATAACTAGCTACCACATTTGCCCATACCAGCATACCACAGTAGCCAGCATTAATTTACGCATTCTATGATCTTCACTACTATTATTATGGATAGCATTTCTTCTTATCCAAGTCTAAGTATTTCTTGATATAATTTCATGGTCTTGTGCGGGGGGCTGATGAATGCCGCTCTGTAGAAGATAAACTATCGCAGAATCTTGGCTTGCTCGAGAACCTCTGGATAATTATCAGTATTATTTTTTTCTGATACGGGATCATCTCACAGGATGGCTCTGACTACGTCTCGCAACACTAGGGAACTCGATATCTCGAGTTTCTCCACACCTGGAAGTTCGTCGGCCCTCGTCGGCCCTACATTCAGCAACATGACTGGTTTTCGCATCTCTAATGCACGCTTTACCAGCCTTGAAGGAACGATTTAATCAGTGTCATAGTCACTTTACGATCATCGTCGGTAATTGCAAGCACCTGAATGCGGAATACGTCGCCAGTGTGGTGCCGAGGACGAAAACTCTTTCAGACTCTTCAACATCATGAAACCTGCGTCAAGGTCACTACTCTGACATGGGTAAACAAAAAATGCTCAACTCACGAACGGTCCTTGATCCGACTTGGTATCGATTCACCAAAAAATATTAACTCTGGCTTGTACTACTTGCATCAGAGACCCAGGAGATATGCCAATGACGCTGTCTCTTACAAAAGAGCTCTGTTGACCTTCCAACGTACATTGCGGACACTCTGGGACCACGAAATCGGTATAAGAAACGCCTTCCAACTCCACCTTCGAGAATAATAAATCATCAAAATTAGTCCGCGAACGACGGACGAACATCACCATCAGGATTAGTGCGCAATTTTTGCCCGGTCTTCTCTAAATTATCAACGAATGCCTTCCATTGCGGATTAGAAGCAGAAAGCCAATCTTGGAATGTGTCTCTCGGGACTACGTGACCGCGCTTACAATGTACTCGCTGCAAGCAAGACGATTGGTTTATTATTCACTGAGATACCAGAAAGCGGGTGCACTCAAAATGGGTCAGAAACGTACATGGAGGGTTCCGTGAAGTTCAAGTATTTGCTTTTGAATATGATCTGGCTCCCAAAGATGTGCAATCGCCTTGTGGTGTAACCCATCTACATTTTGTGTTACGAGGCGAGGTATGTATGATGCGTATTGGAGTGCAGCGATTGCATAGTGGCTGGTATTAGGCAGAGTGTCCCTGACAGGGGGATAGCCCAAGTATGATCGAAGCCTATAAATCATCAAATTGGCGGACTGACTACATAATTTGATCTCATACCAATACCGCTGCCTGTTAGGTAGTCAGTTCAGAGACTGTGTAACAAGAAAGTGTAATTGACTCGCCTGAAAGCAAAACCCTTTTCGCTCTGGTCAGCTAGTTCGTGATACTAAGTTGCTTGTTAACTGAAAAGGTTATGTGCCTGAAGCAAAGCGCATACAAAGATTGGTCTATGTATGTCATAATCAGACAGAAACAATTAACCTAGTTCCTGGCTTCGCATGACGAACTCACTGATAATTGGGGTTCATATATCTGCCGTCTTTTCCCCGATACGCTCTAATCCCCGAAGCAACACTGACACCTGCACCGGTAATTAGCGTCGCTTTTCCTGGCGCAAGGAATTCTGCGATGCGTCCAACCGCCGCAGCTGGTGAAATTGTTTGTTTTGGTGCTCCAGAGCTGCTGATAATGGTTGGTACCGAGACGCGCATGATGTCAGTTGTTCAAGTTGGTCTTGCGGGGATTCAAAGTAACCGTAATAGCCGGATGGATATATAAGAATATCATATGAGACTTGTTTCTCAACTGCAGATGAAATGAATCCTGCTCGACCACCTCCTGCTGTATTGCAGACGCCAGGATTTGCCCATTACTCTGTGACATGGTCCCCTTTTCACAATTCTCGCATCGCGCTTGCTTCAGCTGCCAATTTCGGTCTTGTGGGTAATGGTCGCCTGCACATGGTATCGCTAGTTCCAGGAGTCGGTGGCTCATCTGCGGTGAAACTTGATAAACAGTCTGTCTGTCGACTCGACTAGTAAGCCGGTGCTTATCATTCTATCAAGATACGAGACCCAGGATGGCATATACGACGTTGCATGGTCAGAGATTCACGAGAATCAATTGGTTACAGGCTCGGGAGATGGGACGTTGAAGCTGTGGGACGTAATGCTAAATGTATGCCAATACCAGCTCGTTTTCAGATCGGAGTGAATTAAAATCAGGTTTCGTGTCTAGGACTTTCCAATACGCTCTTGGCAAGAGCACAGTCGTGAAGTTTTCTCCGTTGATTGGTCGAACATCAAGAAAGACACGTTTGCGTCCTCCTCATGGGATGGAAATGTCAAACTGGTAGCTATATTGAATGACTCGCGCTTAATTCAACTTACAGGTGATATTTTGTAGTGGACACCAGAAATGCCTCGTTCAGTCACAACACTGCATGCGCACCTGTCATGCGTGTACCAGGCCCTATTCTCTCCTCATCAACCAGATATCATCGCTACCTGTTCGACGGATGGAACTATGAAAATATTCGATCTTCGTTCCCCCGCTTATGCCACTGGCCCCGCCACGAATTCCTTCACGCACCCCTTGTCTGCTGCAGTCCTGACAGTCCCTGCATCTGGCACTGAGTTGCTATCCCTTGATTGGAATAAGTACCGACCTTTTGTGCTGGCGACCGCTGGCGTTGACAAGATGGTGAAGGTGTGGGATTGCCGGATGATTCAGAACGCCAACCCGAGTACCCAGGCAATTGGTGGCATCTGCGAGATCCAGCTTCCAGGTCATGAATATGCAGTGCGAAAGGTTCAATGGAGTCCTCACCGCCCAGATGTTTTGGCTACAGCAAGCTATGACATGACATGTAGAATGTACGTGAATTTTCTGAAACAGATCGCGCATATCTAATGGTATGGGTTTATGTAGATGGTCGTCTAACCCATCTGCAGGGGGACCCAATCTCCTTCAGGTCCATGATCCTCATACGGAATTTGCGGCTGGTTGTAGTTGGTCCCTGTACGATGAAGGGTTAATTGCAAGCTGTGGATGGGATGGAAAACTATTTGTATTCCGTGCTTAGACGAGCATTGTTACTTCTATTGGTGCTGCTGTGACTGGACGCAGAGTTTTCTGTGGGAGACGGTGGGACAATTTCTATTGCAAAGCCTCGTGGTGCATTTAACCTTCTTTCAAAACTCACTACTTGCCTAGCGCTTGGTATACGTTGACTGATTTGTCAACACGCTCTCCACAGCGATAGTTGAAGAGTCTGGGCCTCGAGTCTATGAAGAGTCCACCTAATCTGTGACGTCACTCGTGGACAACCATGTTAAATATGTCACGTCGACAAGGATTTGTGTCTTTGATGTTGAACGGTTTCTTTTCCTACTGAAATTTTCGTTTGCGTTATCGGTATGGATTCAGTCATGCAATGTTAAGTTGCGTGCTAGTACTAGGCGGTATGTTCGAGTCATCTTCTGGGTACTTAGTAGTCTTCGCTAGTCGAGACTATCCTGCTGACTTCCCCATATCAGGTGTGATGCTCGGTCCGATCGTGACACTCGTTTGTGTCCACCTGAATGTGACGCTCCAATGTTGAACGTTGAACGGTGAGTGTCAGAACGTCCAAACAATGATATGCTCACTTAGACGAGAAGGTTTTGGCTTGGGCACTGCTGTGATCACATACTAAACAGACTTAACAGACTTTACATGTAAGCAGAAGCACGTCTCGAGTCTCTGAGAAGCTGACGATTCTGCGCACCGCGTCAATAAGTACTGAAGTAATCTCAAGTAAGTCTTTTAGATCGCAAGATGGAAATTGCATGCGAAACGCTCAATCAGACGTCTCCCATACATCAGTGTCTGAACTGTGTACATAGTAGCCCTATGATGGTCCCGACGAGTCCCCATTCACCTTCACCCACACACTCAGCATCAGTATGCCCTTTCCCCCATGCATAACCATTCTTCTATGCAACTTTTCAGATTCTACGTAGAAAATAAATCGGCTTTGCTTCGGCGGCCTGGATCTCTACGGTTCGATGGGAACGTGACAACTGGTGGGGAAGGGGAGCCTGGCTTGTAGTGTCGTGACAGGATGGTGCAGAACTAGACTCTAGATACTGATTGTATCAACGCCTGGGAATGCTGATTATAGCAATGTTGCGCAGCAAACATAAGCGACCCTGATACCCCTGTTCCCGTCAGTCATTTAGTACTACTCACTTGACTTGTCACTGGTGAATGCGAGCGCGGCTGCTACGCGCTATGCAAGATATGTATGCACCCGCTAAAATCAACATCATATTAGTCCAGTTGCTGACGAGACGTGCATAACAGCCCAACGTGCATCGAACTGCATCAGAATCGACCATCAAACTGAGGTAAGTACTTGATCCGATAGTAACACAGCCACTGACATGCAGTATCAGCAAGGCGCCTGCAACCACAGCATGCAAAACTGACCCGAATAGCAGGTCTCTTTCTCACCTTCACCCCGTAATCCTTGCTTCTCCTCGATTATTGACTTTGCGCAGTGTTTCGCCGTCCAGTCCATCTGTACAACCTGCAATCTTTCTTGATCAAGGTCATGTCATCCGGAGAGGCCGAGTCAAGCACGTCGACGAGACGGGAAGAAGAGCTACTGCACTCGCCGATAAATTGGACGAGCGCGAAGGATCCACCACCGTATGGTGCACAGCACCTCCAGGATGCACTTTGGGAAGGTGAGCGGCTCCCTCGTGATAGCCACTAAAGTTACTCAATTAGAAGCAGGCGGGAATGAAGCGCTTCCTCCTAAGTGGCATCAGTTTAAGACGTCGTCCAAGGGTGAAACACAATATCAAGATGACACGCTCGTGATGGTCTCGTGGAACCAACCTTTACCGGGAGTGCGACTAGGTGAGGGATGAGATTGCGACAAGGAGCGACGAACTCACGGTTGAACATAGATGATCCTGAAGATCTCGTTGTTCCCGGATGGGAATGGCACATCTCACCACTGGGTCGGTCCTACTTCGTCAACCACAATACTCGGACCACGTCGTGGAAGAAACCCACGCCCGAACGTCCAGCAGGAAGCTTGAAGCCGGAGTACGTCATCGAGGGTCACTCCAATTGCATATGGGACCTTGCCTACTTGGGTACCAGTGGCAATATAGTGAGCGCGTCTGAGGATAGTTCGATTCGCCAGTGGAAAAGAGACGGAGAGCCAGTAGGAAAACCTTTGAATAACGATGGGGGAGGGATAAAATCGATCGCAGTCTCCCCAGATGAAACAATGATCGTATGTGGAAGTGCAGACGGCAGACTACGGTTGTGGAATATAAAGGAGGGCAAAATGATTGGGGATGCGTGGGAGGGGCATGATGATGGAGTGAGGTGCGTTGATTGGTCTTGCAATGCCCTGGAGATAGCAAGTGGATCAAAAGACGGGACTATACGACGCTGGAACCCATGTACTGGTCGACAAATAGCATCGCCCATACAGACCAGTCACGGATGGGTTAATGCCGTCAAATATGCTCCACAAAGTGACAAATTTGCGAGTGGTGGCATGGATTTGGTGATCCGGGTGTGGTCAAAGGACGGCAAGCTGCTTATGGAGATCAAGAGACATGACAGCTGGGTGATGTCATTGTGTTGGTCCAAGAACGGTGCACATATATTCTCCGGGTCAGGCGATTGTACCATCCGAAAATGGCGGGCGATCGATGGACAGGAACTCGTTGTTTTCCGGGGTCACACCCGCGGCGTTAGATCGATCTGTCTCACTCCCGACCAAAGCTATATTGTTAGCGCATCATTTGACTACTCCATTCGCATCTGGGATCTCAGGACCAATCAAGCAGTCGGAGATCCACTCTTGCATGATGACCAACTCCTCGCTGTTGCCGTGTCCCCAGATGGAAAATACATTGCCAGTGGTGGAACAGAGAAAAAGAGCTACATATGGAGCCTGGAGACGGCGCTCAAAGTTGTGGTAAGTATGCGTTTTGTTGCTTAATTTCCCTGCTTAACGGTTTTGACGGTTAAGGGCGGGACAGAGACCGAGTCTAATACTACTTCACGGGATCACGCATCATCTCCAGAGCAGACCCAAGCATCGTCAAATCCACTACAAGATCTTACTCATATGCTCCGGGGAAGATCACACCATCCGACAACTTCTGGAGGCTTCGGAGACATCTGGAAGTGTGATTTAGTGGAGTCCGATAGGACTGTTGAGGTATGTTCAGCTTTTTCGCACTTCCTATGGTTATCATCCTGATGATGATCAAGGTAGCAGTGAAGACTATTCGTGCTTTCGGATCCGACGGCGAGGTCTTGATGCGGAAGAAAAGTAAGGTAATGTGCTCTTCCACGGCGTCGCGCGTGTCATTTTATCTTATCTCGAATCGACTTTAGAGAGTGCGTCGCGAACTCAAAGTTTGGGGCCGTCTCAAGCATGATAGCATTCTCCCACTATGGGGAGTAGCGACTGACTTTGGACCCTACCCTGCGATGATCTGCCCATGGGCTAAAAACGGAACACTCACGGGTTATCTTGAGAGTCAAAGCTCGTTGTCATCTCACGATAAGTTCTCTCTTGTACGTCCTGTATATCTAGCATCTCCAGATGCTTACTGACCTTCTCGCGCTTGCCAGCTGAATGACATTGCTCTTGGATTGCAATACCGTAAGTTTGTCGTTCACTTCATCCCATTCCTCAAACACTCACGTCGATTCAGTCCACAGCGAATCAGTCGTCCATGGGGACCTGACAGGGGTGTGTACGACCACACACAGAAGAATCTCATTACTGACGTGCCAACTCTCCAGTTGAATGTCTTGATTTATGGTAACGGTCGGGCATGCCTTGCTGATTTCGGTCTGTCCACTATAATCATGGAGTTCCTTGGTACCTCATATATGACGAGCTCCATCCGAGGGAATGTTCGATGGGCAGACGCAGAGTTATATCAAGTACCAGAGGACGACGACTCGGAGGTCTCGCTCAGTCCCGAGTGCGACATATACTCATTTGGCAGTATCATGCTCCAGGTTGGTAACTCGATTTTGAACGAAATATGTTGTTTAATTTGCGCATGCTCTAGATATCGACCTGCAAGGTACCCTACTACAATGTGAAAACAGATTTTGCAGTGTTGGCACGAGTCGTCAAGGGGATGAAACCGGAACCTCCTAAGGAATCGCAAATAGCGCCTGGGCACTGGGAGTTCTTACAGCGATGCTGGTTGCCTCGTGCAAGTCGTCCGTCGATTGCAGAAATCGTCACGTTTATAGCATGTGAACGACAGGCTGCGTCGTCCCAGTCACTAAAGGTACAAACGTAATGACAGCTGGGGGAATCAATATAGAAAGCAGTCACCCTTCTGGAGTATTTTCAAATTCGAGGAAGATCATTTTAAATTCGTCATTCAATGTTTTTTTTGGAAATGATGTTTCTATATAAATTACGGTACAGGCTGGTCACGAGCCTACGTATACGCGTCATTAATGCATTAAGTATACTGACCTCTTGTGCAGTCTGAAGTTCTGAACTGTGTACGTAGGCCCTCCTCTTCTCACGGTCCCGACACTGAGTCCCCATTCACCTGCACACTCAGCATCAGTATGCCCTCTTCCCCCATGCACCACCATCATTGCATGCACCTTCTTCAGGTTCTACACTGTCAGTTTCGCTTCAGCGGCCTGGAATTCAATAGTTCAATGGACGCCACTGATGGTGATTGGGCAGCCTGGCTTGTGGTGTTGTGACAGGATGGTGCAGAACTAGACTCCAGATACTGGCTGTATCAATGCCCGGGAATGTTGATCATAGCAATATTGTGCAGCGAACATAAGCGACCCCTGTGTATGCACCTGCTCTGATAATCATCGTATTAGTGTACATCAAACTGCCTCCCGGACCGAGGTAAGTACTTGATCCGATGGTAACATAGCCACTGACATGCAGTGTAGCAAGGCGCCTGCAACCACAGCATGCAAAACTGACCCAAATAGCAGCTCTCTTTCTCACCTTCACCCCGTAATCCTTGCTTCTCCTCGATTATTGACTTTGCGCAGTGTTTCGCCGTCCAGTCCATCTGTACAACCTGCAATCTTTCTTGATCAAGGTCATGTCATCCGGAGAGGCCGAGTCAAGCACGTCGACGAGACGGGAAGAAGAGCTACTGCACTCGCCGATAAATTGGACGAGCGCGAAGGATCCACCACCGTATGGTGCACAGCACCTCCAGGATGCACTTTGGGAAGGTGAGCGGCTCCCTCGTGATAGCCACTAAAGTTACTCAATTAGAAGCAGGCGGGAATGAAGCGCTTCCTCCTAAGTGGCATCAGTTTAAGACGTCGTCCAAGGGTGAAACACAATATCAAGATGACACGCTCGTGATGGTCTCGTGGAACCAACCTTTACCGGGAGTGCGACTAGGTGAGGGATGAGATTGCGACAAGGAGTGACGAACTCACGGTTGAGCATAGATCATCCTGAAGATCTCGTTGTTCCCGGATGGGAATGGCACATCTCGCCACTGGGTCGGTCCTACTTCGTCAACCACAATACTCGAACCACGTCGTGGATGAAACCCAAGCCCGAACGTCCAGCAGGAAGCTTGAAGCCGGAGTGCGTCATAGAGGGTCACTCCAAATGCATATGGGACCTTGCCTACTTGGGTACCAGTGGCAATATAGTGAGCGCGTCTGATGATAGTTCGATTCGTCAGTGGAAAAGAGACGGAAAGCCAGTAGGAAAACCTTTGAATAACGATGGGGGAGGGATAAAATCGATCGCAGTCTCCCCAGATGAAACAATGATCGTATGTGGAAGTGCAGACGGCAGACTACGGTTGTGGAATATAAAGGAGGGCAAAATGATTGGGGATGCGTGGGAGGGGCATGATGATGGAGTGAGGTGCGTTGATTGGTCTTGCAATGCCCTGGAGATAGCAAGTGGATCAAAAGACGGGACTATACGACGCTGGAACCCATGTACTGGTCGACAAATAGCATCGCCCATACAGACCAGTCACGGATGGGTTATGGCCCTCAAATATGCTCCGCAATGTGACAAATTCGCAAGCGGCAGCTCGGATAAGGTGATCCGCGTGTGGTCAAAGGACGGCAAGCTGCTTATGGAGATCAAGGGACATGATGCATTGGTAATGTCATTGTGTTGGTCCAAGGACGGCACACATATATTCTCCGGGTCAAACGATGATACCATCCGAAAATGGCGGGCGATCGATGGACAGGAACTCGTTGTTTTTCGGGGTCACACCCATATCGTCACATCGCTCTGTCTCACTCCCGACGAAAGCCATATTATTAGCGCATCAGAAGACTACTCGATTCGCATCTGGGATCTCAAGACCAATCAAGCAGTCGGAGATCCACTCTTGCATGATGACAAAGTGTTTGTTGTTGCCATGTCCCCAGATGGAAAATACATTGCCAGTGCTGGAATAGACAAAAAAATATATGTATGGAGTCTGGAAGCGGCGCTCAAAGTTGTGGTATGTATACATTTTATTGCTTGATTTCCCTGCCTAACGGTTTGGGCGATTTAGGATGCGGATACCGTAAAGCTCAAGGTAAGTTATCTCTGCTGCTCTTTCATGCTACATCTCACTGTTTACCAGGGACATCCAGCCCAACCGAGAGTTGTGCGGCAACCAATCGTGAGGAACTCGTCTTTTCTCCTATGTTTCGCCACATTCTAAACATCCATTCTCTATCTCAAACAACAGCCCAATACCAGAGGCTCGGCGAAATATGTTAGTAGAATCTTTCATTCCTCAGCTTCTGCTAATTTAGCTTTGATACAGGGCAATGATTTCTTCGGCAATGATTCAAATCGCGCAGCTCCATCGCCGAGTCCATCTTTTCTTCATTGGCGCAGTTGGTTTGGTTCCCTCCAGTCCAGTGCCAAACCTAGAGATACGCTCCCGCCATCCCCTCGCCAATCACGACATTGGAATTTCAACTTACTTCCCGTGAGAAAGTCAAGCCGCACCGTCGATGTACCTCTGGCTCAAGATGAAAATGTGAGTGGCTTGCCTTTGCTTTCCTTTTATCCCATCAACACACAATGCAGAGATATGGCATTGTCCCTGAAACCGATGCGGAAGCGGCCGCAGCTATGCTACGTACAAATGGCAACGAGGCCGGCAATTCAATGCAATCAGGTCAACCAGCAGGGGCACAAGCGTCTCAAACACAACCAATCCAAACACCAGCACAAGGCCCAACTGATGGAGCGGAGGACATTGTGTGTGGAATGAACTGCTGCGGATTTTTCATTGGTCTTCGTCGTCCTGCTTCGCACCAGTCATGAAGGATGGAAGACATGTGGCATGCACATTCTTCCTTCCCCCGCACCTGCGTCTGATCCCCCTCATAATCAATAATATTAGCTTCATTCACGCACTCTGATTCATCTCTCTTCGTGCGCTTCCTCTGATTTCCTCGGATCAACACCACTGGGGCAGTTGACCCCGTTTTCTGGAATGCAGCTCTTGGTAGTGCAATAGTCTTCTGCGCGTGGAGCTTGGTGTTCGCTGGAAAGGCAACTTGTAGAAGAATTTCTATCGATGAGTTATCCTCTCATACTCCTTCATGAATCACAGCGCTCCGACAAGCGACATTGTAGCCCCAAACGATTATGCACTTTATCATGCTTTTGACGCCCCCTATACTGAGAATTCAGTGTACATACAGAATCTCTCACTGGACCGACTTTCATCTCTCGCAGCACAAACAGTCGATACCTTCAAGTTATAGCGGTGTTTTATTCACTTTGCGAATGTATTCATATTTGAGTTCGCATACGTACAGAGTCATCAGATTCCTGCGTGTCTCGCTCAAGGTAACCCCCTCCCGATATTAATTGCATTAGCCACCTCACTCGCGTTCGGGCGATTGAATGCGTATCTACAAGACACGTAAGTCACCCCGACCCATCAGAAACATCAGAAACATGCACTCACCGCTCATAACTGTCCAGATACAATCCTTCATCTGGAAGTGTAATTTAGTGAAGCCCGATGAGATGAGACTGTTCAGGTATGTTCAGCTTTTCGCACTTCCTATGGTTATCATCCGGATGATGACCAAGGTAGCAGTGAAGACTATTTGTGCTTTCGAATCCGACGACGAGGTCTTGATGCGGAAGAATAGTAGGGTGATGTGCTCTTCCATGGCGTCGCACGTGTCATTTTATCTCATGTTGAATCAACTTTAGAGAGTGCGTCGCGAACTCAAAGTTTGGGGCCGTCTCAAGCATGATAGCATTCTGCCACTCTGGGGATTGTCGACTGACTTTGGACACTACCTCGCAATAATTTGCCGATGGGCTGAAAACGGAGCACTCACAGGACAACAAACACAAATGGTTTGCGACGTAGTAACGACATCATTGAAAGAGCACAAACATATTGAAGTACACGACAGCAGTCAACATTTGAAACCAGATTCCAAGTCAAAGGTAAACAATTTGAACACAAAGGAAATATCCCAAGGTCATAGAACTTGAATCTCAAATCTTCTTGATGCTGAAGACTTTGGTGGAGGAATCATACGTGATGGTCCACGTAGTATCGTCCTCGAGAGCAGTAAGATCTTGTTCGAAGAGACGATCAGTCTCGATTTGGCCCTTGATCAAGCAGTTATCCTTGTAGTCCGTGCCAATATACCCGCGTAGAACCGGAGTAAACTCTACGTTCACCTTATGCCCGTGCCCTAAGCCGTGCCAAACTAGAACCGTCCTTGGCTTGCCCCCTTCCTTCTCGATGAAACCTGGATAATATGTAGCGCGAGAAATTTCGAGATAGCAATTATACATACCAATGCCTATATCCTCCTTGAATGGTACGTTGTTTGTGCATTGAATGTTTTTATTCGGCACCGAGGGGTCGGTTTTGGGATGCTGGGCTTGTCTCGCAAACGGATATTAAGAAGGCCAGTAGGCGTACTTACGGAAAAATGGTGCGCAAAGCCCTGCCTGATTAAAGCGGTAGATTGCCCAACCTAAGTAGCAGTCCATGAAACCAACAACAAATCCATGGATCCATTCCACTCTCACCTGAATAGGAACATCGATCGAAGTATGTTCGATGTCATCATGGGAAACAGTAACCTTGGTGAACGCAAGTCTGAGGGGTACGTTGTAAAGTAGCTCTCCACACAAGCTTCGAGTGCCCCTTACTGTGATCGATATGTGACATCGGAGCGGTAGGTGCCTGTCAGTGACACTGCTTATTTAGATAGCCCAAAGCACTGATAAGATTCACCCACCGTTGGCCCCAAATTTCCTGACCCTATTCGAAAAGTTACATCAGCAAGAGCGCGACGGCAAAGACGAAAAGATTAAGTATATAAGGATATACGTACGCAAAAGCCAATGGGTAACAGTTCTTGTACAGGTCATCGATAGGCTGACTGTCGAAAGCGAGAACAAGATCGAGGTCTGCGCCGAGGTTGTTGGATTGGAAGGTGAGCTTTTTGACGAAGGCAGCCATGATGTAGAGTCGAATTCGAGATTGAAAGGACAAGGACGTTGGCGTTCAACGTCCAGTTGTGGCCTATTGCTTAGTCCAAACGACTTATATACCACCCTCTAGAAGGACAGCGACCCTGTATCCGTAGAGATTGAATCTGGAAATTAGAAACGGAGAGCCTTTTTCAGGTCAAAGTTCAGCATGCTTCACAAACAGCTGATCATTTTTTCATCATGGCCAGGCCTGTCCGTCGACGTACAAAATGATTCTTTTGACCCATTAGTATTCCCCATTGTGAAGGATACAAGTGACATACAGAATTGCATAGCGATTTACGAAACTTCAAACCATTATGCCGTTTGGTGAGATGTAAAGTCATGAAGTAATAGGGAGGGGCCACTTTGCAACTTGACCTGGTCTTCACTTGACTTGTTCCGAGCGTCAAAATGGGAGACAGGGTCCCCGACTCCCACTTGTGGGAGAAGGGTTTTGTCGGACGTAAATGACTATTTTCCTGCAAACGCACCCGTGGAACAGTATTAGTCAGTGGGAGAATTATCTAATCTAACGCTCCATCGTACGATACTTAGCATTAATATTGTTAGCAAGCATTTTGGCTTTGTTCAATCGCTTTCATCGCTAGATAGACACCAGAACAGACGACATGTGAGATTGTATTTTCCGTTTTGTTTTGATGAATCGTTGCTCATGCTTTTTCAGGGTTTTTCTTACGAAGACGCCTTGCCGTTTGGCTCGCGTTCTCGAGGAGGCCAGTTACTTGTGCCTAGGCTGGCGAGGTATTTCAGTGATACATACGGAAAAGATGTTTTTGTAGCTCTATGTCGACCGCCGCCGCCACAAGTATGTGTCTTCGAACCCCTCAATGTACCGATGATCAGTTGGTCGGCTCTTCCGCTTACAAAATTGGTTCAGAGGCTTCATAAGTTGACTGTTGATGAGCTTTCGGTTTGTGTTCATGGTCTAGCTGCAAAGGGGCGTCCGACAATACACGGCCGATCACATCGGAAAACTTGCAATGGTCTTGCCGTTCATATTCGAGATCGAGTGACTTATTTGCAGTGTGTTGGTCCGAGTGTGGTGTGTGATATCTTGCTCTGTTACTTACCACAATCTCAGCCTTGCGGTCAAACAGACGAACATTATATTTTGCAGATCCTGTCGTATGAATATGTACCTACCGTAGTGGACCGGCTCGGTCATCAAGTCCTTTCGCAGTCTGAACAACGGTCGCCATCTAAAAAAGGTTTCTTTACCACTATGCTTGAAGATGACGAGCCCGAGTACGATATGATCGAGTAGATTCGAGCTGTCTTTTTTTTGGTGTATATTTGTCTTGGCTCGAAAGTATATGCGTCCAATGTCGTTGTATTACAAATCATATGTTTTCTTGGTGTCTTCATGCGGAGTCGGGGAATGGCGCTGCAGACTCAGTGCAGAGCGCCGCTACGATGCGATAATCGGGCGCGATTCCGACCAAAACATTCACGTGATCGCAATTAGCCCTTTCTGCTACTCATTGCCAGGACTCGAGTCTTTACTCGCACGCATAACACCGCTGACCACTAGGCTCGTGACCAGCCTGGCTACGAGTCTAATCGATGATCTCGAGCTTGATCCTGGCTCATCATTGACCGAAATTAGCTTGCCAAATCGCTTCATTCTCTTTACCTTGAAATCGATAATCCAATGCAAGCAGCTTCGAATCTTTCAACGAATGTCACGCAAGGATGTGATACTAAGATCTGCCAGGACATCATAGAGGATGATCCTGAAGATATCATGTCCGCTTCTCTCCAGACTCTTTACGACTATATCCCAATTTCCCACTCAACTCCCGGGTCGATATTTCCTTACACGATAAAACGCGACGGAGGAGGCTCAGAACCAAGGCAGATCACCCTCCAGACACCAGACACGCAAGCAAGCAATTGGTCTTTGCATGCTTCATCCATCTGGCAATCCTCCATCCACATCGCAGATCACATCGAATATCTGCAGTTGGATCGCTTCAGCGATCGAAAGATATTGAGTGTCCTGGAGCTCGGCGCTGGCGCTGGGTTGCCTTCGATTATGATCGCATTGAATACGCCCAATGCTGCTGTTGTCGTCAGTGATTATCCGGACGAAAATATCATATGCACACTGTCTGATAATGTTCGTCGCAACCATGCTTCAGAACGCTGCTGGACTGTTCCCTACGCTTGGGGAAGTGATATATCCCCACTCCTCAAGCCCGTCCAGCAGAACCCTGAAGGTTCTGCTCTCTTTGATATAATCGTCGCGGCTGATACGCTGTGGAATCCTGAGACCCACGTTCAGTTTATTAACACGCTCTGCATGTGTCTCAATCGCACCCCAGACGCTCGTGTATATCTCGTCGCCGGTCTACACACGGGAAGATACACCCTTCAATCCTTCATGAATGCTGTTGTGATGCACAAACTTCAGGTAGAAAGAGTGGTGGAGAGGGAGGTCGTGGATGGTGTTCAAAGGCCATGGGACGTTACACGCGCTGAGGGTGAGGATGAAAGGGAGAGACGAAAGTGGGTAGTCTGGATCATCCTGAAATGGGCTTGAAGTAACGAGATTCACAAAGTCAAGTACAATCTAGCCGTGTCTAAACTCAGCACTACAACTAATCATTAGTAGGAGATAATATTAGCGCTAATAAGAGCATGATCACTAAGTAACAGGTTATCATTAAGGTACTTAAGGGGCGTGCTGGGGTGTTCCGAACGTCAAGACACGGATGACAGTTTGACCCTCGCGTTCCTGTAACGGATGTCAGGGACCAGCGAAAATGGAAGGCAGGAATACGTACGTTGTACAAGATCACCGCATCTTCTGTGGCGTCAACCCAAGTGATGCTTTGCACTTGAGTGGTGCTCGTTCTGATAAACTCAGCTGCGCCAGCCTTGAAGATTTTACTGGCAGTAGCCCATTTCTCGTTCCACGACCAAGCAGACGCCCGCGGTTCAATTGATTGCAGGCACTCTACCGCATGGTCGTTACAGTCGAGCACATGAAGACGACTTCGGGAATCAGACACAGAGTTCTCTTCGCCGACGCTCTGGAAAAACACCAGTTTTCTCCCCACAACCTCGAATGCATGCGAATCGTCTGGCAAATGAATCACCGTACAGTGGTCTTGCCATTCCTCCCATGATAGAGTTCCATCGCCGAGACTAGGTGGCTGAAAGAGCGATTCCTTCATCACCAATGCCACTTTCCTGGAGTATCCTGCTGGTATTGAATGGGAGGGAAATTCGATGAGGATAACAGTTGCGCGTTGAGACGGATCCGAGTGGAAGAAAGTTCCAGTCGGAGGAGTAACGTTGGGCTTGAGAGATGTGTTAGGACAAATTTGCAGAAACGATATTGCCCTCCACGATTCTGGTAAATCATATGATATTGCCCGTGCTGAGCGCGATCGTCTGTCATCCAGTATAGGGTGGATAGTGATTTGAGGGGAGCGCTTGCCACGTTCATGAAGGTACAACCCGTCCGATCTTCGTTCCCAACTAGAAGCAGCAGATTCTCCACTACCATCGTCTTCGTCCTCGTCAGGATGGGATAGCACCATCAAACACGATTCACTGAGGATGTCGAACGAGAGGAGATCACCAGTAAACTGCCACAATTTAGAACCTGGCGCTTGTGGACTATGGGAGCACATACCCGTTGTCGTTGGTCAATACCAGTGTGCCAGTTGACTAGAACAAGTTCTGTAGTTCCTTCACCTTCTTCAACTCCAAGACGTACAGACAGACCGACTACGACTCCATAGATCTGGACCCGTTCAATGGAAATGCGATGGCCTGGAGGCAAAGTGCCCCACCAGTCGGTCTGAAATTGAAAACGCAGGTTTTGAGCCTGTGGGTGCTGCTGGCATGTCCACATATTGAGAAAGTGAAGTGAAGCAGTTATGGGTCCATCCCTAGTGTGTTGGTCAGCATGGACGGAGACACCAGCCGTAATTATCTTACTGTAAAGGAAAATGAAGTTCTGCAAGCACCAAAAGATTCTGAACAGCATCAATGGCGACCTTGCGAATTTCGAAAGGCAAGTTGAATTTACAATATTGTAATCTATTAACTGGCGGTGTCCTGTACGAGCGCAGCTCATAGATGTGAAGTGACCACTGGAATAACCCGTGGTAAGAGCTTTCGCTAGCGTGATAGAGAAATCTTTCGGAGACACCGACGATTGTTGGTGTTGGGATACAGAGCCTGTCCTCTGAGGTCCAGTTTAATGTCAACCATCCTTTTCTGTGGTGGAAGAGCGGGTCCAGCCGCGCGCGCGGCGAATGAGAGCTCGAAATTCCGTCCTTCATACCGGACAAAGCGAGTTCGTATCGATATAGCAACGTCGAATAATTTGCGACGATGGCATGTATATATTGAGAACTCTATTAATGAAACGTTAAGCAGACGGACATTGACTGGTAACTCCGGTCATCGTACCTTGCAGAAGTGTAGTAGTGAGACAGGATCGAGCTCTTCTAAAATAATCAAAAGAAGCTCCCTAGAGAGGCTAAAGAGGGACATGACCAGCACGCTGACAACTAACGTGGTGTTCGTGTAATTCGTGGCCTCCCGTTCTTCGTCTTTATAGTCCAAGGCCGCCCGAGGTGTTTGACGCTGGTGACCAAAAGACAAAAGCATCAAGGCGCACAGTATATTTCGTCGAGAAGGGTCCAAGCGGCAAGTCAAAAGAAATCTTATTGATGCAAACCATGAGTACGTAGAACGAAGCCATCACCCGGACGATGTTGACCACACCCTGGGACAGTAACTGCCTTGTCTATTCAAACAAATTAGAAGCGCCGGGACCGAATCAAATTTTGTAACGCTCGTCATGTCAACCATTGAGGGGAGGTGTCATCGTTGTGATATTGCCAAGATCTGTCCTAGCCATTGACAATAACAAAGTTGGCTAGAACTGGAAAGAAAGACAGAATCAGTAACCCTGGAAATTTCGAACACTTATTATTTCAGCCTATCGTGGGATGGCATCCAGCGACGCAGCTTGTCTTGGTGGGAGAACTTGATACTCTCAGACTGGTGCCAGGTGCAATATAAGGTTTGGGCCACCTGTACAGCAAACCATGTGGATGTGATTACTAATATGTGACTAATCATTAGGTTATCCTTTCGATGCTCGGTCACCCTGTCCAACGACTCGGACATCCATGGTCTGCAAGAAGTGTGAATCAGTATGTCACCATTAACGTTTTCTGAATGAGCATTTCACAAAGTTTCTTTAGAAACTGTCCAAGGTTGCCGCTCCAGATCCGTTCACCTCCACATCTCAAAGTGTAAAGGATGGATCACGAAGAGTAGGCGAGAACAAGTTACTAAGCCGACCTGGGAGCTCGAAGAACAGGTTTCAGGTGAGTGAGTTATAGCTCTCCTCTAACATGCACTTAACGACCAAATGATTCCTAGCCGTATCAAAGCAAATGCAAGGATTGTAAGCAGCCCGTGACACAGAATAAAGCCAAGTATTGCCACGGTGAGTATCGCAGCACTACCAGGCAAACTCGGAGTTAATTCCGTCTTAGGTTGTGCGTATAAGAAAGGCCTCTGCTCTATCTGCGGCAAACAAATATTGGATACGACTGGGTATGTGATGTCTAGCAAGTAATTGGAATCCGGTGTGTTGTACCACAAGATACCGCTGTAATATGATATTTAACAAGGATATCGCACCTGGTGTTTGGAACGTGAGCACGAGGACAAACTCACGACTATCAAGGAGATGCTAGGTATCATGATTCATGCACAACCTGCCCTACATGCTTCTCGTATGGGGTCAGTCCCAGCCGACGCTTGCCCCCGGAGGCCAGGTGAACTTGACTAATTGCTTCCAGTAAATATGGTGTTCACTATTATATTATTTGGCTCAGCGAAACCAGTGACGCAAAGGTTGCATCTGAACGAAGAGGACCCCGCTGGAACGAAGCAGCAGCATTGTTGCACGTTCAAGTTGTACACCGGTGACCGTGCTGCGGATTTTATTCTAGCACTTCATGGTTACGTCGCTAAATGTTTGGTCGGGCACGTTCCAGAAGGGTCAGTTGTAGGCTTCACCTGCGTTGTGATCCTAGGAAACCTGATTGTCAATGGCGTTTCAATTGTCCTGCGTCTGCCATCGAAACAGATATATCTTGGATATATAAAGTATGGAGTCGGGTGACTGCGCCGCCGACAAACAGTTTCGTGCTTATGTACTATACGTGCTGGACTGGCAGCCATTTTTGGTTAAACCTGGGCAGTGGGTATCATGCCGGCTGCTAGTAGACTGATAGCTCAGCACTCGTGTCTCGAGGCAGCAGAACCGTTCAAATCCTCACTACAACAAAGGTGGTAATCGATGGCTGATGAAGATAAGCTCATCGATATACGCTCAACAAGTTCTCCCTTTTTTGACTGCCAGTGTGATACCTTCGAACACGTTTTTCCTGCCACGAGGGTGTCAGGGTGTTTAGACTCGTGACACCACAGGCCCTTAAAACACGTCCTTGCTTGCTGTACTTGCGCCAACGCCTCTCAAGCTTGTTCTCTTTGTCTCTTCTTCATTGCGCTACAGCCATGCAGCCAGGAATTTACAGATTCATAAACCGCCTGAGCGGTACAGCGATGGCTCTGGACAAACATGACTACATACATGTTGTCGGTGAGCGCCTCTCAAATGGCTTCTAACTTTGAAACATCTCACCTTCGAACAGGTTCTCCACCTTGTGATGATTCCATCCAAAAGGTAATTGCGACTTTCTCTTGTACATCCTGAGTAGTAACGGGACGATTGTGAAACCAGTGGGAAGTAGCACCTTCTGGAGCAGGATATACTATCCGAAATGTGCAAACGGGAACTCACCTCTCTGTGAAAGCACTCCGTTGCGGTGCTGCCATTTTTGCAGGGCACTTCCCCACAGCATGGCAAATTCTCACTGTGAAAGTGGACGACTGAAAACACTGAAATGATTGAGTACGTCCTCTTCTAGCGAGTATCAGCAGGCTCTCTTTGACATCACGAGTCAGAATACGCTGGCCACACACAGAATGGATGTTCGATCTGGCCGACTCTGGAAACTCAGCTCCTGGGACAAAGGTGCGGTCTATAGTCTCGATCAGCGTCAGAATTTAATTGATATTCTTGCCTTGCTCCAGGTGCAGCTCATGGACACCAAAGTAAACCCCATAATTCATCGTTGTAGATTGTGGAAGCCCATTTTCATTCAACACACCCTTTACTCTGTTTTGCCGGAGCGTGTTGATGAAGACGAGACATCAAGCACTACCACTATCAACGCTGCTGATGTGCCAGAGGGAGGGGAGCTCGTCTTGGTCACGACCACTACCACAAAAACAGTGGTTACAAAAGTTCCGAAATATTGAAGGTTCTAGGGCTTAGGCGCGAGAGCAAGCTCTGAAAGCCTAGTTGAGTTAGAGATGAGGTGTGTAGTACATATCCAATGCGATAGCTGTCCGAGTCCCGGTAATCCAGTTAAACGCAGTGGAGGAGATTCTACGGAGGAAATTCGCATGATTCCCATGTATTGCAATACACCTGTACTCCACCGCTTCTGTCACTGCGCGCGCTGCCATGGCCATTTTGACCTCATCTTTCAATGTTTGGCAGAAAAATTGCGCTCCGGCTTGCTGTGCGATCTTCGTTAAATTTTACCAGACATTTATCAAAGTTCAACGCATACCGAATAAATTCAAATGCCGCGCGCCAGAATAGGCACTGAGCAGGCCACATAATTATGATTCCAAAGTACGAGTACATGAATGCTGCAGTCCAGCCAACAGTGACGAAATGGGCCGAGCCAATGTGTTTCTTGAGAAGTGTCAGCGTGAATTTCAATGAGTTTGATGGTGCCTTTATACCGAAAAAATATCCCTTAGATCCCTGATGAAGATATCGTTAGTGTCGCGTAACACTGTGCATGGAGATGGTACAATCACGTCAGGGTGCAATAGTTTGACTTCCTCGATGTACAGAGGATCAGATTTGAATGGACACTTGTTGACAGCGTAGCGCATCACAATGTGGGAACGATGGGCCTCTGGTGTATACTTTGAAATTTCTGCCAGACATCATTAACCCTGCATACCAAAAATGCCTGCACTTCACTTGAGACATCTACCGTGACAATGCTGGCTTGCACAGCACTTAACGTTGACTCAGTGATCTTGAGAAGCTTGGCAATCAGTTCACTGATCGAACAATGATGATTTAGTAGCGAACGGTACTAACAAGTAGACAGAGCAGATGCACCAGTGTACATGACAGTTGAACTGAAGTCTCGTCTGATGGCCTCAGCATGATCGATGCTAGTCCGCCATGTGCATTGTGCTCAGCATGACACAGGACGACGCTTTGACCAGCTTATCAAACGCGCTGAACAACTGCTACAGCAAAGATGAAGGTGGTGTGAAAAAGACCAATGTCAGAGCAATCAATTTAGGTTACATAATAATCGTATGTTTCAATTAGCAGTGCCAGTGGTTGGGGGTCTGACAGGTCAAAGTCAAACTTCCGCAGTTACTACTCGGCTCAGGCCAAAGCAGCACTTGGCGCAGTGTAGGCTGAGGTGTCTTGGCGATCATTTGATATTAGGAAATTTCTCCAAGGTTCACATCTGAACGGTAAACACGCACCGGTGATGTAATCCCGGCCACAGGGTCGGGCATCATGCAAAGTCACACTGCTATGGTCCTCGTATTTAATCTACCCTTCCCTCCTCTTCTACCTGAGCCTGTTTCCCTTCCTTGCAACTTAGGATGCCTGCCGATACATCCCCAGCCGACACAGTCGTACTCACAGATGAAAACAACACTTACCCTGAATATGTATGGTATACCATCGCCGCGTTTCTCTTCGTAGTTGGCTGCTTCCAGTGGGGCTCACGCATTCACTCCAAATTCGCAAGACGCAGACACTACGAGTCCGACGAAGAAACCGCTGCTTTCAATAACATCCAGCATAAGTTTTCTCTTCGTCGTATCCCGCTCGCGATCGTAAATTTTTATCGTGTTGTTGCTTTCCGGTGGACCCTAGCAATAGGGCAGTCTTATACCCTCAACATGGCAGAAGTTTTAGTTACTGTGGTATACATCGCCCTTCTTTTGATCTACGCTTTCATTAATAGTAAGCTCAGAATTGTGCACGTCCCATTTACGCTGCATTAACAACTAAATCACGCAGCCACCTCAGTTAAGGGTCAGAAGCTTGATGTCTACTACTGGAGCAACCGTATAGCCGTGCTGGCGTCCAGTCAGTTTCCCATTGTCACGGCTCTTGGTACAAAGAACAACCTCGTGTCTTGTAGGTGGAAAGCCATGAATTCAACGTGTCGCTGACTTTTTTTTCGCACCAGTGGTCACAGGCATCAGCTATGATAAGGTAAGGCCCTTGATTGCTCTCAACTAAATTTACTCATGGATATGAAGCTCAATTACATTCATCGAATGATGGCTAGGACATGCTTCATGCTCCTTTGCGTACATGCAGTGGGTGAAGTGCAGTACTATTCCTCGTACGTACCTCCAGTTCATGCTTGCGCTTTTCTAATAGAGTTTACCCAAAGTTCCCTGGGCTCTATGAACCAGGATTGGATCCATGCTGGTGTCATCGCCATGGTTGCCTTCTTTATTCTGATCCTAGCATCACTGCGTCCTGTTCGCAGTAACGTCTATGAGGTCTTCTTTTACATCCACTTCATTGCCGTCATGTGGGTGTAGCACTTCTACTTGCTTGTAGTTGTTATTGACAGACGGGATGCAGGATGTTATTGGTGGGAGCGTATTTCCACACCCATGGCGTTTAGTAAGTGCAAATCGTTACAGACAGCTAGGTTTCTGACTTGCAGCGAACAGTGGGTCGTACTGGATATGGCCTTCATTTGTGATATGGGCTCTCGATCGCGTTATCCGGATGGTTCGACTTGTTGTATTCAATCACTCTTATTTTGGCTTCAAGTCAGGATATGGGACGATGGATGCAACGACGGAAATGCTTTCCGAAGATGTCGTTCGAGTGCGCTTACATCGACCCCCGCATTTCCACTGGTCCCCAGGACAAACGGCATATCTAATCATGCCCTCGGTTTCGACACTGCCATTCGAAGCGCATCCCTTTACCATTGCGAGTTACGATTCTAGTCTGCTCTCAACCGCGGAAACAGAGGATCAATCGGGAAGCAGTAGAGAACACGAGATTCAGGTTTCGGGATCAAGCTCCTCACTCTGGAAGGAGCTAGTGTTTTTTATCAACGTACATCGAGGGTTCACGAAAAATCTGAAGGAGGTAGCTGCCAAGAAGGGCATAGTTAAGGTGTTTGTAGACGGTCCTTATGGCTCGTCTCCTGATCTAGGTTCCTACGACACGTCTGTACTTGTGGCAGGTGAGTTGTGCGCCATCTCATAATCACACAGGACTTACCGAAACCAGGAGGATCTGGTATATCGTATACCCTTCCGGTCTTCCTGAACGTTATCGAGTGAGTGGATTCATTTAATCGATGTGACTGATATCTCATTATTCTCATAGGCAAGCGCGCAAGGGAAAAAGCTCCTGCAAACGAGTGGTGTTCATTTGGTCAATACGCCAGGCTGGTGCGTAGATTCATGTCTTATCCACAGCTTCTTGTATGAACGTCTTATTTTACAGAGAGTGTCCAATGGATCGAAGAAGCACTCGTCAAGGCCGTTCAGCTTGCCCCGCCTTCTTTGACAGTATCTATCCGTATCTTTTACACTGGTTCTACACGGTCTATGGAAGAGGTTTCCAGTCTTTCAAATTCAACAGAAAAGCCAGGGAAGGATCCTTTAGCGTTGTCAATGTTATTGTCGTTACGCGGGGTTAAGATGGAAAGTGGACGATCGGACCTGGATGCACTGCTCAAAGAAGAGGTTAGCATGGCCTCGGGGAGCATGTCTGTGAGCGGTAAGCACTGATTCCACTGGCCTCCATTCATGTCCAACTTATGGGTATTGCACTAGTTTGCGGATCTCAGGGTATAGCACGCGCGGTTCGTCGTGCACTTCGCTTCCCTGTCTCTGGACCTTCCAGTGTTCTCAGTGGAGGACCGAGCGTGACCCTATATGTCGAGTCGTTTGGATACGCCTGATAGTATCCTCCCGATCTACCTGTTTACAATTATATACGGAACTATTCTGCTGGTTTATTTGTCACTGATTCGTTACTATAGCTGTTCAACAAGTATGATGGACGATACTTAATGGATGACTGCGTAGATTACTATGGACTTTGAAGCATATCTGCATTAAGAGATACTCCGTACAGGAAATAAAAATTGTAACACATTAGATAAAACAATGCCCCATGGATGATCTACAGTATACTAAGACGCGAAAATGTCAGCAGCCACATTAGTTGCCGGAGTTGAGCGTCTCTAGCTTTGTCGTGCCTAGCTGCTTCCTACAATACCTCGTGGCACTAGTGTTGTACAACGATCGTACATTTATCACATGGGCATTGGCGTTCAGACATTCAGATTCGCTGCTTGACTCGTACCCTTCTGATATGAATTCTGAAATTTAGAATCGAATTTCACCCCGGAGCTGAGGCATTGGACCGCAGTCGTTCCCGTGTAGTCAGGCGGGGACCTGAGCTATAGACTAGCTCTGGTGTTAGTGGCCCAAAACGGATATAGACCGTCAATTTGATCTGGAAGGTATATTTTTAGAGAGTTTACGAAGCAAAGGTGTTGCAAATTCTGAATCGACTCAAATGAACAGTGGCAGATATCGCGGCACCCATGTCTTTATTCCGCAGTTATTTGAACATGCGCAGTTTCGCAGAACGAGATTAAAAATCTTGGCATTGCACCATATCGAAGGGGTGCTATTTATCAGATGCGCCCTAGCTTGGAATCTGGAAGTTCCGCATTCACCGCATTACATAATATTAAGGACTCCTGCCAGTGCCAGTGCCAAGTAATAAAAAAGTCTAATTGCGCGAACACCACTGGCTAGGCGCCCGATCCGGTATCATGGAATCAAATCAGGTATTTCATCAAAGTTACTCGTTCCATGCATCAATCACCCTGCATCCCCGACATACCCATGCTAAATCTTTTGAGTAAGATGATTTCATAATTTTCATGAAAAATTTCAGCCCTGCTCTAGTTTCGGTAATATCCGTGTTGTGCCAAGTCGACAAATCTTATCTTGGCATCCTAGTGCGTTTCTTATCACAAGGCGATGGTATGGTCGACAGTCCTAGAACTGCGGGTCGAGGGAAAGTCAGAGCTTTCGCCATATTCTTAGTTCTAAGACACAGCTCAAAAGAGAATGCCTCTCATAAGCTGGCACATCATAGATACCCCCGATGGATCAATACTAGTAGCTTTCAGTCATCGCGCCACTATCAAAAGGAAAGCACAGACCGACGTACCCGCGTGAAGCGATAAGACAAATACCCGCATTACTAATTCTCGAGGAGTCTGAGACTTTGACTTTCGAGTGGCGCTCTGGAACAGACCACAGCTTTGACGAGTATGAATCGGGGATAACAAACACGGGTAGAGCTCATCCAAGTGATATCACCCGATTGGGCGATGACTGCCGGTCTGTTTTGCGAAACCGAGTACAATAGACCGCGCGCTTTTGTCCGCAGGATCTCGACGTACTAAAACCCTATATGTTGATTTGGAAAACACTGGCACCTTGTCACTTGAATGATGGCCAATGTCGTCATTGAAACCCGTCGGCCTTCTTCACATCAAAGCATGCTACACTACAAGGGTAGTGAAACAACGTACATATAGAAAGGGTTGTGGCCTGCAGAAGCAACTGCGCTGCATCAAACACATGCTCTTTCGAGTCCATTTGGCTTGAGGAGGGAAGATTTAAAATTCAGCTGTGAATGGTGAAGTGAAATCATGTGCATGCTGTCACAAACTAGTAGTAAAATGGACTATGGGCAAAAGCTCGATGTTACTCACTACACACATATTCTTGACTAGTCTGTCTCTACTAGTTTTTAGATACGCACCTCGCACCTTATTTCTGCCAGTCAAATCAGCTGAGCACCGTCACAACATGTCCAAGGTGATTACCAGGGAACGTCGGAATGATCGAGACGGATGAATTAGAGTTCGAACTGCCGCGGAAAAGCCAACGATATTCATTTTGTGCTCGTCACTCACCTGATGATGAATCACAATGGAACAGTCAACTGGAGGTAGATATACGAAACTTGATACCCCTACGTAGCTCAAACGTCCCCCCTACCCCCTAGACTAGCGTTATCGGGTTGAATCTTCTCGATGACAGAGGAATTCGAGACCACCATACGGGAAGCATCAATCATCAAGCACAGCGTATGCGTGGTGCAATAAAACATGCCCCCCTGGAGCCTTGGAGAATCGAGATGCGAGTAGACTGAAGAAGCGAAAATGGAATTTACCTACAGGGTATTAAATGTCTGCCATGGGTCGAGCACAATTCCTTCATACTGTAGAACAAAAATCAGAACGAGAACCTTGGCTTTGAGAAGGCAAAGTTGATATTACAAATTTCAAATTTGCACCCATCTTCCTTTGCTACGGCAGTCTTAGCGCATGCGATGGATAGTTGTAATTTTTATAGTGTCATGGCCGTTTTGACTCCATCTTTCAGGTTTTGGCAGAAAAATTGCGTTCCGGCGTGCTGCATGATCTTCGTTAGAATTCTATTAGCTATCGACCATGTCTTCCATTTACTGCCGAATAGTACTTCTGAACGGTGTGATGTCAAAGCTGGTAAGAACATCAATATCACGCATTCAGAAGTAGTACTCTAGCGAAACGATACGATTCAGAAGTACTCTATCATTAGCAAATGACACTTGAACATGCATGACACAAATTCAACACATACCGAATGAATTCAACTGAGGCGTGCCAGATTATGCACCATGCAATTATGATCCCAAAGTACGAGTACACGAATGGTGCAATTCAACCATCAGTGACGAGATGGGTCGAGCCGGCGTGTTTCTTAGAAAGTATCAGCATGATTTTTAATGAGTTTGATGGTGGCTTTATACCGAAAAATTATTCCTCGACATTCTTAGGTCCCTCGCATAAATTTCGTGGATGTCGCATGACACCGTGCGTGGAGATGGCACAATCATATCAGGGGACAATAGTTTGAATTCCTCGATGTACAGAGGACCAGATTTCAGTTGACAGCGCAACCCATAGCGATGCGGGCACGATGGGCCTCAGGTGTAACTGAGCATCACCCTTCATATTCCGTTGAAACACTACGCTGCTGAACGTATTGCATTCTTCGATGCCCCAATTGAGGTTTTTCGTTCCTTGTCCGGTTTGTGTGGGTTTTCGGTGATGTAGCTTGTGATTGATAGGGTTAGTATGGCACATAAATTTGAACTCGAGATAGTCACGGTTTCCATCAGCTCTCAAGCAACGTTGTAAGGATATCGCGAGGTGATCATATGCAGCGAGATTGCACCATGAAGATGAGAACAAAGTAAGTAGCACTGCCACAAATTTTAGGTATTCTACGGCCCGTACCACCCGACCCACCATTCAACCATGTCACATCTACGTCAAGGCTTCGACATGTCCTGTGATGACAAACTTGAAGGGGCCATATGTGCTTTCTGCGAGGATAGCGTTCTCGGTGCATGAGCCAACAGTCTACAACAACCAGTTTGACGATCCGGCCCCAAGTTGGCCCCAACGATCTCAACCGCGTATCACAGATGTTCATTTCCGACAAGGCGGGGAAGAATTGCCATGAGCAAGACTTGAGGTTCGTCACTCCCAAGCATGATTCGATCCAGTGCCTATCGAATCTCCCCTACATCGCTCTCCCGTCAAGCTTTGGTTTTGCATTGAGGTCGAGATCAACGCGAAACCAAAGCTTGACGTTACATCTCCGAAGAAGGAACATGTTGAAACAGACCGATGTCTACGGATCTACGCTTCTAGAATATTCAACGACATCACGTTTCCAGTCTTGGGCCAACATTCCGAACTTGAAGGGGCCATATGTGCTTTCTGCGAGGATAGCGTTCTCGATGCATGATGGCTATATATGTTGACAAAACAAATGAATCTCTCCGCACACACTGTCACTGTTAATCGCAAACAATCCCCCTGTGACCTGCTTACACTACGACATTAATATTTAACGGATGACAAGGATTTGATCTGCAAAAAGCTGTTTTCAACCTCTGCACTGATTTGTTGGCTCATACAGCTATACACTGTACTTACTACTGTCAGCGCGAAAGTAGAACATAGTGAGCTCAGCCTTTGAGTCGCAAATTTACGTAGATTTATTGTACATAGTGACATTCCTGATATCGACGAGTCTGTATATTTGTGCTAAATAGTAAGTATGATCTATCCTATATGCCAGTACCGTAACCAAATTGCGTGGATATCATGTGCAACGTGTTTCCATGCTCTAGACTTTCACCTTGGCCCTCTCCTCGAATATCTCAACGTCGATCGTGTCCATCGTTATGAACCGGTAAATGTTGACATCCTTGATCTGCCCGTACCTCCTTAGTCGTCCAATTGCCTGGGTCTCGCAGGCATCATAAATCTCCTGGCTCTGAGCAAGGAGAGGGGAAAGAAAGATTCCGTGATTGGCGACTGTCAAGTTCGCACCGCTGGCGCTCTCGTCCATGACGTTCAACAGAAGCACACGTTCTTTGCTGTCGTTCTGGAACTGCTCCAAATTCTTGCTTTTCTGGGTTGCAGAGCCGTTGATTTCCAGGAACGCGATCTTGTGCATCTTCAATGCATGAGCGACTTTGGCCATGAGATCGGGGAACTGGACGAAGATGAGAACCCGGTCCTTTTTCGGGATTTGGTTCCTGAGGCCAGAGAGCATTAGTATGATCGCGAAAGCATAACGGGACACGTACTTGACGAGGTCCACGACCATCTCCAGTTTCTTGCCGTAATGCTTGCCGTGTCCATCACGGGCTTCATCGTCAACTCCCAGAGTTTCTCCCTTGACGATGTTAAGAGCACGAGCAGCAGCATTGCACTGACCCGAAGGATGGTAAACACATTCCTCTCGGTTAGCAGCCTCCTTGACACATGACATGCAGCCTGTGTGGCCGCATGAAGACAGGACGGCAACTTCGTCCATGGGTATCTCGCTGCGCTCGCATGCTGGACACGAGACGATAGGAGGCGTATCTCTTTGTTTCTGCAGGTCGCGCACAACAGTGAAGTAACGAAGTGACCGGACGCGTCCAACGAGTTCCTTCGTGAGCTTACGAATAATGTGCGTTTGCTCGCGATGTTCCCAGATAGCCTCCTTCGTTTTCTCTGCCAGGTTCATGTCGCCCTTGGCCTTGTTCTTCCAGTAGGTCGAAGATAAAACCGGGACTTCGGCCTTTGTGAGAAGATTCCGAATAATCTCCGTAGCTTCATGGTCTCCGACACCGCCTTCA